AAAAAAAAAAGGGTGAGGGCCTGGACAGAACCAGAATTAAACCCGAACTAAAACTGGACTGTGATAGAAACAAACAAAAAAACCTTGGTATTGACGGTTTCCATTTAGCGCGTGTCACTACACACTCGACTTGTCTCCGTCTGATCCTCTTTTGAAGCTGCCCGCTGGAGTGCTGCCCGCACAGTGTGTGGTCACATAGTTTTTTATTTAATGTAATGAAATTTTGAAAATGAGGAATAGTGGTGTTTTAGTTTTAAGAAACAATTTAAATTTTGTCCACCAGATGGCAGCACGTGCAGCGAGACGGTTTGGGGGCGCTCTGGCCTCTGCTTCCTGTTACTTGGCAGTAGCAGAAAGAAAAGGCAACAGCAAGTAACGTCTCCGTCTCCTTTTGTTTATTTCAGACCGGATCTGTCCCCTCTACGAGACAGCAGTGGTTGGTTCAGCTGGTTCAGCTTAATATCTGCACCGTCGGCTGGTGGCACATCATCACCGTTGGTTGCCTGCTCTTGCGACGCACTGCCACCGTTGGTTGCCGGCGCTGTCAGCTGAGCGTTGCCCCTGCAGGATGACAATAGCATGTTAATGATTATTGTTCACAACCTTTTATATTTATATTTTATATTTTTTTTATCACTTTAAATAAAATGTCTTCATATGTTATGGCTTTAAAGCTGCCATCTGTAGTTAGATTAACCAACCCCACTGTTGTATTCTCACATGTCACCACTATTATTATTATTATGATTACTATTATTATTACTGACCCACACAGTGGAAGGCCAAGCGGGAAAGGATCATGGTCAGAATCAGCAGCCACCCCACAATCTGAGGAGAGAGACGACAGGTGAAACAGGAGCAGAGACAGAGGAGCAGACAGGTGGTTAAGATATTTAGTATGTCATTCTTTTCATGGACTCATCCTACAGCCAGTTCTGAGGAGCAAGAGAGTCGAAGAGCAGTGAGCTGTGCTGTACAGTGCCAAGGAAGCCATTCCAGATCTTCATCTGGCAGTCAGGCTGCCTCCTATTGTGCAGATTTTGCACACTGCTCCTCTGGCACAAAAATAACCCCACCTCTGGTTTGCTGCCTGTTGAGGCAAAACACAGACATCCACACGGCAGAGTTAGCAATCGGTCACAGATTGGTTCAGATGCCGTCACCTATCGTTGTCTGCACGTCCACTCACCCCAGCACAAGTACGCCCCACGTGGACACGCCTCTTAACACAATATGTGTTAGACTGGGAGCAAGATCAGGCTCTCTTGTTTAGGTCCAAGCCAATTTCAATCTCTATATATGCTACGTGCCTGGGCGGATGACAGAGCAAGGCCACTCCACCACCCACATTGACATTACTGTTTGGCCAACAAAGTATTGTTGGATAAACTTACACTCCACTTCATGAAGTTCTCACAAAGAACCAAAGCAGTTTTCTAAACCTGGACAAAGATATCACCAACTGTGACTTGCTCTGAGCATGTGAGCCGTCGTCTCTCTCGTTTTAGGCATTTCATCTTTTCCAGGGATGAGTGTCCTTTAATCGCCGCCTCCATCTCCCTCCCTTTGCACAAATGATCGTTATACAGCGTCATGTTGGTCCCTGTCATGGCGCACTTGATGTAGTCCCCTTTCAGAAGAGCCACTGCAATCCAGGTGCTCGGAGCCAAGAGAACAAATGTCGAAATTTGAATCACATCTTTATGAGTGTTCACTTGGCTGTCGCAATGCAAACCCTGCACCAATCTCCATCTTCTGTCAGAAAAAATAAAACCAAGAGTCATCAGCACCAAAGCAGGAACAAGCAAAAACACCAAGCTATAGATAAAGTTGAGTTGGTTGCAGGGGCATTGGAAAGCCACACTGGAGAAGAGCTGTTCGATCGATGCAGTGAGTATGACTAAGCTGAAGCTGTTCTGCTTGCCGACGAACTGGATGATGGATTTAATCGTCTCCATTTCGCTGCTGAGGTGAGACAAAAGCTACAGTGAGTTCTGACAGTGGCTTGAGTTGTGGCTGTGTCTTCTGTGTCTTCACTTTTTAAATTGAAAACCTCTCCTCCCCTAAAATGAGGGCAGAACCATCTTTGGTTTCCCTGTGTCATGTGCCAGAGCAATTAGATTGTTGTCTAAAAATAACTTCCTTAAAACTTATTTTCTTACTGTGAGCGATCCCGCCTCTTCACAGACTTGATCAGACTTGTAACTTAGCCAGATTGCTCCACCTGGATGATTTGGCAAAAACAAAAACAGCAAATCTCTGTCCCAGTAAACATCACGTCTTATGGACGTGTAGATCATGTCTAGATCGTGTCCATTGTTCTAACACCAATTCTGGACAAAAAAATTATCTCAATTTTTTGGACGTCTAACTATGACCCACTTGGACGTCAATCTGCAGTTAAACATTTGAACCATGGAGTTTTTTGGGCGTCATGGGGACGTCTAACACAGGCGCAGGAAAATGACGTTATTAATGATCATGGAAATTCTGCGTGTTTGTCAGGGAAAAGTTTAAGTTTGACATTTGAAGTTTAAACTGTATCCTCCATTGTCCTGTAGCTTCGTGTGACTCAGTAGATTGAACTGGAAATGCTTTACACTTTTGTGTTTCCAATTTCTGCTGCCAAGACAAAATGATCTGGAACATTCTGCCACCGTCTTAAACAACATCACAGTTCTGCACAGAGCAGTGGAACAGTCGATAAAACACTCTAAAATTAGTTTAAATTTAACATGGCCATATCGGCTTTTCAAAGCCTTGATCTCATCAGATCTCAGAAGCTCAGCAGGTCCTGGTCTGGTCAGGACTTGGATGGAGACTCTGGGAAAATCAGGAGCCATAGGAGGCACCAGTCACAAAAACTGTTGTTGTGTCCTTAGGCAAGACATTTCACCCACATTGCCTGGTTTGAAAGTGGTGTGTGTGTGAGTGTTGTGTGGTCGGAGGGGCTGATGGCACAGATTGGCAGACTTGTTTCTATCAGTCTGTCCCAGGGCAGCTGTGGCTACAGTAGTAGTTTACCACCACTGATTGTGGAGTGAATGGATAATGAACTGTAAATAATCTTTGAGCTTCCAGAAAAGCACTATGTAAAACTGATGCATTATTATTATTAACATACAAAAGACGTCGACAGTGACCTCATTTGGACCAGAATTAGCCTTGTCTGGAGGCCTTGGAAATGTCAATACTGGACGTCTGGAAGACGTTGGAAAAAAGAAGTCATCTGGTGTCACAGTCTGCACCTTTAGTGGGACTGAGATTGGATGTACAAAAATTACCCTGAAAAGACATTTCAGCATTTCTTCGTGCAATCACATTTTATTTAATAAATGTTCTGAAATGTGATTCATGTATTAGTTTGTCACTTCATATTTCAGTGTTTTTGTCTAGACATGTTTAAAATGTGAACTTTGAACAGATTCCTATTATTAATTAATTATTATTATTATTATTATTAATCACAACTGCAATACTTGTAACTTGAATGAAATATATAGTGCAGTGAATGGTCTCCATGGAGATGCCTCCCCAAGCATAAAAGTAGCATAGTCCACCTGTTGTGTCCTTTTTGTTTGAGGTGGTTTGTAACTCACATAAAAAAAAAAAAAAGCACTCGTGGAGATCCAGATCCATTTATCCATTTATTTTAAAGAACAAAAAATAATGATAATATTCTCCGTGGTTGACTTTCCTTTTGATATAATGTGGTCACAAAATAGTATCTTTTCCTCTCCACTCTCCACGGGCACTGCCTTCCCTGCCCTGCTCCTACAGGTGGCAAGATATACCTGATTGCAGGAGGAGTGGAGAGAAGATCAGGATGACTTATAATAAAAAATTCTATAATAAAGAAAAATGTAGTTTACTATTCTATAAAATTTGATAAATTAATAACTTCTTAAATAAATATAAACTGGCTCCAACCACCTTTAAAATAACACTTTTTATGGAAGTCTCACTCAGTCCAGGGTCTGTAACAAAATTGTAAAAATTAAGTTAGTCCTGAAGCTGTTTGGATGAGAAATGGAACATGTTCACACTACCAACCTGGGAGTGAAACTGAACACCAAATCAAATTTTGTGTCATTAACTGTACATATCTGTGTACATGCTACTTTTATAGCATTGTCAGCTGTTGTAGTATTTTTTATATTTTTTTTTTGCAGTTTGAGTGCAAAGTGGGTTAATTTATGAACGACAAATGAATATGTGTGTACTGTGTGAGTGCTGGAACCATCACACTGTTCTTTATTATTTAGGGATTGTTTTATTCTTCATTTTGTGCAGTACAGTCCTGTTTATAAAATGTGCTGTACAATAAACATATAAACTTGGATTATGAACATTGCAGAACTAACACTGAAAATAAAAAGAAAAACTAGGTTGACGGTCCATTGAGTAAACTAGAATTAAACCCAAACAAAACCTGGACTATGATTAAAAACATTTGTATATGACTGTTCTGTTCCCGTTCAGAGCGCGACGTTTCCTTCTTCCACCAGCCCCAGAGCGGCGGGGGGGATGTGGGCGGAGCCTGTGGACCTGACTGACATGTTCCTCATCATGGCGTTGTCTGTGTCGGTGTGAGTCTCCACAACACCGTGCAGTGTGCTGTAGTGCTGCCCCCTGCAGGACGACAACAGCATGTTAACAATGACTGGTGTTTATATTTAGTTTTTTATCACTTCTTATGGCTTTAAAGCTGCTACACCATTTATAATTAGATGAGTCAAACCCCATGTTGTATTCTCACATGTCACCACTAGACGCTGCCTATGTTACTGCTGTCTGACAGTGTGCCAGCTGTGGCCTGACAGAAGAAAACTGGAAAGCACAGGTGAGTCTGAACAAAGACCAGATGAGGGAGGCGGGGCCAGGTGAAGTGAGACCTCTGCTTTAAGTAATTTCAATAGACAGACATGCTGATTCACGTCATTTAAATTTAAACACTGGGATAAAAAGCGTCAGTGGTCGTCTGGAAAATGTTTAGAAATGGAGACATTTTGAATGCCATGTTATCTTTTTGTACCTTGTTTTATAGGAAGAATGTTGAGTAAAGTACTCAAAGATAACTGCAGAGAAAGAAAGAGACAGTTTTAAAAGAGAGAGAAAGAACAGTAGGGCCCGGTCAAGCAGAAGTAAACAGCAAGGCCAGAAATTCAAGTTAATGCATCTGATATAAAAATGTATTGAACAGATACATATGTACTCTAGTTTATGAAACTGTTTACCTTTTTTCTGTACCATTTTTGGTTCTAAAGTTCCATACGTTTTAAACAGACCATGTATGAAACATGGAACAAAAATTATTTCCCAAATTTCAAAGACCTGCAAATCCTGTAAATAAATGGATGTATTTCATCATATCTTGTGTTATTCCATCTTTGAACTGTTGATGAAGGTACATGATTTTTCAAAAAAAAATTATTTAAAATAATTTAAAAAATTGTTTGGAAGGACTGACATATTTTATAGAAATAGTTTCCTTTCATTTTGAAGTAATATTAAAGTATTCAGAAGAATAAAGTTGACAAATTATGCAAAATCATGCACCTTCTACTTGTTTGTACAATTTTCCCTCTGTTACTTTTCCCTCCGTTACCATGACCTTTCTTAATAAAAAATCTCATTACTCAAAAAGTAAGAGGTTTTTCAACCTAATCTTGTACCATATGGTAGAAAACTATATGAAGCAAATATTCAAACCAGTTTGTTAAGGATATGTAAGTGAGAACCAAGAGTTATCACTGTTTGGATTTATTGCCCAAAAAGTGCTGGATATTTCATTCCCTCCGTTACCGACATGAGTTTAAAAAAAAAAAATTGTCAACAACTTGAAAGAATATCACAGGTTTAACTTGACCCTGTTGGAGTGTAACTCTTTCCTACATTCTGATACTTTACTTATTTCAATAGTCGCTCTAGTTTCTGAATAAGAGCTATTTGAATGTCAAAAATCTGCCCGTTTCCCTCCGTTACCACTTGACCGGACGCAGTATCCTTTTACTTCTACTTGAGTGATATAGTTTAAAGTAAAAGTACTCTTGAGTACAGGTTTTAGTGACTCTTCCCATGTGCACTGAATCATTTTTGAGCATTTGTTTCCTGTACCACTCCTTCAGATTTATGGTCTATCCTTTGAAAAGACCAGAGTTTGTACATTATTTAGGGGTTTTGTCCGAGTTACATCAACTTTAAATGATAAATCACATGTTATTTGTTTGCAGTAATGATGCTCTGATTATGTTTAAAGATCTTCTATGTTATACACATATGCCATGTTATATGTTATGCCGTGTCATAACATTATTACCCCGTCAAAACAGACCTGGAGTTGCGTTTTGTTTCATTCGCATGTTTGAATAATCCTGCATCATTCATCGATCTACATCTCCAAAGCTCAAAATGCTCTGTTCCACTTTGTGATGTCATGAAGCAGCAGTTTTAAAGTTAGACTAAAAAACAGATATCTTCTACTTTATGTTCAGTAGAGATTGGCTATTCCAGGCCTTAAATTATCCAAATGGTTGTAGTGAAGCTGTATGGAGTTTAAAATGTAAAGCCTAATTTATAGTCATGCATCAAATTGAGAGTTTGCGTCGCCTTGAAGTCCCTCTGCAGAGCGTCTGCGTCGACCGACGTGCACCTCCGAAATGTTGTAACTACACATCAAACTGACGCAGAGACCAGGGAAAGTCAGCCTAAATATTCATTCACACATGTTAAACAAAACACAACTCCTGGTTTGTTTTTGACGAGGAAACAACATTATAACATAGATCAGAATATCTGTCCTCTAACTTACCCTGGTTTGTTGCGGGGCATGTAGAGGGAGGAGATCTGCTGCCACTTTCTGTTTGAGGGCGTGTGGACAGAGTCTGGTTCGGTGTCGGTGAAGAAGCTTTTGACGTTGCGTTTGGCCAGTTCCCGGGCGTGTTCTGCCGAGTACGAGTCCAAGGCCGAGTTCTCCTCCTGGGTGTAGAGCCTCCAGAACTTCAGCTGGAGGTAACTGACCGGAGACCAGCACCGAGCCACACAGTTGAAGGCCAAGTGGGAAAGGAAGATGGTCGCGATCAGCAGCCAACCCACAATCTGAGGAGAGAGAGGACAGGTGAAACAGGAGCAGACAGGTGCAGAGACAGAGGAGCAGACAGGTGCAGAGACAGAGGAGCTCAAAGTTCCTAATTTCATTACTGACTACTATTAAGGATTTGCCTGTGATTTAATGTTTTGGTGACCGTACTGGAGGTCAAGACTGGGATTATTCAGTTTATTACAATATAATCATGGCGACTCTAAACAGTGCAAATGACATAAAACTGTCTGAAACCGCCAGCTCTTTAGATCAGCCGTCATTAAAAAGGTATAAAGCTAAAGTTTTTTTTTTTAAACTATTCATCATCATTGTTGAAAATCTTGACTTTTCACTTGGAATGTGTAACTTAGTAAACGAACCAGACCAGAATCAGATCAGACCCTTAGACTAGACTCTGCACAATCTGTAGTTTGTATATTTGATATTATAGGCTCGTCTATGAAATCCAAATAATACAAATAATACAATACAAATCTGAATAAATAAAAATGAGATGACAGAAGCCCCACAGCCTCTCCCCCCACAAACCCACAGCGGAGCAACGCTGCAACATCGGCCCCACCGCTCAATAGACGCTCCACGCCGCTGTTCCCATCCTCCCCACCAATAGCGCCAACTCCGCTGCACAACATGCGCATGTGCAACGACGCCATCGGCCGCACAGGTGTGGACACGGGCCACAGAACCCCAGGTAACAGCGCCCAAGCACGACACTGCCCAAAAGTCCCAGTGCGAGTGCGTCGCTAGTACAGCAGGTGCTGGGACAGACAGTCGCGCTGACTGGACGTCCCTGAGCAAATCCCGCACCTCAGAAAAACTGTTGTGTGTCCTGTGTGTTATATACGTTTATTATTTATCCGATACCTGATCGGACCATAACGGCCGAGTCCGGATCGAGTCCGCAGTGATCAGATAGGGACAACCCTACTATACACTATACAAAAATACTATTTTGGACCAACAGAAAGTAATTAGTTGGATAAACATTACAATCACATTTCATGGACTTGTCACAAAGAACCAAAAGCAGTTTTCTAAAGCCTGGACAAAGCAAAATCATCACCACAAACCTGTGACTCTGCTTTGAGCGTGAGGAGCACCTCGTCTCTCTCGTCTTTAGGCACTTTTCCACCTTTTTCCACAGGGGAATGTGTGTAGCTCCTTTAAACAGTCCGCCTCCATCTCCCTCCCTTTGCACAAATGATCGTTAAACAGCGTCATGTTGGTCCCTGTCATGGCGCACTGGATGTAAACCCCATTCAGAAGAGCCACTGCAATCCAGGTGCTCGGAGCCAGGAACGCAAACGTCGAAATCTGAAAGATCACATTTATAAGAGACTTCACTCTACTGCAGCTGCCACACACTCTCTCCTCTCTTCGACACAAACCCGTCACCAATTTCCATGTTTTCTTGGACAAAATAAAACCAAGAGTGATCAACGCCAAAGCAGGAACAAGCAAAAACACAAAGCCATACAAGAAGTTGAGTTGGTTGCAGGGGCATTGGAAAGCCACACTGGAGAAAATCTGTTCACTTCCTGCAGTGAGTAACGCGACCAGGCCGAAGCTGACGCTGGTCTGCTTGTTGGCGATGTTGAGGATGGTTTTAAACTTGTCCATTTCGCTGCAGAGGTGAGACAAAAGCTACAGTCGGTTCTGTAGTGGCTTAAGCTGTGGCTGTGTCTTCCTCTTTTGAGTTGAAACCCTCACCTCCCCTTCCCTAAAATGAGGGCACAAACACTTTTGGTTTCGTCAGCCAGGGGAACTACAGTGTTGCCTAAACAAAAACTCAAGTACACTTCAAAATGTCACTGTTCAGATGTAGTGTCCACTAACTACTTGCTTGCTGCGAAACAGTGAAATATTAAGCATCTTGTGTATTTTTGTTGCTAAAAATACCTTCCTTAAAACATGTTTTCTTGCTGTGAGCAGGCCCGCCTCTTCACAGATCAGACTTGTAACTTAATCGGGTTGCACCACCTGCTTGAGTTGGCAAAAACAAGAACAGAAAAACTCCCTGGAGACAACTGGCAGACCCTCCACTATTTAAAAATACAAAAAAATGTTCTGAAATGTGATTTTTGTATTAGTTTGTCACTTCATATTTCAGTATTTTTGTCTGGAACTGTTTAAAATATGAACTTTGAGCAGAAACTTATTATTAAAACATAAATCGAATCACAATTGGGTCATTCCACGCCATTTCATCAAATTTCCAGAAAATCTCATGCATCATGTTTTTTAAAGATTTTGAAAAAATGACCAGCTGGTCCCTTACTATCATGTACTATCTAAAATACATATGTTTGGTACCATATGAAAGGTCTTTTTCTGGTCTTTCAAGAAAAAATTATTCCAAATTTTTTCATCACTACCCACATGCCATAAATTACATGTGAAAATCTGACCATGTTGTGTTTTCTTGTTTTTAACAGGACCCTCACACATACTATAACTATTTCAAATTTTCAACATTTGGTGATTTTTTTTAACAGTCCGAGTACATATCTTGATTCTCAAAAAAATTCACGGTTCTCCGACATCTACAAGTAGGTTTAAAAAGGGGCTAAAAATGGTACACTACAGAAATGAACAAGTTTTTTTTTTTTTTTCATATTTAAGTTCATATAAAATGACAATGAGTTGAGATACCAAACTTTTGATAGATGTTTTTTGAACACAGAGTAGAGGAGAATAGGCCTACAAAATTTCAGGCCTCTATGTGTGATACTTACGGAGATATCGACCTGTGAAAACAGCCAAGAAAATATGACGTGATTTTGGGCCTGTAACTTGACACATACCTCCCTCACTAAATGAGCTGAAACTTAAAAAGTATTGATCGAAAATGACTAAAACTTCACAGGGTTGGTACATGGGAGTAAGGGACTAGTTGGTAATTTTTTCAGAGTTTTTGAGATGAAGTGCGTGGGCCATTTGTTGAAAAGGCCTGGAATGACCCAATTGCAATGCTTGTAGGTTGTCAGAAAAAATGTAATGAGATATTTTTCCATTTAGTTCAGCAGCTCTAAATTCAAATCATGTTAACTAGACTTCTCTTGTTTATTGGTTTAGTCCTGGTTAGGGCCTGGTTTAGTCCTAGTTTAATTCTGGGGTCTTCCTGATTAAGAGCCAGTTGGTAATGTCTAGATCTTGTTTAATTCTGGTTCAATAGTCCTACTGGATTGACAATTCTCGAGGGCAAAGTTTGCCTTTTGCATTTCATTTTTCAAACAATCCAATAGGCCTAGCAGTTTTGTTATATCACTATTGAAACAGATCTGGTGTTCAGATCTGGATTTTTTGTGACCCCAACGGCCCTCAGAAAAATCTGGCCCTCAAGAAAATGTAGTTAGGGTGATCAGATGTCCCAGTTTTGAGCCCTGTGTCCCCTGTCCCAGTGGATTTATCCAAAAGCATTGATTTGTCCCAGTTTTATACAAGACATGTCCCTGATGTCTCTATTTTTTACCAATGTGATACCTGCCAACAGTAAAGAGAGGAATATAGAGCTCCTGGAGCTGACGTCATACCGGCTCATCACGCACTAAGTGTCGCCATTTTGGCAGTAATCAGCAGATCGGCTGACTCGCGCTGTACGACTCCAGCACAATAACAGATTGTTGTCCAGACGCAGCTGCGATTCATTTCTGAATTATTTTGCCAACAATTTTCCAACACAGAGAATGTAACACACGAAGATCAGAGCAAGTACCAATGTGCGAACACGTGGCTCCAGAGTGACTCAAAACTGGGGGTGTGTACGTCTGTTCAGGACCTGCCTGCACAGAGAGGTCCTGGGGTTCCCCATGTTCACGTAGCAACCAGCATTTGTTATTTTAGGCTTATAATTAACCAAATAATTTTATGGCAATAGGCAATAGCCTATTCAATTGATTCGACTTTAAAAATGCCACGCTTTTAGCCTAGTGTGAGAAATACAGTCGGATTAGATCCAAACCAGAGTCCTGAACCAGCAGAAGCAGCTCCGGTTCAGGCCGGGCTCAGAGGAGCTGGAGCGGGGAGCGGTGTCAGGAGCCTCGACCTGAGGAAGCGCGTTTCCCCTCGGGAAGAACCAAGAGCACGAACGCTCAGAACAACATATAACCAACCAAACTGGACTCACACTTCTGTCCGGATGCTGCGTCACATCGGAACCAGACACGGTTCTTGATCGCGGAGGACAGGAGCAGCCGTCCGGACCTGTTGTCCACAGCACATTCTCACTTTCCCCGCACAGAACCAGCACACAGACAATGACACGGAACCGCTTGGACCCAGTCCATCAAGCACTGGTCTTGCTCACTCCCATCTGGAACCAGCACATGGAGGACGGAGCCTCTGGACCATCTGACCAACACGCTCGGAAGACCAGACCAAGGACCAGACCTCAGCCCCGTCCTGAGCGTCTGAGCTGCGGTGAGTTCCTCTTTACCGCTGTTGGCTGCTGCTGTTTCCCGACCTCAGAGCTTCTGCTCCGGGCTGATGTACGGTGAGTTTGTACAAAGTTCTACATGTTGCTGTTTTATGAGTTCATGACACTTGAGATGAGGACGGTCCGTGGTCTTAACAGGGAACATCGGTGTTGATAGTTGGAGGTATCGCTGTTCTACCGGGAAACAGAGGCTCGTCAATCGGACCAATTTTGGTTCGTTTGCCGGTGTACTGCAGATCTGGGACGTCTTCTTCAGCAGAAATCATTTTTAAAAAGCACCCCGGGGGCATTATACGGGTCGGTAATGTTTTAATCGGTAATTTTTTTAAATATAAAGTTCAATGTCTTGTGAATTAAAGTGAGCTGTGTACTCCGATGGCTTGAAAGCTTCAGCGGTGGCACTATCCATTTTACTGCCAAAATGGCGGCTCGCCCACCGTGAGTCACGTGGGGTCCGGAGCTCTATATTGTTATTTGTTTAGGTAAACTACAGAAAAGCTGCTTTAAAACGACTAAAACAGAAAGTAAATGTGACTATACTGACTCACATGTTAGTTATGAATGGGTCGGGTGCAGAGCAATTTTCCTTAATTATGCACTTGTTTCACAATTTTATTATTACCAAAAACTCCAAACTGGGAGGGTGACCAGATTTTCAAAATTCTAAACTGGGACACACTTGGGTTGGGATGGTTGATATAATTAAAATTGTGAAAAGAGCACGTAACATTGTGCATTCTCACGTCAGCCATAATCAGAAGAGCTTCTGTCACTGCATTTTTTTTATTTTTTTTTTTGCTTTATGGTCATTTGCAAACACGGTTTCTGTATTTTGGCTAAAGAAATTACAATGTTTGCTCCTATTTACTGTTGGCAGGGATCAGATTAGTCAAAAATTGTGATTGTCCTGTTTTAGTCCTGGTTTAGAGTTGAGGTAGTCTTGGTTTAGCCCTGTTTGTCCTGGTTTAGATCAAATTGGTCAAAAATAGGGACATCTGAGACATTTCTTGTATAAAACTGGGACAAATCACTGGTTTTGTATAAATCTGACGGGGCAGAGGACACAGGGCTCAAAACTGGGACTGTCCTGGATAAATAGAGACGTCTGGTCACCAGTGTTGGGAGTAACGCGTCATAAAAGTAACAAATTACTGTAATGTGTTGCTTTTTGCTGTAACGCAGTAATGTAAGGGTATTACAAGGGAAAAAATAATATTTTACTCAGTACAAATGTCAGTAACGCACGTTACGATGCATCTTTAACCTGGATTGAAGTGGTGGGTTTTTCATTTTTCTTCATACAAATTCACTAAAATCACCACGATATCAGCAGCGGTGAAACGCCGGAGACGCACCCACGTAGACTGTGAGGTGACTGCGGGCAAAAGGACCAACGGAGAACTCCACGCACTACGGGGACAACTGCATCTGATGCCCGATTGTGCTTTGCAGAGTACAAGTACTAGTACAAGATTAGTCCTGGTTTGGTCCTGGATTAGTTTTGATTTAAATCTGGTTCAGTCCTGGTTCAGTTCTTGTTTAGACCTGTTTTAGTCTTGGTTCAGTTCTGTTTTAGTCCTGTTTTAGTCCTGTTTTAGTCCTGGTTCAGTCTGGGTTCAGCTCTGATACAGTCCTCCTCGTTCAGTCCCTGGTTCAGTCCATATACGGTGCAAATGTTCAGCATCTTCACAGTTATTTTTGTGAGAGTAACTTAAAAGTAATGCAATAGTAATTTAATGCCTTACATTTTAAATACAGTAATATTGTAATGTAACGAATTACTTTGAAATGACAGTAATAAGTAATAAATCACACATTACAGTTTTAAAGTAACTTGCCTAACAGTGCTGGTCACCCTACAATCCCAGTTTTTTTATTTTGAAAATCCGGTCACCCTAAATGTAGTTGAAATAGGCCATTCTATTCTATTTTCCACAGGGGAGTGTGTGTGTCCTTTAAGCAGTCCGCCTCCAGCCCAACACATTTTCGCATTCACCTCCCGTGTTGATGTAGTTCCAGCCGGCGCCCGCTACAACTTGCGGCGCTGCGCCGCTGTTTAAACCCTGACCCTGCCTCCTCCACACACGAAGAAGTCACCGAGCGGAGCGGCTGCGGTTAGCTTAGCATGGTTAGCATCTTCTGTTTCTGATGCTTTTTCTCCCAAATCTGTTCTCACTTTTAACAATTAATCACCCTGACAACGGGACAAAACCGTAACCTCACATTTACGCACGTACAGTCGGGAACTGGGATCGAAAACGGGCTTTGAAATGGCAGAAAACACCGGTAAGTTGGTGCTAAACGCTAGCCACTTAGCATTTCCAGGTCAAACTGTGCTAATAGATGTTTTTATCAATATTTACTTCTACATTTAAACGCTTAAATTAAACAGTATTGTCCTATTCCTTTAATGTCATATTAGAGTCGGTTAAATTCCTCTTTACATATTTTATTTTCTATAAAAGTGAGTGTAATTGTGTATTAAACGTTCTGTATTTAATCATAAATCTTATATTTTCCGCTTAAATCTTTCCCTGACAAAGAAGAGCGATTATCCGAGCTGCAGCCAAATGTTGACAACAAATTTCACTTGTGCTGTTTTATTCTTTTATCCGTTCTTTCGGTCAGAAATGTCAGATTTGAACCCGTTAAAGAAGTAAAAGAGGCTGAAACGGTGACGCTTCAGGATTTAAGTAAGAAGAAAATTGACAAAAACTTATATTTTGGTCTTTTTTTTTTTTTTTTTTTTGTCAATGTCTCAGGTTACAACAGATTTGAATAGTGACCGGGTTTACAAGTCCAACTATTATTTTAATGTGGTGTGGAGGTTTTATACAAACTTTATTGATCCACGAGGGAAATTATTATTATGGCAAAACGACTTTTTTTTTTTTTTTTTTTTAGATCGTACTGTACTCCAGTGTACACAGCTCAACTATGGTGTAATTACAGCAAAGCAAAGATGAATAAGATCAAGGTGTCATATAATGATGCTCTCAGAATACTGCAGAATATGTTCCAGGCTCTAATGAGGAACCTTAGGTATAAATTTATGTGTAGGTTAAATGAAGCAAGAAATTGAATTAAAGTGACTGTGTGTGTGTGTGTGTGTGTGTGTGTGTGTGTGTATTGTGGGTGTGTGTCTATCTGTGTACAGCTTGGACCCTGAGTCTGTAAAAAAAGTTATATATTTGGACTAGGGATGGGCATTCGATGAAATTTTCTTAATCGATCGTCGGAAGAATTAACGATCGATTATCGATTAATCATTAACGTTTTCATATTAAAATGATCATCATTATTATTACTATCTGCACTACTAATCTGCATAAATAAATTCAACTTTACGACATATAAACCGTAACGACTCTAGAGCCACATCAGCCCGTTTGACATTATAATGTGTTTAATTCAGTTTTGCGCAACTCTCACAGAAACGAAACTTAAAACCGCATCGCTAATTTGCATAAACTAAGCGAAGATAAAACTACAGCTCTTGTGTCGATGATGTGGTTCAATTTCTGTCGGATTAAAAGACACGACTCAGTGGAATACAGGTTAGTGTGAACATATTTGCGTTTGTCAAAACCAGGACATCGTACGGGGGGAGATAGGTGAGGACTCGTCATCGACATTGAGCGACTCTCACCTGGTAAAACTTTTCCCCACTGGACACGAAACATATGTGCTGCTTTGTACATTGTGCACATGGACTCACACTTGTCCCGAACGCAACGGAAAGCGTGGAATTTCTTGTACAAATCATCATTAAATACACATTTGTGCTTCGGTACGTTGCAGACTGACTGACTGTTTGTGTCTCGCTCCTTCTGAGTGCAGAGACACATGTACGGACCCTTGTTTGGTCACGCTGCACACAACAACCTACATTCAGTTTGTCGATTAAAATTAACGTAATCAATGAAATTCTTAATGATCAATTATCAATTAATCATGCCCATCCCTAGTCAAAACGACTCTTTTTTTTTTTTTTAGATCGTACTGCACTCCACTGTACACAGCTCAACTATGGTGTAATTACAGCAAAGCAAAGATGAATAAGTTTAAGGTGTCATATAATGATGCTCTCAGAATACTGCTGAAGAAGACTCCAAGGTGGGAAAGTGCTAGTGCTTTGTTTGTGACTGCAAATATTCCCACGTTCCAGGCTCTAATGAGGAACCTCGTGTATAAATTTATGTGTAGGTTAAAATGTGTGTGTGTGTGTGTGTGTGTGTGTATATATTGTGGGTGTATGTCTCTCTGTGTACTGCTTGAGTCTGTAAATAAAGTTATATATTTGGACACAGGAGCTCACACATCACAATATAATATAAAATAATAACAAAGAGTGAAAAATATAAATGGTAATAATGAATTCTAAATAAGTATCACACAATATAGCAAGAGACATGTGTTCAATAAGACGTCATTATATAAATGTAAATGTACAAGTCTAAAATAACGTAGAAAAATAAGTTATAAAATATTCATGTTTTACAGTTGTAGGGAGTATTATCTGTTACATTAAGATGAGTTGTACAGTTGTAGGGAGTATTATCTGTTACATTAGGGTGAGTGTTGTACAGTTGTAGGGAGTATTATCTGTTACATAAAGGTGAGTTGTTGTACGGTTGTTGTAGGGATTATTATCTGTAACATGGGGCAAGTTGTTGTACAGTTGTAAGGGGTATTATCTGTTACATTAAGATGAGTTGTACAGTTGTAGGGAGTATTATCTGTTACATTAGGGTGAGTGTTGTACAGTTGTAGGGAGTATTATCTGTATTGTTGTACAGTTGTAGGGAGTATTATCTGTAACATGGGGCGAGTTCTTGTACAGTTGTAGGGAGTATTATCTGTTACATAAGAGTGAGTTGTTGTACAGTTGTAGGGAGTATTATCTGTTACATAAGGGTGAGTTGTCATTAATATCATAAAATATTAAAATGCAAGAACCTGGAGGAGCTTTTATTTATTTAATCACATTGTGCAGGATCAGGAAATGCATGTTTTGTTTTGTTTGTTTTTTTTCAACATTAACATAAAAAATAAAATAAGTACTGTATAATAAACATAATAAATAAATAAATATTATATAATTGAAAAAAAAATACAGATAAAATAAAAACTGTAAAACATAATACAGTAGAATTAAAAAAAAAAAAGAAATTGGGTTAAAATTATATTAAGTATGCATAGTATGTCATTTATTTTGCTCTATGTAAATATTTGTAAAGTTTTTTGATCAGTGGACATAAGATAAGAAGAATAATTTTTCATTTGTGACACAATGTAATGAACAGGAGCGGGTTAATATAAGTGTTTTTCTTCTTTCCACTCCTTTTCAAGAAATGTGCTTTTCTGTTGTTGTATGATTATTGTTTCTCTCTTGGCACAAACTTGAAATAAAAACGAATCAGTCAGTCAAAAAACATGATCAGGTTATGGTTTTATTCTATTTTCTCAGCTGGTTTTCACTTCATCTTCTCTTGTTTCTTCCTCAGAACAAAACGAGACCAAACACGACGGCTCTTCTCCCGGCATGACGGACCAAGAAAAAGAAATGGCTGCCAGCGCCTACGAAGCCTTCACGGTGACGCTTTGGTTTTGTTTGATTTACCAGATTAACGATAGAATCCCAACTCCTGATTTTCAACATTTTTAATCTCACAATCCAGTCAATAATTACTTCGGACAAAATGTTCTAGTGAATCAGTAGTAGGTCATTTCTACATTTGTGCGTTTACGTGCGCGTCAATGTCCTGTAAACACCACTTATCCCGTGGTGTTTACCTGCGTTCAGAGAAACCAGGATACTCATGTTCCTGTGTACATGTTACATCAAAGTATCCTGGATATTTAGAGCGGTTGCAAACATAGTTAAACATGTAGAAAATGTGCAAACTTAAGGGTTTTTAACAGGTTTCTAACAACAACAGCAAAAAAGAAGATGTATGCTCAAGTAAGAACATGAGACTATGGAGCTCTGTTACAGCTTCAGTAAAAGGCGTTTTTAACAGCTGAGAAATACGACACAGTGTCATAGCGTCAGTTTGGTTCAAGAGCAACACAAACAGACTTTATAAAGTGTTTGACATCAACACTGTGGATTAACAACTTCTTATTTTAGTCTACAACACTGTTATATTTGAAATAACTCTTGACTATGTTGAAACATTCTGGATTTTCTTTACTCTACTCAAAACACCAACACTGAATTTAACACTTTTGAGTAGACTGCTTTAGATTGTTTAAGTATAAAATATTATCGTATTTTTCTGACTATAAGTCACTCTGGAATATAAGTCGCACCGGCCAAAAAATGTGTAATGAAGAAGAAAAAACATGTATAAGTCGCACTTTTTGGGGGAAATTTATTTTATAAAATCAGGGACCAGGAATCCACATTTTATCTTGAAAGGCAAGTTATAGTAATAATAACAATAGAATAAAGGACAACAGGCTGAATAGGCGTTAATATGTTAACGTAACATAATAACAGTTCTTCAGATAACTATAGCATAAACGACAAAACATAAATTGACCAAACTCTCCATCTCACTCGAAATCACTAAATCCATTGAATTCTTCATCCTCAGTGTCACTTCTGAGCAACTCCGCTCAACTTCAGTTGTCACTAAAGTCTGTGCTTTGTCATCCAGTGACTTCCAGGAAAGTTTTATGGTGCATCCTCCCAGTTACCGTGGAGCTGTGTTCTCCATTCCCGCTTTCCGACAGTCCCTCACAAGTTTCTCACACACTCCAAATTTTCTTTCTGCTGCTTGATTACCGTTTTCTGCTGCATATTTCACTACTTGCGGCAGGACAGCGGCTTTTTCTGCAGGAGACGTGCGCAGAAAACTGACACACAAGCCTAGAGCCTCTCGCGGCTGTCAGTCTCGAAATTTTAGTTGCACCGGAGTATAAGTCACTGGACCGCCCAAACCATGAAAAAAAGTGTGACTTATAGTCCGAAAAATATGGTACTTAAAAAGCCCTGGTTGGAGTTTAAGTTGTTTTGGTAAAGCTGTTGCTCCTAATGTTTTTGTTACTTGAATTGGCACATGCTCAGTACAGCTCCAGTTTGGAGAACTCACTGCATCTACAGGCCACAGTGTCCTGGATACTCTCAGAAAAACTCCGTGAGAGTCTCCTGGTTTATCATCACCGGGATACTGGCTCATCGAGGATACTCAAATTAGGACACTCCCAGAACCAGGATACAAAAACCTGATCATAAAACCATGACACTCATAGTAGCAGTAGTAGTAGTAGTAGTAGTCTATTCAGTCATTTTTAGTTCTACTTCAAAGCAAAATATATGACGCCAAACCCTTTAAACAATGACAGAATTCCAAGAAAGAAAAGCAGCGTATGAACAGCAAGTTTGCATTTACAATTTCATTACGACTTACTCTATATATAAGAGATAAATATAAATTTAAATATAAATACTTACTATAAACGCACTCTATGTGTTGCATTACTTCACGTGTTTTTGTTCCTTCTCCGTTTTGACTCATTACTTCAGTATTCATCTAGTCTGACAATTATTTTTTTATTATGCTTTTTGGATTCTCTATGAAACTGTGTGTACTGAGCAGAATTTATATTTATTGTGTCTGCAGTACACAAATTAATCTCTAATAACTACTGACAGAATTAAATTTTCTTTCCTATTGATGTTGGATTGCTGAGAGATTGCACAGACAATTTCTAAAACTGCACTGTATGTGTGTAATGTTTTGTGGTGCGTTTATGGCAGGCTGGGAAATACGAGGACTCTCTGAAGCAGCTGGACGCGCTGCAGGAGCTGAACAAAGAGGACTACAAGATCCCCATGAATCGCGCTGTGGTGGAGTTTTATAAGAGCGGACAGACCACCACAGGGACCCTCAAACAGACGCTGCTCATGATGAAGAACCAGGTACGGCTCACGGCACAACTCCCTCACGTTAGGAGCTAAATTTACTTTGAATGTAAACTAAACTAGGGGTGTCCCGATCACATTTTTTTGCCTCCGACTTCGAGTCTGAGTCATTTGATTTTGAGTATCTGCCGATGTTTTATAGAAGTATCAGATTGGGACCAATCTGATACTTCTATAAAACATTATGAAATGAACTAAGAGCAAAGAATAAGATCCACGATGTTTGCAGGATCAGATTGTGTTGATTTCATGTGTAATAGTTGGGCTGAACTTGTGAAAAATCAAATGTCCAAAACTTAAATTTTATTAACTTTTCTAACCATGAACCATCATTGTTGAAAATCTTGACTTTTACCACAGTCTGGTCTTGGAATGTGTAACTTAGTAAACTTAATGAACTGAACAAAATAGGAACCAGACCAGAACCAGATCAGACCTGAGACTCGACTCTGCACAATCTACAGTTTGTAGATTTGATATTATATGGAAGCATGTGCATTATATTTTAAACATTTAGGCTATGTCTAAATATGAACTCCAAATAATGCAAAATCTTACCAATTAAAAACGAGATGACAGAAGCTTCACAGCCTCTGTCTCCCGGCCGCCGCCTCTCGCCCACACCACCACCACCACATCCACAAACCCACAGTGGAGCGCAACATCAGTCTCACCACTCAATAGACACTTCATGCCTCTGTTCCCACCCTCTCCGCCAAAAGTTCCAGCTCCACTGCGCAACACGCAAACAAATCGCGCCATGCGACGACGCCATCGGCCGCACAGGTGTGAACACGAACCACAGAACCACAGGTAACAGCGCCCGAGCACGACACGACCCAAAAGTCAGTCGCGCTAACTGGACGTCCCTGAGCAAATCCCGCGCCTCAGTTAAAACGAAAAACAAAACAAAACAGTTGTGTGCTGTGTGTCCTGTGTGTTATATACGTCTATTATTTATCTGATACCTGATCGGAACATAACATCCGAGTCCGGATCGAGTCCGCAGTCACGTGATCAGATCAGGACAACCCTAAACAAGACCATGGCAGTGAAAAAACAAAAATGAATGAAAAAATTAAATGGAAAAAGTCTAAATCCTTTTCCGTTCATCATGTGAAAAACAAGCAAATCAAAGTGGTGGAGCAATTACAATATTTGGCGGTAGTGCTGAATAAAGCTTATTAAAAAGTTTGTAACACAGTGAAAAACAATTTATCCATCTTTAGACACACAGGAAATAAAATCAAGTTTATCTGGGTGATAATTTGCATATATATCATATAAACGATTGCATTTCCAGTTGGTCTCACGGTGAGGAAACATTAAAACCTCTCAAAGCTCTGTATAATCCGGCAGTAAAAGAGCTAAACAAACCACTGAGGCGTCTTTACTCTCAAATCCTTACAAAATATAAAATGTTAAACTTTGGGAATTTGATCATGACTGTTTTGGTTTTGATTGGTCTCTGTCCTCAGATGCACTCGTCTGCGGAGGACGTGGACGGGCTGGACGATGTGGAGAACTGTATGTTGTATTATAACCAGGCCATCGTCCTGTACCACCTGAGGCAGTACTCCGAGGCCATCGCCATCGCCGAGAGGCTCTACCAGTTCCTCGAGCCGTTTGGTACGTTTGGGTTCACACGTCTGACGCACAACACAGAGCTTTAGTCCTACTTTTAGTCCAGCTTTTAGTCCTGCTTCAGTCATGCTTCAATCTTGCTTCAATCTTGCTTTAGACCTGCTTTAGTCGTGCTTGAGTTCTACTTTGGTCCTAATTTTTCCTTCTTTTAGTCCTGCTTTAGTCCTGCTTTAGTCCAGTTTTAGTCCTGCTTTAGTCCAGTTTTAGTCCTGCTTTAGTCCAGTTTTAGTCCTGCTTTAGTCCAGTTTTAGTCCTGCTTTAGTCCAGTTTTAGTCTGCTTTAGTCCAGTTTTAGTCCTGCATTAGTCCTGCTTTAGTCCAGTTTTAGTCCTTCTTTTAGTCCTGCTTTAGTTCTTCTTTTAGTCCTGCTTTAGTCCAGTTTTAGTCCTGCTTTAGTCCAGTTTTAGTCCTGCTTTAGTCCAGTTTTAGTCCTTCCTTTAGTCCTGCTTTAGTCCTGCTTTTAGTCCTACTTGAGTTCTTCTTTCAGTCCTCTTTCAGTCCTCTTTCAGTCCTCTTTTAGTCCCGCTTTAGTCCCGCTTTAGTCCCGCTTTAGTCCCGCTTTAGTCCAGTTTTAGTCCCGCTTCAGTCCCGCTTCAGTCCCGCTTCAGTCCTGCTTTAGTCCTGCTTCAGTTCTTGTGCATAGTTTTGTCACGGTGTTATTTGCCCTAGAAGAGAAGTTCGCTCTGTCGGTGAGCTTCCTCCTGGTCGACTTGTACCTGATCACGTTTCAGCCGGAGAAGGCCCTGCACCTGCTCACGGTTCTGGACAAACTCAGCGTCCAGGGAGGAGGAAAGAACGGCAAAGAGGTCCGACATGCCCACACAAATATCTCAATAAAACTAGATTCAAACGCGAAATACATGAAACCCACAAATCTTTACAATTCTATTTTTTATAGTTTATTATAGCGTTTATTTACATTTTAATCAAGATCCAGATTCATATTTTTTTTTGTCAATAATCAGCGTCTTTTATTCAGTAAAAATAAGGGGTTTAGATCAGATGGAAGACTTGGACTAACAAAGAGAAAATAAATACGGAGCGCCATTTTTATATTATTTAAAAGACAAAATTGAGTAGAAATATTCAGATATATTTCAGAGATATTCAATATGAGGACAAAAATGTATGGGTTTACTCGACTTTATTCAGTCCAACTTTCGGTGTTGTGATATAAAAACAACTAATAATAATATTTTGCAGTGACATGACACTAAAATTTCAAAGTTTTTTTTTTTTTTTTGCAGAACCACAATTCAAATAAAGAAGCAGCCAGTCAGAAGGCAGAGTTTGCAGCGATGATGGAAGCGGCCAAGTCCAAAATGCACCAGGTAAAAGTGTGCCTTCAAAATCAGTTTTTTTTGTGTGTGTGTGTTTTCTGTCTAACTCTGCGGTTCTCACTCCCTTTTCTCCTCCAGTACAAAGTCCGGGCGTATATCCAAATGAAGTCGTCCAAGGCCTGCAAACGTGAAATCAAGTCCGTTATGAACACAGCTGGAAACGTAAGTCAGTGGGTCGTACGGGCACAGGCTGATCTTAAAAATACAAATCAGATCTAAAGTGGTCACCTGTCTACGACTAATGCTACTAAAAACTAATGGTGCTAATGGTCTATTACCATATTTTCCAGAGTATAAGTCACACCAGCTAAAAAATGCATAATGAAGAAGGAAAAAACATACATAAGTAGCCCTGGACTATAAATCGCACTTTTTGGAGAAAATGTATTTTATGAAATTAGAGACATAAGAATCATAAGAACAGACATTTCATCTTGAAAGGCAAGTTATAGTAATAATAATAGAAAAGAGAACAGGTGTCTGGTATATGTAGGGCTGTCGCGGTTAGGGAATTTCTCCTGCGGTGCGGTATAGCGGCTCACCCCCTCCCCCACCCCACATCCCCCAGAGTTATTATATTTCCAGCGGCACTGAAAACTCTCTCTGATGATGCACTTGTTGCGCAGATGCACATGTACCTTGGTTGTCACTTGGGTGTAGTGTGTGTAGTGTGGAAGAAGTAACATTTGGCTTTGGAACAAGTGCCGCTGCATCTCTCCAGCTCTCACTGTGGCAGCTCGGGTCAGAGTCCTGCACCAGGTCAGGGTCGGGTCAGGGTCCTGCGCCAGGTTGGGTGTTTCTGCAAAGTGAAATCGGGTGATGGTAGCATTTACCTCGGTTGAATATTTCAGCTTCTGTCTGCAGAATATGAGAACCAGTTTACCTGTATGTGTTAAATGCAGGTGGGTGTGTAAATGACGAGCAGAAATGTCTCAAACTTCAGTAGCCGGACGTCTACTCATACCTGATCGCTACATTTATCCTTGCCCCTGAGAGATTCTGAAATCTGCTGAAATCCTACAACACACTGACATGATACAGACAGAACAGAGGCTCTTTCTGCAGGAGACATGCGCAGTAGAGTGATGTGACAGTGGAACAGGACGAACAGGAGCAGCAGATACTCACACACAAGACTAGAGCCTCTCGCAGCTGTCGGTGTGAAAATAATGAACATGTGAAATGATGTATTTTAATATATAAGTCCCATCTGAGTATAAGTCACAGGAAACACCCAAACCATGAAAAAAATGCGAGTTATAGTCCAAAAAATACAGTAGTTGAAATGTTCCAGAAAGAGAAATGCTGTGCAAATACATCGTAATTACAGTTATGAGAGCTCTTTAATTAAACTCATGAATACTGAACATTTTACACAAATCAACCTATTTTATATCAGATTTGAGCTTTTCTCAAATTCACCAAGTGTGATTTTGTCATAGTGATGCTACAGGAGCCTCTGAATCCTCTTTATAAAACCTCTGACCATTTTCTTTTTTCCAGTCTGCACCGTCGCTCTTCCTCAAAAGTAACTTCGAATATTTACGAGGAAACTACAGAAAAGCCGTGAAACTCCTCAACAGCTCCAACATCGCCGAGCACCCAGGACCCCTCAAGACAGGTCAGAAACTATTACCAGATCCTAACAAAATGATTATTCAGATGTTTTATATGTCTCTAGTATCGACTTTGTGTTCATTAGGGAAACCTAAAAAACTGTCATCTGAATCTTCTTCCTACCAACGCAATTAATAAATAAATAAACACACAATATTCTACAGAAATGTATATATTTCTTAGTTATTATTTTAAATTTTACAGATTCACTTTTTATTCCATACTTGAAACCTAAACTGGACCTGTACTGACATTTCTCGGCACATTTCTGCTGCTTTAATTGATTATTTTGATTATTGTTAACAGGACAACCCCCCCAAATATTCTAATCTAACTTCCATGTGTTCTTTTTGTAATGCATCATCCAGTGCCGTCGCCCTTTAGAGGTTTAGGCGATTCCTTGTTTTGTTTTTTTAGTCCTACAAAATGTATATTAGTCGAATTAAATTATAACGATTAATATGGAACGGCAGCAGAAAGGAGAAGGAATGGAAATTTGGGACTCGATCGTGAGTTTAATCTGCCATTTACAAACAAACACACGGTTTCTAGTATTTTCATGACATGGTAGTGTAGTTTTGTGAGTGAAGTTTAGGTCAGATACACAAGAGTTTTGAGAATTTTTTACTACACCCCCTTTTTAATAAATTAACCAGCAGAGCATGTCTCTAGTCAACTGTTTTGTTGACAGCTTTAGAATTATCGTATCACTCAGAGATGACTTTATTTATGGTAGTAGTAGTAGTAGTGGTAGTAGTAGCAGTATTAGTTGTTGTTGTTGTTGTTGTTAAAGTTTCAGTAAAAGTGGTAACAGTAGTGTGAAAAAGACATGGAAAAAGTTGCAGTAGTAGCAATAGTACTAGTAGTAATTGCAGCAATAGTAGCAATAGTAGTAGCAGTAGTTGTGGTAATAGTGGTAGTAGTAGGAGTACTTGTAATTACGGTAGGTTGTAGTACTAGTAGTCCAAGTAAAGCATTAGCAAAAGTGACACAAGTAGTCTGGAACAATATATATAGGAGGAGGAGGAGGAGGAGCAGTAGTAGCAGTAGCAGTAGTAGTAGGAGGAGTAGTAGTTCGAGCTCAAGAGTAGTAGTAGTAGTAGTTCGAGCTCAAGAGTAGTAGTAGTAGTAGTTCAAGAGTAAAAACATACGAAGTAAGAGTAAAACATGTAAAAACATATAAAGGGTAATAATACTTTGTACATTAGTCTGAAATAGTACTGGTGTAAGCAGTACTTGTAGTAGTAGTGTTTTCAGCTTCTGTTTTTGCTGTGCTGTGTGTTTGTGTTTAAACTTTGCCCCGTCTGCTTCTGTCTGGTCCAGGTGAATGTGTGCGCTGTATGTTCTGGAACAATTTGGGCTGCATTCACTTTGCAATGGGCAAACATAACCTGGGGATTTTCTACTTCAAGAAGGCGCTGCAAGAAAACGACCACACGTGCGCTCAGCTGGGAGACGGAGGCAGCGGACCAGGCAAGTTTTATGTCTGAAAACTTGTGTGAAACAAACAGATGTATAAAACAGATTGAGATGGTGATGTGTGTTTGAATTGGACCCCAAAAGATAACTAGTTTCTAACTGTAATTTTGCATTTTCCACCTTTTTAATTCACCCAAAGTCCTTTCCACACGTGTTTGAATGGGTGAGTGGGTTGTGTGCGAGAGACGGTACAAATCATGCATCTGTTTTCATTCCAGCTAAGTCAGTTATTTAATCTGAGCTTTAATTTAACAAATTTGGGCCATAAGATCTAGGTCCAGTACCTACAATCCATGTATCATTCGTTTTTCAATATAAAACCAAAAATAAGAAAATGAAAAAAACAATTATATTATAACTATTTTCTTCATTATTTGTCTCCAAAACCAAAATGAAAAAATAGATAATGATTTGTTTTTTTTCAGTTTTCAATTTTGTGTTTAAACGAAAAATGGAAAAACGGATAACGGACTGGACCGGGACTGGACCGGGACTGGACCGGGACTGGACCGGGACTGGGACTGAACCATTCTCAGGACTAAACCGTTCTCAGGACTGAACCGTTCTCAGGACTGAACCGTTCTCAGTCCCGGTCTCAGTCCCGGTCTCAGTCCCGGTCTCAGTACCGGTCTCAGTACCGGTATCAGTACCGGTATCAGTACCGGTATCAGTACCGGTATCAGTACCGGTATCAGTCCTGGTGCTGTTCCCAGTCTCAATCCTGGTCTCAGTTCTGGTCTGATCCCAGTCTCGGTCCCAGTCTCAGTTCCGATCCTGGTCCTGGACTCAGTTCTTGTCTGATCCCGGTCTAAGTCCTGATCTCAGTCTCGGTCTGGTTCCGGTCTGGTGCCGGACCTGGTTCAGTCTGTATGCGGTGCAAAAGTCCAACATTGCAGTCACGGAAATCACTGAAATGGGAAACGGCCGTTTTTTCCATTTTTCATTTAAACACAAAATCGAAAACTGAAAAAAACAAATCATTATCTGTTTTTTTCATTTTGGTTTTGGAGACAAATAATGAAGAAAACAGTTGTTTTCTTATTTTTGGTTATTTTTGGTTTTATATTGAAAGACGAATGAACGACACACGGATTGCCTATAGTAAGCGTCAACATTCTCTGGGGATGTGATGATCTCCAGCTGCCAAGCATTAAATTATTGAAGCAATAATTCTCATGACTGAAATGACTAAGCCCCATTTTACCTTTGTCCCTGTGGTGTTTGCAGCTAAGAAGTTCGCAGGGATCCCCATGTGTGCGCTGCTGTCGAACAAACGCTACGAGCTGCTCTATAACTGCGGGATCCAGCTGCTGCACATTGGGAGGCCCCTGGCTGCGTTCGAGTGTCTGATGGAGGCAGTGCAGGTCTATCACTCCAACCCCCGACTGTGGCTACGGCTCGCCGAGTGCTGCATCTGCGCCAACAAAGGGGTACGTATTCAGCCAGGGCCAGGAAGGTGTGGGAGGGTGTGGGTTAGAATCTTGGGCTTTCTGAGTGCAGGTCCAGTGTAACAGACGAGACTATGGTGCCCTCTTATAGTGTACAAATTAAAAAAAGGCATAACAAAATCTCACTTTGTTGCTTTTCGCTGTGGGTTAGACGGCTGCTTTTTAAACTTTCATAAATTTGTGCTTACCTTGTTTTCCGGACTATAAGTTGCTCCGGAGTATAAGTCGCAGCAGCCAAAAAATGCACAATGAACAAGAATAAAACATATATAAGTCGCATTTTTGGGGGAAATGTATTTTATCAAAAAGAAACAGAAAACACACACCAAGATTCCTGCAGAGGTGCAAATACAAGGAGTAGCCAGACCAGGGTGAACAAATGCATAGCACACTCAGTTGGCCGATGTCCAAATACTTTTTTATTAACAAAATAACGTTTCGGCAAAAAAAGCCTTCATCAGATATTTTTCTTGTCTTGGACCACAGCACACAAAATGGTTGCCAGTCCAGGTGCCCATATACCCACTCAATGAATGGGAGGTCCCAAAGTGAGTTCAGCCCATTCTACAACAAGAAACAACAGTTTACATAAAACACATTTAATAAAATACAGAAATAGTTTCAGTCTATCACAAAAAACATCTTAAATCAAACTCCACATTCAGTCCATGAGGAGTAAGAGTTTTAAGATGGTGAATCCAGAAGTGCTCTCTTTTTGACAGGAGCATCTCTAGATTACCACCTCTAGGGGGCAGTTCCACATGTTCAATGCCAATATATCTTAAGGAAGAGATAGGATGGTTAAAATCAACAAAATGAGCCGCCACAGGATAGTTCATGTTTTTACATCTGATTGTACTCCTATGCTCTGCAATCCGTGTTTTTAAAGCCCTGCTTGTTTTACCCACATAAGCTTTACCACAGGGGCAGGTGATTATATAAATCACAGACTTGGTATTACAGGATATAATTCCTTTGATCATCATTTCTTTTCCAGTGTGAGGGAGCTTAAAACTGTTGCAGCGATATGTGTAGTTACACTGACTGCACCACAACAGCGACGATTTCCAACAGGAATAGGAGTCAGTATAGGTTGGTATGATGTGGTTTGATTAGGAGGAAGGTAGGAGTGCACAAGTCTATCTCCAAGGTTTCTTCCTCTTTTATAGACCACTAGGGGGTGCTCTTTAAAAGCCACACCCAATGAATCGTCAGTTTGTAGTATATGCCAATGTTTAGTTATGATGTTTTTAAGTTGTTCCGCGGGTTTTGAGTATCCAGTAGAAAATATAATCCGCTTATTGGCATTTTTTGGAGGGTTGACCCTCAGAAAATCAGATCTAGGTTTTCCTGTAACTTTAGTGGCAGCATCATTTAAAATAGATTTCTTATAACCCCTTTGTTCAAAGTTTGTCATCATATTACTTACATTTCTTTCAAAGTCATCAGTTTTGTGGCATATTCTTTTAAGCCTACAAAATTGGCTGTATGGGAGACTCTTTTTCAATGGAAGTGGATGCTGAGAGTCAGCTCTAAGTAAAGAATTTCGAGCTGTAGGCTTTTTATATAAGTCCGTGTACAGCTGATTACCCTCTCTGATGATCCACAGTCCAAGTCCAAAAAACTCAAGCGCTGTTGATCATAATCCATGGTAAAAGATATATATGAGGAGCGCGAGTTCAGATAAGCAAAAAATGACTCAAGTCTTAATTTAGTACCTTTGAACAAGCAAAAAATGTCGTCCAAATATCTCTTCCATAGACATATGTTTTCTTTGAATTAATTGTCATGATAGATAAACTTTTCCTCAAACAGACCCATGTATAAGTTACAGAAGGATGGTGAGAAAGGGCTACCCATAGGTACTCTGTGTTTTTGAATGTAAAAAGTGGAAATGTATTTTGTAAAATCAAAGACCAGGAACCGACATTTCAAAACAAAAGAACAGAGAGCAACAGACTGAACAGGCATTAATATGGTAATGTCACATATGAACAGTTCTTCAGATAATTATAGCATATACAACAGAACAGAACAAGTTTACCCAACTCACTATCTCACTCCACATCACTAAATCCATTGAATTGCTCATCCTCAGTGTCACTTCTGCGCGGCCTCCAGAGATAAACCATAGATCCATGATGTAAACAGAGCGCCGCTTCCTCTTCTGTGTAGCTGTCGTCAAACTCAGCATCAGTTCCAGTTAGAATTATTCCGGTCTTTCTGAATCCCGACAGGAAGGTTTCGATTGTCATTGAAGTCCAGGCTTTGTCGATTCATCCAGTGACTTCCAGGAAAGTTACATGCTGCACCCGCCCGGTTACCGTGAAGCTGTGTTCTCCATCCCCGCTTTCCGTCAGTCAATCATAAGTTTCTCACTCACTCCAAACTTTCTTTCTGCTGCTCAATTATAGTTTTTGGCTGAATATTTCACTATTTGCAGCAAGACAGTGGCTCTTTCTACAGGAGACATGCGCAGTAGAGAGTGAAATGACAGTAGTACAGGAGTAATAGTAGTACTAGATACTGACACACAAGAGTAGAGCCTTTCGCAGCTGTCAGTCTGAAAATTTTAATATGTAAGTCGCACCGGAATATATGTTGCAGGAAACACCCAAACCATTAAAAAAAGTGCAACTTATAGTCCGAAAAATACGGTAGTTATATGTCCCTTAGGTTTCATTCCTAAAAATGTTTAACCTCGACTGTTCCAGGGCTCAGAGCAGGAGAGTAAAGGCCTGCCCTGTAAAAAGGGAATCGTCCAGTCCATCGTGGGGCAGGGCTACCACCGCAAGATCATCCTGGCCTCTCAGTCCGCACAGAACTCCCCCTACAGGTCAGTGTGTACATCTGCCCGAGGAGCAGGCCTTTATTCGGCTTGACTTGCGCTTGGTTCTGGATATTTAGGAATTAATCTGTAACATATGTTGATGATTCCTTTATGTTTTGTTTGTTGTGAAAGGCAATATTGATCTTAAATGGCTTAATAATACAAACAAATATTAATAATAGGAACAAGATTCTAAGGTAAGTTTTTTCACACGCGTTACTGTGCTCAGGAGCTCCCTCAATGGCAAAATATTTAGTTCTATTTACTTAATTTTTGAGTCAGTTCTTGTTCACATACACTGTGCTTCATTCACCATCATGAGAGGCCATCAGCTGATCGCCGGACGCATCTTCATAACAATACGCTTTAAGGTAACGGAGCCCCGTGGAGACACAGGCAGATGAGCCCTTGTTTCAGAGGACACAGGTTTGGCTGCACAGACTTGGTTGGAGGAGATGTGTTGGGTTGAGCCAAATTGCCCTGTCAGACAAACATGTCAAACAGCATCTCTGCAGCCGTCCAAATGCTTTTACTTTCACCGCAGACTGCACGGTGAAAGGTCAACTCGAGGTCAGCCTCTTCATTATATTGGCTGGACGACCCGTCTGTCAACAGCACCCCCGCCTTGTCCATCAAATTATGCAGCGGTCATCACCAATTGTCAAAGCGATTGTCTTTACCGAATACGTTCTCCTGCTCTATAAGAAACAACTGTATCCATAGAAATCATAGAAATGTCTCTCTGCCAAAATCATCATTTCCAGTGATCTAATGAGCTCGTTCTTTTCACATGCGTCACTGAAAAAACAAACAAATCTGATTTCACGATCACATTTGGCCGGGTTTGTGATGCCGGTGACCAGACTGATACAATCTGTAAAAAAATACAGAGAGACTTCAGTCTGGATTTGTCAGGCATTAGGAACGTGGAAATTGATTCTCTGCAGATGAATGTGTAAAGTTTGTCTCACAAAATCAGTAGAAGTGAACAATGCACAATTTAGATTCGAACTCTTGCAAAACCAGTCACAAACAAAAAATGTTTTATTCACAAATATACATGTGCAAATTTGAATTTATCTGCATAAATCTATAAAGTCAAGTCTGGGATTCGTTTCATTGTTCTTGCTGTGTCAATAAATGAATGAATTTCACCCTATTCATGAGTTTCAAGTGGTGGACCACCCTCCATGGTCGTAGGAATTAAGTCATTCTAATCAAAATATATCTTGAATGGGGACAGGTCCTCACTGGATCTTCAAAATCCATCAAGACGCATCGCACACTCAGCCTCCCAAACACAGACACACAATCACACACACCCAGAGAGAGGAGCTTACCTAACAACAGAAAAGTAACCCTATCAGATCTTTGTCAGATGTGACACAGAATGTTAAAACAAAAAACACACACACAAAATCAATAAATATGTAAATGAATTTCAAAGGGACGATAATACTTAACACAACAGCTATAGCTCTCACTGTTATTATCTAGCACAATCAAATCACAATAGTTAAAAAATAAGATAATAAAAATAAAAATAAAAGTCTACCACACTTGGATCTAATGCTCTTATGCTGCCTAACTAACTAAAGACAACATAATTTGCTTACTTATTGTTGAAAAATGAAAACAGGTTTTAGTATTAAATGTTATAATAATGTCTTGTTAAAATCCTGCAAGAAAAACTGTAGGCTAGGTTATCTTTTTTAAGTTAAAGTTTAGACTATTGATAGCACATAGACAGACCTTTAATTATTTCTCCCTTTATGAGATTAGATAAAAAAAATACAACACCAATCTGGATGTGATGTAACAAGTGTATCTGTAGTAATTTATTGGAAAAACATTTTTAGAATAGCTTAGTATAATTTCAGAATTACAATGCAACTGCAACGTAACTTTTTGTGTACATTGGTAAAATATGTCCTACCCACTTTTGGCACACTCTATTAAAGTGTTTAAGATATTGTGTTACAATTTTAAGCTTTTAATACAATAAAAAGCTAGACCTACGGCTGTGACTGTCCAGGAGGTTATTTCAGTTTGGGGAAATGTGCATCTGCATAAAATAAGAAGACTCCAGCATGTAGAGGCTGAGTGAACTGAGTCTGGACTCTGTGGAGGAGTCTCATATTTTGATCTTGAACACCGTAAAAGGACAGAACCCCTGCGCTGTGGTCCAGGTAAACCCCGATTCTGGGTCTGAACGGACCTGATATATTGGCCTCGACATTGTTAAACATAAATGAGTAATAAAAATCTCTGCCAAGGTCTGAGGCCCAGGATTCACTGCTACAGTCTAAGGCCCAAGATCGATCATTGTTTCCAAACACACAGTCTCTCCCAGTGTCTGTGTAAGCAACTGCTGCTCGAATCATACACCCGCTCCACTCCAGCTCCCAGTAACAGCGGCCTGTCAGCTCCTCTCGGCTCAGGACTTGTCTGAAACTGAATCTGTTTGGATGATCTGGATAATTCAGCTTTTCTTCCTCATCTGTCACTCTAGTGTTTCTATCAGAAAGAGACAGATGTGTCCACGCTGTGTCGGGGTCCAGGGTGATGTCCCGTGCGTATCTGAGGAAGTCCTCTCTGCAGCGAGGCTCAGGGCTCAGGTCCTCTTGGTTTTGAACTATGGCCTTCTCCAGAATGAGCTGGAGTTTGTCCCTGAGCGAAGACACAGCTCTGGACACGTCCTCAAAGTCCTTCCTTGGTCCGATCTGGATCCTGAACTCTGTGTGCTGTGAGTCTGTGTCCAGAAGGGGGCAGTGCAGTATAAACTGGTTATGATCCTGGGTGAGGGCCAGTGCGTCCAGCTCAGAGAGGCTCCTCTTCAGCTCACTCACGTCCTGCTGCAGTTGATCCTGGAGCTCTTGGACTTGGCTCAGTTGGGTCTCCTCCTGGGAACGGATCTGCCCCTCCACTTCTGAGCGTCTTTTCTCCAGGAGAAGGGCCATCTGTGTGAAACTGTCCCTGCTTTGCTGTAGCGCTCTCTGGGCAGAGCGGCTGATGTCCTGGGCCTCCTGTTGGAGATTCTTCAGGTCGGTTTCTTTGTGCTGGAGGCTCTGGAGCAGCAGGGCCCTCCTGGCCGGCAGCTGTGCCTGTCTCTGGGCTCTCTCTGAGGCAGAGGACAAGGTCTGGTGGGTCTTGTGGTGCTCCATGCAGCAGATCACACACAGGAGCTGCCCGTCAGTGCGGCAGAACATCTTCTTCACCTCGTTGTGCTCGGAGCACAGCATCTCCTGGAGGTGGTGTGAGGGCTCCACGAGCTGGTGTCTCTGTAGCGCTGCAGCATCGTGATGAGGCTGTAGGTGCTTCTCACAGTAAGAGGCCACACACTGCAGACAGGAGCGTACTGCCTTCAGCTTGCTCCCAGTGCACAGGTCACAGCTCACATCTCCAGAAGCAGCGTAGCAGCGGTCAGCAGGGGACGCTGTGAGTCCGCTTCTCCTCAGCTCCTCCACTAAACCTGCTAACATGGTGCTTTTGCCTGGGACGGGCCTGGGGCTGAAGGTCTGCCTGCACTGAGGGCAGCTGTAGACCGGCCTCTCTGTCTCCTCTCTGTCCCAGTGACTGTGGATGCAGCTGCTGCAGTAGCTGTGTCCACAGGGAATAGTGACCGGCTCCTTCACTTCCTCCAAACACACGGAGCAGCTCAGAGCCGCCGGGTCCACTGTGCTCTGCGCCATTTGTGCCTCTGAGAGAGAAAGAGAGAGGCATTTCCTCATAACAAACTCAAACCTCCTCAGTCACACACGTCACACACGTCACACATGTGACTGAGGAGGGAGAGGGTCATGGGACAAACGGGTTGTTCAGCTCACTCATCTCCACAGTGAAACTATGAACTGAACTTTGCAGAGTTTCGACTTGAGCTCAGCACCTGAGGGACCCACCTCCTCACCCACCTGTCCCCAGAGACACGGGCCAAAGAGCAAAGAGGCGTGCAAGAAAACCAGGAGTAATGAACTAATACACTTAAATTTAATAATAATAATAATAATAATATTCTGGATATTCTTAAATAATGCAGATTTGGAAATATTTTATTTTACAGTTTTTATTGTAATAATGTCTGTTCACTAATAAACTAATTTCACGCTCCTTATGACTCATGACCGTGTTGTGTTTGTTGCAGTGAGGGTCAGTCTGCAGCGATCCCTGTGGCCAGTATGGAGTTTGCTGCCATCTGCCTCAGAAACGCGTTACTGTTACTCCCAGAAGATCAGCAGCAAGACGCCAAAACAGACAACGGGTCCAAGTGCTCCAGTCAGTCCGGCAGCACAGAGAGCGGCAGCGAAAACAGCGACGCCTGCAGGTCAGAACATCTCCTACAGCTCCTAACTTTCACACAAAGCACCAGCAGGTCTGTAACAAGAGTGTACCACGAGAAACTAGAACAAAACCTGCTCTATTTGATGAGGAATAAGCAGTGACTTGAGTAGTTATGAAGGACTGGCTCAAAGGAAACTGGGACTAAACCGGGACTAAACCGGGACTAAACCGGGACTAAACCAGGACTCCTCTGTGTTTCAGTGGTAAAGGTCAGGACGCAGATAAGTTCCTGTCTGCAGCACCCTCGTCTCCTCTCCGGAAACAGGAAGTGGAAAATCTCAGGTAGATCTTAACTTCTGGTGTAATGTAATCCAACATGGTCTGCTGCTCTATCCACTCTCTGACCCTCCTTTCATTTTTGTTTTTTTCTCCCCCCTTTATCAACCTCTTCCTTCTCTCTCTCTGTCTCTCTGTCTTCTCTGTTTCTCTCTCTGTGCGTCCCTTGTTCTCTGTTGCAGGTGTTCGATCTTGGCGTGCAGTGCGTACGTGGCTCTGGCGTTGGGGGATAATCTCATGGCTTTGAATCACGCTGAGAAACTGCTGCACCAGCCCAAAGTCTCGGGTTCTTTGAAGTGAGTGACAGCGGACGGCAGGGGCCATTTCAGCTCTGTGGTGCAGATACACTTCCGATGTGTTATGCAATCAACTTTTTGGAGCTTTCTACCATATTGTAAAGTTGTTCTTCATCAAAAACGTGCCCAAAGAGGTTTTAGATGTCATCCATGCATGTTTGAGCAATCATGCGATCTCTCTGGACAACTGAGGGATTACACAAACATCTCCTAAATCAGAACAAAGAAAACAATATTGATAGTCTGAAGTATAGAGTAAGAAAGCTTTCAGAAATATTCATATGCATAGGAAAGAAATCCGTGCTTATTTGTCTGAAGTTGAGCATAAAATAAATATTTGTAAACTGTCGAATGAGTCCAGTCGTACATAAAATGTGTTTATGTGTGTTTTATCCATCAGAATACAGACTGAAAAGTTATGACATCAAGAATTACAGTCACAAAATGAAAATTTATGATTACACTTTCTTCAGTACAAATACGAATTCACAGATGCGACTCGACTGTCAAAAATACATCATCACTTCACAGGCAGAAGAAACACCGATTGAGATGCACGACTTTTGCGTTGCGTACAAACTGAACCAGGACTGAACCAGGACTAGGAAATTTTCATTTTGTGACTGTAATTCTTGATGCCGTAACTTTTCAATTCATATTCTGATGGATAAAATTCACACCACACATTTTATGTACGGGTGGCGTCAGTGAGTCGATGGTGAGATTTTGACGATGGCAGCGTGACGAACTGACTCAATGCAAAAAGACGACAAAAGCTTTGAGCAGACGACCCTTGAAAACATTCTTGAAGACGTGGACACCTGTGGCTTATATTCAGGTGCCGCCTGTATACGTGCAATTTTAAAAATTTTGTTAAAATTTCGTTGATGCAGCGTATATTCAGGTGCGCTCAGTAGTTCAGAAAATATGGTACATGTTCAGATTTGGGACCTGGTGCTCAAAAGGAGTAAGATGAAAAAACTTGATGCCCTACCACAATATCCACCAATATTATAATTTATTTCCTGCAAACACAAATGATTAAAAAAAAACGATACAAATTTGTCAGAACAGCTTTGGAAAAAATACAAGTTTTATATTTTTTGATTTATCATTGGCTTATTACACTAATTTATCGACCAAAATGACTCCCAAAATGTTGATTCATCCAATACTAGTCTCATATTGTGCAAAATTAAGTCTTTTGAGGCGTAATGTGTAAACAGAACGTCCCCAAACACTACAGTACAATAAACTTAACGTGTCTTAAACTCTTAAAGCACAAGTTGAGTAGTTCGAGTTGAAAATGCTCAGACTTTTAAACTCCTCTCCTTTGTCGTCAGGTTCCTGGGTCACCTCTACGCCGCTGAAGCTCTCATCTCGCTGGACAGAATCTCCGACGCCATCTCTCACCTGAACCCAGAGAACGTGAGCGACGTGTCGATGGGCGTGTGCACCAGCGACCAGGAGCAAGGTCCGAGTCCGAGTCCTGAACGCCGGGCTTAGTCCTGGTTTAGTCAGAGTCTTAAAACACTGGACCCTTTAAAATACATAGAACCATTTTAAACAAAGACAAGGCACAAGGCTGGACACAACGATGGCTCAAGTTATGATGTCCAGTGTCCAGGGCGATATATTCTGGCCTTTTAGACTTTAGTCCTAGTTTTAGTCCTGGTTTAGACCTGGTGTAAACCTGGTTTAGTCCTGGTTTAGACTTGATTTAGACCTCATATAGCCCTGCTTTAATCCTGGTTAAATCCTTCGTTAGCCTTGGTTTGGTACTCAAATAGGCTTGCCACCTTCTTCTCTTTTAGTCCTGGTTTAAGTCCTGGTTTAAGTCCTGGTTTAGTCCTGGTTTAGTCCTGGTTTAGTCCTGGTTTAGTCCTGGTTTAGACCTGGTTTAGACCTCATATAGGCTTGCCTTCTTCTTCTCTTTTAGTCCTGGTTTTAGTCCTGGTTTAGACCTCAGATAGTCCTGCTTAAATCCCGGTTAAATCCTTCTTCAGCTTTGGTTTGGTACTCCCCTAGGCTTGCCTTCGTCTTCCCTTCTGGCCCTGGTGTAGTCCTGGTGTAGTCCTGGTTTAGACCTGGTTCAGTCTTGGTTTAGTCCTGGTTTAGTCCTGGTTTAGTCCTGGTTTAGTCCTGGTTTAGTCCTGGTTTAGTCCTGGTTTAGTCTTGGTTTAGTCCTGGTTTAGTCCTGGTTTAGACCTGGTCTAGTCCTGGGTTAGACTTGGTTTAGTCCTGGTTTTAGTCCTGGTTTAGTCTTCATATAGTCCTGCTTTAATCCTGGTTAAAACTTTCTTCAGCCTTGGGTTGGTACTTCTCTAGGCTTGCCTTCTTCGTCTCTTTTAGTCCTGGTTTTAGCCCTAGGTTTAGTCCTGGTTTTAATTCAGGTTTAGTCCTGGTTTAGACCTCATATAGTCCTGCTTTAATCCGAGTTAAATCTTTCTTTAACTTTGGTTTGGTACTCATAGGCTTGCCTCCTTCTTCTCTTTTAGTCCTGGTTTAGTCATGGTTTTAGTCATGGCTTAGTCCTTTTTTTAGCCAGTTTTTGTCCTGGTTTAGTCTTGCTTTTCTTCTTAATCCACATTTGGTAGAGGTCATTTTAAGACGTCTTAAAACATTGACGAGCAAAACTGAATTAAATGAATTATTTATTTAACACATTTCTTTTATAAAATGACAGAATATTTGATAAAAACACACGTCACTGTGGTACGTGTCTGTTAACACGTACCACACACATGATGAGAACAATCCTGTTTTTCAGGTTCAGACAAAGGAGATGAGCCCGGAGAGTCCTGTAAGTCTGACACAAGATTTTACTGTTTATAAAACCCCCACCTGGGTCCTGGTTTAGTCCTGTTTAGTCCTCCTTTAATCCTGCTTTGGCCCTTGTTTAGTCCTAGTTTGTTCATGGTTTAGTCCTGATTTAGGCCTTTTTAATCCTTGAGTCCGTGTTTTATTTTAGTTTGGTCCAGGTTTAGTCCTACTGTAGTCTTTAGACCTGCTTTGGTTCTGGTTTAGTTCTACATTAGTCCTGGTTTAGTTCTACTTTAGTTCTTTTTTTGGTCCTCGTTTAGTCCTTTTTCAGTCTTAGTTTAGTCCTGGTTTAGTCCTTTTTTTTAGTCCTGGTCTAGACCTTTTTTAGTCCTGGTTTAGTCCTTTTTTTTTAGTCCTGGTTTGGTCCTTTTTTTAGTCTTAGTTCAGTCCATTTTTTTATTTTAGTTTAATCCTGGCTTAATCCTGGTTCAGTCCTGGTTTGGTCCTTTTTTTAGTCTTAGTTCAGTCCATTTTTAGTTTTAGTTTAATCCTGGCTTAATCCTGGTTCAGTCCTGGTTTATTCCTGGTTTAGTCCTTTTTTTAGTCCTGGTTTAGTCCTGGTCTGGTCCTGGTCGGGTTCTGATGTTTTGTGTCCTCCAGCAGGGAAGCAGACCCCTCTGTGTTACCCGAGCTCGGTGGCCTCTGCTCGGGCGATGATGCTGTTCAATCTGGGCAGCGCCTACTGCCTCCGGAGCGAGTACGAGAAGGCGCGCAAGTGTCTGCACCAGGTACACCAAGTACACGAAGTACACAGAGTACTACAAATACTCTCCTGCCTCAACGTCTCCAGAGATAAAACCAACACGAGATTCTGCACACACGAGAAAAATCATCTTATAAAGTTGTTTAGTTTACAGGGTTTACAAACCCTGCACATTTAGGCTGAGCTGTGACGTCATGTGGTAATAAAAGAAGTGCTCCACTGTGTTTTTAAACTCTGTGCCCCTTCACTAGAATCATTTGGATAATTTTAGCCCTGGAATTGCTAATTTTTACTAAACTAAAAGGTAAAAGGAGCTGTTCACTTGGAACTACTGCTTCATGACGTCACAACATGAAACATGAAACATGAAAATGAGCATTTTCAGCTTTGGGATCACAATTTGTAAAATAAATGTGTCTTCTGTAAATCTTGTGTTTGTTGTGTTCAGGCGGCGTCGATGGTGAACACTAAAGAGATTCCTCCTGAGGCCATTCTGCTCGGAGTTTACCTCGAGCTGCAGAACGGTTAGACTTTTATCTGTTTCATTTTCCACTAAAATCACAAATATTCATCAACAAAATCTGCGTAATAACAATAAGGACCACAAACATATGTTGTTTTATTTGGTTTGTGTTTATTGCACTGAAAAACATGGAAAAACATTATTGATATTTCGAGCGGGCTTGCATCTTCACAAACCTGACTCATATTTGGCCTGGAGAAGAGCCTCCTCCTGCTGTAAATGTTTTTCCTTTTGGCTGTAATCATCCACAGTTTGGCATCTATCTCCATGGAGAATGTTCCGCAGTGTGGTTTTAACTTTCTCTCCCTGGAATCGTGCAGAAAGTCACACATGTGTCTGGGGAAACTCTCCGACGTCACAGATCCCCACTGCAGCTGCACGGGTTTTCGTGATCTCGAACAAAATTCAATTACTGTATTTCTCGGATCATAAGTCGCTCCAGCCAAAAAATTCATAATGAAGAAGAAAAAAACATAGTCATAGACTTTTTGGGGGAAAATTATTTTATAAAATCAGAGACCAGGATCCGACATTTCCTGTGTAAAGTCAAGTTGTAGTAAAAACAATAGAAGAGAGAACAACAGACTGTTAACGTCACATATGAACAGTTCTTCAGATAAACTATAACATAAACATCAGAACAGAACAAGTTTAACAAAGTCTCCATCTCACTCCAAATCTCACTCTAAATCCATTCAATTCTTCATCCTCGGTGTCACTTCTGAACAACTCGGCCTCGACCTCCGGAGGTAAACAGAGCACCGCTTCCTCTTCTGTGTCGCTGTCTTCAGACTCAGCATCAGTTCCAGTTAGAGTTACAGGATGGTTTCGGTGTCACTGAAGTCCAGACTTTGTCCATCCATCCAGTGACTATAGGAAAGTTTCATGACGCGAAGCTGTGTTTCCATCCCCACTTTTCGTCAGCCCCTCACAAGTTTCTCTCTCACTCCAAACTTTCTTTCTGCTGCTCGATTTCCGTTTTCAGCTGCAGATTTCACGACTTGCCGTTTTTAATCTGCAGAATCTGATTTTGTTTTTGGAGGAATTTGTGTTCAGTCTTTTCAGTCTTTGTCTTCATAAGTTTGTTTAAATGTTAAATTGTTCAATGGTGCAGAAGTAACGGTGCGATCGACTGACATGATACAGACAGGACAGAGGCTCTTTCTGCAGGAGACATGCGCAGTAGAGCCAAGTGACAGTGGTGCAGGAGGAACAGGAGCAGCAGATACTCACACACAAGACTAGAACCTCTCAACACTTCACTCTCAAGTCACAGGAAACACCCAAACCATGAAAAACAGTGCCGTTTATAGTCCGAAAAATGCGGTAATTGCACAGCGACTCATATTTCTGTGGTGCATTTGTTTTGTTTTAGTTTCACGAGCTAAAAATACATCTTAAAATACTTTTCCAGACACATTTGTTTAGTGAAATCCAGGTCATGTGTCTTTATGTTTTTGTAATTTTAATCTTTGGTTGATTTTAAAGCTGCTCTGTTTGGTTTTTGAGCAGTTAAAATGGCAAAAAAAAAAAAAGTTTAATACTGTGGAACATACTGTGGTATCTTACTGTGGTGGTGCAGGTAGTGGGCTCTTGTTCAGAAAAGTTCCAGAACGCAGCTTTAAAACTCCTTTTCCCTGTGGTCTGTAGGAAACACTCTGCTGGCTCTGCAGATCATCAAAAGGAACCAGCTCCTGCCCTCGGCTCTGCTCCGAGTCTCTCCGGAATCCTGCAAGAAGTCGGCCCAGAACGCGGCGCTCTCCTCCCCCTTCACCCAGAGGAAATAACGGGCCCGGACCAGGATCTCCACCAGGTCCGGACCGGGTCTGGACCCTCCTCGGACTGTCCCTCTGCCCCCCGCAAACACTTAAACCCCAGAAGAGCCTAGGACCAGGTCTAAACCCGACCCGTGTGTGGACTATTAAATAAATTTTATTTCATCCACTTTCAGTCTCGGCTGATTTTAACTCAAAAAGTTTAGACACACTTTGAATTTTCATCCATTTTTACTGCAGCCCCTCCTCCTTTTGCACCTGGCCCCTCCTCTTTTCCCTTTTGCACCTGACCCCTCCTCCTTTTGCACCAGACTCCTCCTCCTTTTGCACCAACTCCTCCCCCTTTTGCACTGACCCCTCCCCCTTTTGCACCTGGACCCTCCCCCTTTTGCACCTGGACCCTCCCCCTTTTGCACCTGACTCCTCCCCTTTTTGCACCTGACCCTTCCCCCTTTTGCACCTGGCCCCTCTTCTTTTTGCACCTGGACCCTCCTCCTTTTGCACCTGGCCCCTCCTTTTGGACCCTCCCCCTTTTGTACCTGACCCCTCCTCCTTTTGCACCTGGCCCCCCCTTTTGCACCTGACCCCTCCCCCTTTTGCACCTAACCCCTCCCCTTTGGTCCGGGACGGAGCGGAGTTTGAGCCGGAAATTAATTGTCCGTGAAATTCCCTTTTGTTTTTCCCGTGGACTTTTCCCAACAGAAAAATCCTGTTTCCGGTGGAACGTCTGACGGAGGCGAATCATCTTCTAAATCTAAAAATCATGACGTGATTTAATTAAACAAATGTGAAAAATACGACGACGTGTTCACAAATTTGTTGTTTTGTCTTAACCTTATTTTGTTTTTGAAATAACACGATGAGTCTGAGTGACCACGGCGCATTTTAATCTCTAACAAGTCCATTTTTGTTGTAAAATCCTGCACTCAGCGTTCACTTTTCTCATGTTGGACATTTTTCTGATGAGGGTGTCACGGTCAACAGTCAAAACGATCGTCCTGTAAGAGCGTTTGGAAAGAGACAAGTCTTCATTTGTGCTGCTCTGGTGGGAGGGGCCACGTACAGAGACGCTGGAGACGCTGCTGTGATAAACACTAAAGGAAATTAACAAGATTTTAATAGAAAATATAATTTAAATATTTTAGTAGAAAATCAGCTGAGGGCCAGATTAAAGGTTTTTGAGGGCCGGATGTTTGACACCCCTGCTGTATATCATATAATGAGACTTGGATATCGATAAACCCCTAATAAATCTGTACATTAGAGCAGTTTTGTGATGTCTAAGTCTTACGTTTATATGATGAGGGTCTGAACAGAAGACGTAAATGTGGCGTCGCATCTTCACTTTTTATTATTATTAAAATAAATAAGGAAATAAATAAGGAAGTAAATAATAAGGAAATAAGGCAGAACAATATAAATGTATCCAAAATAAATAAAAATTAATTTAAATAAATATATCCAAAATAAAAAAAATAAAATAATCCAGCTGTTCTACAATCTCTATATTTAAAAAACTAAATAAATATACTTATTTATATAACAAATATCCCAAAATACACTGTGTTAAGATAAATCATTTCAATTCGATTACATGAATTTGGAGATTGTCACACAAATCAAAATCATGATAAAAATTCAATTAATCGCACAGACATACAAAACTGTATAATACAACTTCACAATCCTGATGTGATGTGCAGTAGTTTCATTAAAAAAAACAACAACAAAAGAAACACGCACAATTAAATTTTTAGTTTTATTTAGTTTTTGTCAGTTTTATTTGATCATTTTTACACATTCGATTCAAGACAATTATAAATAAACAGATCTTTTATTCACACAAAAATATGACTATCATTTACAGATTTCCATTAGTGCCTTTGTAATACTGTCTACTCAAGTTAAAGCTTTCAAAAACCTCGTGTTATTTAACTAAAATAAGTATTCTTTTTTATTTTAGTTCTTCCCGCCGCTGTAACTTTTCTCCTCGGGGTCCAAACGTGTTAAATATGAAATGAAACGAGACACGAGAATGAAACGAGACGAGATTTTGACAGTTTAAGTTCCAGATTTTGGGCTCGCCAGTTTTGATTTACTTAAGTTCTGGCAAAAACAGCAGAAACATTAACTCATTTAACTTAATTTTTATCCAATCCAAATGTAAAAACCTGGGGAAAAACGTTACGAAATCATTAAACCGTCTTACAGTTTGCTTAATCGACGTGACAAAAGTACCAAAAATCAGATACCGAACCTAATATCGAAACTAAATACTCATCTGGACTAAAAAAATCCAACTCAAACATGATTTTAGTTTTAGTCAAGCTTTTCAAAACTATTATTAGTATCGAACTAGACTTTGAGATGTTCGAGTAGTATCAACACTAATCGCAGTAGTGTTTATGTTTTTGTGTGTTAAACCAGCTCTGAAATGGCAGTAAAAGTGCTTAAAAATACTTAAGGGGCTGTGATTTACTTTTTGAACCGTTATAAAAATATACAGAATATTGCACATTTAAAACCGCGCTCCTTAAAGCTCCTCGATCATTTGTAAAGTTACATTTACATTCATTTTCTCTACGGCAGAGTCCACAACCCTCAAACCCCAGGGCCACGGACCCGTACCGGGCTGCGAAAGCACGAACCCCCTCCTCCCATATGCATCTCTAAACCAGGACCAAACCAGGTCTAAAACCAGAACTAAACCAGAACTAAACCAGGATTAAACCGGGTCTAAATCAGGATTTAACCAGGACTTAACCAGAACTAAACCAGGTTTAAAACAGGATTTAACCAGGTCTAAACCAGAACTAAAACCAGAATTAAAACCAGGACTGAACCAAGTATAAACCAGAACTAAATCAGGACCAAACTAGGTCTAAACCTGGTCTAAACCAGGACCAAACCAGGTCTAAACCAGGTCTAAACCAGGACCAAACCAGGAGTAGACAATGCTGCGCTGCTGCAGCCCCCAGTCTGCAAAATATTGTCAGACATAAAACTGGTCCGTGGCTCTAAAAAGTTTGGGGAGCACTGCTCTACGGGACATTTAGTCCGTGTAGAGATCTGGACCGTCAGAACTCAGTCTGTTGTATTCTGTAGTTGCAGAGGGTCGTTTACATCTGTGGGGCATTAAATAAACATTAAACAACGAGGAGCCGTGTGTTCTGCAGCAAAGTCATAGAATAAAGTTAAAACGTTAAAACTGTAGAACGGCTCTAAGTTGATTAATTCACTTATATTACAGCTACAAATTGAAACGTCTCATTTTGTGAATCAGATTTAGAATTTTAAATCTCCCTGAATTTCTCACTTTGAATGTTTTTACTCTGAAAAAAAAAAAAAAAAAGTTTAAATTATTTATATTCTGAATTTTCGTAGAACGACCAGCATTAGTGAACTGCTGAACAGAACTAACGTTTGATTTGGTGATGGGGCAGATTTATGAAGCTGCTGGAGAATACGACGCATTTCCACAGATATTTTACCACAGAAAACCATTAACCAGAAGTTCCATAACCCTCCAGTGACCGACAGCAAGACACTAGAAATCTCACTGACCATGGTTTAACTTTGCACAACAGTCGCTCCTTAAGGTCCTCGAGTTTCTTGTTTTACAGATTTGTTTTAATGAACCCATTAAACCTTATTTTAATTGAAATATTTTTCATTCTTGGACCACATTTGATACTGACCACAGCAGATAAAGAACTCCCCAGCAATAAACCAAGTCTAAACCAGAACTAAAACATGTCTAAACCAGGTCTAAACCAGGACTAAACCAGGTCTAAACCAGGTCTAAACCAGGACTAAACCAGGACTAAACCAGGTCTAAACCAGACCTAACCCAAGTTGTGGGCTGCAGGTGTGGCTCAGGTCTGTTGTGGCTCAGGTCAGTAGTGTCTCAGGTCAGTAGTTCCAGTCCCAGGGCACACACAGGTCTCCGTCCTGCAGCACAGAGTAATATCTGGAGACTCTGAGGTCCAGGCCCTGGAGCAGAGGAGGTCTGAGCTCCAGCAGACGCCCACAGCACAAACTCATCTGCAGACTGCTGATGCTCGACTCTTTGGACAGAGTGTGGAGGGACAGAGAGACCAGACACTGCTGCACCGCCAACTCCTCCTCCCGCTTCAGTCTGAGGACAAACACACAAACAAACACAAACACAAAATGTATGAGACGTGTTTTAAATCCAGGTTTAAACAGAAAAGTAGCTCCACAGTCAGCTGGAGTTTACACAGACTCGGTTTCCTCTGTGAAAAAAAAAAAAAAAACACTTTACAAAGGTCAACGTTGTACTGAACATGTATGTGAAACTTTTTTAGGGTCTGTTTTTAATCATTTTGAAGCATTACACGCTAGGAGTGTGTATGTATAGTATCGTTTAAGTATTTTTTGGTATATTTTACTCAATTATGACCTGGTCCCTGAAGGGTTGACCAGGTTTTGTATTTATGGACCGAATGTCACCAAATTTGGTTCGTGGGTCAAGCCCCTGTGCCCGATGGCACAAAAAAAGTTTAGTGAAGGCACTAGGTGGCGCCAGACTGGATAGCAATTGTGTTGCTTGTTTGGAGAAAGGAAACTTTTTTCTGTAATACACTTTCAGTTTTAAGTAAATTGGGTGTTTTTTTTTTTGTTTGTTTTTTTTACTTTGCACAAACTTGATGGTTTAATAAAGACTTTCAATATCACAGCCATGATTTAGGCTTTGGTTTTACTGAACCGTATCAAACCAATTTGAAATTATATCGAATGATATTGAATCGAAAGTGCACTGTATCAAAAAACATATTGTATCATGGCCTATGTATCGAGATCTGTATCGTATCAACAACTTACTAATGATACCCAGTGCCAAGCAGCAGCCGTCCTGCTTTAGTTCTCTTCCTGTGAGCCACTGGTGTGATTAAAGTCTAAGAACGTTTGAGAACTGTTTTTATTATTGGGCGATGCATCTCTCTGTACTTACTGTAGGTGGCGCTGTGTCCTGCGGCGAGCCTCGGGGGCGTGGCTCTGGAGGAAGGCCTGAAGTTTGAGAGGGTCAGAGGTCACGGGGATCAGGAAGTATCCCAGATCGTGTAAACTGGGAATCGAGCGATTACTGCAGAACGACAGAGAAAGAGAAAGACGATGAACCGTTAAACACAGAAGAGACTCAACAGAAGCTCAGGGGCTCCAGTCTCTGTAAGACCAGAACTTTAATCAAGTAGTAGTAGTTAGTAATAACTCTTTCCAGACTGAAGTAGCAGCAGTATTACAAGTAACAGCACCAGTAGTAGTAGTAGTAGTAGTAATATTTACTACAGTAATAGTAGTAGTAGCAGTTGTAGCAATAGTTGAAGTAGTATATTCAGTAGTAGTAGCAGTAGTATGTACAGTAGTAGTAGTAGTAGTAGTATTTACAGTAGTAGTAGTAGTAGTATTTACAGTAGAAGTAGTAGTAGCATTTACAGTAGTAGTAGTAGTAGTATATACAGTAGTAGTAGTAGTAGTAGTAATAGTAGTAGTATTTACTTGTCTATGACCAGCCCCAGTCCTTCAAGGCTGCGTGGGTGCACTCTCACACAGTCTGACAGTAGTAGTAGTAGTAGTTGTAGTAGTAGTATGTAGTAGTAGTAGCAGTAGCAGCAGTAGTCGTAGTAGTAGTAGTAGTATTTACTTGTCTATGACAAGGCCCAGTCCTTCGAGGCTGCGTGGGTACACTCTCACACACTCTGACGGGAGTAGTTGTAGTTGTAGTAGTATGTACAGTAGTAGTAGTAGTAGTAGTAGTAGTAGTAGTAGTAGTAGTAGTAGTAGTAGTAGTAGTAGTAGTAGTATTTACTTGTCTATGACCATGACCAGGCCCAGTCCTTCGAGGCTGCGCGGGTGCACTCTCACTCTCTCGGACAGGAGTAGTTGTAGTTGTAGTAGTATGTACAGTAGTAGTATGTACAGTAGTAGTATGTACAGTAGTAGTAGTAGTAGTAGTAGTAGTAGTATTTAGAGTAGTAGTAGTATTTAGAGTAGTAGTAGTAGTATTTACTTGTCTATGACCAGGCCCAGTCCTTCGAGGCTGCGTGGGTGCACTCTCACACACTCTGACGGGAGTAGTTGTAGTTGTAGTAGTATGTAGAGTAGTAGTAGTAGTAGTAGTAGTAGTAGTAGTAGTAGTAGTAGTAGTAGTAGTAGTAGTAGTATTTACTTGTCTATGACCAGGCCCAGTCCTTCGAGGCTGCGTGGGTGCACTCTCACACACTCTGACGGGAGTAGTTGTAGTTGTAGTAGTATGTAGAGTAGTAGTAGTAGTAGTAGTAGTAGTAGTAGTAGTAGTAGTAGTAGTAGTAGTAGTAGTAGTAGTAGTAGTATTTACTTGTCTATGACCAGGCCCAGTCCTTCGAGGCTGCGCGGGTGCACTCTCACTCTCTCGGACAGGAGTCTCTTGTGGAAGGCGTTCAGGCTGCTGTAGTGTTCGGCGATGGGCTGTTCTGAGCCCGTCCTGTCGGGGAGCAGCACCACGGCGCCCCCTAGCAGCAGACTGATGCGCTCCTTCAACCACAGACTCTGCTGCTGGAGGCCGCGCAGACTCGGCAAACGCCCCATCAGCTGTCAACGACAGAGAGAGGAGTTAAACGGACTGTATCTGACTTTTCACAAGGATTTGAGCAACATTTGTCTTCCCTGTTTGGAAAGGGTCAAGGAACTGTTTATTGTTGCAAAAAGTGAACACAATAATCGTCCGTGGGACATTTTATATAATCGTGAAAATCACCAACAAAGATAATCTCCATTATATCAGCAGAATGTGCAGAAAACACTTATACTACCACTCAAAAGATAAATAACTCCAGGAATAAAGATATATATATATATAAGGTATATTATATTCAAATTCTTAAAGTATCCTCCTTTTGCTTTGTCACAAAATATTTAAAATCTTTGCTATATCTTCCTTCATACTGTATAATCAAAGTCTTCTGTGTGTGTCCACTGAGAAAATAAGGAGCCACAGGAGGCGCCAGTCACAAAAAAATAACTGTCGTTGTGTCCTTAGGCAGGACACTTCACCCACATTGCCTAGTATGAAAGTGATGTGTGTGTCAGTGATGGTGGTGGTCAGAGATTGGCAGCCGCGCTTCAGTCGGTCTGCCCCAGGGCAGCTGTGGCTACAATAGTAGTTTACTATCAGCGAGTGTGGAGTAAATGAATAATGCTCTGTAAAACACTTTTGTGACAAATGTCTGTGAAAAGCGCTGTATAAATAAAAAACTTACTAACTGTAAGTAGTAAAAATGTAGTAAAAAATAAAAACACTGAATGAGAGGGTGTGTCCAAACTTGTGCTGGTAGTGTACATATAACAAAGTTTTCATAATATTAACGGAGAGGGTTAACCACTCTGCCACGGTGACGTTACCTTGAGCCACTGGTGATGGACGTCCATGGTCCCGAGCATCACGTCACCTGAGGCGTTCATCCCAGACTCGTCTGCGAATACGACTGTGTGACCTGAGACAAAGCAGGGCCATTATTCATTTGTACTTTTTAAATCAAAATATTCATCTAAAATGACTTCCACAAAGCCCAACAAAGCTGTGAGTCTAATCTCGTACCCTGCAGCGGGATCAGAGCCTCTGGACTCTGCAGCGACAGGCGGCTCAGACTCTGGAGCTGACAACACCTGTGAGACACTCCCCAACTGCGCTGCCACCTGCAGGACAACACACGAACAACAAAAGCACATTTATGAGTTTGTTTCACTTCTTCAACTGGAATTCACAGTATAAAGGGTTTTAGTTTAGGGCACAAAATTTAAAACTTAAATTTAAATCACATTGCCTAGTATGAAAGTGGTGTGTGAGTGATGGTGATGGTCGGAGGAGCTGATGGCGCAGATTGGGAGCCACACTTCTGTCAGTCTGTTCCAGGGCAGCTGTGGCTACAACAGTAGTTTACCATCACAGAGTGTGGAGTGAATGAATAATCATATGTAAAACACTTTGGTGTCTTGAAAGGCGCTGTATAAAGAGAGTGAGTGTCGTTACCTGATGTCCGTGAGGCTGAACTTCAGGCACAGCTCCGTCTTGAGTCTCTGCAGCTCGTCTCGTCTCGGGACACTGGCCTTGTGCTTCTTCGTCGCCTCTGGTTCATTCTTCCTCAACCACAAACTGAACAACAATAAAACAAGATGTTACTGATGTGCCTGGGAAGTTACACAGTGCAGCATTAAACTTCTATCTTGCATTTGTTCAATCACAGATGGTTTTATTGCTCAAAAGCACCTTGTCATAGAGACATTATTGCTGTGAGTAGGGCGGCCTCTCCACAGATCTGACCAGTTTTTTGGTCTAGAGTTCATAGGCTGTGGGAGGTTTGGAAGAAGAGCGGGGACACTCAGAGACCCAGGGAGGCTCGGTCTCTGGTCCTGGCCTGGTCTTGTCCAGATCTTTTGCACCAAAGAATAAACCTGCTTTCTATTCCTTAACTCACAGGGCTTCAGAAACTGATTATTAAAAGAAAAATAATTCCTACACCAAATTCTATTTTGGATTTTTCTTCCAAAAACAGTGAACATATTCTACAATCTGAATCTCTTTGCTCCCACTCAGTCCCTGTGTACCTGAGCGTGGGCTCCACTCGTTTGGCCTGCTGCAGCTCCTGCTCCGGGTCTCTGAACCCGGTAAAGCTGTAGTAGGATTTGTCCCACTTGATGGGCCTGTAGAAGGGCTGGGCTCCCTGTGGGCTGGTCCCTTGGGTGCTGCTGGTCCCTTGGGTGCTGTGACTCTTCATGTGCTCATGTGGGAGACTACAGGAGCGCAGCACGTTGACCACCGCGCTCAGAACGTCACTGCTGTGGAGCGTGAACGTGACCGGACGGAAACCTGAAAAAGCACAAACACATAGGTGGCCCTGTTATCTCTTGGTCCCTTCACATCCACAGTTTATGGATTTTCATTCTTTTTTGTTTGGTCACCATAGTTACAAGGCTGCTGCACCTCTATAATGATGTTTTCATTGACAATTTTTTTTTTTTTCCACAACATCAACAGTGTCCTGAGACTGGGCCTTCACACAATTTATTTATTTACTTTTTTTCCCCATTGACAGTTTGAAATAAAAAGAATCCTCCGTACAACCTTTAATTTATTTATTTGTATTTTTTATTTATTCAATATTTTACCAGATACCGTATTTTCCAGGCTATTAGGCGCTCTGGATTATAAGGCGCACTGTCATTAAATGGTCTATTTTCAAACTTTTTTCACAAATAAACTGCGTGGGACTTTAAAGGAAACACAACAGTTGGATGGGTGAGTGGTTTTGTTTGTTTGTTCGTTCACGGTGACTCTGGGCTTTGTTCAGTTGTGGCGTGTAGGGAGGGTGCTGTCTGGGACCAACGGATTGTCGGCGTGTTCGCAGTGACTCAGTTGTGTCTAGAAGTGGCACATTGCGCTCGCTTTTTTGGTTCATCGCCGTGGAGTGATGAGTGTGTCTGTGGGTGTTTTTCGCTGTGCGGTTGCTGTCTGCTCCGTATGTGTTTGCGTGTTCTGCAGGTGGTGCGGTTTTGTAGTTTACTGAAGTCGTGCTGGGACACCTGAGTGGATTCATGTATGGGGCGGTCTGGATTGTGGCGCGCGGTCGTTTTTTGATGGGGTTGGAGGCTTAAGAGCGCGTCTAATAGCCCGGAAAAGTCAATGAAGAACACCTTCTCATTTGCAATGACGACGTGACCAAGAGGAAGCATGAAACAGCACAAACAGAAAACACACACACGTCAATCATAAAATGAAACAGTGAACAGAGACGTGAGACAGTGAAACATTTGCTGATTAAAGATATAAAAGTGTTAAAAGCATGAGCGATGATCCTGTAAATTACTGTGGATGGAGTTTTTAAAAGTCGACAGAGGTAAAAACGAGTAAAGTTTTAAAGTCTGTTGAAGGTGGTTCCAGTCATTTGCTGCACAGACTGAAATAAAGAGCGGCCCAAAGCTGTACGGGCTTCAAGAACGATCAGGGTCATGGATCTGTTGGAGTAAAGTGTGCGTCTGGAGCTATGGATGTGCAGGAGTGCGATGAGGTAGCACGGAGTTTTACTAATTAAACATCTGTAAATGAACAATAACCGGTGTGTTTGTCTGCAGGTGTGGACAGAGGGACACTTCACCACAGAGTAAAGTGCGTACTGATGGTGGTGAACGGTAAACACCTGTGACAAAGCCGATGGCTGCGGGATAAATCACATCGAGCTTATGGGGCCGTGTTTTTATTGCTAAACTATTCGTGAACACAATGATCTTCTCTCATTTATCTTATTGTATCACCTCACGGTCCCAGGCCTCCTCAACCACACTGAAACCGCTTTGTTCATTTAACAAACTAACCCTTAATGTCCTTGATAAAAAGCCCAAACACTGGCACCACTGTGAAATTTTAAAGAAACGAACTTTGTAACTTTGAAAATTTTACCCATTTTAATCATCTTAAATTCCTTTTTATGTGTCTTAACTGTGATACATCACTATATTCAGAATTTGCCAGGATCATAAAATATACACACAGAGCGAACACAAGAGGAGCTACTAGTGGTAATTGTGTTGTTCCAATGTACAGGACAAACTCTTGGTCAGTCTCTTTCTCAGCTAAAGGGGCCAATCTGTGGAAATGTACCGTATTTTCCGGGCTATTAGGCGCTCTGGATTATAAAATGCATTGTCATTAAATGGTCTATTTTCGAACTTTTTTCACATATAAACCGCACCGGACTTTAAACGAAACACAACAGTTCGATGGGTCAGTCAGACTCCGTTTGGCGCGTTCACGGCGACTCTGGGCCTCGTTCAACTGCAGCACATAGGGAGGGTGCTCCGGACCGTTGGCGTGCCCGCAGTGACCCAGCTGCTCAGCCGTGGCTCAGAAAGGCACATTGGACTCGCTTTTGCGGTTCGTTCCTCGTCGGCGTGGAGTGATGAGTGTCTGTGGGTGTTTTTCGCTGTGCGGTCGCTGTCTGCTCCGTGTGTGTTTGCATGTTCTGCGGGTGGTGCGGCTTTGTAGTTTACTGAAGTCGTGCTGGGACTCCCGAGTGGATTCGTGTAAGGGGCGCTCTGGATTGTGGCGCGCGGTCATTTTTTGATGCGGTTAGAGGCTTAAGAGCGCGTCTAATAACCCGGAAAATACGGTAACCAGATTATTTAAAATTGGAAACCAATAACAACAAATTTAAAAGCAAATTAAAATTATTGTATGTTTCCAATCAAAAATGCATCCACTGAAAATGTACTGTAAACATTTAATCTGTAATCTTGTATTGTCGGTTTTATTTTCTTTTATATGGACAGGTGTTGAAAACTGGCACTTGAGCTAAAACCCTCAAAGCAATGCATCTGGCTTGTCTAATGCGATTGTGATGTCTTTAATAAACATTAAAAAAATCTGTAAACTAAGTCTCCATAGTCAATGACCGGGAGGACTGTAGTTTTAAACAAAAGTTCTTCAGTTTTTATGTCCGTATAAGAAACTTATTCTTAGTTTGGCTTTAGTAAACAGACTGTTAATGTGATTTTCGAAATTAAATAAAGAGTCAAGCCACACGCCTAGGCAGAGCTGGGACCAAGTCGTCGTTTTGCGAGTCTCAAGTGAGTCTCAAGTCTCTGACCTCAAGTTTGAGTCAAGTCCCAAGTCAAATACAGGCAAGTCCAAGTCGAGGTTCGAGTCACTGGCCCACGAGTCTAAGTCAAGTCCAAGTCGTCTGCTTTGAGCTTCAAGTTACTGGATTTTCTGCACTATTTGGCGCTCTGGATTATAAAGTGCACTGTCATAGAATGGCAGTTTTCGGTTCGTTCCTCCGTTCCGTTCCTCGTCGGCGTGGAGTGATGAGTGTGTCTGTGGGTGTTTTTCGCTGTGTGGTCGCTGTCTGCTCCGTGTGTGTTTGCGTGTTCTGTGGGTGGTGCGGCTTTGTAGTTTACTGAAGTCGTGCTGGGACACCTGAGTGGATTTGTGTATGGGGCGCTCTGGATTGTGGCGCACGGTCGTCTTTTGATGGGGTTGGAGGCTTAAGAGCGGAAAATAAGGTACTTTAAGTCTTTATACCAAAGTACCAAATATATCGTAGAGTTTTGCAAATTATATGAATTTTAAACTAAATTGTTCTTAAAAAGTCATGGTATATTTGTATATGAATATTTATATATTTATAGTTATAGAAATGTGAGGAGAAAATTCAGTTTGTCGACTGGACAAAAGTCTGTTTCTTCAGTTCAGAACTGAAGAAGCAGCTTGGATGAGCTGAGAAACGTCTTCAACCAAACTAACTTTTGTCCAGTCGACAAACTGAATTTTCTCCTCATGGATTCTACCTGGACGACTGAGGGATTCTTCAGTTATAGAAATGTACATTTTTTCCTTTTTGAACGTCTGGAGTGAATTATTATGGTCAAAACAGAAAAAATTAAGATTTAAGAGCTTTATAACAGTTCATTTGTCAACTAGTCTAAGCATCAAGTCTTCTCAAGTCACAGGGCTCAAGTCCGAGTCAAGTCCCAAGTCACTGACCTTCAAATCCAAGTCATGTCCCAAGTTTTTGTCCATTTTATCAAGTCAAGTCTCAAGTCCTAAAAATAATGACTGAAGTGTGACTCGAGTCCAAGACACGAGTTGCAAGTCCCAACCTCTGTGCCTAGGTACTTGCAATGATGAACAGTTTGGATCTCTGAGAAGTCCAAGGCCATGATTTTATCTAAGCTCTTGGTCTGTGGGAGGTTTTTATTAAAGATCATACATTTTGTCTGAACAGGGTGGGGTTAAGAAAAGGCCCTTCACTCTCTCTGACTGTACATGTCTGGAGCAAGAACTTTTAAACCGAGCCATGCAGCTGTCTGAAAAAATGGATGCATAAGGGAAGTGAGGAGTAACTTTGGACCTCTGCAAACCATTTAACATCAATTAATTTTGTTTATTCACATTTAAGAGAGTAAAACATATAAAACTCTTAATAACAGTAAGTCTAAGTGAAGATGCACCTGCTGTGAGGTCGGGCTCGTCTCCGTCCTTCGTGTCTCGAATGTAAAACGTGAGCTTCATGGGCTGCACTGAGTGCGCTCCAGGACGCTGCAGAGTCTCCAAGTATCCGTTCAAACGCTTCAGAGAGTTTTCATTCACCTCCTGCAACAACAACACCACAGTTCAGACCATAACAAACAGCGTCATTATGCGTCATATCTAGTAGGGTTTCAGATGACAGCACAATATTCTGTAGGCCAGTAAGACTTAATGCAGATGGGGGCAGTTCAAGTCACTAGTAGAAATGATTCAACATTTGTGAATTTACCTTTTGGAGATTTAACGTAATTAAAAGGAAAACTGTGTGGCTATAGGCGAGTTTCAGCTGACGTCATTGTTATTAAAAGCCCGCGTTGCATGCTGGGAAATATTTTGGTCGGAGGCAAGAAACATGGTAGCGTCAAACACAGTGCGTAACCTCGTGTATTTATCCCCGATAATGGTAAATTCCTGCTGCATTATCGGATGCACAAATAGAAGCACGGAAGAAGGAAAATGTCTTTTTCGTATTCTGAGTGAAAAGAACCACTAACGGAGAATTAAACGACTTTCAAACATCCGCAGAGCAAATGTAGAAGATCCTAACAAACCGTGGACTCCAACAAGTTCAACAACACGAGACTCTTGGAGGTTTTCATCTTTTCTGCTGTGAATGGTCCAGGAGTTTTCACCAAGTCATTGTGGATATCGGCGAAGTGAATATTTGGCCAGGTAGTTGGCGATTCTGACCAGAAATTTGATTTGGTCCAGGCTCTGTCGGGGTTGAAAAGGGTGATTTGGCTCCATCGATGCTCATGACCAATTTCTGGTCAAATGGTCTTGGGTCCTCTGCTGTTAGAGTGGATAAATAACCGGGATCAATACCCTTTACGTGCTTTCTCGCTCTGTCCGTCATGTTGAATTAGTGTTTCTTGCCACCGACCAAAATAATTCCCAGCATGCAACGCGCGCTTTTGTCAACAATGAAACTCGCCTATTAGGGGTGTGCAAAAATATCGAAATATCCAGATATCGTACCATTTAACGTGATAATACAGTTTCAATATTGTGGGCTGATGTATCAATATATCGCTAAGAATATTTTTTGGTAAATTTTACGAAATTATTTTGTTTACAGCACTATAGTTTTGTTGCTTGTTTAGAGGAAGGAAACTTGTTTATGTGAAACATTTGACATTTTCACCGTTTTGAGGTTTAAAATGTTTGTGTTTCATACAAACTTTGCACAAGAAGCAGTTTAACAAAGACTTTTAGTATCACAGCCTTCATTTAGACTTTATTTTTTATTGAACCATATCAAATCAAAAGCTCACTGTATCGAGATACGTATCGTATCGAGGCCAACGTATTGAGGTATGCATCATATCGTGGCCTATGTATCGAGGTATGTTTCATATCAGCAACTTTTTAATGATACCAGCCCTAGTGGCCAAGCGTCATAAAAGTTAAATATAAGTATGGAACAGCGTGCCGGACCTCTGGGTCAAAGAGAACTTTGATGTTTTGAAGAGTAGGCTCAAGACTAACCTGCTGAGCTTAAATTTTGTTGTTTTTGGTTTTTATTATACAGATTTTATTGTATTCATTTATTTTAGGCATACAATTAGCTTGAACTCATATTCTTTTATCATTTGTCGGATTTCCAGTGTTTCCTCTGTAGGAGCCCTAGAAAGGCCCACAGGAGGGTACAGACCCGTTCTTTGGGGTGCTGTCCGAAGAAGTCTGGGTGAACGGCGAAGTAAAAGGGCCTCAGCGCGTTCACAGCCTCGGCTCCAGACAGCGCCCTCTGCTGGACCAAACCCACCGCCACATTCCTCCTCTTCAGTCTGCCAAAAAATATCAAGAAACAAATAGAAGTTTCAGGACGTGTTAGTAATGACAGAACTTTATTACTGTGTTATATAACGGCCTTTTTGGACTTTCCGAAACGTGTTAGAGTGTCCCTTCTTCAAAAACATTAATTGTATTTAGTTTTATTACTTGCATGTTTGAGTAATCCTGTATTATAACTGCAGGATATATGAGAATTAGAGATGGGACAAGAGCTCATGCCGTAAGATCTCACAAGACAAAACTACCACAAAATCTTCCACACGTGAGAAAAATGATCTTGTGAGATTTTTCCCCCTGAATTTACCTTTACCTTAGACAAAAAAGAGTTACACTGTAAAAAAGCTTGGTCAAAACTTAAGATATAAACACTTAAAATAACTTAAAAGTTGTGAAATTATCTGTCCATGCAGCGAGATAATTTTACTTGACAAGTTAGTTAAATAATTACCTTTAGACTAGAATTAAGCAGTCTAAGAACTATTAAGTAGATAATAAATCTGAATACAAGATGAACAACCTCATATACATTTGAAAATCTTGGCCAGATCTGAGAAATGAGCAGTGTAAGAGCTGGTGAGTTAAACAATTTGAGAAGCTGTAGTTCCAAAAAGCAGTAGTACAATGACCGCTAAAGTATTACATAAAATAAATAAAAACAGTGAAGCCAAAACCCTGAAATGGTCTGCTTATTTATTACAATTTATGCCAAAATCTCGTCTTGTCTCGTTCTCGTGGACCTAAACTCGTACCTAAACTCGTGTGTCTCGTCTTGTGAAAATTGTCTCTTACTCCACTATTAACGGCAATCAAAATCAAAACTGCAATTTAAATGGTCTCTAATGCCCCATCCACACTAGTATGCATTTGAGTCATTTTTGTTGTGGATGCAGTGTTCATTCAGACTAATCCGATTGAAAACGGCTCCAGAGACGGAACGATCTGGTGCCTCCAGCTCCCACCAATTCATCTGAGTACAAATCTGATCCTTGACTGTGTGGACGCCTGAAAACACTGATACTCTGATGTAGGAGCTCTAGTCGCGTCCTTATTGGACCACGTCATTGTGACTCGCTCCTTCCTGATTCTCTGGGTTTGTGACGTCGGTCATGTGACGCTGTTGCAGAAAACAGTTTGAACAAACCAGAGACAAAAGGGAAAACAGCGGAGCTACAACTACTCACACAGAACAGACTCACCATCAGCAGAACACCCCTCTGTCACAGAAAGAACACTCATATTCCACTGAGTCGTGTCCTTTAGTCTGACAGAAACTGAACTGCATCAGGGCACAAGAAGCAAGCTGTTTTTTTGAGCACTTAGTTTAGCCATTTGGTTTTAAGTTTCATTTCTGTAAAATGTAAACAAATATGCTCAAAGCTGTGTGGATAGGGAAGTCTTGAGATCACAAAAATGACGTGTCTGGACGCAAATAGTTTCCGATACGATCATACGGTGATTCGTTTCAGTGTAAATGTAACCTAAATATACAGTCTTACTCTGTAAAAGCTGCTGACCCTGTAGTTTAGATCTCTATAAACATGTTCTGAAATACATGAGATTGTTAGATTACTTTAGAAGGTCAGATTTCAGTCGTCTCTGAAAATGCTCCTGGACGTGTTTCTAATGATTAAAGCGTACATTTCTAATCACTAATAAAACTTTTCACCAAAATTATACATACATTATCTTTTTAATTATCGATTTGTGTACTATTTTTACACCGAAAGAGACTCTACACAGTGTTTTCTCGTACAAATCCCCGTGCGTCGTGAGTCTTTACCTGATGAAGCAGCGCAGGGCGGAGCACAGCGACATCCCTGAAGCTTTAAACTCTGACCCGATCCATCACCTGAACACAACAAATACACAAGTTTATGTTAAAAAAACAAAACAATGAAAAGGTGACAAAAATTGTTCCAAGGATTGAAAAATGTCTTATGTTGAATGCTCAGCTTGGGTCTTTATAACGGAAAAGTCTACAGTCAATCCTGATTAAAAGTCTGTACTGTTTATAAAATTAACATTGTGAAGTATATTTATTAGAAGCTCTTCAATCTTTGCGATTTAAACTTTGACAAAATCCATCAGACCTGAACACAACAACTACACAAGTTTAAAAAAAAAAAAAAGGTTCCTAAAATTGTTCCAAAGATTAAAAAATGTCTTGTGTTGAATGCTCATCTTTGGTGTTTTTAGTGGAGAAATTTACAGTCAAATTAAAAGTCTGCATTGCTTATGTTTATTAAATTTATATTGTGAGGTATATTTATATTTATTAGTAGCTCTTAGGTCTTCTACAAATAAACTAAAAAGTGTAAAAAAGCAGATTAACCCTTTAAGACCTACGGGCAATTTTTTACTACATTTGTCCTTGCCTGGATTTTTTTTTTTTTCTAAATTTTGCTATTAAAACTCTCCCTTTTACCCCCTAATGAAGTGTTATACATCGTATTTTTCAGTACAACCTGTTATTTCACATCTGCATGCTGTAGTAGTGTCATTTAGCTGTAATAAAAAATACAGGAACAGAAATATGAAAATGAAATTCACATTCTTTCATACAAAACACACAGAAAACCTGTATAAACAACTTTTCGGACATAAAACCCCCCCCACTTAATTTACTTAGCTACAAAAGTGCAAAATATCATGTAAATATGCTAGAAAAACCACAACTCTCAGCTTTTCAAGGGGAAAAAAGTAAGTTTCTATCTTTTATGGTCAACAGTTATACCCATTAACAGTAAAGAGAGGCATAAATCAGATGACCAGAATTTCAAAATAAAAAACTGGGATATCCCCATTTTTTGGTGGTAATAATAAAATTGTGAAACAACTGCGTAATTAATAGGGCTGGGTATCATTAAGGAGTTGCCGATACAATACAAACCTCGATACAGTGAGCTTACAATTCGATACGATATATTTCAAATCGATTTGACACAGTTCAATAAAAATAAAGGCTAAATCATGGCTGTGGTAGAAAAAGTCTTTGTTAAACCATTTCTTGTTAATATGAAACACAAACATTTCACTCATCAAAACAGTGAAAATGTCAAATGTGATGCACAAACGAATTTTCTTCCTCTGAACAAGCAACAAAACTGTAGCTGTAACAAAATAATTTAGTAAAATAAACCAAACAATACTATTGGCGATATATCGATACAGCAGCCCACGATATCGATACTGTATCATCACATTAAATTATATGATATAATGATATTTCGATATTTTTGCACACCCCTAATTACTACCAGTTGTTATAAAATAATTTATATTTTGTTAAAATTTATATTATTATGGTATTGTTCTATGGCTGACACACAACTCGCGGAAATATTGATACAGAAAATCAACAAAAAAATGCTTTTCTTTGTGTTTTGATCATTTTTAAGCAGCTTTTCTGTATTTTACCTAAAGAAATTACAATTTACGCCTCTCTTTACTAGTGCTGGCCCTGGGTATCATTAAGAAGTTGCTGATACAATACATATCTCGATACAATGAGCTTTTGATTTGAAAGTGTATGATATATTTCAAATCAATTCGATACGGTTCAATAAAAATAAAGGCTAAATCATGACTGATACTAAAAGTTTTTGTTAAACCACTTCTTGTACAAAGTTCATATGAAACACAAACGTTTTAATAATCAAAACTGTGAAAATGTCAAATGTGTCACATAAACAAGTTTTCTTCCTCTAAACAAGCAACAAAACTATAGCAACTGTAAGAAAATAATTTTAGTAAAATTCAATCATTAAATACTTTTGGCAAGATATTGGTATAACAGCCCATGATATCGATATTGTATCATTACATTAAACAATGCAATATATCGATATTTCAAAATACACCCCTAGTAATTAAGGAAAATTGTTATGCAGAGACCTAATATGAGTTAGTATAGTCACATTTTCTTTGTGTTTTGGTGATTTTTAAGCAGCTTTTCTGTAGTTTACCAAAAATAAATTACAATTTATGCCTTTCTTTACTGTTGGCAGGTTTCAGATTGGTCAAAAATAAAGACACCTGGGACATTTCTTGGACAAAACTGGGACAAATCACTGGTTTTGTATAAATCTGCTGGGACAGGGGACACAGGACTCAAAACTGGGACTGTCCCGGGTAAATAGGGACGTCTGGTCACCCTGTCATAGCGGTAATAGGTTTTATTGCATTGTTTAATAGTCGTATCAATTCTCATGTGACCAGACGTTCCTTTTCCCCAGGACAGTCCCAGTTTTGAGCACTGTGTCCCCTGTCCCAGCAGATTTATACAAAACCAGCAGTGATACAGAAAACTGAGCTTGACCATAAGAAAAAAATACACCATCAGAAGTCTCTCAGATTATGATTGACCAGATTTTCAAAATTCTAAACTGGGACACAGTATAAATAAAAAAGTGAGACTGTGCATTCTTGTTTCATTCATAATCTGAGCGGCTTCTGTTGCTGCATTCTTTTGCTTTAGCATTATTTGCAAACACAGTTTTGTGTATTTTGGCAAAACAAATGGCAATTTACGCTCCTTTTTACTGTTGGCAAGGATCAGATTAGTCAAAAATGGTGATTGTCCTGTTTTAGTCCTGATTTAGTCTTAGTTTAGTTCTGGTTTAGATCAAATTGCTCAAAATAAGGACACCTGGGACCTTTCTTGTACAAAACTCGGACAAATCAGTGGTTTTGTATAAATCTGCTGGGACAGGGGACACAGGCTCAAAACAGGGGACTGTCCCAGGTAAAAGGGGACGTCTGGTCACTCTGTCATAGCGGTAAGTGGTGTTATTGCATATTTTAAGTCTTATCTTTTCTCAGGTGACCAGACGTCCCTTTTCCCTGAGGCAGTCCCAGTTTTGCGTTTTGTGTCTCCTGTCCCAGCAGATTTATACAAAAACAGTGATTTGTCCCAGTTTTATACAAGAAATGTCCCTGGTGTCCCTATTTTTGACCACTTTAATACCTGCCAATAGTAAAGAGGGGAATATATTATCATTTGTTTAGCTAAAATACAGAAAATTGAGCTTGAAAATGACTATAAGAAGTTTTTTAAAAATGCAGCGTCACAAGTCTCTCATTATGACTGACCCACAAAATACATGAAGTTACAGTTACGCTTGGATGGCCAGAATTTCAAAATAAAAAACTGGGACATCTCAATTTTTTTCAATTTATGCCTCTCTACATATCTCGATACAATACACTATCAATTTGAAAGTGTACAATATATTTCAAATCATTTTGATATGGTTCAATAAAAATAAAGGCTAAATCATGACATGATACTAAATGTTTTTGTTAAACCATTTCTTGTACAAAGTTTATATGAAACACAGCAACAAAACTGTAGCACTGTAAGAAAGTAATTTAGTAAAATTTAATCAACACTCTTAGCGATATATATATATATCGGTACCGCAGCCCATGGTATTGATATTGTATCATCACATTAAACAATACGATATATCGATATTTTAATATACACCCTAGTAATTAAGGAAAACTGTTATGCAGAGACCTGATATGAGCCAGTATAGTCACATTTTCTTTGTGTTTTGGTGATTTTTAAGCAGCTTTTCTGTATTTTACCGAAACAAATTACAATTTATGCCTTTCTTTACTGTTTGATGTTGATTTCAAACTGGTCAAAAATAGGGACACCTGGGACATTTCTTGTACAAAACTGGGACAAATCAGTGGTTTTGGATAAATCTGCTGGGACACAGGACTCAGAACTGGGACTGTCCCAGGTAAACAGGGACGTCTGGTCTCTCTGTGACAGACCCACAAATTAAATTAAGAGTGAACAATTAGTTACAGTTATGCTCTTTTTTCACAGGTTTATTTATACCAACGATCCCAATCCAGGTGTGTCCCAGTTTTTGACATAGAAATTCTGGTCATTCTATAATATCCGTATCATTTCTCGAGCAGAAACTGAATATTATGTCGGTTTTGTGTAAATATCTCTGTCGTTAAACGATCGTGTCTCGCGCTCTAAATGTGACCCAGCTCCTGCGGACAGGAGGGCACGCGCGCGGGGCAGCTTAGCATAAGGGCTAGCGCGTTTTCGGACTTTATCGGGCTTAATTGTAAATATTTTCATTTGTCAGCGGGTAAAACCGAGCAGAGTCCGTCTCCGGAGGCAGCCCGGAGCGGATACGTGACAGGGTTTGGGGGTTTTCATGTCAGAAGTGGAGAAAGTGTGCTGCTCTCACCGTTAGCTTCGTTAGCATTAGCTTGTGGGTTTGTTTGTCTTCGGTCTGCTTCGTGGTTTTGGGGATGAGCAGAGCGCCCCCTGCTGCCCTCTGCGCGCGCACGTACAATTATGAATTTATCACTTTTATCAATTAAAACAAACCATAAAGTGGTTGTAATTCTATAGATGTACATAGTGAAAGGCTTTTTAGAGCTGTAATGTTATTTGGCTTATAAATATATATTTTTATTTTTGTTTTTATCCAATCCAACTTTAGTTGTATAGCACATTTTACCAAAAGCAAAGTCTCCACAGTACTGCACATAAAACAAATAAATAAGCAAGTTAAAAAAATAATATTATAATAAATAAATTAAAAAATATATATAAAAAATACAAAAAATTGCAAATTATTTATTAATCTAATTTAAGTTAAGTTAAGTTAATTTACATTAAGTTAAGTTAAGTTAAGTTTAAGTATAGTCTAGTTTAGTTTAAGTTTAGTTTAGTTTAAGTTTAGTTTAAGTTTAGTTTAGTTGGGACAGAGCATGTTAATGGGTAAACCTACATGTAAACACATTGAATTGTAGGTTAATCCATTGTCCCAAAGAGCTGGGATCACAGTGGGTCAAACAATAAAATATTGCACAGTTAGCATTATTGCACACTCCACTCATTGCACAATAAATAAAATAAAATCAATAAAAGACAGGCAGAGGACCAAACAATCCTCACGCCGTGTTAAAAGCTTGTGAATAAAAGTGTGTTTTTAAACGAGACTTAAAAGAATTGACTGATGTGAGAGGAGAGAGCATTCCAAAGTTTGGGGCCAACCACAGAAAAAGCCCAATCACCCCAGAGTCACCCCATGGTCACCCCAGGGTCATCCTGGCTTTTGAGTCTCATTTTTTGGAACGATAATTTGGCGCTGGCCCTCAGACCTCAGAGCTTTTAGCCTGTGGACTCAATGACTATGGTCACATGTACACTCAAAATCTGATTAATATTAGATTTTTGGGATTATAAGATTAGTTACGTGACATGCAAACACAAGTCATCCGATTTCTTTTCTGATCATGTTCAGTCTGATCAACTCACATCAGATTTTGGGGTTTAAATGTCATTTATGTAATATTCATTTCAAGTTTATTTATATAGCACAGTTAAAACTATAATATTAAAAGTCCAGAAGTCAGGTTATTACAGTAATATTGACATTTATATTATTTACAATCTATGGAAAAAATAAAATGCTACTATGTACTATTAAATTGAGCTGAATTTCCAGTGAGTGACCAACGCAATGCCCTGGTACAAACGTCACAAAACTACAAGACGTTTGGAAATGCAGATGACGACTTCCTTTGGGCCTCCTTTGGGTTGGCAGTAGTAATCCTTCGTTCGATTATCCTTCTGAATGGGTTTTTGGTGTTGTGGTGAGGCCAATATTGAACAAATACTTGATTTAAAAATTAAATGAATTAAAGTGGCAGTGTTTTCATAAAATGAGGGAATAGTCATAATCATAATAACCCACGCAGTCCAACACACGGAACAAAATAATACTCTTCAAGCTCGGACGTGACGTCAAATCCGAGGTCCAAGTGGGAGCCGGAAGATAATCGAACGCAGGGTAACTCTGACAAAAACAAATAAATAAAATTGTCCCTAACACTATTTGGAAAAAAAGACAGACTGTGAATCAAAAATGTATGAGAAATAACAAGATGAGAGATGTTTCCTTTAAACTTATGCATAAAATTTACTCTGTGCTAAAATATATTAAAACAATTGTCCCAAACAGCACTTTTTGTAAAGAATATTCTGAATGATAAGTAATCTTTTTTGGAAATGCACTATTACAAACATTTTTTGGAAAGACTACTTAAACTTTTTTATAGATCATATTGTCCATAACTTTTCATTAAAGTTGGAACATATCATTTTTAGTATTTACTTTTTTTTTTTTTTTTAAGTCAATTAACTTAATTATTATATTTGGCAAAATCTATATTCACAAAAGTAAATTTTCTCATACCTCTTTATTTTTTCCAGTTTTAATTAAGCAATTACAATCCTGCCTATCCACTATTTCTAAAAGCTTAAACCAAAAAGCCTTATTGACATATGAAGGTTATATGTTATATGTGTTTTGCATATTGTCATTATATATATGACTTTTCATAATAATAAAATAATAATATATTTTTTTTTAAGTAACTCTGACAAAACACTGTGAAAATTTGGGAAAAACTTGGGGAAAAAAATGGCCCGGTTTTTTTTTCCATCTAGGTGTCACTTCCTTTTATAAATTGCCTATGAATTTGTGTATTATAATTTGTCTTGCTTAAAAAAAAAAAAGTCACTGTTGCGTAGCCTGAGTCGGCATTATCTAAAGATCTGTCAACAAAATCAGCATCCGTTTCTGCTGCTGTGGCACTTAAAGAGCTTAAATTCTCTCATCACATAAGAGGCTTAAGTTCCACCAACCGCACATTTATGAGGCCAATGTGACTGTCTATCCACCTTTATATGGGACGAAAATGTAAATACTAATGAATTTATTAAATAATCTGTAGGTTTACAACGTTAAACATTTGCACGGTTCCTTTTAGGGACGTAACTATGTCCAAATCTTACGGTACGAGGTCAACAAACTGTGAATATGCTACTTTTTGCATCTTAAAATGCCTTGACAAGACTTAATCCAAAGAAATAAACATTGAAACGAAGCAAAGGATCATGGTCTATGTAGTTCCCTCGTTCAGTCCCTTTTTTGACCTGGCCTAGTCTTGTTTGCAGTATTTTTTCCATTATACCATTTACGTGTACATGAAGAAAGACCAGAGACGAATTTTAAAAAGCACATTTAATTGAAAAGGAAAAGCAACGTTGATCTAGATGAGGTAACACGGCTTAAATTTAAATGAACACTATTGTCAGTACTGGGCTCTATTCACACTTAAAACCGGAAGACGTTTGGAAACATGCGGATGACGACTTCCTTCGGGCTGTCGGCGATAAAAACTCTGACAAAATCTGGGAAAACTGAGAAAATTGCCTGGTTTTCTTCATCTAAATGTCACTGTATTCTTATTATTTTCCTTTTACAACCTGCCTATTAATTTGTGTATTATAATTTGTCTAATTTAATAAAAAACAGAAATGGAAAGCTTTGGCAGGTTGTAATCCGTGTGTCATTCGTTCATAAATTTTTCAAAATAAAACCAAAAATAAGAAAACGAACAAACAACTTCTTTCTTCATCATTTGTCTCCAAAATCCAAAATGAAAAAACGGATAACGATTTGTTTTTCAGTTTCAGAGTTTGTGTTTAAATAAATAATGGGGAAAAAATGACTAAAACAGGACTAAAACAGGTCTAAACCGGACTCAGTCCCGGTCTCAGTCCCGGTCTGGTTCCGGTCGGTCTTAAACTAAGACTAAACTAGAACTGAACCAGGACTAAACCAGAAGTGAACCAGGACTGAACCAAGAGTGTCGGGAAGGGCCCGAAGGTGCGCCCACTTAAGACCATTGGCTGATTAGGAAACTGGGACCAGACTGGGATTGAGACCAGGACTGAGACCGGTTTATACCTGGTTTAGTCCTGGTTCAATTCTGGTTTAGTCCTGTTTTAATCCTGTTTTAGACCTGGTTTGGAACTGGTTTAGACCTGGTTTAGTCCTGGTTTAGTCCTGGTTTAGTCCTGGTTTAGTCCCATTTTAGTCCTGGTTTAAACCTGGTTTAGACCTGGTTTAGTCCTGGTTCAGTGCGGCATCGTTTAAGTCACGGAAATGGGAAACGGCAGTTATCTGAATCATTAACGGTTTTTTTTCCCCCATTTTGGTTTTAGACACAAATAATGAAGAAAATAATTGTTTTTTCGTTCTCTTATTTTGTATTTTATTTTGAAAAACAAAAGAACGAATGACACACTGATTCAGGAACTACACCGGAAGTCGTCACCCGCATATTTCCAAACATTTTCCAGTAAACGTGAATAGAACCTTCTGGAATACATTTGTAACTGCTCAATATATGTTAATACAGAAGAAACACTGCAAAATAAGTAACAAATCCGATTAAATTGACAGATTATTTGGATTTAAACAAGAAAAAAATGTCAAAAATATCTGATATTTACTAACAAAACTCCTCAAAACACAATTCATCTTCATAATTTAATTGTAACTTGACGCTTTAAATGTACCTAAATATTGCTTTTTGTTTATTACACACATTAAACAGGTCAAAGACAATGTAAGTTATAAGAGAAAAAAAAACACATTCCTGACATTCAAAGTTATCATCATTCACACAATGGTTAATAGTATTTATAGTCGTAAGTGGTAGGGCATCTGGCTTGATGACGACCTGAGAATGATGAGTCTACAAACAAATTCACATCACATTTAAAAGGCAAACTTTCATTTACTGCAGATCTGAAATAAAAACATTTTCAAATCTAGATCTATGATAGCACCAAAAAGTTAAAACACTACAGCGGAACACAAGTAACAGAGGCATTAAAGTTAAAGCCGCACTACGTAACTTTTCGGGTGGAGGGTCTGCGAGTCGCTTATCACCATGGATATTTAATTGTTTTGCTAGAATGTTCCAAACTATGACTATCTTGCATTTATTCGATTAGGGGTTTGTGTAAAATCCTTCAGTCGTTGAGGTGGAATCCAGGGCAAAGGAGAAATTCAGTTCTGTTAAGCCGAACGGACACTGTGGAATATTTTCGCTGGTTTCACTCAGCCCCAGCTCAAACTGTACGACCAAATCACAGGGTTTAAAAGTTCACAGCTCATGGAACTACTTCAACAGAGTGAAACCCTCATGAGATACGACTGGATTTTAAACAGGTTTGATTTTCTTGCGAGCTACGACTGCCGATCAGGAGCTGGTCGTGAGGTATTAATCGGTTCAGACGAATAAGCCGAAAGTCTGAAAAACAAGCCCCGATCCCAAAAACAGTTGCAAAAAAAAAATCGGCTCAAAAAGGGCCAAAAATCACACAGTGTATGCTTGGCTTAACTGGACAAAAGTTTTTTTTGTCATCGAATTCGTTTCTCAGCTCATCCAAGCTGCTTCTTCAGTTCTGGTCAGATGCTGGTGGACATTTCCTTATATCTGCCTGAAGAGGGAGCTAACTACACTGAAACTACTCTGAAACTAAGACACTGCAAACAAGTAGGTGTGTGTTTGTTAGTACAGTTCAACAGACCGAGCTGAGTGGGGACTGTGCCTGAGCATAGAACTATAATCAAATCTGAAGGTCAACCCAAGATGGCGCTGTATTGTTTTCAGTGGTCTGTGCTCAGCCTGATTCATCAGCCGGTTTCACTTTGTAGAATCCGTCTGAACTCGCAGCGTTCGTTCGCTCGATGGTAGGTGGGTACTTTTTTTAAATTTAACCAATTGCTGCTGTTTGGTCGTGACATATGTAATGGTCTGCTAACAGGACTAACTGGTATATTAAGTTTTTCCCAAATCCCGTAGGAAGAAGGACAGTAATGTCTTTCCCCTTTGATAAAATTCACCAAACATTTTCTTTGTTCCGGCTTTAAATCTTCGACCCTGGGAATCGTTGCCAACACAGAATGTATGGTTCTTCGCTGATTGGCTGGTGCACGGTCTACAACTTCCGGGGTTCTTGCAAAAACATCTAGTGCCTTCTGATTCCTGACCTGGTCGCTGGAGAGAAATGAAATTCCAGGTACAAGGTGGCACCAGCCTGGCTAGTGTTCATTGGCACAGGAGCCCAAAAATAATTTTCTCTTTTGCATTCACTTCCTCAATTCGGACGAGCTCCTCCCACCCGTGTGACGTCTGTAAAGTGCACGGCGTGGAGCGTTTGGACCAATCAGAGCGAGAGCTGCTAGTGTAGGCTCAGAGCGGCGAGGCTCAGTCTGACGAAAATCACTTTTAGGCACTTAGAGGATTTAAAAATTTTTAGAAAGTTTATATTGTGAACTTAGAAAGGAATCCTACAAAATCCAACCTTTGTGAAATCTGGATGCAGAACACGAGCAGTCTGAATTCCCAAAATGCATTGCACTCTGAGAGAATTCTTTCTGGGCCCAAACTCCCTGGAGCTGCAGTACCTGGAGCGGCCACTAGTTGATCTGGAGCAGGGACAGAGGGGGATGGGCTTATCCATTTTTTATTACAGATCCATGTGCCATATGAGTCATGAGTCATATTAGCAGAAGGCCCCCGATGGGAGCTTTCACACCTCTGAGCTTGAACAGACCATCCACTATTTTTTCTTTGTTTTGGTTTAGGTCTGAGGATGGAGTTGTAAAAGGAGAGAGATATTTCTGTTCAAGGATGGATTCTCTTTCCTAACAAAAAATAGCCTTTTCAACTCCCCTCTCAAACCAATTCTTTTCTCTGGTCCAGATCTGTACCTCACGGTCCTCAAAGGAGTGACCCGAGGCTTTGAGATGGAGATGTACAGAAGACTGTGGTCCTGTGTTGCTACATCCTCTTATGAAGTGGCTGTTTTGTTTCTCGTTTCTTTTCTGTCTTAAAGTGTTTGTACATTTGAAAGACTTGGATTTCATGTTGTGTAAAAATCCTCTGTAGTTTTTCCATTAAAGGTTTATCTACGGCTCATATGTACCCTGAAAAACGCGCCGCTTCTCAGATCTTAAAGCCGAAAGATGGACCATTCTAAAAGCAACAGCGCATCCACGAAGACGACCAAATAGCAGATTCTCCATCAGAAAAGTTACACAGTGCACTTTTAATTATTCAGGCTTTTTAAAACTTCTACAGTACGGCATTAAATGTACATCCACCAGGCCAACTTACAGGTCAGCTCCGTGGAGAGGCACCCCCGCTCACAATAATACTTGCTTTTTAAAGAAAATCTGACTAATATAGGCTACGTTTTTTTTTTTTTCATTTCTGGTTGGTTTGGTGGGATAGGACATGTGGTCATTATTTATCGTAGTTTTACAAGAGTTAAGAGGCAGTTTCTCGAGCTCAAAATGCTCCGTTCCCCCTTGTGATGTCACATAGTGATAGTATTCCAAGTTAGAAATTGGCAAATGATTCTAGTGAAGGTATATGGAGTTTAAAAACGCGCTCAAAACTTCCGAACAAAATCCACAAACGCTGAACCTGATCTTTTCTATCGGTCACGACATTCCATTCTCCATTTCCAACATCTGACGCACCACAACATCTGCAGATTAACTCGACACGTTTGATCCGCTCCCGTTTAAATGAACACGGCTGAGGTTTCTGACAGTTTAGAAAATGATGATTATAATTGATCTGAACGAGGCTGAACCGCGTGGAGGAAACAGCAGTGTTCTTCATCAGAGGAGCTATAGGTTCCAGTGGCCCAAATAATCAACAATAATAAGTGACGGGCTTGGTTTAGTCTTTGATTTAGTCCTGGTTTAGTTCTGGTTTGGTCCTGGTTTTCAGAGGAATGTACAGAGGTGGGTAGAGTAGCCAAACGTTGACCTAAAGTAAGAGTATGCTCAGCTGTAGGAGTCTGTAAAAAGCTCCTACACAACAATTCTAAATAAATAAACAAAAACGTGATGCAAAACTGGACACAGCAACTCCGATAGAAGCTTTGAAGGGGGAGTGACTAAGTGTGCAGAGCAAAGGGAGGGGGGCATTTTAGAAACAATAAAAACTCCGGTTTAAATAGTTTATAGAATCTGTTATTTTTAAGGGATAAACCAGAAAAGTGTCTGCAGGATTCGTTCAAATTATCTAGAATTGCTAAAATAAAGCTTAAGAGTAAGAGTACTGTTACACTGTACAATATATTACTGAAGTAGCAGTAAAAGTATGAGGTCTGAAAACTGCACAGATAAATATTGTTTTGAATACTTAAGTAAAGTAAATGTAACAGAGTACTACCCACCTCTGTAGAAAAAACAAACACTGACCTCAAATGTGCCACTATTGAGGCCGAGTACTGTAATGATGCTACAAATTTACAGTACTCAATACTGATTCTGATGCCACAATATTAAAAAAACACTTTCTTTAGACAATAGAATGTAATTTTCAACATTAAATCTTGCACTTTCTTTTCTATGTGGTCTTATATTTGTGTAATCCCTCAGTGGTCCAGGCAGGTTCCATAGTGGTCCATGGGCGTAAACTAGTCTGTGGGTGTTTCTCAATTCCCAGGATCCTTCCTCCAAAGATCACTTTATCCTCCAGAGTCGACTCCTCCGAAACAGATCCAAGTGTCCTGCTCACAAGTCCCGGAACAGGCTCTGGAGGGACTGCGCCCTGTTGCATGATCAAATCAAATGTGATAAAACCCAGAGTTTTAATAAACATAAATGCTTCTACAAATATAAAGAGTTTAGATGTGTTTTTATGTGTCACATGCATAGACTGTATATATATGAGAGGACATAGATAACGCTGTAGCCACCGTGTGCCAAATAGGAAGTTCTCCAGGAGGCTCTTCCGGCTCTTTCTGACTCTGGCTCCAATTGACTTTACATTTGGATCTTGTGGCTCCTCTCCCTGTACCTGCTGCAGTGAGCCTCGTCATTTAATTAACCTGCGACACGTGATCCTGATTTTTTTTTTTTTGCTATTTTGTCCATTAAAAATATCCTATTCATAACATAGAACCTGGCTCCAGATTCACTCCTGTAACCGTGAACATCGTGAGCCTCATTTGATCGACGCTGAACACTACGGGTGAAATCACACTCACTTAGTCCACTTCTTTTATACAGTCTGTGGTCACATGTATTAAAACATGTGAATAATAAAGGCTGAGTGAATCATCTGTTATTGAGTTGTTTAGGCTCATCATTAACCTAAATAAATAAATGCACAGGCTGAAACATTTTTGAATAATTGTATTCCCAGTGCTCTTCTTTAAGAGATTTAGCTGAATTTGCCCTGATTTGAATTCATTCGATCTGATAATTGTGTGATCTAGGGAAGGGCATTCGATGAAATTTTCTTAATCGATCGTCGGAAGAACTAACGATCGATTATCGATTAATCATTAACGTTTTTATATTAAAATTATCATCATTATTATTACTATCTGCACTACTAATCTGCATAAATAAATTCAACTTTACGACATATAAACCGTAAACACTCTAGAGCCACATCAGCACGAGATTATAATGTGTTTAATTCAGTTTTGCGCAACTTTCACAGAAACGAAACTTAAAACCGCATCGCTAATTTGCATAAACTAAGTTTCTTGTACAAGTCATCCTTAAATACGCATTTGTGCTTCGGTATGTTGCAGACTGACTGACTGTTTGTGTCTCGCTCCTTCTGATGCAGAGACACATGTACAGACCCCTGTTTGGGCACGCTACGCACAGCAACCTACACTCGGTTTGTCGATTAAAATTAACGTAATCGATGAAATTCTTAATGATCAATTATCGATTAATCAACTAATCGTGCCCATCCCTAATGTGATCTGCAGCAATGTGGCTAAAATAGTGAGATATTTACTCCTTTTTTTATTGTAGAATGAGTTGTATTTTATAAAAATGCATTTTACTGCTTAAATAAATTTAATAAAAAATGAAAGTTGTGGTGCATTCTGAGATCTGAGGCGGCCAAGGATCCACCCGTGCATGTTTGGTAAAAGAGCCAAACGGAGGAGTCGAGTGTGGAGGACGTGAGGGTTTGAAGGATTTGGAGCAGCACTTGGCGAAGCTCTGATGACGTGGATCTGTCCAAAGTGGTTCAGAAACCGAGGATCCTGGCAACTGGGAAACACCCGATGTGCTCTTATACTATTTCTGACACAGCTCAAGATTTTTCTAAAGCTAATCAGGAAAGGTTCATTTTAGTCCTGTGAATGTGACGTTTTTTAGTATTGATAGCTGCTCAAATGATCTCGTTTGGACACTGGTTTTGGTATCGATTAGTATTTGACTTTCGATACTTTTACAAACCTAATCGTAATCCACAGACTTCACATTGTCCCTTCACATGTGCTCTGGGTGGCTTTGTAAACAGGAGATCATGTCTACGACTGGCTTCCCCTCAAAGCAGATCTGGTACACGGCGGTGAACAGCGGGAACCTGCAAAGCATCATGGGAAAAGAGAAGGTAATTAGCGGCACATTTTGTAATTAAACAAATCAGGTCTGTGTGGGAGACATAATTACGTCAGATAATCACCAGAATGATGTGTGATCTTTAAACGTCTCATCAGAGAGGGAGATATGACACAGAGTCCTGATTAAAGTCTCAGATTAGTCCTATTTTAGTCCTAGGTAAGTCCTGGTTTAGACCTGCTCTAGTTCTGTTTTGATGCAGGTTTTGGTTCTTGTTTAATCTCTGGTATAGTTCTTGGTTTACTCCTCATTTAGATCTTATTTAGTCCTAGTTTAGATCTGGTTTAATCCCTGGGTTTGTCCTGGTTTAGTCCTGGTTTAGTCCTGGTTTAGTCCTGGTTTAGTCCTGGTTTAGTCCTGGTTTAGTCCTGGTTTAGTTCCAAGTGTCGTGTATTAAATGGTGCGTTCACTGACTTGTCTGTGAGGTTCTTCTGTTTGAGGATTTGATAGACCTCGGCGGAAGTGGCAGGTCCCTGCAGCTTCTGTCCATTTAACATCTCCCGCTCCAGCTCCTCTATGCTCTGCGGAAAAAAGAAACATTAGAGCAGAAAATAAATGACCACAGAAATAAAGCGAAACCAGGGACTAAATGGAGACTAAACCAGTAGGACAGGCAGTAGCAGCTGCCTGGCAAGAATAATTTCTCTCTGTATTTTGACAGGAATATCAAACAATAAGATTTGTTTTTTCAGTGATGCATCTGAAATGAAGGATACATCATTTGTAGGGCTGTGCAAAAATATTTAAATATCAATATATCATATAGTTTAATGTGATGATACAGTATTGATATCATGGGCTGCTGAATTTTTTGGTATATTTAACTAAATTATTTTGTCAGAGCTACAGATTTGTTACTTGTTTAAGTGGAAGAAAACTTGTTTCATTTTTACTGTTCTGATGATTAAACTGTGTGTTTCATGTTCACGTTGCACAAGAAGTGGTTTAACAAAGACTCGTAGCATCACAGTCATGATTTTTTTTTTATTGAACCGTAGCAAATAAATTTAAAATATATAGTATTGAATCGAAAGTGCATTGTATCGAGATGCCTATCGTATCGTGACCTATGTATTGATACCCAGCCCTAATCATGCAGAATAAAGTCAAATTTAATTAATTCTGCATATATATATATATATATAAATAAATAACATGACATGTTTTTCAGTCCATTTTTTCCCTTTCCCTACTCCTAATAAGCAGCCTCTGTCTCTGATTGGCTAATCCAATTGTCAATCACGCCCATCTGAACTCTGGGAGATTCTGTTGCTGCAGTACTACTAGTAGTAGTAATAATAGTAATAGTAGTAGTAGTAGTAGTAGTAGTAGTAGTAGTAGTAGTAGTAAAAGTAATAGTAGTAGTAGTAACAGTAGTAATAATAGTAGTAGTAGTAATAGTAGTAATAGCAGTAGCAGTAGTAGCAGCAGTAGCAGTAACAGTAGTAGTAGTAATAGTAGTAGTAACAGTAGTAGCAGTAGTACTTTTCCTGTGAGTGCGAAGGCCTCTGCCACGCGGCGGTTGCGTCCTCCGTAGCAGGTGGTGATGAGGTCGGCCACGCCGCAGCTCTCCAGAAACGTCGCCGTGGAAACCGTCTGTTCGTCTGTGGAGAAGAGTTTGGTGAAGGCGATCATCTCCATGAGGCCGAGGCGGATCACTGCGGCTTTAGTGTTGTCTCCACAGCGCAGGCCGTCACAGAAGCCCGCGCCCACCGCCACGATGTTCTGATACACAACACAACGACAACACAACGACAGCTTTATTATATCTGGGGCGTTTCCATTTCACAATTACACATTTTCATTTCATTGAGAAGTATAGCTGTTGTGTTTGTTGTGTGTTGTGTTTTTCTGTTTTTGTTCATTGCGTTTTTGTTCGTGGTTGCCTTTTTGATCACTTTTGTTCATTGTTGTGTTTTTGTTCACTTTTGTTTGTTGTGTTTTTGTTCATTGTTGTTTTTGTAGTATCTTTCTTTATTGTTGTATTTGTTGTATTTTTTATTGTTGTATTTGTTGTATTTTTGTTTGTTGTTGTGCTTGTCATATCTTTCTTTGTTGTTGGATTTTTTTTGTTCTGTTTGTTGTATTCTTCTTTGTTGTATTTTGTTTGTTGTTGTGTGTGTGTTGTATTTTTGTTTATTGTTGTGTTTTCTTTAGTTGTTGTTTGTGTTGTGTTTTTGTTGGTTGTTGTGTGTGTTGTGTACCTTGAGCGCTCCACACAGCTCCACTGTGTCTGCGTCCTCCACCACGGTGATCCGGAAGTTTGGCGTCTGCAGCAGCTCTTTGAACAGCAGCCCGTTCTCCAGGACACGACTGCCTGAAACACACACACACACATTAACAAGACACACACACACAAAGCACAATCAAGTCTATGTGTGTCAGATACGGGATTTCACGTTGTTTTTTTACCTCCTTCTGTTTAACATTGCACTGCAGCCCGGTTGAGTTTACAAAAAAAAAAAGAAATGAAATGAAGACCTTTGTGTAAAAATAAGTCTTGGACAATATAATTTAAGACTTTTTAAGGTCTTAATTTAGAAACATGAAATTTAAGACCTTTTATAAGACCTTTAAGACCCCGTGGCTGGCTCCCCTGATAAAATCTCTGATCTGACCAAGATTTTAAAACTTATATGAGGTTATTCATCCTGTTTTTAGATTTATTATCTACTTAATAGTTCTGAGATGCTTCATTCTAGTCTAGAAGACGTTTATTTGAAGAGAACTTGTCAAGTAAAGTGTTCTTGCTGCATGGACAGATAATTTCACTACTTTTAAACCATTTTCTGATAGATTCAAGTGTTTATATCGTAAATTTTGGCCAAGCTTTGTTGCAGTGTCTCCTTTCGTTTATTACTCAAAGCTCATGTGTGAATGAAACGAAAAAAACAAACAAAAACAACTCCAGGTCCGTTTGTGATAAGGAAACAACATTATAACACACAACAGAAAATAGTCTAAGATGAGCCCTTTAACTCTGATGTCCGAGTTCCCTCTGCTTTACACTCTCTGTTTTTACACTGACCGATGGTGGTTTCACAGAACTTCTCAGCTGCCACTTCATTGGCGATGTTTGCTCCCATCAGAACGCTCACGTCGATGTCCATCTTCTCCCGGATGATGTCAGAGATGAGCCTCAGTCCATTTGGTCCAACATCTATGCCCTGGACAAACAAAAGGGTTAAACTGTCTCCTCTTCTCAATAAGGAGGTTGTGGGTTAGAATCCTGATCTCAGAGTGGATTGTGCAAGTAAAGTACTCTGTATCAGAGTCCTGCACCGGGTCGGGTACCAGCGGGGTAAATAGTGCCTGAAACGGGCGGATTTTAACATTCTGGAATTTTACCGGCAGATAGAGATTACACACAGGTGGGCCAGGACTAAACCAGGTCTAAACCAGGACTAAACCAGGACTAATCTTGGACAAGAGAGAAAGAACCCCGAGCCTGTGGAGCAGGTTGTCCACAAAGCGCAATCATGCACCGGACTTTCTCCTGCAGTCACCCAACGGTCTACGCAGGAGCACTTCTGAGCCTGTCCGACAGTGAGTCCAGGTTTAGTCCAGGTTTAGTCCAGGTTTAGTCCAGGTTTAGTCCAGGTTTAGTCCAGGTTTAGTCCAGGTTTAGTCCAGGTTTAGTGCAAGTTTAGTGCAAGTTTAGTGCAAGTTTAGCGCTGGTTCAGTCCTGGTTGAGTCCTGGTTGAGTCCAGCTTGAGTCCAGCTTGAGTCCAGCTTGAGTCCAGCTTGAGTCCAGCTTCGGTCCTGGTTTAGTCCTAGTTCATTCCTGGTTCGGTCCTGCTTCAGTCCACGTTCAGTCCTGGTTCAGTCCTGGTTCAGTCCTGGTTCAGTCCTGGTTCAGTCGGTGGCGTGTGCGGCACAAAAGTCCGGCAACTCGATCGATGTTTCTTCTGCTCGACCTGTGAAGCGATGACAGTCGAGTCGCGTCTGTGAATTCGTGTTCGTACTGAAGGAAGTGAAACCGTTTAATTTAATTTCGTAATTATAATTCTAGAAGTTGTAACTTTTCAATTCGTATTCTGATGGATGCTTCAGTTAGAATGATTTTAATCTGATTTATGATGAGATTTATCGCGGCACGGGCGGGTAACGGGTGGAATGTTAACGGGTCCGGGCGGGTGCGGGTTTAACTGATATAATCACGGGTTAACGGGCAATCACAAGTACTGTTGCCCAATATCTACGAGCAAATACTTAAATCCACAGTATTGGAATTGAATGTAATCAGTAACTTATTTGATTGAAAACATGGTAGACTCAAATTACAGGTTAAAAATTATTAAAAAAAGAAAAAATTATTTCAGTATTCATAGTTCCAGCCCCGTCTATGATACTACAAAAATAAGATAAGTGGTGCAGACAAGTGCTGTTTTTTTTTCTTCTTCTTTTCTTTCACTTTTAAAAATATCCTGGGTCCTGTCTCAGCTCACAGACGCCTTCACAAACAGCTCAGAATTCTCACCTCCAGATCCCGAGGTTTGACACTCCAGTCCTCACTTCTGCTCAGAAATGTTCAGCGCTCGAGAATACAGAGCTCTACTAAAACGAATACAGGGAGGGGCACAGAGAACGGACTAGACCAGGACTAAACCAGGACTAAACCAGGGAATAAACCAGGGACTAAACCAGGGGTAAAACAGAACGAAACCAGGACTAAAAGCCGGGCTAAACCAGGACTAAACCAGGACTAAACCAGGACTAAACCCAGGACTAAACCAGGACTAAACCAAGGACTAAACCAGGACTAAACCAAGGACTAAACCAAAGACCAAACCAGGGACTAAACCAGTACTAAACTAAGGACGAAACCAAGGATTAAAACACAACTAAACCAAGGACTGAATTTGGACTAAACCAGGGACCAAACCAAGACAAAACCAAGGACTTAAACCAAGGATTAAATCAGGGCTCAACCAAAGACTAAACCAGGGACTAAACCATGACAAAACCTGGACTAAACCAGGACTAAACTAAGGACTAAACCAGAACTAAACCAAAGACTGAAGTAGGACTAAATCAGGACTACACCATGGACCAAACCAGGACAAAACCAAAGACTAAATGAAGGACTGAATCACGACTAAAGCAGGACTAAACAAATGAGTAAACCAGGGACTAAACAAGGACTAAACTAAGGACTGAATTTGGACTAAACCAGGGATCAAACCAGGACTAAACCAAGGACTGAATCGGACTAGAGTGGGACTGGACCAAGAACTAAACCAAGGATTAAACCAGGACTAACAGAGGACTAAATCAGCACTGACCTACGTACTCAAATAGGTTCAAACCAGGACTAAATCAGGACTTAAATTTGACATGTTCATAGTGAAAATATTTAAAGTGACACAGGAGCCGAGCACGAAACAGGACTTAAACCCAGACACCACACAGACCTGGTTCATGGATCCGTCTCTTTAGTCTAATGTTTGGTTGATGTGAGCACTTTTAACGAATGGGAGATCAGGGCTGGAAAAGTCGAACTCCATTGGCCTGAGTAAATATGATCCTTTTGTCGATGGTTAATCTGTTTGGGAGGCAGCAGCTGTGGCCTAAATCCTGCTGAGGAAGCCCGGAGCAGAGCCACAGAGCTGGGTTCATCTGAGAGCAGAGAGGGAGAAGGCTGCAGGAGGGCGGAGGACCAGATAACACTCACCAGTATCAACGTAACTCACACTGGGCTCTTACTTTTATTTATTTGTAATGAGTGTAACAATACTGGCGATATCACAATACTGTCATAGTAAAAATGCCACGATATCGAAGAGTTTTGGGTTTTTTGTGACACAAAGTGAGAACAGGGTATCTCCAGGTTTGACTACCCCAAATTTAGATTTTTTTTTTTTTGACAAATTTACCCCAAATAAGACTTTTTTAAAACCCTTTTAAGACCACTTAAATGAAAATTAAGACCGACATCGCTCCCATTATGCAGGCGAAAAACACCAGATCCAGTTCTAATAATAACCAACCAACTACCGGTACTATATCTAGAATCTTAGAGCCACTGTGGATTAAACCTATACTTCCCCACGATCCATCCAACGTCTTCCTCCACTCTACCGATTGTTTACTCATAGCCATCGGTGCCAGAAACCAAAGTAATGTTTGCGCATGCTCCGAATTAGACGTTCATTCACGTTAAACGATTTCACATAGTTTTTTTTCCTCCCTCCATTTAAAATCGCACTGCAGCCCGGTTGAGTAAACAAAAAAATAGGCTAATGAAATTTAAGACCTTTGTGAAAAAAATAAGACTGGGACTACATAATTTAAGATTTTTTTAAGGCCTTAATTTAGGAACATGAAATTTAAGACCTTTGTAAGACTTTTAAGACCCACGGAAAAAGGAGAAAAGGTGCGTGCAGTTTACCTTGGGAAATACTACAACATGAGAAGCCTAAAAATTTTTAAATGAAATTCCTAGAATGTGTTCAGAAAATCAAGTCTGGACAAAAAACTATAAGTGAAGCATTTACATCAGCGCTGCCTCTCAACAACACTCAAAAAATAATGAAATACATCGCAGAATATAAAGCGAGTGATTTGCATTATTTTCCACGGTGGACGGCGTCGGGTTTAAAAGGTTAGTGGCTAAACTGGAGCCGAAATATAAAATGCCATCACAAGCACATTTTAGTCACAGTGTTTCCTGCGGTCTACAGCCAAAGACTAATGTACAGAGCCTTAAGCATCAAAGAGCATCTCACTCACCACTGATGGATGGACTTCAAGTTTTATTACAATTGTTTATTTGTTACTTGAATTTTGCACTTCAAGGCTTTTCAAGCAGTTCAAAATGTCACTGATATAAATATGACAATAAATGTTGTACCATAGTGTGGTCAAAGTATTTTATAATGTCAGTCCTATTATTATGTGTAATATTGTTACATATCGTGAGCTTTCCCATACCAACTTTATTTCTAAAGCACTTTAAAAACTTCACAATTGGCCAAAGTTTTGTACACAAACACAGGACAGACAATGACAATCGCAGAAGAAGAAAATATATGGTACAAACACAATACAGCTACAAAAAAAAACTGAAAACAGTAAGATACTCAACAAGAAATATACATGTCAGTGAAAAAAGGTGCGCTTTTAGGAGTGATTTAAAAACAGGTACAGACTCGGCCTGTCTAATCTCTAATGGCGATTGGTTCCACAGCTGTGGGGCCTCAACAGAAAACGCACGGTCCCCACGAAGCTTACGTTTAGTTTTTGGGACGGTGAGCTGGAGCTGGTCTGCAGACCTGAGAGTGTGAGAGGGGCCGTAAGGGTGGATCAAGTCAGTGAGGTAGGAGGGTGCTAGGCCATGCAAACGACGCATGGCCTAGATGACATCGCAATAAATATCATGCCATGAGGTTCATACCGGGACGATATCATGTTGTGAGATTTGGTTATCGCTACACCCCTATTTATTTGCAATCTCGTGATGTAAGAGGCCTGTTCACCCATAGACTGTGTAAAGAAAATTCAACCCCAGCCCATTAGGGGAGCCGTTACCTTGATGAGTGAGATTCCTCGGGCTTTGCTGGACACGCGGCCGACCATTTCTTCACAGATTTTATGAATGAACTGATGAGGAACCACAAACACCAGCAGGTCTGCCCCCTCTGCTGCCTCACTCAGCTGAGGCACGGCGATCTGAAAAACAACTCACTTTAGACTCTTATAGTTAAACCGTTCAGATGCAACACAACACCAGAGATTTCTGCTTCAGTCGGATTCTCCTCAGTAACACAGTCTAGGGACGAGCTGATGTTTTTTGTTTTGAGCCAATAGAGATATATGAAGTTTGGCCAGCTGCTGTGGCCACCGATGAATGTTATTTGCCGGTGTAGAGGTGGTTTCATCAGTGGTCATCTGGACTCTGTTTTTGCGATCAGTATGTTCCGGCTTCATCTGAAAACCATTTTCAATTGATGGAAATGGAGTGAAGAATGGGCTTTAGTCACATTTACCCCCAATTTACACAAAAGCGTAACAGAGCGTAAACACAGCAGCACAGCACACGCGCAGCACACGCAAAGGTTTGGCTTTCCATTTTAACTGGTCATACAATTTAAACCAGCAGTGCCGAGGAGAAAATTCAGTTTGTCGACTGGACAAAAGTTAGTTTGGTTGAAGACATTTCACATCTCATCCAAGCTGCTTCTTCAGTTCTGGTCAAAATGCTGGTGGACACTTCCTTATTCTGACCTGAACTGAAGAAGCAGCTTGGATGAGCTGCGAAATGTCTTCAACCAAACTAATTTTTGTCCAGTCGACAAACTGAATATTCTCCTCACTATGGATTCTACCTGGATGACTGAGGGATTCTTCACTTACACCAGCAGTGTCATACGAGCGCCCATCGGCCGTCACGATGCTGCGTGCTGCTCAAAATAGGTCGGAGTTCTAATTTTGCAACATCAACAGAGCATCTCCAGGCTTTTTAGCAATGGAAGACAGGAAATGGGCACGCGGTGTCAAAATAAACTTCCGATGCCCTTTCAAAATACGTTCTGTAAAATCACTACAGTCGCCTAAACACCGTGCGTCGCATCAGGAGCTCGGGAAAACATCTCGTGATGGACTACAGAAAGTTTACAGCCGTGGAGGATAAATATAAACCACTTTATGAAATCAGACAACAACTTTACAAGAACAACTTCTGAAGGAAAAGGCACGTGGAGCAGGCGACCAAAGAGAAATTGTGAGTAGCTTCATTCATGTGAGCACCACGGATACAGCACATTATCGCTGCAAAACATTATCTCTCTTGTCGTCCACTTTTGTTTTGTGATTTAAAACCAAATTCATCCAATCAACAATGAAAACATAAACAATGTCAAAAGTTTAGTGTTTAAACGTGAGAATCCACAGAGGCTGGCCACCGATGAATGTTATTTGCCGGTGTAGACAAGGTTTCATCAGTGGTCATCTGGACTCTGTTTTTGAGATCAGGACATTCCGGCTTCATCTGAAAACCATTTTCAATTGAGCTCAATAACATGTACCATTCCAGGAGCTGGATCAATATTACTATGAATTCTCCTGCAAAACAAGTTATACAACCAGTGAATATTTGTCAGGTTGGTCAGTATAAAGCTGCCTACTTTGCTGCGCTTGTCAGAGACATTTTGAGATGTTTTTTTTTAATGAACTGAATCAACACCTGGACCTGCTTGAGCCAATAAAGAGGTGGACTGTACCAACTCTCCTGGACTCTTTTTTTTAGGCTGCCTCCGGAAAAGCTGACATGTTCCGTTATGTTCGGTAGATCAACAGTTCCAACCCGCTGTCTGTAAGTGACATCGAAGACACGATTAGAGTCCCGTCCCCCGTGGAAAGTTTTGGCAGGTTGTGAAGACGCTGCTGCTGAATCCACAGTTTTATCACATGCCCAGAGTTGGGAACTACACTGGAAGTCGTCATCCTTATGTTTCCAAATGTCCAAATGTCTTCTCTACTGGGAATTTATCCTACTGTACCTAAGTCCAGCCCCAAAGGGAGGAGTTTTAGAGTGAAACTGCCCTGCTCCTGTTTACAGCTGACATCATTATAGATCATTATGCCCCGTCTCATCTTCAGCGTTCATAATTAGAATTCGATTGGCTTCTTACTCGACGGCCTGAGAACACTTCTGTAAACAGCTGGTAGATTAAAACCCAAGACAAACCCATTTCTGTTCAAAGAAACTGCTCTTCACAAAAATAGCTTCCTTCACTCCTCCAGCAAATATATTTTTCTCTCTCTCTGCTTAAAATTTGGACCTCACTGGTTTCAAATTAGTCATTGAATGTGAAGGCGTTGTGTCTTCGGTACTGAGTAGGGTTTGTTTAGTTTCCCCTATGTACTGTTCCATGCAGCCTTCTTTATTTGGTTTATCTCTAGCAAGGCCCACACATTTATCTCAAGCTGAAGTAAAGATCACAAATTACCGACAAACTGTTGCAAATAACATACTGCAAATTTCTCTGATCTGGCCAAGATTTTAAAACTTAAATCAGGTTATTGATCTGGTTTTCAAATTTATTATTATCTACTTACTAATTTTGAGATGATTTAATTCTAGTCTAGAGGTAGTTTAGTTTAAGTAGTGTCATAGTTCTCGAGTCCAGTTTCGAGACCGGTTTTTACGCTCTTGTTGGACTCGAGCTCTTGTTGGACTCGAGCTCTTGTTGGACTCGAGCTCTTGTTGGACTCGAGCTCTTGTTGGACTCGAGCTCTTGTTGGACTCGCGCTCTTGTTGGACTCGCGTCTCCGGACTCACGACTCGCGGTCTCCGGACTCACGACTCGCGGTCTCCGGACTCACGACTCGCGGTCTCCGGACTCACGACTCGCGGTCTCCGGACTCACGACTCGCGGTCTCCGGACTCACGACTCGCGGTCTCCGGACTCACGACTCGCGGTCTTCGGACTTAAACTTAAACTTAAACTTGGGACAAAACTTTGGTTTTGTCGCGCTTGGACTTAGTCTTGTCTCAGACTCGAGATCTGACACTCGACACTCGAGCGTGATCATAATTACAGCCACTGCTGTTGGCAATAAACTTCTTACAGCGTCATGTGGCTGAAGTTTGTCAATAAAATTGTCACAGCGGCCATTTGGTAAATGTGCAGAAGCTGGTAAATACTATTACTGCAAAACCAGTAAGAGAATGTAACTCCAGTTAGAAACTTGAAAAACCTACCCACTTTATTCACTTTCTTCACAGCTTTGTGTAAAGTGCCAGTGGAAGTTCTCTTAAAGAAGGGGTTCTCAAACTGTGGGTGAGGGTCCAAAAAAGAGGCACTTGGCTTATTTTAGGCCTAAATGAACATTAATCAGATAAAACAGAGATAGATTTATAAAAACATTGATAAATATGTGCCAAAATATATTACAAAGATGGTCTCAATTTGGTCTCGGTCTCGGGACCCTGTGGTCTCGGACTGGTCTTGGGCTTGATTAGTGAGCTCTTGACTACACTACACTAATTTTAAGATAACTTGTCAAGTAAAACTATCTTGCTGCATGGAAAGATAATTTCACTACTTTTAAGTAATTTTCTGATAGATTTAAATGTTTATATCTTAAAATTTGGCCAAGATTTTTTTTAGTGCAGGAAGCTGAAAACCATGAATAGTCCCATGCCATTTCCATCTGAAATTATGAATGACTCATCCGACTGTAGAACTGACCACATTTTGAGGCAGCTTGTATCCGGGCAGGTACTTGACATTCTCGTGTTCTGTGTTGATGATGTCGCTGAGTTTTTTCCCGTTCACCGTTTCCTCGAAGACCCACATCTTCACCGTGGAGGCGAAACTCTGCAGCGCCCGAGCGTTGTCCCCGATGATCCTGGCGATGGCCGACCCCCTGGACACAAACCAGAGAAACGGGTTGATTTTGTTTGATGATTGAAGGTGTCCAAATAGAAAATGTAAATCAAAATAAATTCCTGGGAGTTACAATAGACTGTAAATTATCATGGAAAACCCACATCAGACATACAAAAGCTAAAATTTCCAAAAGTCTTGCTATGTGCTTGCATGTTTGATTCTTCAGAAATTCGTTTACCGATTGTAGCTTCATAAAACTGAAACGCTTGCATTGTTTTTCGTTGGGGCAGCAGTAAAGAAGCAGTGGGAACTACAGGGGTCGTGTCACTGCTTGGGTCAGCACAGTCACACACTTTGAAAGCTGTACTCGTGAGACCGCATGTTCACGCCATAACGAAGGGCTGCAACGTCTGGTAAAAACAGACCGCCATCGAAATAAATCCAGTGCACCACCTCGCCTCTAAAGAGCTCAGAAGGACTGAAAAAAGTGTTGAAAATCAGATATTAATCAACACTAAAACTAGTATCGAAACTGCTCATTTAACAAGCAACAATGCTTAACAAAATGTGTAAACATGAAAAAAATGCAAAATATCTGATCAATTTTAGGATGATCACATGATAACAAATAAAGTACTATTATTTTGTGTTGAAAATCACATTCTATAGACCTTTTTCACAACGGCCGGAAGTGTCCCGCTTTAAGTTTGTGGTACTTCCAGTTAATGGTTTTCTGTGGCAAAATGTCTGTGCAAATGTCTGTCTCAAATAAATAAATAAATAAAATAAATATTTTCCAACAGCTAAAAGTGAAAAAATGCGTAGCACACTCAGGTGGCCGTTGTCCAAAAGCTTTTTTATTTTTAAATAACGTTTCGGCAGAAAAAGCCTTCATCAGATATTTTTCTAGCTTTGGACCACTGTACACAAGAAAAATATCTGACGAAGGATTTTTTGCCAACATAAAAAGCTGCGCTAAACCTGCACACGTACGATCTTTGAAAACATCGTGACACACAGAAAAGACTCACCATCAGCATCAACATCCCTCTGTCACAGAAAGAACACTCATATTCCACTGAGTCGTGTCCTTTAGTCCGACAGAAGCTGAATCGCATCAGCGCACAAGAGCATTTTTTTTCTCGCTTAGTTTATGCAAATTAGCCATGTGGTTAATAGTAGTAGTAGTTTTGTTTCTGTAAGACTTGTGCAAAGCTGAATTAAACACATTATAATGTCAAACGGGCTGATGTGGCTCTAGAGTGGTGATGGTTTATTTGTTGTAAAGTTGAGTTTATTTATGCAGATTAGTAATAGTAATAATAATGATGATACTTACTATATAAAAACGTTAATTCTCCCGATGATCGATTAATAACAATTTCCTCGAATGCCCATCCCTAACATAGACTAGTATTCGCCCATGGACCACTATGGAACCTACCTGGACCACTGAGGGATTTATACAAGGGCACGAGGTAATTTAAAATAATGTTGAAAATGACATTCTATTGTCTAAAGAAAGATGTTTTGTAATAGTTGTTGTGCTAAGAGGATTTTCTGTATAGGGTGACCAGATTTTCAAAATAAAAAACTAGGACATCCCCGGTTTTTGGTGGTCGGTAATAATAAAATTGTGAAACGAGTGCGTAATTAAGGAAAATTGCTAATGCACTCGGAACTAATCTGAGTCAGTATAGTCACATTTTCTTCCTGTTTTGGTCATTTTTAAGCAGATTTTCCGTATTTTACCTCAACAAATGACAGTTTATGCCCCTCTTTCCTGTCGGCAGGTTTCAAATTGTTTAAAAATAGGGACACCTGGGAAATTTCTTGTATGAAACTAGGACAAATCAGTGGTTTTGGATAAATCTGCTGGAACAGGGGACACAGGGCTCAAAACTGGGACTGTCCCGGAGAAAAAGGGGGACGTCTGGTCACACTATTTCTGTAGGCTGCCTTATTTTTATTGTGCATTGATGCTTTTGAACTGAAATAACATTCTGTTCTACAATTATTTAGATTTTCTACTATTTTTCAATGACAAACCACGTGTATTTTTGTGTGCTCAATGTGTTTCTTTGTCTCTTTTTAGTTTAGGTCTCTGAAATAAGCCAACCATAAATATTGCAATGATTAAACGTGCTTAAAATATGCTGTACTATAAATGATATATTGTTGTCTAAAAGTACACATTGTCCTTGATTTCACGTGCAATTTTAATTCTCTCTTTCTTAATAAAATCGCATCTAAACCACATTCAACCCCGCGCATGTTTCCGAGCGTAATTTTAAATATTTGTAATTTTCTGACCAGTTCCCGGAGCCCACGATGCAGACTTTGAGCGGAGCGGCCATGGCTGCAGGTTGTGTCCGCCTGGTCGGTGCTGAGTCCCGGGTAAAGCCTCTGGAGACGCGCCGCTGCAGCTCCGGAGCGCACCGCACCGCAGCGCGCTCTGATGACGCAATACACCAGCGCCATCACACAGGGACGACGGGAAATGTAGTACTTATTTATTTAGCGATTAAAATAAAAAATATATATATAAAATAAAATAACATAATATAACCTAACATGAAAACATAAAATAAACAACATAAAATAACATAAAAATAAAATACAATAAAATAAAATAACAAAAATAAAATTACATAACATAACATAAAATAAAAACATAAAATACAATAAAATAAAATAACATAACATAAAATACAATAAGATAACATAAAATAAAGTAAAATAAAGTAAAATAACATAAAATAAAATAAAAATAACATAAAATAAAATTACATAACATAACATAATATAACATAAAATACAATAAAATAAAATAAAATAAAATGATTCTTTATAAAGCACTTTTAAAGACAAGGTTTATAAAGTGTTGAATAAGCAGCAAAGAACAATACAAAAAGCATAAAAATAGCAAACAGGAAGCACAAAAACAGACAATGAATCAAACAATCAAATAAATTATAATAAATAAATAAAATATAGAAATATATAAGGAATAAAATCAAGCTAAAACCAGTTAAAGGAAAGCCAGTTGAGTGATTTAAATGATGATACTGATGGTGTGAGCCTTATCTCCTCAGGCAGGACTGAAAAGACTCCATCACTCTTTGTCTGGAGCCTGGACGGCCACGGGGACCTGGCTGAGGATCTAAGGCTGCGGGAAACAGCGGCAGGCTCATACAGGGTTAAAAGTTATGAAATGTAACTTGGTGCGAAACCTAAACGAGCTTTAAAAATGAATATTAAAATCTTAAAATTGATTCTAAAACACACAGAAGCCAGTGAAGGGAAAACAGGGTCATGTGTTGATGTCTGTGAGGAGCCGAGCTGCTGCTTCTCAAACAGTTGGAGGCAGAGATGGATTTGGAGTCGAGGCTGGAGCGGAAGGATACAAGTAAAAGTGCATACACATCATCTTGTACCAGTTTAAGTGGTTTAGATTAAACCAGTGACAAACTGTTGCTACTTATTTAGATTTTTTTTTTCATTTATATTTTTTACTCTTTGTTATTAACTATATTAGCTGGTTTAGTTTCTCAAAGAAAGATAATTTTGTGAATTAACGAGCTCATATTACTCTGTTTTGTGATCTATGTTACACTGTTGTTTCATCACAAACAGACCTAGAGTTGTGTTTTGTTTCATTCATGTTTAACACAAACTGCAGATTTAGGCGGAGTTCTTCTCTCAAACTGAAAACACTCTGTTCCACCTTGTGATGTCATGTGGTAATACAGGAAGTGCTCCACTGTGTTTTTAAAGTCCACACACCTTCACTAGAATCATTTGGATAATTTCAGCCCTGGAATTACCGATCTCTACTAAAGAAAAGAAACAAAAGGTACTGTTAACTTTAAAACTACCACTTCATGACATCACAATGTACAACGGAGCATTTTGAGCTTTGGAAATGCAGATAGACAAATAATAAAGAGTTACTCAAACATATGAATGAAATAAAACACAGCTCCAGATCTGTTTTTGAGGAGGTAACAGCATTATAACATGGCTTAAAGCTCACAAGAATTATTTTTGAGTAATATAGGTTTTTAAATTAATTTAACGTATATGGATTTCAAATTTGACCAATGTGCTCCGCTAACACAAGGAGTATAGTTATAATAATAAGTTGTTGTAACCAGGAGAAGTGTAGTGATCAACTGTGACCTGTTTTGACCACCAACACGTGCATGACAATTACAGAATGCTCTCAGTAAAGGCACAATAAAAGGTCATCATGATGTTTTTACTAACATCAAAAGACCATAATTTCTATCATTGCAATTTTGATTGATCCACAGAAAACAAAATGTGTGACTTTATCCATAGAACTGTTGATCCTCCAGTTTAGATCTGTTCAATCAAAACACTGATGATTCCTATTAATTTTCAGTTGTTTTGTTAATTATGCTCAATGTGTGAACGGAGCTCTGTGACCGAAGTGCAGCTCATGAATCTGGTCGTAGTCAGAATGCTGGTCGTAAGGATCATGGTTGTATATTTTTATTTATTTTTCTTTCTTTCTTGTCCCATGCAATGGATCGACTATATTTGTGTTCCTGTATGAGTGTGTGCGAGCGAGTGGATGGGTAGGAGAGTATGTGGTTGGATATGTATATACAGTATGTAAATATATGTCTATGTATAATGTATATGTACCCGCCTGAGATTGACAGGTGGATCGGTGCAGCGTCAGCAGTGATGTGGTCACTGTATTGAACCGTTGTGGTGAAGAGGGAGCTGAGCTGAAAGCCTTTTTGGATTTACCTTCAATCTACATTCCTCCCCTCACCTCTGGTCATGAGACCTAGGTAATGACCAAAAGGACAAGATCGCTGATACAAGCGGTCAAATTAAGTTTCCTCCGCAGGGTGTCTGGGCGCTCCCTTAGAAATAGTGTGATGAGCTCAGTCACATAGGAAGAGCTCGGAGTAGAGCCACTTCTCCTCCACGTCGAGAAGAGCCAGTTGAGGTGGCATCTGTTCTGGATGCCTCTTGGACGTCTCCCTCGGGAGGTGTTTATGTCCCACTGGGAGGAGGCCCCTGGGAAGACCCAGGACACGCTGGAGGGACTATGTCTCTGGGCTGACCTTGGAAAGCACAAAGGAAAACATCATCTCTTTAGAATCAGGTCTAAACCTGGACTAAACCAGGTCTGGACCAAGTCTAATGTGCAAGAAGGTTTGACCAGGACTAAACCAGGTCTATGCACGGTCCAAGTCACAACAATTCTCACATGGAGACGCATTCAATGAGCAGCATCACACCCTAAAAATCACGCGTAACATTTGCACCTGGTCCCTGTAGAGCCTCTTTAAGGTTCCGTAGTGTTTCCAGCTCACAGCTCGCGCACAGTGACTTTTTCCTCATCCTGAATCCCAGCGGAGCGCGCCTAACATATGGAGACGTAACGTTATTCACGCTCGAGTCATCGCAGGTCATCCGAGTCTTACATAACACCGAGGCTACGTCACTCTGCGTGAAATCTACACTCCCATTCATAAACTTATTATTGACAAACGTGGAGAAAAAACGAGGGAAAAGGCAGGAAAAGTTAATTAGGTTAAATGTAAATGGTTGGTGAAGTGTGATCGCGCGCGGGCTCTGGCACAAAGGGTAATTATAGCAGATCCCGAGGCGCTCCGGTTTAATTTTGTGAACATCAGAAGAAGAGTTATTACATAATTTATTACCATCCATCTCAGTGAACTCTCGGAGATTACGTAACGTCATCTGGGCTCCGAGTGGGGCTAAACCAGGACAAAAACAAAGCAGCTCGGAAATATGCCACCTCTGCCTCCTCCTGAACGATACTCACTGTCGATCTTCTGTTCCATTTATTCATTTTTCCTTTTCTGTTCCATTTATTCACTCTCCTCCTCTTTACTGTCACATTTTCTATTTTTTTTATCGATTAGGCTACGATGTACTTCGCTATAAAATATCCAAAGGTAAATTCAGAAATGTTGAACCTGATTATTTCTGTTTTAATTTTTAACAACTGTCATTATAGCAGAAAACCATGTCTATGAAATATTTATGTCCTATAAAATGTCGTGATGTTGACAGAAACGAGCCGTACAACAACAAAAATCTGCAGCTGAACAATATTTATTTTAGCTTTAGCCAAACCTAAAAATAGGTTTATATACAAGTTTAGAAAAATGGAAAGTTAAAATAAAAAATAAAATTAATTAATTAATTAATTAAAAAGAAAGAAAGAAATTAAATTAAATTAAATAAATAAATAAATAAATGAAATTCAATTAAATAAATTTCAGCACAGCGTTTTCCTCACTGATAGAATAATTTTGCATAGTGCACGTCCTGGTTTGGACTGTCAGACTTAGACAAGATTTATTGATCCACAGGGGAAATCATCCGGACACAGCAGCTCACACATCACAAATAAATAAACTCTTTCACGCTCTACGTCAGAGTGACGTCGCATCTCTCGCTGGAGACACAGATTTGCCAAATACTATTTGGTCTTTCGGTGTCATGGATCCTGCTTCCAGACTTTCCAGACTGAAGGATGCCAAATTAATTAGTTTGGTCTAGTTTAGACCTGATTATCTTATGTCCTAGTTATCTGAATTATTTAGAATTTGGTTCAGACCTGGTTTAGTCCTGGTTCAGACCTGGTTGTCTTAATTACTTAAGACCTCGTTCAGACCTGATTCTGATCTGGTTTAGTTCTAGTTCTCTCTGTTAATTAGATCCTGGTTCAGAAATGGTTCAGTCCTAGTTTAGTCCTGGTTTAATCCTGGTTCAGTCCTGGGTTTAGTCCTGGCTTAGTCCTGATTTAGTCCTGGTTTAGTCCTGATTTAGTCCTGGCTTAGTCCTGTTTTAGCCTTGGTTTAGTCCTGGTTTAGTCCTGGCTTAGTCCTGATTTAGTCCTGTTTTATTCTTGATTTAGCCCTGGTTTAGTCCTGGTTTAGTCCTGGTTTAGTCCTGGCTTAGTCCTGATTTAGTCCTGTTTTATTCTTGATTTAGCCCTGGTTTATTCCTGGTTTAGCCTTGGTTTAGTCCTGGTTTAGTCCTGATTTAGTCCTGGCTTAGCCCTGATTTATTCAGTCCTGGTTTAGCCCTGTTTTAGTCCTGGTTTAGCTCGTGTATATTTTCGTGCAGATGCTGATGACGCGATAAAGCGAAACTCCCGCGTGCCGCATGTGGCGCATTATTGATCCACGCGCGTGCAAGTGTGTATGTAATGTGTGTGTGTATGCATGTGTGTGTATGTGTGCATGTGTGTATGTGCATGATGTATGTAGCGTGTGCGTGTGTGCATGAGTGTGTGAGATGTTGTGTGGCGCGTGTACGTGTTTGCGCGCGCCTTTGTATGTGTGCATGATGTGTGTATGTGTGTGTGTAGTGCGTGCGTGTGTGTGTGTGTAGTGTGTGTATCGCTGCATGTGGGAGTGACCAACCCGGGATTTCCAAAACAAAAAAACAACGCAATAACGTCACCGATCCAGCGGCTAGGGAGCGCGTGCGAGCGGAGAGAGAGAGATGAAGAGGAGGAGGAGGTGGAGGAGAGAGAGGAGAGAGAGAGGAGAGCCGCAGTCGCCTACACCAGAGTGAGAAAACCCCTCCGTTCATTCACCGCGCGCCGAGCTCCGGTCCCGTCATGCACCGCTCCCCCCGAAGCCCCGGCCCCGCTGCTGCAGCCTCGACCCGGGACGGAGGAGGAGGAGGCGGCGGCGGCGGCGGCGGAGGGACGCGCGCAGCCTCCCGGAGCAGACGGCACCTGGAGGGCCCGCTCAGGAAATACACCAACCTGCTCCACGGATGGCAGAGCCGGTGAGTGCGGGACCGGGACAGGACCGGGGACTGGACCTGGACAGGACCGGGGACAGGACAGGGACTGGACATGACTCCGGGTCCTGCACGACCCAACCGGACAAGTTCAGATGTGTGTGCTGCGAATAAAAAGGTCCTGGTTGAGTCCTGATTCAGTCCTGGTTTAGCAAAGGCTCAGTTTTAGTTTGATTAGTTGGGACCTGGTTCAGACCTGGTTTAATCCTGGTTCTGATCTGGTTTAGTCCTAGTTATCTCAGTTAGTTAGGACGTGGTTCAGACCTGGTTCAGTCCCAATTCAGATATGGTTTTGTCCTGGTTCAGACCTGGTTCACACCTGGTTCACACCTGGTTTAATCCTGGCTTAGTCCTGGTTCAGACCTAGTTCAGACCTGCTTCAGACCTGGTTCTGATCTGGTTTAGTCATAGTTATCTCAGTTAGTTAGGACCTGGTTCAGACCCGGTTTAGTCCCAATTCAGATCTGGTTTTGTCCTGGTTCAGACCTGGTTCAGACATGGTTATCTTAATTACTTAAGACCTAGTTCAGACCTGGTTCACACCTGGTTTAATCCTGGTTTAGTCCTGGTTCAGAACTGGTTCAGACCTGGTTCAGACCTGGTTCTGATCTGGTTTAATCCTAGTCATCTCAGTTAGTTAGGTTCTGGTTCAAACCTGCTTTAGTCCTGTTTTGGACCTGGTTTTGTCCTGGTTCAGCCCTGGTTATCTTAATTACTTAAGACCTGGTTCAAACCTGGTTCTGATCTGGTTTAGTTCTAGTTCTCTCAGTTAATTAGGTCCTGGTTCAGACCTGGTTTGGTCCTGGTTCAGACCCGGTTCAGACTTGGTTCAGACCTGGTTCAGACCTGGTTTGGTCCTGGTTCAGCCCTGGTTCTAGTCCAGTTTAGTTCTAGTTATCTCATTTAGTTAGGTCCTGTTTCAGACCTGGTCCAGATCTGGTTTAATCCTGTTTCAGACCTGGTTTAGTCCTGGTGAATAAAAGGACTAAACTAGAACCAAACCTGTTTTAAACCAGGTAAAAACACCAACTTAAATCACACAAAAGTGACTCTTGTGAGCTTTAAGTCACGTTATAATGTTGTTACCTCGTCAAAAACAGACCTGGACTTGTGTTTTGTTTCATTCTGTCTGCAGCTCCAAACCTCTGAAAGCTGTTTCACCTGAAATTTTCTCTCTACAGGGTTTGTGTGTTAAACATTTGAATGAAACAAAACACAAATGCAGGTCTGGTTGTGATGAAAAAACAACTTTATAACAGAGATCAGAAAGCCGTGTAACATGGGCCGTTTAAATCAGGTCTAAACTCGAACACACACGTTAAAAACACCTTAAAAAACAGAGAGGGATCAGAATAAAAACCCTAAAAGTCTTTTGCTCTCAGTTTATTGTGATAATGTTTGGTTGGAAATCAAACTTTTCACATAGGAGCCTCAAATTTGGGGCGTTCATTTAAAAAAAAAAGTGGAACAGGCAGGACTGAACCAGGATTGAACCAGGACTAAACCAGGACTCTAAACCAGGACTACATGAGGGCTGGACTGAACCAGGTCCAAACCAGAACTGATCCTGGACTAAACTTAAAGAAATGTGAGTCAGTATAAGAGGGCAAGTCTTAAGACTGAATTATAGTTCCGTGTCGACTCAGCGCACACGGCCGCTGTCACCTTGTCGCCGTCGTTTTTGATTTATGGATCTGCGCCGATTTAAGGTTTATGCGCCGTGAAGTATTTCACTGCCACAACACTAGGAGGCGACGATTTAAAAATGGCGCTTGTGTTTACAAAATGAAGCTGGAAAGTGTACTGGAAATGGATGTAGAGCGGATGTAGAGACGACCAATCACAGCTCTTATTGTTTTGAGGCGTAGTTTCAAACTTTCGGAGGTGCAGGTCGGTCGGTGCAGACGCTCTGTGGAGGGAGTTTGACCATGAACTAGAGGTCGGTTCGTTGGGGGCCTCCATCCATCCAGCCATTTTCTTCTGCTTATCCGGGGCCGGGTTGAGGGGACATCAGTCTAAGTGGCGAAACCCAGACTTCCCTCATCCCAGACACTTCCTGAAGCTCCTCTGGGCAGAAACCCCGAGGTGTTCCCAGGCCAGCCCAGAGACATAGTCCCTCCAGTGTATCCTGGTCTTCCCTGGGGCCTCCTCCTGATGGAACACCTCCAGAGGGAGACGCCCAGGATTCCATGTCCCCCAGAGCCAGTCTCCATGGAGATCTGGTCGAGGCCTCCGCCTCTGACTACCGCTCAGATCTCTCTGCACCGGCCCCGTATGGCTCCTCCCGCGGGTGGTGGGTCTATGGAAGGGCGGCCCCATGTCGCTCGTTCGGGCTGTGCCCGGCCGGGCCCCGTGGGGGAAGACCCGGCCACCAGACGCTCGCCGTCGAGCTCTCACCCCAGGCCCGCTCCACGGTGGGGCCCTGGTAACGCCATTGCGTGCGACGTAACTGACCTCATTGGTGTTCTCAACACCTTCTGAACCGTTCTTAGTGTTTTGAAAAAAGAATGAACGAATGACACCGAGATTTGACTTAAAGATGTTTTTTTCTTCTTCATTTTGCATTTTTTTTCTGGTGTGACTTATGCTCCAGAGTGACGTATAGTCTGAAAAATACGGTAATTGCTTTTGTTTATTTTATCACCAGACCCCCTTGGACGTGCGACTGCTGGGAAAATCAGGTGCCAGAGGGCAAAAAACTGCTGTTGTGTCATTAGGCAACACACTTCAACCACATTGTCTGGTATAAAAGTGTGTGTGTGTGTGTGTGTGTGTGTGGAGTGGTGTGGAGTGATGAATAATGCTCTCTGAAGCATCTTTGAGTGTCCAGAAAAGCGATGTATGAAACTGATGCATTATTTGTCGTGCCCTTGAGCAAGACACTTTGTCCGTGCAAACCCATGAAACATTTATTTTGCGTAAAACCAAAAAGAACAACTTGACATGAAGAGAAACGCGGCTGCAGCTGTGAAACGCTAAACCACATTTGTCTACTTTTATGAAATCTGAATCTGCTCCGTCTCTCTTCACACCTCCCTCTCTCTCTCCCTCTCCCTCTCTCTCTCTCTCTCTCTCTCTCTCTTTTTCTCTTTCTCCCTGTCAGTTTCTGTTTTTCTCACCCTCTACATTCCTCCCTCTCGCTCTCATTCCACTTTTCTTCCTTCTTTTTCTCACATCCTCCTCACACCTCTGTCTCTCCCTCTGTCATCTGCCTCTCTCTCTTCTTCACACCTCTGCCTCGCCTCTCTCTCTCTCTCTCCTTTACCCCTCCCTTTATCCCTCCTTCTTTCTCTCCCTACCTCCTCTCTCCTCCCTCTCACTTTTCCTCTCTCCCTCTCTCGCTCTCTCGCTTCTTCCCTCCTCTTCTTCTATCTCTATTCCTCTCACCCTCTCTGTCTTCTTCTCTCTCCCTCCTCTCTCCCCCTCTCTATCCCTCTCTCTGCCTCTTCTTCCCACCCTCTTTCTCTTTTCCTTCTCTCTTTCTCTCTCTCTCTCTATCACACTTCTTCTCTCTCTATTACTCTATCTCCCCCTCTCTATTTTCTCTCTCAGTCCCTCCATCCTCTCTTCCTTCTCCCCCCCTCTCCCCATCCCTCTTTCTGTCTCCCTCTCTCTCTTCTTCTCTCTCCCTCACTATTTTTTCTCTCTCTGTCCCTCAATCTTCTCTTCCTTCTCTCTCCCATTCCCCTTTCTGTCTCTCCCCCCTCCTCTCTCCTTCTTCCTCCCTCACCCCTCCCGCTTTCTCTCCCTCCCTCTCTCCTCCTCTCTTCCCTCTCTCTTCTTCTCTCTCCCTCTTTATTTTTGTCTCTCTCTGTCCCTCCATCCTCTCTACCTTCTCTCCTCCGATCCCTCTTTCTATCTCCCTCCCTCTCTCCCTCTCTATCTCTGTCTCTCTCTCCTTCCCTCCTTGTCTTCTCTCTCTCTCTTCTTCACTCTCCCTTACTATTTTATTTTTTCTCTCTCTGTCCCTCAATCTTCTCTTCCTTCTCTCTCCGTCCCTCTTTCTGTCTCTCTCCCTCTCTCTCCTTCTTCCTCCCCCTCTCTCCCTCTCCTCCAGCTTTCTCTCTCTCCCTCCCTCTGTCTCTCTCCTCCTCTCTTCTCTCTCTTCTTCTCTCTCCCTCTTCATTTTTCTCTCTCTGTCCTTCCATCCTCTCTCCCTTCTCTCCTCCTATCCCTCTTTCTATCTCCCTCCCTCTCTCTTCTCTCCCTCCTCTGTCCATCTCTTCCTCTCTCCTCCTCTCTTCTTTCTTTTTTCTTTCTCTCTTTCTCTCTCTGTGTGTGTGTGTGTGTGAGGAGTGTGTGGGCGGGAGTCCCAAATCCTGCTCTGACTCATCGGAGGAAAGCCCTGCACTGTTTCCTATCGCTTCATCACTCTCTCTCTCCTCTCTCCTCTCTCCTCTCTCCTTCTTCTCTCCGTCCTTCTTTCCCTCCTCTCCAATCACTCCCTCCTTCTCTTTCTCTCCTCTCTCTCTCTCTCTCTCTCTTCTTCTGTAGATCAATAGCAGAAGCTTCTGTTCGTTTAATGACTTGGATCATCACTCTTCACTTCTCTCCCTCCATCTCTCTCTTCACACCTCCCTCTTTCCTCTCTCCATCCTTCTTCCTCTCTCTCTCTCTCTCTGTCAGTTTCTGTTTTTCTCACCCTCCATCCCTCCATCCCTCTCCTCCTTTACCCTCTGTCTCTCTCGTTCCAACTTTTCCTCCTTGTTCTCACAGCCCCCTCCCTCTTTCTTTCTCTTTCTCTCTCTCTCTCTCTCTCTATCCTCTACCTATCATTCTTCTTCACCTCGCTAGCTCGCTCGCTCTCACTCTCTTCTGATTCTCTCTCTCTTTTCTTCCCTCTCTCACTGTGATTTACTTCGTGGACAAATTATGCTGCACAAATAAACCTGCCTCTCATTCTCTCTCTCTTTCCTCTTTCTCTCTCCCTCTCCTCCTTCTCCTCTCTTTCTCTCCCCTCTTTCTCTCCCCTCTCTCTCAATCTCTCTCAGCCTCTCCTCTTACTCTCCTCTTTTTTCTCACTTCTTTCTTTCTCTCTCACCTCTCTCCACTCCTCTTTCTCTCTCTCTCTCCTTTGTCTTTCCTCTTTCTCTCTCCCCCTCTCCTTCTTCTCTTTCTCTCCTCTTGCTCTCTCTCCTGTTTGTCTCTCCTTTTTTCTCCCCTCTTTCTTTCTCCCTCTTCTCTTTCTCCCCTCCTCTTACTCTCTTCTTTTTGTTTCTCTTCTTTTTCTCCCTTCTTTCTTTCTCCCTCTCCTCTCTCTGTCTTATCTCCCCTTCTCTTTCTTTCTTTCTTTCTTTCTTTCTATGTTTCTCTCCTTTTTTTCTCTCTCCTCTTTCTTTCTCTCTCTCCTCTCTCTGCTCTTTTTCTCTCTCCCTTTTCTCTCCCCTCTTTCTTTCTTGCTCTCTTCTCTCTCTCCCCACATTTCTCTCTGTTTCTCTCTCTCTCCCTTTCTCTCTTTCCTCTTTCTCTCTCCTCTTTGTCTCTCTTCTTTCTTTCTCTCTCTCTCTCTGGTTTCTCTCTCCTCTTTTTTCTTTCTCACCTCTCCCTCTCTCTCTCCTGTTTCTTTCCCTCTCTTCTCTCTTTCTCTCCTTTTTCATTCTCTCTCTCCTATCTCTCTCTCTCCTCTTTTTTCTCTCTCTTCTCTTTCTCTCTCTCCTTTTTTCTCTCTCTCTTCTCTTTCTCTCTCTTACCACTCTCTCTCCCTTTTCTTTCTCTCTCTCCTCTTTCCCTCTCTCTCCTCTCTCTCTCCCCACCTTTCTCTCTCCCTCTTTCTCTCCCTTCTCCTTCCCTCTCTCTCCCCCCTCCCTCTCTCCCTTCTCTCTTTCTCTCTCTCTCTTCCTCTCTCCCTCTCCTGTGTCTCTCTCTCTTCCTCTTTCCCTCTTCTCTTTGTCTCTCCCTCTTTCTCTCCTCTTTTTCTCCCCTCTTTTTTTCTCTTTCTCCCCCTCTCCTCTTTGTCTCTCCTCTTTCTCTCCCCTCTCCCTCCCTCTTTTCTCTTCTGTAGATCAATAGCAGAAGCGCCTGCTCGTTTAATGACTTGGATCATCACTCTTTACTTCTGGCACATCTCTCCCTCGCTCCATCTCTCCCTCTCTCGCTCCCTCCATCTCTCTCTCTCTCTCCTCAAACACTTTACAGACGCCAGCGCTCTTCTTCTTCTCTCCTCTTTCTTCTCCATCTCTCGTTTCTTCTCCCTCTTCTATTTTACTGAAGATACGAACACACGACTTCCTCTCTTTCCTTTTTCCTCTTTCTCTTTTTCTCTCTCTCTTTCTCCTCTCGCAAACCCCGCTTCGGTCGTTTCTTCTTCTTCTTGCCGTTCTCTCGTTCCGGCTCTTTTGTTTTGATTGACAGCTCGTCGGTGCTTTGATTGACAGCTGCCTCTGTGCGTCTCATAATCGCGTTTCATTTTCAGTTTATGGAGCTGTCAGCGAGAAAAATCTGCGACTAAAACACCAAACACGTTCGCTCAAATCGAGTCCAGGAGCGCTCTGTCACTTTTATGGTCTCTGGTTGCCATGGAGATGTTATAGATTTGCCTGGAATGTCCCGCAGTGTGTCATTAAACTCCATATCCGCATAATGAGCACGGAGCGTTTAAAGAAAGACGAGGACCGAGGGAGTTTGACGCCCACAGACTTCAGCTCCAGTCAAATGAAGCTCACGACGTCTCACGCGGCTTCAGGAGCAAATCCGGAGTTGAGGAATTTATTTATGGACAAAAGAGCGAAATAAAAACTCCAGGATCAAGTAGAGCGAGGGGTTTCTACGAACATTTTAAGACCAAAATGATACAGAGAGAGGAGCAACTATTTTTCATTGGCCGCATTTACATGATGTGTTTTAATTCTGAAATTCTGTTCTGAATTAAAATATTCTCCTTTGAGTTTACATTGAATTAATAATTATGAATTGAGGTCCATCCATCCATTTTTCATTTTCTTCCTTTTATCTGGGGCCGGGTCGAGGGGGCAGCAGTCTAAGGCCTCGTTTACACTTACACAGGTATTTTTAAAAACTGAGACATTTCCTTCGTGTGTTCTTCATCTTTTACACACAAACAGCGAATTCTCCTCTGAAAAGGAATCTTTCTACAAACTCCAGCTAGAGTGGAGATTCTGGAAAACTCTGGTTTAGTGTTTGCGTGTAAAGTGAGATAAACAGAGTTTTAGGAGCGACCAGTGTTTCCCTTTTGCTCTGATGATGATGATGATCAGAGCAGCAGTCGTGTTTCTTCTACTGAAACACTTTTCATGTGTTTCATTTGCACAAACAGCTGATGTGTCATATCCACGACCAGAGACCAATGAGACTTTAACAGATCTGTGGAGAGGCGAGCCCGATCACTAATGCATATCTTTCAAGGTATTTGTGAGTAAAACTTACAACTGTAATGAAATAAATGCTGCAGGTTTGAATCTGATCCAGGCGCCGCCCAGAGGTTTGGTGTAGTTATGACGGAGCTCGATGGAGGATTTGTGCAGGTCGATATAAACGAAAACATTTTGAGAACAATGCTGTGTGCACGATGTTATTTTGGAAAACGGAGGGAGGGAAATATTTGTTTCTCAACCTACCCGGCTCTGTGTAAACTTAGCCTCAGCAGGGTTTCCCAGACTTCCTCCACCCCAGACACTTCCTCCAGCTCCTCCGGGGACCCCAAGGTGTTCCCAGGACAGACCAGAGACACAGTCCCTCCAGCGTGTCCTGGGGCCTCCTCCCAGTGAGACATGCTCAGAACACCTCCTGAGGGAAGAGTCCAGGAGGCATCAGAACAGATGTCCTCCCCTCAGCTGCTCCTCTTGATGTGGAGGAGCAGCGGCTCTACTCCGAGCTCCTCACCCTATCTCTAAGGGAGCGCCCAAACACCCTGCGGAGGAAACTCATTTGTGCCGCTTGTATCCGCGATCTCGTCCTTTCGGTCACTACCCAGAGCTCATGACCAGAGGTGAGGGGAGGAACAGAGACTGACGGTAAATCAAGAACTTTGTCTTTCGGCTCAGCTCCTTCTTCACCACAACGGTCCGATAAAGCGCCTGCATCACTGCAGACTGCAATGATCCACCTGTCAATCTCATGCTCTGTCCTCTGTCTCACTCGAGAACAAGACTTCAAGTATCTCAGGATACTTGAAGTTTACATGGAAAACTTGTCTTTATTTAATTTTAAGAGTTCTGATTGGACAGAGACACCAACGGATTTACGTCTTTGTGAAGAAAACACACACTTCAGCTGCTACCGGCTTTTCTGTCACCTCGGTTTGTCATTACTCCACGAACTCAAACACCATCCAAACTTTTTAGCAGTCGCAGCAGCAGGACAATTCCAAAATACAGACCCTTTAATCTTCTTGTCCTTTAATGACCAATGAGAGATCAGTGAGGACCTTTCCTTGAACTGAAATGAGGTTAAAAACAATAGCTGATGGGGGCAGATCCTGTTTTGTGGAGGTAAAAGCAGCTCGTTCTGTGCTAAAATTAAACACTTACGTAACTTTCACAGTTTGGTGAATGTCTCATCTCCATAAACAGGATAAATGTGGAAGTCTCACACACGAGTCTGTGAAGATGAGCTGTTTAGAGGAACACCAAACTGAAAATACACCAGAGTCTTCTAAATCTAAACCAGGACTAAACCAGGACTAAACTATAGGACTAAAAAAGGACTAAGCAAGGACTAAAGGTCTAAAGTTTTTTGGTTGTGTTGGGACAAAGTCTAGACAGTGAACATGTTATAAACAAGGCCCAAATTAGTTTTAAACCAGATCTAAACCAGGTCTAAACCCGGTCTAAACCAGTACAATACCAGGACTAAAATTGTAGGTTTCTGCAAGGTTTTTTTTTGTGTTGGGACAACGTCTAGACAGTGAACATGTTACAAACAAGGCCCAAATCAGGTTTAAACCAGATCTAAACCGGGTCTAAACTGGGTCTAAACCAGGTCTAAACCAGGGTGAAATCAGGACAAAAACAGTTCTAAGCTATGTCTATATATCAGGTCTAAACCAGTCTAAACTTGGTCTAAAGAAGGCCTAAACAAAGTCTGGACCAGGTATAAACCAGGTCTAAACTAGGTCTAAACCAGGTCTAAACCAAATCTAAACTAGGTCTAAACCAGGAATAAAGCAGTTCTAAGCTATGTCTATTTATCAGGTCTAAGCCAGTGCTAATTTGGTCTAAATAAGGTCTAAACCAAGACTAAACCAGGATTAAACCAGGTTTAAACCAGGTCTAAACCAGGTCTAAGCTTGGTCTGAAACCCTCTCTGTAAGTTCTGAGTGTTGACCCGACAAGATGTTGCAAACCATTTCTAAACCTGGACTAAAACCAGGCCAAAACCAGATCTAAACTAGATCTAGATCTAAACCAGGTCTAAACAAGTTAAAGCAGTGCAAACCTGGTCTAAATAAAATTGAAACCAGGACTAAACCAGGTCTAAGACAGTTCTAAACCAGTTCTAAACCAGATCTAAACCAGGTCTAAGCCAGTTCTAAACCAGATCTAAACCAGTTCTAAACCAGGTGTAAACCAGATCTAAACCAGGTCTAAACCAGGTGTAAACCAGGTGTAAACCAGGTCTAAACCAGATCTAAACCAGGTGTAAACCAGGTGTAAAGCGTCTGTTGTGTTGCAGGTTCTTCGTGCTGGACCCAGACTCCGGGCAGCTGTGGTACTACCTCAGTGCCGCCAGCAGGGGGCAGCAGGCTCCTCGGGGGGCTCTGTCTGTGGAGGGGGCCCGGGTCTGCTCCAGTCCGGACCATCCCTTCATGTTCACGGTGCAGTCCAGCGCTGGAGACGTCTACAAACTCAGAGGTAAGAGCCAGAGCGACGGCCTCTTCACTTCAGTGGTGTTCAGATACTATTTTTTTGGAATCTGATCCAGTAGTGATACTTGGCCTTAGTGTACTCGCCGATTCCGATACCAATACCAGTCCGATACCATGTAGTGTGAAGAACTGGACTAAGGCTACTGAATTTTGTTACAATACAAGAGCAATAAATAAATCTACTAAAAGACAATTTCTAAAGAAAATCTATAGAATAAATTTGATTTTGAGAACTAACTGTCCAAGCTCAGATCGCCCCTAAAATCTTTGGTACGTTTGTCCAGCGTGAGTGTAGTTGACCTTTACTTTTGTTTTGTTTTTTCAGCGAGAGACGCCCAAGAGCAGGAAGTGTGGATGACACAACTACAACTGTGCTCCAGACACTCCGAGTGCACCAACCAGGTCTGTACCAGGACTAAACCAGGACTAAACCAGGTCTGTACCAGGACTAAACCAGGACTAAACCAGGTCTGTACCAGGACTAACCAGGACTAAACCAGGACTAACCAGGACTAAACCAGGACTAAACAGGACTGAACCAGGACTAACCAGGACTAAACCAGGACTAAACCAGGATTAAACCAGGACTAACCAGGACTAAACCAGGACTAAACCAGGTCTGTACCAGGACTAACCAGGACTGAACCAGGACTAAACCAGGATTAAACCAGGACTAAACCAGGACTACCAGGTCTGTACCAGGACTAAACCAGGACTAAAGACCAGGACTAAACCAGGACTAAACCAGGACCAGGACTGAACCAGGACTAAACCAGGAAAACCAGGACTAAACCAGGACTAAACCAGGACTACACCAGGACTAACCAGGACTAAACCAGGACTAAACCAGGACCAGGACTAAACCAGGACTAAACCAGGACTAAAGGACTAAACCAGGACTAAACCAGGTCTGTACTGAACCAGGACTGAACAGGACTAAACCAGGACTAAACAAACAGGACTAACCAGGACTAAAAGGACCAGGACTAAAGGACTAAACAGGACTAAACCAGGACTAAACCAGGACTAAACCAGGACTAAACCAGGACTAACCAGGACTACAACCAGGACTAAACCAGGATGAAACAGGACTAAACCAGGACTAAACCAGGACTAACCAGGACTAACCAGGACTAACCAGGACTAAACCAGGACCAGGACTAAACCAGGACTGAACCAGGACTAAACCAGGACTGAACCAGGACTAATCCAGGACTAAACCAGGACTAAACCAGGACTGAACCAAGACTACACCAGGACTAAACCAGGACTAAAGCAGGACTAAATTATTCTTTGACAATTCAAATTTTAAAGGGTCTAAAATGAAATCTTAGCAGGACACGTCAGATCTGTGTCATGTGGAGCACTGGTGGTTTTTGGGTCAAAATGTACAAATTGGAGCATTATAAAAATAGTCCAGAAGTGTGACCAGAACTAAACCAGGACTAAAACAAGGACAATCCCGCTCACAGTGAGAACGCCTGTTTTTCAAGGTGTCTTTTTGGCAAAAAAACTGTCAGATGCTATACAGAAGTGTCATAGGACTCAAGATTGGTCTTGGACTCATCTCAGACTCAAGCGCACTTGGTCTCAGTCTTGTCTCGGTCTCGATGGCGCTTGGTCTCGGTCTTGTCTCGGTCTTGATGGCGCTTGGTCTCGGTCTTGTCTCGGTCTTGATGGCACTTGGTCTCAGTCTTGGTCTTGTCTCGGTCTTGATCTTGAAGGCACTTGGTCTCGGTCTTGTCTCGGTCTTGATGGCACTTGGTCTCAGTCTTGTCTTGGTCTTGTCTTGTCTTGGTCTTGATGGCACTTGGTCTTGGTCTTGTCTTGGTCTTGTCTTGGTCAGTCTTGTCTCTTGGTCTTGTCTTGATGGTTGGCTTGTCTTGTCTCGTCTTGTCTCGGTCTTGTCTCTTGTTTTCTTGATGGTGTTCGGTCTTGGTCTTGTTTCGGTCTTGTCTCAGTCTTGAAGGCGCTTGGTTTCGGACTTGTCTCGGTCTTGAAGACACTCGCGCTCGGTCTTGTCTTGGTCTTGTCTTGATCTTGAAGGCGCTCGGTCTCGGTCTTGTCTCAGTCTTCTCTTGGTCTTGAAGACGGTCGATCTTGTCTCGGTCTTGAAGGCGCTCGGTCTCGTCTCAGTCTTGTCTCAGTCTTGTCTTGGTCTTGAAGGCGCTCGGTCTCGGTCTTGTCTTGGTCTTGTCTTGGTCTTGAAGGCGCTTGTCTCGTCTCGGTCTTGTCTTGGTCTTGTCTTGTCTTGAAGGCGCTCGGTCTCGGTCTTGTCTCGGTCTTGTCTTGGTCTTGAAGGCGCTCGGTCTCGGTCTTGTCTCGATCTTGTCTCGGTCTTGTCTTGGTCTTGAAGACGCTCGATCTTGTCTTGGTCTTGAAGGCGCTTGGTCTCGTCTCGGTCTTGTCTCAGCCTTATCTCGGTCTTGTCTCGGTCTTGATGGTGCTTGGTCTCGATCTTGTCTCGGTCTTGTCTCGGTCTTGTCTCGGTCTTGTCTCGGTCTTGTCTCGGTCTTGAAGGCGCTTGGTCTCGGTCTTGTCTCAGTCTTGTCTCAGTCTTGTCTTGGTCTTGTTTTGGTCTTGTCTCAGTCTCGAAGGTGCTTGGTTTCAGTCTTGTCTTGGTCTGGTTTCGGTCTTGATGGAGCTTGGTCTCGATCTTGTCTCGATCTTGTCTAGATCTTGTCTAGGTCTTGTCTTGGTCTCGGTCTTGGTCTTGTCTCGGTCTCGTCCTTTAAAAGTCTTGGTCTTATCTCGGTCTCTGGACCCCGTGTTCTCGGACTGGTCTTGGTCTCGATTAGTGCACTCTTGACCTCCACACTACTATATAGGTTTACATTTAATGCCTTATAGTGGAACATTTCCGGCAGGCATTAACAGACTAAAGTGGGACAAGAGGAGATGTTTTTTTGTGAGTTTTGTCGATGTAAAAGCCGGAAACGTGATAATCCAGTTTCTGAGTAACACAAGTCCAAGTCCATACTGCAGCTCCATAGGATTAAAACAAACACTAATCTGAGACGGAAATATGGACGACAGGAGCAGACAGGAGCAGACAGGAGCAGACAGGAGCAGACAGGAGCAGACAGGGGCAGGGTGAACATAAGGAGCAGAGCGAGCTGTGAATTCTATTTTAAAGTTCATTATTTGTTTCGGGGAGCGTGGCAGGTGCGGCCTTTACAGCGGAACCTGAAGGCAAACAGGAAATGAAGCGAGACTCAGATATGAAAAAAAAAAAAAAAACATGAACAAAAAACATCTGTCCCTGTCCACAGAGCGTCCCTGTCCACAGAGTGTCCCTGTCCACAGAGCGTCCCTGTCCTGTCCACAGAGTGTCCCTGTCCACAGAGCGTCCCTGTCCACCGAGTGTCCCTGTCCCTGTCCACACTGCGCCCTGTCCCTGTCCACAGAGTGTCCCTGTCCACAGAGTGTCCCTGTCCACAGAGCGTCCCTGTCCCTGTCCACAGAGCGTCCCTGTCCACAGAGTGTCCCTGTCCACAGAGTGTCCCTGTCCACAGAGTGTCCCTGTCACAGAGCGTCCCTGTCCACAGAGTGTCCTGTCCCTGTCCACAGAGCGTCCCTGTCCCTGTCCACAGAGCGTCCCTGTCCCTGTCCACAGAGTGTCCCTGTCCACAGAGCGTCCCTGTCCACAGAGTATCCCTGTCCACAGAGTGTCCCTGTCCACAGAGTCTCCGTCCCTGTCCACAGAGCGTCCCTGTCCCTGTCCACAGAGTGTCCCTGTCCACAGAGCGTCCCTGTCCACAGAGTGTCCCTGTCCCTGTCCACAGAGCGTCCCTGTCCACAGAGTGTCCCTGTCCCTGTCCAGAGCGTCCCTGTCCTGTCCACAGAGTGTCCCTGTCCACAGAGCGTCCCTGTCCGCAGAGTGTCCCTGTCCACAGAGCGTCCCTGTCCACAGAGCATGTCCTGTCCCTGTCCACAGAGCGTCCCTGTCCACCGAGTGTCCCTGTCCCTGTCCACACTGCGCCCTGTCCCTGTCCACAGAGCGTCCCTGTCCACAGAGTGTCCCTGTCCCTGTCCACACTGCACCCTGTCCCTGTCCACAGAGTGTCCCTGTCCACAGAGCATCCCTGTCCCTGTCCACACTGCACCCTGTCCCTGTCCACAGAGTGTCCCTGTCCACAGAGCATCCCTGTCCCTGTCCACACTGCACCCTGTCCCTGTCCACAGAGCGTCCCTGTCCCTGTCCACAGAGCGTCCCTGTCCACCGAGTGTCCCTGTCCCTGTCCACACTGCGCCCTGTCCCTGTCCACAGAGCGTCCCTGTCCACAGAGTGTCCCTGTCCCTGTCCACAGAGCGTCCCTGTCCACAGAGCGCCCTGTCCCTGTCCACAGAGTGTCCCTGTCCACAGAGCGTCCCTGTCCACAGTGCGCCCTGTCCACAGAGCATCCCTGTCCCTGTCCACACTGCACCCTGTCCCTGTCCACAGAGCGTCCCTGTCCCTGTCCACAGAGTGTCCCTGTCCACAGAGCGTCCCTGTCCACAGAGTGTCCCTGTCCACAGAGCGTCCCTGTCCACAGAGCGTCCCTGTCCACAGAGCGTCCCTGTCCCTGTCCACAGAGTCCCTGTCCCTGTCCACAGAGTGTCCCTGTCCACAGAGCTTGTCCACAGAGCGTCCACGTCCCTGCCACAGAGTGTCCCTGTCCCTGTCCACAGTGTCCCTGTCCACAGAGCGTCCCTGTCACATTAAACCTGGACCACTCAATCTTGCAAAATCATTTATTTTAAAGTTTCTTTATTACGAGAAACTGATTCTTTTGACGTTTAAGTCGTGTTTTAAGCTGAGCTGTTTTGAGAGAAGAACTCTGTGTGTTAAACATGTGTGATTGAAAAAAACACAACGTCAGGTCTGTCTGTGATGAGGAAACACCATTATAACATCAAAAAATAGTGTAATATGGCCCCTTTAAACCCGGGACTAAACCGGAAGTAAACCCGGACTAATCGAGGACTAGAACAGGACCACATGAGTTCCACGTTGAGAGTAAAATGTGCAAACTGTACAATCAAATAACGCCAAGTGTGAGTCTATTCTATGGGAACTAAAGCATAGCAAAACTGGACTAAACCAGAACTAAACCAGGACTAAACCAGGACTAAACCAGGTCTGAACCAAGAGTGAAGATATGACAGGAGAGAGGAGAAGGCTTTGTGTTCACAGACTGGAGCAGATCTGGAAGTGTCTTTTAATAACTGCTGCAGATGAGTCACCCTCCCCAGAGAGAAACAGACAAGAACCAGGACTGAACCAGGACTGAACCAAAACTGAATCGGGACTGAACCAGGACTGAACCGGGACTGAACCAGGACTGAACCAAAACTGAATCGGGACTGAACCAGGACTGAACCAGAACTGAACCAGGATTGAGCCAGGACTGAACCGGGACTGAACCAGGACTGAACCAGGACTAAACCGGGACTGAACCGGGACTGAACCAGGACTGAACCGGGACTAAACCGGGACTGAACCAGGACTGAACCGGGACTGAACCAGGACTGAACCAGGACTGAACCAGGACTGAAACCAGGAAAACCGGGACTGAACCAGGACTGAACCAGGACTGAACTAGGACTGAACCAGGACTGAACCAGAACTGAACCAAGACTCAACTAGGACTGGACCAGAACTGAGCCAGGACTGAACCGGGACTGAACCAGGACTGAGCCAGGACTGAACCAGCACTAAACCAGAACTGAACCGGGACTGAACTAGGACTGAACCAGGACTGAACCAGGACTGAACCGGGACTGGACCGGGACTGAACCTGGACTGGACCGGGACTGGACCTGGACTGGACCGGGACTGGACCGGGACTGAACCGGAACTGAACCAGGACTGAACCAAGACTGAACCAAGACTGAGCCGGGACTGAGCCAGGCCTGAAACAGGACTAAACCAGGACTAGATCAGGTCTAGATCAGGACTACACCAGGACTTAACCAGGACTAAATGACGATCAAACCAGGACTAAATCTGAACTAAACTAGAACTAAATCAGGACTAGACCAGGACTGAACCAGGACTAAATCAGGACTGAACCAGAACTAGAACAGAATTAAACCAGGACTAAACCAGGACTGAATCATTTCCTGGTCTTTCAGACAGTGACTTGCTTCTTTGTTCCATCATCGTTTTTTAATCCAGCTGTGATAAAAATACAGATATCGATTGTTCCAGTAAATGTTTCATAAGAGCAGACGATGCTCAGACTGAACTCCAGACAAATGTGATCACTGCCTGACTCTGAGACCTGCTCCAGACCTGGTCCAGACCTGGTTTAGTCCTGATTTAGTCCTGGTTTAGTCCTGGTTTAGTCCTGGTTCAGCCCTGGTTTTTAGTCCTGGTTTAGTCCTGGTTTAGACCTGGTTTTTAGTCCTGGTTTAGTCCTGGTTTAGATCTGGTTTTTAATCCTGGTTTAGTCCTGGGTTAGTCCTGGTTTTTAGTCCTGGTGTAGTCCTGGGTTAGTCCTGGTTTAGATCTGATTTAGTCCTGATTCAGCCGTGGTTTAATCCATCTGAGGGGGCATCTGACACACAGACTGAACCATGTCTAAACCAGGACTAAACCAGGACTAAACCAGGTCTAAACCAGGATTAGACCAGGACTAAACCAGGACTGAACCAGAACTGAACCAAGACTCCCCTCTCTGTGTGTCAGTGACATTTATCTTGCAAATCAAATGTGAAAATGTCTCTGAAAAATAAACGTTCTCTGTTTGTGTTCAGGTTTTGAGTCCAGTAGAACCACAGAAAACCCCCCAGACGTCGCTGGAGCCTCAGCCCAGACGAGGGCCTCTCTCTGGGGACGAGGTGCGGGCTCAGGGGAGGGGGGGGGGCTCAGTGTTTGAGGACAGTGCAGGTTATGAGACTGAACTAAATCAAGACTAAACCAGGACTAACCCAGGACTGAACCAGGACTACACCTGGGCCAAACCAGTGCTGAACCTAAGACTACACCTGGACTTTATTCACCTTTTTCCGCCTACTCGCATCTGCAAATGCTTCTAAACTGTGTTTGTTTGTTTGTTTGTTTTTTGCGGTGGCAGTTCTGGTTAAATTGTGTAAATATAAACATAACATAAAGTCAGTTCATTTGTGTAAAATGTAAAATTTGCTCTGATTCTCCAAGAGGTTTTAAAACGTCTTCATAATCCAGACTGAATTTTTTTGCTGTGAGGATCGGCCTCATACAAAATAATACAAACTGGAATGATGTGAATAAAGCAGGATGCATCAAAAACTCTCTGGACTGGTAAATACTGTTCAGTGTGTGATGTTGCTGCCCTCTGGTGGACAAAACACAAACTGCAGTTTATATTCAATGATATCCTTCCATTTTTATGTTTTCTTCTCTAGTTTTCAGACATTTTACTTTTACTCTTATAAATACTTCAGTGTAACAGTACTTTTACTTCAATCCAATCCACTTTATTTACAGAGGAAAACACAACTCACATGGTGCTAAAAGCCAGAGACCGAAAGTTGGTCTTAAACCAGGTCTGAACCAGGACTAAACCAGGATTGAACCACGTCTAAACCAGGACTAAACCAGGATTGAACCATGTCTAAACCAGGACTAAACCAGCTCTAAACTAAGTCTAAACCAAAGCTACACCAGAGTTAAACCAGGACTAAACCAAGTCTAAGCCACGTCTTAACCAGGTCTAAACCAGGTCTAAACCAGGACTACACCAGGACTAACCTAAGACTAAATCAGAACTAAACCAGTACAAAACCAAGACTGAACCAGGTCTAAACCTGGACTAAACCAGGACTTAACTGTAACCAGATGTGATAATTTGCAATTTTTTTTCTCCAATTTTTGTTTTTTTCCTGAATAAATGTCCCTGTGTGTCGAGTTTATGTAATATTTATTTTAGTACTTTTTATGATTTTTATTGACTTGTTTATTTATTTTATGCTTTATTTATATTTTATATTTTGTCTACTCTGTGTGTACTCTGTTTTGTTTTTTTTTTTTTTTATTTATATATATTTTGTTGTTTGTGTGACAGGACCTGCTGCTCTTTAAAAGCCCGTCGTCTCTGAGCTGCCTGGGCCGATGTCTCAGTCTGTTCCACCAAAACCTCCACCGAACCCCCAACCAGCTCCAGAGCCCCGGTCTGGAACCCGACTCTCCCCTGGACCGAGCGCCGTCCCTGGGTCAGCCGAGGCCCAGCATCCCCCTCAACCACGTGGAGCCTGGAGGTCTGGTCCAGGCCAATCACAGCCCAGCGCCGGGAAACAAACCGGGAGGCGGACTCAGCTACCACCAAACACAAGCACGCACAAGAGCCGGTACAAGGACTGAACTGGGACTGGACCAGGACTAAAACAGGACTAAACGAGGACTAAACAAGGCCTAACCCACGACTGAAACAGGACTGAACCAGGACTGAACCAGGACTTAACCAGGATGGAACCAGGACTGAACCAGGACTAAAACTTGACTGAACAAGGATGAAAACAGGACTAAAACAGGACTGAATCAAGACTGAACCAGGACTGAACTAGGACTGAACTAGGACTGAACCAGGACTGAACTAGGACTAAAACGGGACTAAACCAGGATTGAACCAAGACTGAATCAGGTCTAAACCCCCGACGGGGGCCGTTGCAGTGCTTTTGGCCCTGTCGACCTCCAGTAGTTCACCTACTCTTGTCTCAAACTCTTTTCTCTTCTTCTTCTTCTTCCTGCAGATAGTCCGGGCTGCTCTCGACCTCCTTCTGAAAAGCACCAGAGAAACAGCACAGCGCCCCGTGTGTCCAACTCCAGAACCAGCAGAGCACCAGCACAAAGCACAGAGGTAAGCTGAAATAAACCACCCATGTAACGGTGATTACATGATATTTTATTCCACTTGTCATTACATTTATTGGACTAATATATTTTGGTTGAGTTGGTTGAGCCGAGAGCACGTTACCAGTTCATGAGAGACGGGCATGAGGTGGGTCATTGAATTTAGCTCTGTCGGTAAAAATCGTGCATCTCTGTTTAATTGCTCATTGTATGATCACAGCCTAATTGTACAACTTATTTATGTCATCAAGAACATTTATGAACTAATATTTTGTACAATGTATGAGTTATTACACAGTTAAGAACTTTCGCACATGTCGAGACAGAAGCTAAATTCAGTGACCCACCTCGTGCACATCTCTCATGAACTTATCACCACCGGTCACCACAAGAGGGAGCTACTCAACCAAAATATATCAGTCCAATAAATGTAATGTAAATGAAATATCACATAATCACCGTTACACCCGCTCCAGCTCATCTGGGCCCGACCTGAACCGGAGTCTGGGATTGGACCGCTTTTCCCCAGTTTGTGTGGGTGGGGAAACAGCTGTACGCATCCCCACGCCTAACAACAAACCGAGATGACCAAAAAAAACAAAAAAAAAAACGGTAGCAGCAAAGTGTGTGTTTTCTTCCGGTCGGTGTAAATATGTTGGTGTCCCTGTCCCTTTTCCATGTAAACCTTAATTCGGAATTATTATTTCCATGTAAACTCGAAGAAGAATATTTTAATTCCAAACTATTTAATTCAGGATAATTAATTCAGAATTTAAAAAAACATCATGTAAACGTGGCCAGTCGTGTGTGTCTTTAGTTCAGGTTTTGAGCGGTGTTCGGGTCAAGTTTTTACGGTTGAAGAGTCATTTTTTACAGTGTTGTTTTGGTCACATGTCGTTTCCTTTTATGGGCGTAAAGTGGGCGTGGCTTATCGCTCTGTTAATCCGTCCATTCACAGTCACAGCAGAAGCAGCTCGAGCTCTACTTCTCTTCTTTTCTTTCAGTTCATCTCCCTCTCTCATCCTTGTCTTTCTTAAACTCCTCTCTTTTTTCTCTCTCTTTCCTTTGCATCTTCTTTTCTCTCTCTTATCCCCTTCTTTTCTGCCCTCACCTCTCTATCCCTCCTTTCTCTTTCTCTTCTTTTCCTCTCTACTTTATCCCACCTTTTCGCCACACTCCTCTCTTCCTTATCTCATTCCCTCCTTTTTTTCTAAGCTCTTCCAGTCTCTCATCCCTCCCTCTCGCTCTTTCAGTCTCTCTCTCATCACTCTCCTACTCCTCTTTCTCTTTCCTTCTTCTTACTTTCTCTCTTAATCCCACTATTAACTCTCTCTCTCTTTCTCTCCGCTCTCCCCTCTTTTCTCTCTCGCTCTTTCCGCCTCGTTTAACCCCTATCCTCTATCTCCTCCTCTTTTCCCCTCTCTGTATCCCTCCCTCTATACATCGAATATCTTTGTGGCTTTGCTTTCTCTCTTTCACTCCTGGTTTGATCCCGGTTTAGTCCCATTTATTCCTCTTTTTAGACCAGTTTTAGTCCAGTATTAGTCCAGTTTTAGTCCTGGTTTGGTCCCGGTTCGGTTCTGCTATTGATGAATTCTCTTGGGAACAGAACCGTCGCGTCAAAAAGAGACCGAACCGTGAGTTGGACGCCCAGATGTGAAGACGTGTCCCGCTTTTATTCTCGTTAGTGGGTCAAAGCTGAAGTCGGATTAAAGATGTTTACTACAAACCGATCTTACGCTTAAAATATCTTTAAATATTGTGAGATTTAAAAACTGAAATCAGGTCGTGTTTTTGGGGGAGTTCAGTTGGGTTTTTTGACTTGTTTTGAGCGGTTCTCCTGATCTTTCTGAGCGGAGTTGTGTTTGTTTTGCTTCAGGGAGCAGACGTGAGCGATGAGGCCACAGACACGGAGGACAACGAGGAAGAGGAGCTGGGAGTTTTGGACGAACAGAGGAGCATCATCATCCACCTTCTGTCTCAGCTCAAACTGGGCATGGACCTGACCAGGGTAAGAAACAAAAAAGAAAAAAAAAGAGAATATTTGTCACACGTACGGACAAAATATGAGCAAGTGAAGTTTCTTTTTCAGGAGCAAAGACCAGAGGACACCGCAGATTTTTCTGATCTGGACAAGATTTTGAAATTTAAATCCGGTGAAATAAGGTTAAATCCGTGTGACATTCGTTCATTTGTTTTTCAAAATAAAACCAAAAATAAAAAAAACGAAAAAACAACTATTTTCTTCATTATTTGTCTCCAAAACCAAAACAAGCCAAAACAAAAAAATGATTTGTTTTTTTCAGCGAACTGAACCGGGACTAAACCGTTTTCAGTCCCGGTCTCAGTCCTGGTCTCAGTCCTGGTCCTGTTCCTGGTCTGGTCCCGGTCTGATCCTGGTCTGGTCCCGGTCTCAGTCCTGGTCTCAGTTCCAGTCTGGTCCCAGTCTCGTCCCGGTCTCAGTCTTGGTCTCAGTCCCGGTCTCAATCACGGTCTGGTCCTGGTCTGGTCCCGGCCTCAGTGCCGGTCTCAGTCCTGGTCCTGTTCCTGGTCTCAGTCCCGGTCTGTTCCGGGTCTCAGTCCTGGTCTCGGTCCCAGTCACGGTCTCAGTCCCAGTCTGGTCCTGGGCTCAGTCATGGTCTGGTCCCGGTCTCAGTCCTGGTCTCAGTCTCGTTCTGGTCCCGGCCTCAGTCCTGGTCCTGGTCCCGTTCTCAGTCCCGGTCTCAATCACGGTCTGGTCCTGGTCTCAGTTCCAGTCTCAGTCCGGGTCTTAGTCCTGGTCTCAGTCCCAGTTTCAATCATGGTCTGGTTCAGGTCTCAGTCCCGGTCTCGGTCCATTATCCGTTTTTTCCATTTTTCATTTAAACTCAAAATCGAAAACTGCAAAAATGAATCATTATCTGTTTTTACATTTTTGTTTTAGAGACAAATAATGAAGAAAATTGTTGTTTTTTTCATTTTCTTTCTTCTTTCTGGTTTTATACTGAAAAACAAATGAACGAATGATACACGGATCAGGTTGTTCATCTTGTTCTCAGATTTATGATTTACTTACTAATCCTGAGAATGTTTAATTCTAGTCTAGAGGTCGTTTATTTTAAAAGAACTTGTCAAGTGAAATGATCTTGCTGCATGGACAGATCACTTCACTACTTCTAAGTCATTTTCTGATAGATTTAAATGTTTATATCTTAAATTTTGGCCAGGCTCTTGTCTTGTCAGTTGATTAATCGATGCACAAAGTTTGTCTTTAGTCGACCAATCATTTCTTTTGTAAACTACACTCCTCGATTATTTGTAAATTGTGTCCCTCCCGTCCTGCAGGTGGTGCTCCCGACCTTCATCCTGGAGAAGCGCTCTCTGCTGGAGATGTACGCCAACTTTCTGTCTCACCCGGACATGTTCCTGAGCATCACGTTGGGCAGCAGTCCCGAGGAGCGGATGGTGCGTGTCCTGGAGTATTACCTCACCTCCTTCCACGAGGGACGGAAAGGCGCCGTCGCCAAAAAACCCTACAACCCCATCCAGGGCGAGACCTTCCACTGCTCCTGGAGCGTGCCCCGAGACCGAGTCCGGCCCCTGCGCCAGCCCCCCGCCCCGGGACAGAACGCGGGGGGCACAGGCTCCGCCCACAACGCCAGGGGGAGTGGCCGGGCGGAGGATTGTTACCGTCTGCGCTTTGTGGCCGAACAGGTATTATTTCTGTTTAACTGTTATCTGTTTGACTTTTAGTTTTGACTTTTTTTATCTTTTAGTTTTGGCTTTTTAGGGCTTGTTTACACGAGAACACTTGTGGGTAAAAATGATTAACATGTATTAAAATAGTGAATAGTTTCATCGACTCAAGATATTTTTTTATGATTTTTGTCCAAGTCCAAATTTAAATTTGATTTCAGCGTGTGGGGGATCGGTACAACATCTGAAGTGATGCGGTCGCTGTATCAGACCGTTGTGGTGAAGAGGGGGCTGAGGTGAAAGGCAAAGCTCTTGATTTACCATCAGTCTATGTTCCTCCTCTCACCTATGGTCATGAGCTCTGGGTAGTGACCGAAAGGACGAGATCATGGATACAAGCGCTCGAAATGAGTTTCCTCCGCAGGGTGTCTGGGCTCTTAGAGATAGGGTGAGCAGCTCAGTCACACGGGAGGAGCTCGGAGTAGAGCCGCTGCTCCTCCACGTTGAGAGGAGCCAGTTGAGGTGGCTCGGGCATCTGTTCCAGATGCCTCCTGGGTGCCTCCCTCGGGAGGTGTTCCGGGCATGTCCCACTGGGAGGAAGCCCCGGGGCAGACCTAGGACACGCTGGAGGGACTATGTCTCTCGGCTGGCCTGGGAACACCTTGGGATCCCCCCGTAAGAGCTGGAGGAAGTGTGTGTGGAGAGGGAAGTCTGGGAGTCCCTTCTCAGACTGCTGCCCCCGGGACTCGACCCTGGATAAATGGAAGAAAATGGAATGGAATGTTTGTGAGTTCACGTGAGAATCCGTCTGATCAGGCTCCCACTGTCACGATGTGGTTTGGGCAGAGCTGAATAAAAACATGGAGATGTATTTCAGCAAATGTTGGTGAAAACACTGACTAGTGGACGGAACCTGGATTTAACCAAAAGGGAAATTACTTGACTTGTTCTGCTGGTGTCGTCCGAACATTCCGCCTTTTCCCGATTGTGAGGCTGTGCTGCACAAAAAACAATCAACCAGAGCATGAACTTTAACCCAGTCATGGTTTTCTGCTTTGTTTGAACTGCTTCTCTCTGCTAACGCCTGCAAATATGGGAGGGAACAAGAACAGTGGGTGGATACAAGAACTACAAATCTTCTTCAGGTCACAAACAGAAAGCTGCAAAGATTAAAAGTCACTACAGATGCATGAATAAAAAGCATCTCCAGATTAAAACTGTGTCCCGTGTGTTCTCAGGTCTCGCACCACCCTCCTGTGTCGGGGTTTTACTGCGAGTGTCCGGAGAAGCGCATGTGTGTGAACGCGCACGTCTGGACCAAGAGCAAGTTCATGGGCGTGTCTGTGGGCGTGTCCATGGTCGGAGAGGGTAAGGAGGCAGAGCTACCATCTATGGACTTTTAGAGAATAATTGTTTTTACACTATGAGATCATAAACCAGGAGTCTACAACCTTTTTCCTTTGGTGAATCTACCTTTACAAAATGAAAATGTCAGAGAGCTTCTCATTTTAGTTTTGGTCACAAGAAACTGAGTAAAAGTTAAAGCCCTTAGTTTGATACCTATAAAACATTTACACAGTTATTATCCATTTATTAGTGCACAAAGACAGGCATCAAAATTATACTTACATTATAATTACAATGATAATAAGCATTTAATTAGTTCAAATTTGAGTTCTTTACTACAATACAATACACAGTGTTGGGAAGGTGACTTTTAAAATGTATTCCCCTACAGATTACAGATTACACATACACCAAAATGTAGTTTGTAACGTAATCCATTAAGTTACTTAAGGTGAGTAATGTAATCTGAATACTTTGGATTACTTGATATTGTCATGCTTTTTAAAAATACATGAATGTAGCGACCACATCCTGAAAATTCTTGTTTGTTCTCTTCAAATTGTCTGTCGAGCCCAAGTCTCCATGAACAGACTTTTGTTTACTGTAGAGACGAAAAGATGAGGATCTTAACATAAGATGTTTTGTTTTATCTGCAAAAAAAAAATTAAAAGCCCAGTCTTTACTTAAACATATTAAAATATTATTGATAGAGAAATTATTTTTATATGAGATCACTGCTGCCTGAAATTATGTCCACCCTACTGTTAAGTATCATACTTTTTAAACCTGGTTTAGTCATGGTTTAGACCTGGTTTTAGTCCTGGTTTTAGTCCTGGTTTAGAGCGACCAACGCTTTCAACTAACCCGCCCACAACTCCGACCTCTAAAAACTATTTGAAAATATTGTACCCGACCCGCTGCCTGAGCTGCATTTATAAAAAGTAGAACATGCTCTTGATTAACATCATCGAAATAAAGTGAGTGAAATGATGTAAAATAAAGAGCTGCACTAAACACACACAGAACACACTCACCATCATTATCACCAACATCCCTCTGTCACAGAAAGAACATAAATGCGTCAGAACTGCATTAAACACATTATAATGTCAAACGGGCTGATGTGGCTCTAGAGTCGTTATGGTTTATATGTTGTAAAGTTGAGTTTATTTATGCAGATTAGTCACAGTAATGATGCATGCCAGGTAAAGTAAATCTGGTTTTAAATGAAAATGTATTAGCTGTGTTTCTTTTTTTGTGGGATGTGCAATTTATATGTTAGAAATGTACATTTGCAAAGATGACTTGGTTTGTTGGTGTATGTTAGGGTGGCCAAACGTCCGTTTTTCCCTGGACATGTCAATTTTTTGCGTCCTGTCCTGGGCGACCGTTTTTTGTTTTTTTTTAAGTGATGAAAATGTCCGGGTTTTCATTTCCTTTCATTGGGGCCATTAAATTGAGCATCTCTCGTAGCTCTCTGTAACTCAGAAGGAGCGAGCAGACGCAAACAGTCGGTCAGTGTGCAACATGCCGAAGCACAAATGCACAATAAACAATGACTTGTTCAAGAAATTCCCCGTTTTCCCTTCTGGTCAGGACAAATGGGAGGCCATGTGCACAGGTTGCGAGGTGAGAGTAGCTCAATGTTGACGCCCCACCCCCCAACCCCTGGTAAGGTGTCGGGGTTTTCACAAAAGGAAATATGGTCACCCTATTTTATGTTGGGTATAAGTGACTCTCCTCTTGATTTTGCTTTTCCAGTGTGGCTCTTGTGAAAAAAATAATGAATATCATTGGCTTAGAATGTTTCGTGGTCTGACATTAAACACATCCATGTAGTATTTATTCATCACAGGTGTTTCTATCGCACAAAAATACAAAAATAGATTAGATACTGTAGTTTTAAAACATTTTAGACAAATCAATGACATTTCCGTGGAGACAAGCAGTTGGCAGACCATCTACCAGAAAAGTTAAAAATTCTGACCTGCCTCCAGCTCAGATTGAAGCCTTTAAGCAGCTCTTTCTTTCTCGTGTCGATATAAAGTGTAGATGAGTGTGAGCAGAGCAGATAGTGGGACGTGTGCCTTGTGTCCCATTTTACATATTAAATCCATATGGGAGAGTTTATAGGTCAGTGAATACACAACAGCTGTGCTCCGGGTCAGCCCCTCCCCTTTGCTGCTATGGACATTATCCACACACTATGGAACATTCTGGGCTCCATGGAGATAAGCAGGTGACAGACCTTCCACCCGACAAGTACAGTGCACCTTTGATAACCCTTTAGGCGTCAGAGGTTTTGACATTTGACGTTCGATTTTGACGTCTTAGTCCTGGTTTAGTCCTGGTGTTGTGCTGGTAAAGTCCTGGTTTAATCCTGGTTTAGACCTGGTTTAGTCCTATTTTCATCCTGATTTAGTCCTGATTTAGGCCTGGTTCAGTCCTGGTTTAGTCCTGGTTTAGACCTGATTTAGACCTGGTTTAGTCCAGGTTTAGTCCTATTTTCATCCTGGTTTAGTTCTGGTTTAGACCTGGTTTAGTAATAAATCTTTATTTATGAAGCACTTTTAAAAACAAGGTTTACAAAGTGCTGGACAAGCCACAAAGAACAAAACAAAAAGCATAAAAATAGCAAACAGAAGGCACAAAAACAGACAATGATGCAAACAATGTATTATAATTAATAAATAAAAATAAATTGAATAAAAGAAATAAAGAAACGAAGGTGGAAATTAGCAAAATGCTAAAAATCAATGCTAAAGCCAAATAAAAAAAAAAAAACAAAAATCAATCTAAAGCCAGCTAAAGGAAAGTAAGTCTTTAGAAGTGATTTAAAAGATGATACTGATGGTACGAGTCTTTTCTCCTCAGGCAGGTCGTTCCAAAGCCGAGGCCCCGGACTGAAAAGACTTGATCAGTCTGCAGTCTGGAGTCTGGACTTTGGAACAGACACAGGGACCTGGCTGAGGATCTAAGGCTGTGAGAGGCTCGTATGGGGTTAAAAGTTCTGAAATGTAACTTCACAAAATGGCAGACATGCATACTATAAAAAGTTACATAGAGTGTCATTTTGTACACTGTTTATTGATTGTGCAGATTGTAAATTTAACAGTAAACTTCACACTGATTGATTTAGACCTGCTTTACCTTGTCTCTATGCTCTGTCTGACTGTGTGCTGTTCCCCTCCCGTGCTGTAGGGGTGCTGTACCTGCTGGAGCACGGGGAGCAGTATGTCTTCACGTTGCCCTGTGCGTACGCCCGCTCCATCCTCACCGTGCCCTGGGTGGAGCTCGGGGGCAAAGTGTCCATCAGCTGTGCCCAGACTGGGTACTCCTCCTCGGTCACGTTCCACACCAAACCTTTCTACGGAGGCAAAGTCCACAGGTGAGACTAAGACCGGAATGTAGTCTGCAGCAAAATCCACTTCTTTGTACTTTCTACCATCTTATAACATTGTTCCTTAATCAAAAACTTGCCTGAAGAGGTTTTAGATGTCATACATGCATGTTTGAGCGCTCTATTTGAACTCGCCTTACACTTAACTACATCAAGACACTGTTGGGCAAGTTACTTTAAAACTGTAATGCATTATTTATGACTTGTTACTGACATTTCAAAGTAATTTGTTACATTACAATATTACTGCATTTAAAATGTAAAACATTACATTACTATTGCATTACATTCAAGTTACTTTCACCAAAATAACTGCGAAGATGCTGAACTTTTGCGCCGTATATGGACTGAACCAGGACTAAATCAGTACTAAACCAAAACTGAACTAGAACTAAACCAGGACTAACCAGGACTAATCTTGGATTAGAACGTGGAATCTAGGACCTCCTCTGAGAGAACCCCGAGTCCGTGGAACAGTGTGTCTGCAAAGTGCGATCGGGCGTCAGCTGCGGTTCGCCCCGTGGTGCGAGGAGTTCTACGTCGGTCCTTTCGTCCGCGGTCACCTCACAGTCTACGTGGGCGTGTCTCTCCGGCATTTCACCACTGCTGATATCGCGGTGATTTTAGCGAATTTGCATGAAGAAAAATGAAAAACCCACCACTTCAACCCAGGATAAAAATGCATTGTGACGCACTTTACTCACATTTGTACACAGTAAAATATTTAAGTTTTTTTCCCTGTAATGCCTTAAATTACTGCATTACAGCAAAAAGCAATGTATTACAGTAATTTGTCACTTTTATAATGTGTTACTCCCAACACTGCATCAAGCCTACGTCATCCATGCTCCCACATGACAATTCTTCATAAATATACAAAAACAGGACACAAAACTATACATTCCACAAACCTGCAGTATTTTCATGTATTTTTTATGAACTGCATAAAGATTATAACGTGATATCGCTCTGAAGGGGGAGTGACTTAGAGCAAAGTTGGGCTTGGTTTTGTCATTTGACTATTAAATGAAGGAAATGCATGTTTCTAATTAACTTAAATTATTGTTCCAAAAAGTATATTATTATCACAACAATGTTATTATGACAAAACTAAATTTATTAATTTATTCTTATTTACAAAAACACTGGACATGATGGACAAGTAGTTTCGATGCTGAAATCCAGTGGGTTTAAACCTAATATGCCTCTCTCTGATCTTACTGGTCACTACCTAAAGCCCTGCACCTGCACCTGTCATGAGTCAGTGCTAGTGCAGCCTCTGCAGCTCAGGGAGGGAATTCTGGAGGTTCTGAGCTTCACATGAGGCCTGAACATAAACTGAGAATGAAACAAACCAAAACAAAAAAACTGATAACGATTCGTTTTTTCAGTTTTCGATTTTTGTGTTTAAATGAATAATGGGAAAAAAAAGATAACCATCGTTTCCCGTTTACGTGACTTAAACTGCGATGCCAAACTTTTGCACTGCATAGGGACTGAACCAGGACTGAACCAGGTCCGAGACCAGACCGGAACCAGACGAGGACTGAGTCTGGGACCAGACCTGGACCAGGGCCAGGACAGAGACCGGGACCAGACTGAAAACGGTTTAGTCCTGGTTCAGTCCAGTGTCGCAGTTTAAGTCACAGAAATGGGAAACGATCATTATCTGTTTTTTTTTTTTCATTTTGGTTTTGGAGACAAATAATGAAGGAAATTGTTGTTTTTTCGTTTTCTTATTTTTGGTTTTATTTTGAAAAACGAATGAACGAATGTCACACAGATTAAGGCTCTGGGGACACAAATTCAGTTGTGACTGTATCTTATTTTTTAAACCATCAAGAGCCCAGGTTACATACCATCCTTGTTTTTGTATTTATATGTTTGGTGAGATTTGGTAAATACTTATTATAATTCTATAATGATATAATAAATAATCTATAATAAAGTAAATAAGTAAGCTTTAAACAATGTGGAGCCGTGCACTATGCAGTTTTAATGCACATTGCTAAGCACCGCAGAGTGGTGTTCCTCTTTGAAGTGCGTTAAAACTGCATAATACACGGCTCCAAGTTTTATAATGTGCTTGTACCACGGCTACAAACTGAAATGTGTCACTTGTGAATGTGAAAAGCCTGTTCTCTGTCTGTAAATGTCCAAAATATCAGTTATTTCAGTGTTTTAAATTATATAGTTGTAATATTAGTTATAATATAGTTCTAAAATTCCAATTCCATGTCAATAATCCAAAAAATGTGTTCAAAATGCAGAGACAACTTACACACAAGAGAGTTTAAACATTTATTCAGAAATATACAGGTCTTGTCATATATTTGTAGCAGTCTAAGAATCACTATTGTGTAAATCATGTGCACTTTGACTTTGTTTACAGTGTGGTTGCTTGTTTCTGGTTGGCAACAGGAGCTGACACTGATGGGGTTTTGTGTTTCAGAGTGACTGCAGAGGTGAGACACAACCACACGGGGGCAGTGGTGTGCCGGGCTCAGGGCGAGTGGAACGGCGTGTTAGAATTCACCTACAGCAGCGGAGAGACCAAACTCATCGACACGCACAGACTCCCAGTGACCAGGAAGAGGATCAGAGCCATGGACAAGCAGGGCCCCTACGAGTCACGGTCAGAGTCCACAGCGCCTCTCTAAAGTCTAAAAAAAAACTACGCCGTTTTCAGATGTTGTTTCCTCATCACAAACAGACCTGGAATTGTGTTTTGTTTCATTCACACGTGTTTAAAAAGTGCATTGTGTAGCATCTATAATCGGTGGGATATACTACACAAGTGAGACAGTTTAACCCTTACATACTCTTTGGGTCAAATTTCACCCATTTTGACATTCAGCAGTAGAAAAAATACCCTAAGCATCATTCTTTTATCCTGAAATTTGATGACTTTTCCAAAAATTTGCCAATATACACAAAAATGAAAATATGTTTAAATTTTATACTTTTGAACAGGTGCCACAAATCTATTAAGATGGATTTTAGCCCTATCATTGCGGGTCAAATGAAGCAAAATGGAAGTTTTAGGGAATCTTGAAACTGTACAGACCATGTGTGTGTGTGTTTTTTTTTATGGGACAGTGGTGACAGAGTTCAAGAGTTCACTGTGTTGAGATTCCCCCGTGCCCCAGATTCCCAGAGACAGACACTTGTTGGTTCATAAAGGGGAAAAGGAGAATCTCAAAACAGTGAAAGGAGTGATCATCCTGTTTATGGAGCACATAAGCAACACAAGTCAGTCAAGTGGGAGAGAGGTCTTTTCTTCTAAGTTTGAGTAAGTTTACTCAGGACACCACAGTTGTCTCGTACATGTAAAAGAAGAACAAGAATGTCATCCTTATCATCATCAGCAGCAGCCATCATCCTTGACTACAATGCCAACAAAGGGGGAGTGGACAACCTTGACAAAGTAAAAGGCACATACAGCTGCAAGAGGAACCTCCCACTAGCCTGCATTGCTGTAAGGTATGTAAGGGTTAAAACACACAGACCAGGAGACAGTACTGTGGTGCAGGATTTAATTTGTATTAGATGGTTATCAAGATGGGGGATGTTTACAGTATACACAAGTTTTATTAGATTTACAGTACTGACAAAAATAGATTAAGCCATCAACAGCGCGTTGCCGTTTACGGAGTCACAGTTCAGTCCAGTATGGTAAAAGGTTGGAGTGGGTAAAGTTTATAGTCTGAAGGGTTAGTGAATGGAGTTTGGCCAAGTCCTGTTGGGTTATTGATGTATAGAGTGTAGTGTGGGGAGCAGGTAGAAGTCTTTAGGCTCGGGGCCTTGGGCAGCTTGCCATCGGGTTCTGCAGGACCATGGAGTGGACGGACCCGCTCTGGTCCCGGTCTCAGTCCCGGTCTGGTCCCGGACCTGGATCAGTCCTGGTTCAGTCCGTATGCATCGCAATCACGGAAGTCACGTAAATGGGAAACAGCCGTTATCCATTTTTTCCATTTTTCATTTAAACACAAAATCGAAAACTGAACACTTATCTGTTTTTTCATTTTGGTTTTGGAGACAAATAATGAAGAAAACTGTAGTTTTTTTCATTTTCTTAATTTTGGTTTTATATTGAAAAACAAATGAACGAATGAAACACGGATTCAGCTCTAATACAGATTTAATAGGATCTCGCAGGCCAAATATAATTGAGTTGACATGTCTGGTTTACAGTCTCAAACATGTATGAATGAAACAAAACACAACTCCAGGTCTGTTTGTGGTGTGTGTGTTTGACAGGTTTGACAGGGATCATGTGACAGGTCGCGTGAAGGAAAAAATGTGCGTTTACATGCACATGAAGATCCTAGTTTTCAGTCTTATCTTGGTTATGGCAGTGTTCTGGATATGGTGATTATATTTGCTGAGAGAAACCAGGACACTCATATCTCTGTGCATGTGCGTCATCAGAGTATCCTGGATATTTAGACTGGTTGCTATGCTTTGCCGCAAACATGGCAAGGAGCTAAAAACTTTGCAAACTTAAGACTTTTTAACAGGTTTCTAACAACAAAAAAGAAGATGTACATTCAAGTAAAAACACGAGACTGTGGAGCTCTGACACGGCTTCAGTGAAAGGTGTTTTTAATCAGTAGAAAAATACACTCCCACAGCGTCAGTTCAGTTCAAGCGCAGCGCAAACACATTTGAGTGTAAGTGTTTGACGTCAGCGCTGGCTCAGCAACTGATTATTTTACGTCAACACCATGAATCAGCAACTACTTATTTCAATTACAACACTAACACAAGTCAGACTGAACTTTATTGTCAATCACAACATGTAACAGGCAATACACAGAGGGATTGGAATTGCGTTTCCCCAAACTCCAAATGTGCAAATTTAAAAAAATTACAACACACACACACACACACATACACACACATACACACACACACATACACTGCCACACACAGAACCTGAAATGTACACAGACGTCGATAATCAATAAAATAAACACAAAAATATACAGGCAGTCAGAAAAAGGACATATACATTTCTCACAAGAAAATAAATTATTATTATTATTTATTTATTTATTTATTTATTTTTTGTAAATAATGAAGTTGCACACAACAACACCAACACTGAATTTAACACTTTTGAATTCACAATAAAACCAAAAATTAGAGAAAATGAAAAAAACAACTATTTTCTTCATTATTTGTCTCGAAAACTAAAATGAAAAAACTGATAACGATTCGTTTTTTTTCAGTTTTCGGTTTTGTGTTTACATGAAAAATGGAAAAAACTGATAACAGACTTAACCAGGACTGAACCAGTACTAAACCAGGACTAAACGGTTTTCAGTCCTGGTCTGGTCCTAGTCTCAGTTCTGGTCTGGTCCTGGTCTGGTCCCGATCTCAGTCCTGGTCTGGTCCCAGTCTGGTCCTGGTCTTAATCACTGTCTGGTCCTAGTCTCAATCTTAGTCCCAGTCTCAGTCCTGGTCTGGTCCTGGTCTAAGTCCCGGTCTGGTCCCGGTCTAAGTCCTGGTCTGGTTCCGATCTGGTCCCGGACCTGGTTTAGTCCTGGTTCAGTCCTGGTTCAGCTCGGCATCACAGTTTAAGGCACGTAAACAGTAATTTTTTTTTTTTTTTTCGTTTTCTTATTTTAGTTTTACTTTGAAAAACGAAAGAGCAAATTCTTCTCCTTTTATTGTTTTCTTTAACATGCCTCAGTTTTTTCAGTGTTGTTTTTGAGACTGCTCCCTACACTGAAGAGTCCCACAAGGACAATTTTGTACAACCTCTGTCCATCCAAGAGCACGCCTGAACCCTAAAGTTTTGCAGAGTAAACAGTTTCATTTTGTAGTATAAAATATTATTACTTAAAAGGTCCTGGTGGGAGTTTGAGTTGTTTTGGGAAAGTTGTTGCTTCCAGCATTTGTGTAACTTTAGTTCGCACATGCTCAGTACAGCTCCAGTTTTGAGAAATCAGGATACTGTGTCTTCAGGCCACAGTGTCCTAGATTCTCTCAGAAAAAACCCAGTGAGAGTCTTCGGGTTTCTTATCCTCACATATCAGGAAACTGCTTCTACATGAACACTCACATAACCAGGATACTCAAAAAACCCGATCATAAGCGGGACACTCGAGCGCACGTACACACGCTCGTTGTGTAACTTTTGGAGGAGGCTCTGGTATCTATGTGGTTAAATAGTTAATTATTGTTTTGGCTGGATTGTTCCGCCCATAATAATACGATCTTATGACAAAGGATCCCAACACACGTCACCCAATCTGACTTAAAGCCTCCTCCCAGTGAACCATGCCAAGAGCAGCGGTGGAAGCAAAAATACAGATACAGGAGGAAAAAAATAAACACTGAAGTAAAAGAAAAAGAAAACATGAAAACATCTACTTAAGTGAAAGTATTAAAGTACTCGTTTAAAAATGTAAATACATTTTATATCGCACAGATTTTGAGATCTAATAAAGCTTCAAATGTGATTTTCAAACAGATTTGTGCCAAATTTTGTTCAACAGAAACTGAATTGATTGTTTTTAATCCGTGTGTCATTCGCTCATTCGTTTTTCAATATAAAACCAAAAATAAGAAAATGAAAAAAACAACCATTTTCTTCATTATTTGTCTCCAAAACCAAAATCAAAAAATGGATAATGATTTTGTGTTTAAATGAAGAATGGAAAAAATGGATGGAAAAACGACCGTTTCCTGTTTCCGTGACTTAAACTGCGATGTCGGACTTTTGCACTGCAAACAGACTGAACCAGGACTAAACCAGGACTAAACCAAGACTAAAACCAGGACTGACCCAGGACTGAACCAAGTCCAGGACCAGACCAGGACTCAGACCAGGACTGAGACCGGGACCAGACAAGGACTGAGTCTGGGACTAAGACTAGGACTGAGACTGGGACTGAGACCATGACTGAGACCGGGATCAGACCAGAACTGAGACCAGGATTGAGGCCGGAAAGAGGACCAGGATTGAGACAGGAACCAGACCAGGACTCAGGCCGGGACTGAGACCGGGACTGAGACCGAGACTGAGACTGAGACCGTGATCAGACCAGAACTGAGACCAGGATTGAGACCAGGACTGAGATCGGGACTAAGACTGGGACCAGACCGGGACCAGACTGGGACCACACCAGGACTGAGGCCGGGACCAGAAAAGGACCAGACCATAATTGAGACCGCAACCAGACCAGGACCGAGACCACAACCAAACCGGGACTGAGACCGGGACCAGACCAGGACCAGACCAGGACTGAGACCAGGACTGAAAACGGTTTAGTCCTGGTTTAGTCCTGTTTTAGTCCTGATTCAGTCCTTGTTCAGTCCGGCATTGCAGTCATCGTTATCCGTTTTTTTCCATTCCTCATTTAAACACAAAATCGAAAAACTGAGAAAACAAATCGTTATCTGTTTATTAATTTTGGTTTTGGAGACAAATAATGAAGAAAATATTAGTTTTTTAGTTTTCTTATTTTTGGTTTTATATTGAAAAAACGAATGACACATGGATTGTTTTTTCCTAGTTGTTTTATTAGTATATTTGTGCTTAAACTGTTAAATGTAAAAAAAAAAAAAAAAACTCAGACTTTTCAGCAGGTCTCAAACTATAAAAAAAACCCCAAAAAAACATTTACTTTTCAATCCAGTATGTAGTGGAGTAAAAAGTACTGTCTGTTTCTGATCCAGGCGTTTGTGGCAGCACGTGACTGAGGCTCTGAAGGCCGGAAACATGGAGGTGGCCACAGAACACAAGCACCACCTGGAAGAGAGACAGAGGAACGACGAGAGACAGCGCGCAGCCTCAAAAACGCCCTGGACGCCCAAACACTTCACCAAACAGGTCAGCGCACTGCAAAAAATGAGCGGGTCAGAGCTGTAGAGGACCAACAGGTGGTGAGTTGGATCCGCTGCAGACCAAAACACATCGTGTTCGGGTCTGTGAACGTCTGGAGGCCTCTGTCACAGGTCTTCAGCTCTCATTTTCAGAACTTCTCCCAAATCCCAGATGAGGCAGGAGACAGGGATCTGAGGTTATGTTTACACTGAAACATATCACCGTATCACTGAAATGATTTGCGTCCAGACACGTTGTTTTTGTGTCCTCAATCCTTCCCTCTCCACACAGTTTTGAGCACATTTGTTTACGTTTTACAGAAATGAAACTTAAAACCACATGGCTCATTTGCATAAACTCTGTCGTACTAAAGAAGAACACGACTCAGACCCTGTTTACACTGAAACAAATCCGCGTATCACCGTATCGAAAATGATTTGCGTCCAGACACGTTGTTTCTTTGTCTAGAAGTCTTCCCTATTCACACAGCTTTGAGCACATTTGTTTACATTTTGCAGAAATTAAACTTAAAACCGCATGGCTCATTTGCATGAACTGAACGCTCATGTGGGCTGATGCAGTTCAGCTTCTGTTGGACTAAAGGACATGACTCAGTGGAATATGAGTGTTCTTTCTGTGACAGAGGGGTGTTCTGCTGATGGTGAGTCTGTTTTGTGTTTCTGTATCGTCGGAGATGGTTCATGTTAAACTTTTCAGAGATTATACGTCTGCAGGTCGTACACACAGATCGTATATCTCAGGCATGTCCAAACTATGGCCCGTGAGCCAAATGCGGCCCTCAGATACATTTTTCTTGGCCCTCAGACTTTCAGGTGAATTGGCCCAAATTACCTTGCATCAATTAAAAATGAACTTTTCACTGCAAGTTTTTTTTAAATTCTACCTGGATAAAGCTAATATTTAATATTTAGTGTGTGGTTTTAAGGATCTTAGAATGAGTCATCAGTCTTTATTCATGCTAATGTGTTAAACATGCACATATTTCAATTATTCACAGTACTGAGCACCAGTGATCACACCTCTGCTTCATCTGTGTTTAGATATGTGGCCCTTGATGAAAGAAGTTTGGACACCCCTGGTTTATATGAATGGACATATTCTAGCCTCTTAGCGTTTTGGTGGTGAATTACTTTGAGGCGCATAGAACTACATCAGCGATTTTCAGGCGTCCACACAGTGCCGGATCAGGTCTGTACTCAGGTGAATTCGTGGGAGCTGGCAGCACCAGATTGTTCCGTCTCTTGAGCCGTTTGCCATCGGATTAGTGTGAATGAACACTGCATCCACAACCAAAATGACTCGAATACGTACTAGTGTGAATGGGACCTGAGTGGACCGTGTTCTTAGCTTCTATTGATGTGACTTCTCATTGCTGTCGTCGTAAGGTCTCTGGTGCATGTCGTGGCAGCAAACCCCGAACCTGATGATGGATGCAGGAAGTAAGGGAGGCCGTCAGTCTGAAGGAGGAGTCCTGTCGGGCCTCGTTGGCCTGTGGAACTCCAGAAGCAGCTGATGGTCACCAATGGGCCATGCATGCTGCAGCTCGTGTGGCTGCAGAAGCAAAAACTCAGGGCTGGGAGGACTTTGGAGAGGCTATCGACACCTCCATGGCCTCTCCAAAGTCTCTCTCAAAGAAATTCTGGGAGAGCTGTTGACCTTGACTGGGGATGTTGTCGGACGGTGGAAGAAATACTTTAAGGATCTTCTCAATCCTGCCGTTATGTCCTTCGAGGAGAAAGCAGAGGCTGGGAATTCAGAGGCAGACTTGATCATCATTTGTACCTGAAGTCACTGAGGTGGTCATAGCTCCTCTGAGGCTCTAGGTGTGGATAAAATCTGTCCTGAGGATCTAAAGTCTCTGGATGTTGTGGGGCTGTCTTGGTTGACTCGCCTCTGCAACGTCATGTGGCAGATAGGGACAGTACCACCTGTGTCACCAGTTCTGTTTTATAATAGACATAATTTATTTCTGTTTGATCTTAATTTGAGTAGGTCTGATTGCCCCCAAAAAACAAACTTCCTGTGAAACCTTTGTTACTATAAACCACTCCTTGATGACTTGATGAGCGATTAGACTCATGCACACATACAAAATGAAGGTGACAAATACGTCTCTAATGTAAATGTCTCTGGTTTCCTCAGGGTGAAGGCTGGGTGTACAACAGGCCTCTGTGGGAAACTCACTGACCAAGATCCAGCTCAATCTTCAAGGACTAACCACGAAAATAAAAACTGGGCAAGAGCCAGGCCCGGGCCAGGACTTTCCACAACCAGGAGGACCGAACTGGCCTCAGGAGACCAGAGGACCTACGAAGAGATACTTGTCAGACCAGGAAGTGCCAAAGATAAGGAAGTTACTACAAAGTATAGACTATTTAAAAGCAGGACTTTAGTAACTTTTTCAAATCTTAAATAAAGTAAGTTCGTAACTGTTAAATGAGTAGTTGTGGGGTAAGTAAAGTGTCCGGGGTTACGGAAGTCTCACCAGTTTTATGAATGGGCCCATTTTACACAATTTTCTGATTTATGTTATAATGTTGTTTCCTCGTCAAGAACATACCTGAAGTTGCATTTTGTTCAATTTACACACATTTAACCCTGCAGATTTAGACTGAAAACACTTCCACCTTGTGATGTCGTGATAATACAGGAAGTGCTGCACCGTGCTTTTAAACTCCGTACACCTTCACTTGAATCATGTGGATGGTTTGAGCCCTGGAACTACCAATTTCTACTAAACAAATGGTAAAAGGAGCTGTTAAGTTGAAAACTACTGTTTCATGACATCACAAAGTGGAACAGAACACTTTAAGCTCTGGACTTTAAGCTCAGACTAATCATAAAGGATTACTCAAACATGTGTGAATGAAAAAAAAACAACACAACTCCAGATACGTTTCTGATCAGGTAACAGCATTATAACATGGCTTAAAGAGTTTCAGTAAAATGAAGGACCATTGCCATAGTTATTTATTTATTTTTATTATTATTATTATTATTATTATTATTATTAAATTTATTTATATCTTTAACCTGGTTTATGGTTAATATGTCTGTAATTACTGGGCCTATCCATATAAAAATTGACACCAAGTTCAACGTCTTTTTTCCCTGTATAAATAAACAAAAGTGAAATACTTTTTCACAATGGCCTCCAAAGGTGCCATTTTTTTCTACACTAGAGAAGTTACAGGCTCTGCGCACAGCAGTGTGAGCTTTACACTGAACACTGCTCCTTAGTAAACAGCTGATGGTTTATTACCCTCATGAGGTTTTACTGCACAACTTTTACTGGCCTCGGTCTGAGCGAATGAGCTGAACAAACCTGTTTTTCACATGAGCTTCTCCCTCCTCAGTCACGTGTCTTTGTGGATCACACTGTACAGTTACTTGGTGCTGCACTCAGAGCAGGGCCCTCCCCCTCCCTCTCTCTGACTTTGTTATGAGGAAATGCCTCTCTCTTTCTCTCTCAGAGGCAAAAATGGCGCAGAGCACAGTGGACCCAGCAGCTCTGAGCTGCTGCATGTGTTTGGAGGAAGTGAGAGAGCCGATCACTATTCCCTGTGGACACAGCTACTGCAGCAGCTGCATCCACAGTCACCGGGACAGGGCGAGGAAAAAGTTCTGCTGCACCGACGGGCAGCTCCCGTGTGTGGTCTGCTGCACGGATCAACACCAGGCCGGGGGCCAGAGACCGGGAGAGCTGCCGGCCAGGAGGGCCCTGCTGCTCCATAGCCTCCAGCACAAAGAAACAAACCTAAAGAATCTCCAACAGGAGGCCCAGGACATCAGCCGCTCTGCCCAGAGAGCGCTGCAGCAAAGCGGGGAGAGTTTCACACAGATGGCCCTTCTCTTGGAGAAAAGACGCTCAGAAGTGGAGCGGTGGATCCGCTCCCAGGAGGAGACTCAACTGAGCCGAGTCCAAGAGCTCCAAGACCAACTGCAGCAGGACGTGAGTGAGCTGAAGAGGAGCCTCTCCGAGCTGGACACACTGGCCCTCACCCAGGATCATAACCAGTACTGCCCCCCTCTGGACACAGACTCACAGCACACAGAGTTCAGGATCCAGACCGGACCAAGGAAGGACTTTGAGGACGTGTCCAGAGCTGTGTCTTCGCTCAGGGACAAACTCCAGCTCATTCTGGAGAAGGCCATAGTTCAAAACCAGGAGGACCTGAGCCCTGAGCCTCGCTGCAGAGAGGACTTTCTCAGATACGCACGGGACATCACCCTGAACCCTGACACTGCAGACCCACACCTAGCTCTGTCTTTTGGAAACAGAAGAGCAAAGTTTGTGTTTGATAAGCAGCGTCCTACGGATGATCCAGACAGATTCAGCGTGTATCAGGTCCTGAGCCGAGAGGCGCTGACGGGCCGCTGTTACTGGGAGCTGGAGTGGGACGGGATGGTTCTCATTGCAGCTGCGTACAGAGACACTCAGAGAGACTGTGAGTTTGGAGACAACGGCAATTCCTGGGCCTTAGACTGTCAGAGCAAAAGTTACTCATTTTGGTTTAACAAAGTCCGGACCGAGATCTCCTGTCCAGTCAGGTCCAGAAGAATCGGGGTTTACCTGGACCACAACGCAGGGATTCTGTCCTTTTACTGTGTTCAGGGTCAAACCATGAAGCTCCTCCACAGAGTCCAGACACAGTTCACTCAGCCTCTATACGCCGGAGTCCTCGTTGGGTTTGTATCTACAGCTCATTTCCTTAAACTTAAATCCTGAACAGTCAGCGCGTGAGGCCATTTTGATCTTGGTCTGTTCTGGACTTAAACTGGTCTTGGGACGGCTCTCGGGATGTAAAAACAGCGTCAGAAGTCCAAAGAGGAGATTTATGGAATGTAATAATCAACACAAACTCTCAAAAGATCCTTACGAATGTCATTGCCTTATTGTGAAATACTGTTAATAGGCTTTTGCTGGTGGTGAAAATAAATATACATAAAAGTTTCATAATGAAGGATACAACTCAGTAACTGTATATTTTATGATTCATTTAATTTCTGATGACAAAATGCAGCCACTATAATCAATAATTCTAAACATTGCCTACTTTCTGTAAATAAAATAAATACAGAAACAGGTGCATTCTTTTGTTTTTAGATAAAGGTCAGAATTTAACTTTAGATTTTCCATTTTCTATTAATCCTCAGAGGTGAAGGAAGTGGCAATGTGTTTAACTCAAGTGAAAGCAGAAACAATTAACAACAATTTGCATATGCCAGGTTTAATTTTTTTACTTAACTGATTAATTCATGACTTAATTTAGTTTTAAATCAGGGAATAATTTGAGATAAATACTTGATAAAATAGATTTCTAGGCCAATCACCACGAACCTGAATTATTTATTACAGATTTTTGTTTTAAAGCATTTGATAATATTCAAATGTAATTTATAATTCAGTGTATTTATTTTATACAATGGTTTAAAACTCTCTTTAATCATCCCAGTAACCGAATAATGAATAAAGCTTATGCACTTCGTCAGGGGTGGCCACTGTCACCCTATTTTTTGTTTTACGTATTCAGATTTTGGCTTCTAAAATAACAAATAATTTAAAAAAAAATAAGGGTTTGTCGCTAAAAGATCTATGTATGCTGCTGAGGCAACCAAAACAATCAACTTTTGAAGCTTTAATTATGGGTTTAAGCAGCTTTTCAATCAAAATTTAAGGATTAAGACCCAATTTTGAGAAGTGTAAATCGATCCCAACAAGAGTTTATTCCCCTTTTTCAATTAAAAGCAGTACAGATGGATAAAATATTTCAAAATCAATTACAGGACACTTCAATTTCCAGTCCCACCTGCCTGGGCATGTGTCAAGGTTTTCCATCGCAGGCGCTTTGGACGAATTTGAATATTGTTATTAAAGCCAAACCACAATTATGCTTTATTTTTGTCATTAAGTTGGCAAGTGTTGGATTTCTGTACAGTTTTTTTAAGTTAACTATATCAAATTCATGCTCAGAACATTTTAAAAACATAATTCATAATCAGTTCACTCCAGATTTGAGTCTTTATTTCAGTTGCTTAAAATGTTTGTACCTTTTTTGTTTGTTTTGCTCTGTTGTGTTGTTATGTCTTATTTATATTTTTCGTTATGATTTCTATAATTTGTGAGGTTATGCATGTGATGGGTGGGTGGTTGTGTAGAGTATGAAAGCTTTATCTTCTTTGGTTTGTCAGTAGATAAATAATAAAAAGACTAAAAGCAATAATGTGTAAATGAGATGAGTTTTGTTTACAGTGTGGTTGCAAGTAAATAGTTATAGAATTACGTCAGTATCCTGTCAAACCAGGAAGTAGTTTACAATTATAAACTGGTCAAACCATAGATATTATATGTTTATGTGCCAAACCAGGTAAATGATGTACTTTTTTAAATAATTAATTCATTATTAGTAATTATAATCATTTAATTTTATTTATATGCACTTGCAAATGCCAACACCACCCACAGAAAAGAATGCACGAGTTTGTTTTAACTCGATAATAATGAGTCAGAGACAGAAATCATTACAGTTAAAATTATTTTGATAATGAGCAGGTGAGAGTTATAACAAAGAAAACATGTGACCTAAAACAAATCCTAAGGCAAAACAAACCAAATCAGTTCTATAGTTACAAAGAGTCTACAAAGTCAGTGTTGGGAAGTGACTGAATAAGCCAAAGATACTGAAAATGCGTCATTATATACGTCATTTTGAGTAACTGCATTCTTGTACACTCCTGTCCCTCTTCCTGTTACTCTTTGATGTGGTGTTATTCAGAAAAGTGACTTCCTTATTCATGGCCGTACTTTATATTGTGCAATTTTGCCACTGAACCGCAAATTATTATCCTTTCCTTATTGTAATTATTACCTGGTCCCCGAGGAGTTGACCAGGTTTTGTATTCACCCTGTGTGTCTGTTTGTATGTGTGTGTGTCCACCCGCGATAATTCTGCCATTTATGGACCGATGGTCACCAAACTGGTACGTGGGTCAAGCCCCCGTGCCCGATGCCGCAAAAAAGTTTGGTGACGATCCAAGGTTATTTGAGGTCACACGGGTCAATTGAAAGGTCACACCTTTATAAATGATAAAGACAATTTTGACAATTTCTGAAACATCTGCGGGCTAAAATATTCACCCAATCATCACACAAGTTGGCACACACATAACCGGGGTACACTGGATGTTATAGGTTGAATCCGGTCAAGATCACTTGAAGGTCAAGGTAAACAAGGTCAAATATGCTTTTCTGGTCATAACACGAATGATTGAGCTTGAGCAACGGGAGTGGTCTCAAAATCTCAGAAAAAATTATTATCTATTTATAATTCTGTGCTTTTGTGTAGTCAAATATTAATAGTTTTCCAGATAATCACTAATTATAACAGTTCCTTTCTCTTTCAGTGTAGCCGTTAAAATTCTAATTGGAACGAAAATAATTTCCATTTCTTGTTTTTCTAGTGATACATAACACACGGATCTACAGTCACACAATTAACATACACACAACTCATGAAAAATGACATTTTGGTTCCACACTAGTAAACACAGACGTTCTCATGTGTGACCAATATCACACAAATGTTCATGGGTCTGTACAGATACACACATTGTATTGTGGATATAATGATCATGTAATATGGGCTCCTCATAAACTGCTTCTGTGGTGATGAACTGACCCCACAAATGCCTCATGGGGACCAAGTTGCTGTCTCTGATTGCACTTGTTATCTCTCATTTCACCATTGCACTATTTTAGATTAGTACAACCTGCTTAATTTTAATAATTTTGTTGATTTTAAATATAGATGTTTTATCTATAATGATTTGTATGGACTTGCCCCCCTCCGTTACAGGATTTTATTAAAGTAAAGACTGCCAGTGGGAACTAGGGCCATGGCCCGGGGAACTGTGAGCTCCACACAGACGCACTACACTCGGACAAACTGTGTTTCAGTCAGAGGCACTAAATTTTGGAGCAATCTCTCATTATCAATAAGAGAAACTCCAACACTGGACACTTTCAAATCCCACTTGAAACAGCAGCTAAAGGAAAACCAGACTTGTGGACAATTTTAGTCTAGACCTGTCACTTGTATTTGTTGTTTTTTTCTTTCTTAAATTTGTGGTGTCGCCTGCTGAGGGACGACAGATGGAAATGAGCATTCTTGGTATAATCTGTCATATTTACACTGCAGTGTTGTAGATGTTCATTAATATGTACTGCCCCTATTAAATAAATAAATAAATAAGATAATAAAGGCACAACAAACAAAATAAAGCTTTTTGTCATTATTTGTCACTGTAATTCACTATAATATTATTTCAACTTTAATGTGAAAATATTGAAATGGTAAATGGTCACATTTTTGTATACTGTTTTCCATCTTCAAGGCGCTCACTTTACATCAAAGAACCACTCACCCATTCACACAAACAACATTCCTCTGTGGGAGCTGGACTCGCACCGCCAACCTGTGAGTCAGTGGATCTGAACACTCAACCAATGATAGTTATGTCGAGTGCAGGAGGAGGCCCTGCTCCTGCTCTCCAAGTCAGAGTCAGAGTCAGGTTTGTGGCAATGCAAGCAAATATGCATTCCCAAAGATTATTGCCCCGAAAAAAATAATCCATAAAAGACACACACACATATATAAATATAGTTTTGAGCAAGGATTTAAAGTGCTCAAGTGACTGTGCAGTTCTAATGTGCAATGGCAAAGTGTTCCACAGTCGTCCTATAGGGACAGCCAGGAGCTGGTCTGCAAAGTGCAGCCTTCTGGATGGGACATGGGGCTGAAGGTTTGACACTAAGACAGAATTATTATTATTATTGATTTTCGTTTTTAATTAAAATTCAAAAGAACGAATGGTACACTCTTTGTTTTTGTTGAGAAAAACATCATACGTTTCCTTGGAGCCTGTAATAACGTGTTTTCACCAGACAGCGGCGGTATTTTCTCCTTTGAGCGGAAATCCGTCGAAGAGAAATCGGATCTGGCAACCCGGGAAGCTCCGCGCGAATAGCTCAAAAACAACAGACCAAAACAAGAGCGAAATGTCCGAGATTCTGCGGGTTTCTGCGGTTTATAAGTGAACCTCATAATCCCACACTTTCATGACACATACAGGTACATGACTGGGTTTACATAGCAGCTTTTGATCGCAGTTTTCATCGGCAAACGTGACAAGATAACGCGATAAAGCAGTTGCTGTTAGCGTCTGCAGTTAGTTTTTAGCCACTTCTTGAGTCATATTTTAGTTCATTATTAGCTCTGATTTAGTCGTAATTAAAGTGCCTATGACAGTTTATTTTATTGTTAATAGTTTATGTGGGATAGTACTTGTGGTAAATAATATGCGTAATAATTTTTAAGTGGAAATTTGTGGAAAAAGTTGAAAAGAAAAGCACAAAAATATAAGAACTAGGAGCTTGCAGTGAATTCTGAAACAGTATAACTAGCTATGTTTTGTTTTATTATGTTTATGGGTGTATTTTTTACTAAATTATTTTGTTACAATGCTACAGTTTTGTTGCTTGTTCAGAGGGAGGAAATTTATTCATAAATTTATTCGTTCATGCAACATATTTGACATTTTTTTGATTAAAATAGGTGTGTTTCATATGAACTTTGCACAACAAGTGGTTTAACAAAGACTTTTATTGTTTCACAGCCATGATTTAGCCATTACTTTTTATTGAATCGTATCGAATCGAATTGAAATATATCGTATCGAATTGTAAGATCACTATATCGTGGTAGGGATGTATCAATAACCAAAATATCACGGTATCGTATCGTCAAAAGTCTCACAATAATATCGTGGGGCTGTCACAATATATTGAATTACAAGTTATTTTGCTTAAATGCATAGTTTTACAGTAGCAACAGCTTGTAAACATCGGGAACTACATATTCCATGATTCATTTCAGTTCAGACAACATGAAGAAATATGTTTTTTACTTGAATTCTTGGGATTATGACAGAAATAATTCACACAAAAATCTTGTCAAATTATTTTAAAAGCAAAAAGTGTCCCATCTGCAATTATATCAGCCTCTCCAAAATATTGCAATAAATATCGTACCGTGAGATGCATATCGTGATAATATTGATTTCGATATCGTTACATCCCTAATGTATCGTATCTGCAATTTCTTAATGATATCCAACCCTAGTTATGTCACGTTATCAATACTCAGAATTCCATCCAAAATGCAAAGATAATTCAGCTGTTAGAAAGTCACTTGTCTGGCAGCATTTGATTTATTAAAATAAAGATGTTGACATTTATTTGTATTAGTCTAATCATAGTAATTTAGACACAAGTTATTAATTTTGGCCTTTGTGAACATGCTAATAGTCAGAGGTGTGGACTTACAAGTCGTGACTTGGACTCGAGTCAGACCTGAGTCACTATTTTTAGGGCTTGAGACTTGATTTGATAAGACAGACAAAGACTTGGAACTTGACTTGGACTTGAAGGTCAATGACTAAAGACTTGATGCTTCTAAAAATATATATATGTTTTTAGAAAATACTTTTCTCTTTATAGATGATACATGTGGTGTTAAATTTTACAGGAACAAACTGGAACATGTCCGTCCCACATCTGTTGTTACTTTGGAACTGAAGTACTGTGACGTGGTATCCTCAAATGTACTACAGTAATATACAGAATAATACAGTAAAACAGGGAACTACATAGATTATGATCCTTCTATTTCAGTGCTGACAATAACAGTTATTAAGCACTTATAAAGCACTATCATAAAGTAATGATTCACGCTAAGATCTTGTCAAAACATTTAAAAAGGAAAAAATAGCATTTCTAAAACTCTTATATAAATACTCAGATACCATGACAAGTACAATTTTGTTTAACTGTATGTATCAATAGCAAAATTCTAAGCTATATTTGGTACTTTTTTGGTTTAAAGACTTGAAATGACTCGAAGCTCAAAACAGAAGACTTGGACTTGAATTGGACTCATGGGCCAGTGATTCAAACCCAACTTGGACTTGCCTGTAAGTACGAAATCTTCCTCTGCTCCGCTCCAGATGTGTGTTAAATTTACAACAGCATGTTTATATTGGAGCTTCCAGTGTTTATGTTAAGTGATTTACAACTGACTTCTAATACTCCCTGTTCTAACTGAGCACGTACAGCTGCCACGAGTTTCGTTTGTTTACTTTTGCCTTATATGTATCTTCTCTGTACCAAGAGCTCATGTGTACACACGCCCATTCTGCTCATTATCATAAACTATAAATACTGATGGTTTCTTTGGTCTGGGCCTCCCTGGACCCCTCACGAACATGGAACATGGAACATCCTGATGTTATTAAACTTCTTTTATTTATTTATTAATTTATTATTTAAGTTAAGTTAAATTAAGTTTATGAAATGTTATTTTATTTTATATTATGTTATGTTATTTTGTTTTATTTCATTTCATTTTATTTGAAGCAGGGACAGCACACAATTTTTACATTAACCTTAACAGGAGAGATGTTTGTACCAGGTTGTAGCACCAGAGCTAATTTCCACCTGTCGTCCCTGGGCAGGTTCATTGATTGATTGTACTTAACTGACCTTGACTATGAACTGTTCTTCCTGCAGACCTTTGTTGTATGTTTGGGTTGTTTTGGTTCACGTAACTATTCATCTACCCAGGCTGGCGCCACCTAGTGCCTCTGCTCAATTTCATTTCTGTCCAGCGACTAGGTCAGAAATCAGAATACACTAGACGGTTTGCAAGAACCCCAGAATTTGTAGACCACACTCTGGCCAATCAGCTGTGAGCTGTGAAGTCATGACGTTAAACTCGTGGCGGTTTCCACGAAGTGAAACCGGCTCATGAATCAGGCTACTATTCATCTGGCTATGGAGTCAATTCTTATCGACCATGTTCTCACGATAACACCTGTCCTTGACCTGGGACTTGACTCAGACTCGAGGTCAAAGACTTGAGACTTGCAAAACAACGACTTGGTCCCACCTCTGCTAATAGTTTTATAAGTTACTAGGTCATATTTTGAGCAGTGAGTTTTTAGGATTTTTTTCATCCTACTGTGGTTCCAGATTTACTTAATAAATCTAGAATAACACAACTAATTAAACACACTCAAAAATCTTCATTATATGTTGTTTTTAATGCATTACAGTTGGTTTAAATTGAAGTCCAAGACAAACCCTACAGAATGAGTCGGAAGCTGACCAAAGAGGAGCTGGATCACCAATTTGAGCTTTTTCTCAAAGAGGTAATGACAAATTTCTTCTTTTAATTTTGAAAGTCACATTAACAGTCTGTTTATTAAAGCCAAACTAAGAGTAGGTTTCCTGTATCAGCATAAAAACAGTTTCACACGGCCCGCGAAAAGGGTGCAAAGAGTACGTAATTAAGAAAAACTGTTATGCAATCGTTCTTCTCTTGTTTCTCTCAGTCCATCTCTGATGATTCGGTGGATTTGGGGAATGTGGAGAAGGCGACGGGAGCCAAAGAGAAAAGTCCAAAATCAGCCCCAAAGCCCTCGGTGTCCTGGTGGGAGGAGGACCACGACAAAGGTGAGATTTTACCGCACATTTTTACGGTAAGTCAGTATCAGCGAGTACTCAGACCAACTCACTGATCCAATGCCGCTGTATCTTCCACATTTAGGATCTGTAACATAATTGAGTAGCCTTAGCCCACTTCTTCACATTATGTGGGATCAGACTGGTATCGGTATCGGTTGTTGTTTATCACTGCTATGCTGATATGCAAATCTACCTGCTATTTCAGACCAGCTGCTCTGTACAAGCACTGGTGAGCTGCTTAAAGGAGGTTCAAGAATGGATGCAGTCAATTTTTCTTAGTTTAAATAAGCATAAGACAGAAATTATTGTTTTTGGTCATTCTGATCTGTTGATGAACTGTGACAGTGCCATAGGTCCTCTTAGTTCCTATGAAAAAGCAGTTTCTAGAAATCTTGGTGTCATTCTTGATTACAATTTTAAATTTGAAAAACAAGTAAGCTTTGTTCTTAAATCAGTTTTATCAGTTTAGGGTTTTAAGCAAAATCAAGGCACATATTCCACGCCTGCATTTTGAAAAGGCCATTCATGCATTTGTGACCTCGAGGCTTGACTATTGTAACTCTCTGTATGCTGGCACTGACCAGGCCCAGCTCAGCCGCCTGCAGGGAGTCCAAAATGCAGCAGCTCGCCTTTTAACTGGAAAGAAGCGGAGGGCTTCCAGAGAGAGCACTTTAAATCCTTGCTCAAAACGCACCTTTTCTCCTTCACATTTGCCTAGATTTAGGAAGGCACACCTTGGCACCTTGCTGTTTTATTTTGTTTTTATCATTATTATTCTGGTAGCTTATTGTATGTTTTATTTCACTGTTCAGCTCTTTAGTAAGCATTGGCTGTTTTAAATGTGCAATACAAATAAATTTGAGTTGATTTGATCGGTGAGTACCCTAAGGCCAAGTATCGTATCAGATCAGATCCCAGAAAAATGGTTTTCGGAACAACTAATCGCATCTGATGTTTTGTTGGACAATGGTTCAACTTCAAATGTTTTTGTTTTTTTTCCACCAGAGAAAACCAAACCCAGATTTTTGAAAGCTCCAAAACGTCAGGCTGAAAATGCAGAGGGTGAGCTCGTGTAGACAAAACTAGTTTAGTTTCTAGACCGTAGAATGTGCTGTTGTCTCTCAGATTGGGGCAGGACTCTGTATCCCTGTATCCCCTTTTTGTAGTTTTGTGCACTATTTTAATCAGTTTTTTTGCCTCTTAAGTGGACAATTACAAGCCAGTCCCCAAACCTCGCTCCTCTGCTCCGGTTCAGAGTGACAGCGCCCCCAGTCACCTCCAGGGGGCGAATGGAGACCGCAGTCCCACAGAAGAAACTCGGGTCTCCAGCCCAGACTGTGAGGCTCAAGGGGGAAGTGACGATGGTAAACCCCAAAATGTCCCTCCCCCTAGAGAGTACACGGACGCTTTGGATGTAAAAGTAGAGGTTCTGACTCTAGGACTAAACCAGGACTGTGGACTAATTTGACAAAACAATGACTAAATGATTAAATTGAAAGGATTAAACCAGGTCTAAATCAGAACTAAACCAGGACTACCGACTAATATTACAAAACAATGACTAAATGATTAAATGGGAAGGATTAAACCAGGTCTAAATCAGAACTAAACCAGGACTACCGACTAATATTACAAAACAATGACTAAATTATTAAATGGGAAGGATTAAACCAAGCCTAAATCAGAACTAAACCAAGGACGATTGACTAATTTTGCAAAACAATGGTTAAAAGATTAAATTGGAAGGATTAAACCAGGTCTAAATCAGAACTAAACCAGGACTACGGACTTATCTTACAAAACAATGAATAAATTATTAAATTGGAAGGATTAAACCAGGTCTAAACCCGAATCTAAACCAGGACTAAACTAGGACTAGGGACTAATTTTACAAAATAATAACTAAATTATTAAATTGGAAGGATTAAACCAGGTCTAAATCAGATCTAAACCAGGACTAAACCAGGACTACGGACTGATCTTACAAAATACTGGCTAAATTATTAAATTGGAAGATTTAAACCAGGTCTAAATCAGAACTAAACCAGGACTAAACCAGGTCTAAATCAGAACTAAACCAGGACTAAACCAGGTCTAAATCAGAACTAAACCAGGACTACGGACTAATCTTACAAATCAATGGTTAAATGATTAAATTGGAAGATTTAAACCAGGACTAATTGACATTCATACACCGGCGTACCTTGTGGCATTATTATGTGACCGTAAGCCCACAATATGGGAAAAAAACAAAACAAAATAACATTTATTTGACCAAAAAAAAAAAAAAGTGCTTTACTAAAGCTAAACAGGACTAAAAAAAAGGACTGGAACGAAACCTCTAAAAGCTGTTGGAGAACTCCCTGAAATCTCATTCATTCCCGTCCTGTAGAGTCGAGAGTTAGTGGATTAGAGTAGTAACAGTACAGTAGCTCACCCATTAACCAGTAGGATTCCAGTTTGATTCCCGCTTCCTGCTTTGAATCCTCCTGTTGTCCTTCAGGAAGACATCTGTATCAGAGGATGGAAGCACATTTGACTCACAGGATATGTTCTTTGTCCAGGGCTCGTGGGATCAGGGAAGAGTTTTCTCAAATCTCTTCGCAAATCTCAAACAATTCGAGAGGAAGAAGAATCCAGTGTCCAAACCAGAACTCCAAAAGATGACACCGCAGAGACACATGGTAAGTAGGACTGTGGTCGACTAAAGGAATTCTTGTTGGACTAAAGACCTGTCCTGCTGATTGTGGCAAAAGCTCTGAAAACGATTCCTTATCTCAGTCTGACCCAAACTGCACTCACAAGACTACACCTGCAGGGGGAGCTCATGCAAAAAGTACTATTTACACACAAAAAGTAAAAGGAAACTGTGTTTGTAGGAGTGTAATGATATCTAAGTCTTATGATACGATATCGTCATGGTATGAACCTCACAGTATGATATTTACTGCGATATCATGGGAAAGCTCACGATATGGTGGGGAGGCTCAAGATTAGGGATGTAACAATATCCACATCTCTCGGTACGATATTTTTATGATATACATTTCACGGTACAATATTTATTGCGATATTTTGTGGAGGCTGAACAGCTACAAGATTTTATCCAAAGAACTAAGACTTAAAAGTGTTAGAACTGTTATTTCTTCTTGTTGTCTGCACTGAAATGGAGCAAAGGATCATGGTCTATGTAGTTCCCTCTGTCTTTTTTTTTTCTTTTTTTTGCTATTTTTAACTCTTAATTTAAGCAAAGAGATTTGTGATGCAATATATTGTGATGGTCCACGATATTATTGTGAGAACTCTGAACTATTTCGGTTATTGTTACATCCCTGTGTATTTATATAAAGACAGACTAAACCTGTGAATCATTTTATTTACATATAAATACCAAAAAAATATCAAATATTCTCCTTTCTGATATTGTCCCATAGAAATCCTTATCTACATAAAGTGATCGGGTGACTAATAAACATTTTACTCGACTAAAGGCCAACACACACACCGGATATGGCACGTCACTGCTCTTCAATAGGCTTTAACACAACTCTTGCTGTTTTATAAATGAACATTTTATCTGCAGATTACTTATAAAATAAGAGACACAGCGTGAGGCAGTGAGAGGAGAGGAAAGGCGCTGGTTTGAGGACGTCATAGTGAGTTTAGAGAGAGGAAAGACTTTACCCGCATGGAGAGAAGTGGGAGAGGAGCTGGTGTTTTGCCGAGTTGAACATAGAAGCTTTCTCTGCCTCTGCTGCATTGTGCCTGTCAGCAAAGTTTACAGCTCCTTTTGTCTCTCACAGAGCACAAACATGTTTGTACTCACTGCACAAATGCAAAATGCAGGTGTTTTCAGATGTGTGCAGGCGTGTGTCCAGTGTGTGTTGGCTCATAGAAAATAATGGAGCATCCTGGTGTGCCTTGGCCTTAAGACTCCATCATTCGATTCATCGACGAAACCGCTAAAGGCCTACAGCTCTAATGATGTCTTAACTAGAGCCGACCGATATATCATGACGATATATCGGCTGGTCGATATTATCGGCCAATATGGGCACCTGGAGACATATCGGCTATTGGCTTGCTGCTGATATGGGCCGATATTTCAAGTGGGCATGTTATACCTCGTTATAAAGCTTAGACTCTCTACATTATGTTCATTTAATTCAATTTACAGACAGATAAATGTCCTCATATGTGGCTCCGCACCAGTATTAATCTGCGGTGTAATTTGTCTGTGTGTGTGTCTGTACTGTCCCTGAACACACCACAGAGTCACGTCACTTCACGTGTGTTTGTTTACACCGCAGCCGTGCGCAACACTGAGATTATATTCTTTTTACGGACAATCTGTTTGAGTTTGGATTAAAAGGACATTTATTAGTGCAAACTTGTGATGTGAGGAGGAGCCTGTGTGAGCGGTGAGTGTTGGAAATACATCGACTTTGAAGCTAGTTTAGGTTTTGTTAGCGATTAGCTGCTGTAGCTCCTGCACATAAACAGGCTGTTTTCTATTGGCCTATTGTAAAGGGACTATATTGGCCGTATATTTGTTACTGGACCTGTATTGATATGTAAATGAGCTGTGAATAGACGTGTGAATGATCCACATTTATGCATATAATTAATTACCGCGGCGCGCACGTTTTTACGGCTAAAGGCTAATACGATAGTTTCTTTTCTAGCTAGGACTTATGGGTCGGTCACGATCGAAGCGGCTCTTAGAACTGGCTCTTTGAAGCGAACAACGGGAGCATGTTTCTTATTGGGAACTGTGTTTTCTCTTTTTCTCACTTTTTCTCTTCAAGCCGCTTGTAGACCCGTAGTTTGACAGCAGCAGCGGCTGAAAACGAAACTTTCAGAAATATGCGTGAGCACAGGATAAAAAAAAAGTGCATATTTGGCTGCAGTTCAGCATAAAATGAATAAACCAGGACTAATCTTGAGCTCGAGTGAGGGAGAGAGATAGAAACCGAGTCCCGACACTCAGACCTGGTTAAGTTCTGGTTTAGTCCTGTTTCACACATGGTTTAAATCTGTTTTAGTCCTGGTTTAGTCCTTTTTCAGTCCTGGTTCAGTTCTGGTTTAGTCCTGCTTGCAACAAAACAATCTCAAGAGTCGCTTGGGAGCCGAAAGAGCCAGCTGCTTTAGTGAGCCGAGCCAAAAGAGCCGGTTTTCCAAAAAAAAAACTGGAATACCCATCACTATAGCTAGAATGTGATGTAAAAATGCCATTAGGCCAATCTACTGTCTGTAAATATGATGTAAAGAGGCAGAACAACAATAAATGTTGCCTAAATAAACCCAATTTAGAATCCACTAGAGCCAAACCTAAGTTTTTTAAACAATTCAAGATTTACAGTGAATTTTTACATCACTAAATATATCGGCGAATATATCGGCTATCGGCAGCTCCAACTCCCATTATATCAGTTTCATATCGGCCACAACAAAATCCATATCGGTCGGGCTCTAGTCTTAACTGCACCTTGTCCACTTTAGGTTAAATGAAATTCTAGCACCATTCTCTTTAAAGAGGGAGTGTTACACTTCTGTGGGGGTTGGTAATTTTGCGGAATTCCTTCACTTTTAGAGCATTTTGTTAGATTTTAACTTGCTCCACAACTTTGAACAAAAACTTAATACTCTAGGTCTAAAATGTGCATTTTATGTTTGTGCATCATTTCAGAGACCAGAGTGGAGTTTACGTCATGTTAAAGCTAATAACGCATTTCCTGATTATCGGACATGACTGACAGTAAAACATTTTTACACTACAGCTGACTTATTTTTACTTTAAGAGCTGCTTATACGATACATCTACTGGGACACAATTAGCTCAAATATATGAAAGAACTCATGTACAGGCCCTTTGATAAAGTTGTGTATGTGTATTTTGAGGTGTGACTCCGGCCCTTTCCTCCATGTTGGGACTGGACACTTTGGAGGAGGCGCAGGAAAAGGAGAAGTTTTTCACTGAACTCGAGGCCGGAGCGTCGTCCACCATCGATTACTCCAAACTCAACAAAGACCTGGACTCTGCCTCCTCCACTGTCGAGCCGGAACAAAGGTAGCACATTAAAACTTATCGTATTTTCCATCTTAACTTTCAGCGTGTACTTACTTTTAGTCATGACCCAATCTCATCTTAAGTCTAAAAATGCATTTTGTCCACAGAAAAACTGAGCAGGTGTCACTGGATAAAGACAAAGAAAATTCCAGAGAGTCTCCAGGTGAGTACTAAAGCAAAGTTAGGACTAAAACCAGATTAAACCAGGTCTATATCAGGACCAAACGTAAACTCATAAGCAAGTAAACTTTATTTATACAATTCTTTTCACAGATAAAAATCACCAAGTGCTTTACAAAAGTAATATGTCGTTTGTACCACGTATAACAGAATAAAACACTGAATTACTGAATAGGAACAATAGGTGATTCAAACCAGAACTCATCCAGAACTAAACCAGGACTAAATCTCTGCCCAGGTTCCCCACACTACAGTGATGACTTTGAAGAGGAAGGAGACGAGAAGGAACCAGAACAAGAACCAGAACAGGTTTTTACTCATTAATAAAGATTCCCAAATGTGTGCCAATTCAGTCTAAACTGCAGTTAGTTTACTGCTGATGAAGATCCTGTGAATATTCTGTGTAAAATTTAAAATTTTTCTTGTGTTTCAGAAGCCAAAGATATCTCAGATTCTTGCTAAAGGTAAGATGGACTTCAAACGATGCATGGCAGTATTGTATTACATTATGAACTTAGAAACCTCATTGATCCACAAAGGACATTATTTGGACACTTGGACACAGTAGCTCCCACATCACAGTATAATATAATAAAGAGTAAAAAAAGTATAAATTATAATAACTGCCATTTATGTGTCTGTTGTAATATAATATATATATAATTCAGTAAGTTCTATGAGCTGTCCTCTCCTCACTGAAAACCCTCCTCCCTGCAGACGTCCCTTTCCTCCGGCTCGTCTCTGTCCCGTCAGAGGAGACCCACAGCACCTCAGCCCCGAGGCCGCTCTCTGGACTCCAGGACCACAGTGACATCACGGCCCTCCTCAGGACCAGGATCGGGACCAGGACCAGCGACGATCCAGACCAAGACCAAATCCAAACCCTCAGTGTCTCAGCCTCGCAGCACCGGAGTCTCCAAAAAACCAGAAAAAACCAAGACCCAGACAGGTATGCACTCTACTACCGTTTGCTCCATCATGGTGTCTTTGAAGCTCAGAAATCCAATCCTCCATGTTGGAAAAAAAAGTTAAAAGGAAACATAGAATGAAAAATTGACTTTTAGATGTACAGCATCTGTGTACAGATGCATGTTTTTCTCCATATATGAACAGAACATGCCTCATCTGAAAGGTCAGGACCTCCAAAATTCATCCACTGAACAGATTCATGATTGGCTGCAAATGCTGAAGTTTAGATCACGAGGATTAAGATCAGAGAGGGGCCTTTTAGCTTTAAACCAACTGCATTTTAACTGAGAGACTCATGTGAGGCTCAGTCTTCTTTCTGATTGGATGATTGTCTTCAGAACTAAAACATCAGTATTAAATTTGCTGTCAGTAAAAGCTATATTTGATTTTAACACGTTTAGCTTGTATCTAGGGACACAGACAAGTTTATAACATAAAAAAAATCTAAATAGAGCTCCTTTAAACCTGTTATAATTGTTTTACCTCCTCATTTACACTCTCATAGTTGTATTTAGAGAGCTACATGCGTAATCTTCAAATGGATCAGCTGGGAGCAGTGTAAGGTGGATTCTCATGATTTTGATAACTCTCGACAACAGCCCTTTCTGCAATGAAAATTTGCCACTGTGTTGTCATTGAGCTGAATGACTTTTAGTATTTTTTACTTTGATCAGAGCCAGGACTGGAGGGCAGAGACCTGGTGGCATCGGTCCAGTCGTTGGTGTCTGTTCTTCAGCAGCAAATCAACACGAAAGACAGAGAACCAGCACCGCAACTCTCTCCCATCAGACAGGTACTACAAATACTACAATTACTACTACTTCTACTACTATTACTGTTACTTATTACTCTGTTACCACTGTTTCCTGCTGCTGCTACTGTTACCACTGCTGCTTTTGTAACCATTTATCTTTATTTTGTTGTTTTCAGACAGCAGAGTTGTCAGCGTTGGAGGATCTTAAGGCCCAGCTGCTTGAGAAGGAAAAACTAATTCAAAAACTGAAACAGGATTTAGAGGAAGTCGACGCTCTCAAACAACACAACTACCTACTGCAGAGCAAGGTGCGAATCTACTGACAATCTATAAAGAAGACATCTTACTGGTATTTTGGTAATTTGTCTTTTTAAATTCACATTTGCACTGCAGAAGGAAAAGAGAGAGTATGTCGAAGTTATGTTAAAATTTTACAACATGATCTAGCCCTGTCCTCATAGACCTGTGTGAGTTTTTACTGATAACACACTGAAATGTTGAGTTATTATTAATTACATAAACACTGGACATAATATCCAAGTTGTTAATTTTTCTTTTTCAGTTCTCAAAGTATTATCTAATCTGAAAACAGAATGACCCTCACACTTTGGGTTTTGAAGAAGAGGCAACTTTACTTAAATTCTGCCCCATCACATATTGGTATCAGCTCAAAAAAAAATCATGCACACAAGAGGAAAAATTATCTAAGTGTTTACATTTGGACTGGACAAAAATGGGTTAAGTATTGGTGAGTTGAACCTTTTACAGTTCCAAAACAAGATATGAAATCAACAACAAACAAACAAAAATATGAAATCAAAGAAATTTAAAGTTGTGAGACCAAAACTGGACTGTGAATCATGAAATTTATTAATTAGGATTTATGTTAATATCTCGTCTTGTCTCCTTCTTGTGGACCCAATCTCATATCTCGTCTCGTCTTGTGAAAACTGTGTCTTGTCCCATCTCTAAAGTCAGACCAACCATTCTAGGGTTTTAAAATAATGAAAACGCAACACCTCAAGTTTTATTTTACCATTTGTTATTTTAAATGAAGTCTCGGTCTACAGCTTCCCTAAAATTACTCCAGTGTTTATCTGAAAGTTTCGAGTGTTTTGTTTTGTAGTTGCGCAGTGCAGAGGAGGCCCTCCAGAAGAACAGACTCACTGACGCCTCAGACTCCAGACATCAGGACAAACTCCAACAGATCGACAAAGAGATGAAGGTGCAGGAGACGCTCATACAGGGATATCAACAGGTCTGTTTCTATTCACCAGGGAATACACATCAATATATCACACTTAAATCATATGAAAAAGCAGGAGGAATTTAGAAAGCTGAGGAACTTTTTTATAAACATTATCTATATGTACGGCTGATTGATATATGATCAATCTTGATTTTCAATTCAGTCTTTTTCCATCTTATAAAAAACAAGCGACATTGGGACTTCATGCTGAAAGTGCAGGGTGTCATAGTCACTACAGTTTTTATTTTGTGTTAGTAGCACCAATAGTTTGTACAATATATTAAGCCTAAATGCATTCGCGCGTTACTGTTACTGTTAGAGACACAAGTGTGATGTCCATGCACTAAATGAGCTCTTAATTTCAATCATAAACTGTGAGAAAATAGTCGTTTACTTTCCATAACTTGGATTATAATGATGCATGAAAAACAGAGGGAGAGAGAGAGACTGCACTTTTAGTCAAACTGTGCAGATTTAAGTCAAAACTTGTGAACACATGAGGAGACATAAAGAGATGTGCTGTAGCTCAAGTTGCTTTTTCCTAAACAAGAGCGTAAATCCTCCTCATCAATACCACGTGCTCTTACTGCCACACGATTGGCTGCTGATCTGTCGATTAAAATGCGCTCGCCTTATCATCAAGATCGACCAAAGTAGAGATCATAGTCTATCGATCTTTTGATTTTTTGGCACAGCCCTACCTTTACGTATTCTCGAATGAAGTAAATTGTGTTTAAATAAAAAAACCATTTGACCTACACTTGTAACTTTTGTGGGTGCCTGTGTATTTGTGGATCTCTGTTTTGCTTGAAGCTTGTTTGTGAATCAGCTGATCATTTCTCCATCCATCCATCCATACATACATTTTCTTCCGCTTATCCGGGGCCAGGTCATGGGGGCAGCAGTCTGAGCAGGGTCTCCCAAACTTCCCTCTCCACACACACTTCCTCCAGCTCTTCCGGGGGGATAGCGAGGCGTTCCCAGGCCAGCCGAGAGACATAGTCCCTCCAGCGTGTCTTAGGTCTTCCCTGGGGCCTCCAGTGTGACATGCCCAGAACACCATTTCTGCTGTGGTTAATGGTGCTGGATTTGTATCTTTGCCTGTATCGTGTAAAAACAGACTCACATTACAGAAAAAAGCCATCTGTTTTATTTTTTTGCTTTGGTTTTAAACTTACTCTCCAATATAAAAGTAGAATGCCTTTCACTTTGTAAATTCTCCAACTAAACCCAGTTTGCATTAAACCCAGAAAAATTCTCTATGACAGGGGTTCCCCAAAATAACCAGGAGAACAACTCGGACCCCTACTGCAAAATTAAATGTACTCAAATGATCTTTCTAGTATCAATCTGGCTCCATCCGAGAATGCAGTGCATTTTATTCATTTCTGAAATTGCTGCTCATTTCACATTGGTTTGCATTTTCAGTTTGGTTTCATTCCAGTATCAAAAATGTGCCTATTTTTGTATTTTTTAAAATTAAAACTATAGATTAAATACATTCTCATTACTGGTAATTTTGAAATCATCTCTCGACCTTCAGCTTTGTGCTCTGCGACCCCCTGCTTTTTTATTACAAAAACAAAATCCAATGTATCCTTCCAAAGTTCGAACTCCAAACCACATGCTCTGGACGTGTTTATTTTAAAAGCTCTTCACATGATTTATCTAAACCAGTCGAATGCCCCCGTCACAGATACGACTTTGTGTTTATCAGGAGAACGAGCGCTTGTACCAGCAGATGAAGGCGCAGCAGGCGAGGAGCAAAGCCAACGAGGACGTCATGTTTAAGGAGAACCAGAGGCTGCTCAGCGAGTTAGCGTCAACCAGGTCTGTTTAAAATCACTTCCGGAAAAAGGATGACATGTGCAATTATAAAGACACTTATTATTCATTTTTAACGGTTTGCAGTGGTCCAAAGTTATTCAAAGTTTATAAGTGCTTTTCCCAACTTTCAGGGACCAGAGCAGAGTTTTGTTGTCATAGTAAAGATAACAACAACTAGGCATACTAATGTGCACTTCCTGATAGATGCAGACATTATACAGGGTTAGGGTTAGAGTTATTTTGACCTCAGGAGCTACTTATACAATTTATTTGTACTGGGGCAAGACAATATTTTAATATACATGGGAAAAAGTAGGAATTTTTACCTGATATTTTATGTAATATAAATAAATGTGTTTTACCCCAGTACAGATTTATTGTAAAAGCAGCTGTGAGGTTCAAAACAGGTTTGGTTTGAAGTTTTTTTTAAATTAAAAACTTCCTGAGCTGCACTGCCACCCTGCTCCACCAGGGGACAACACTGAAGCACAAACAAGACTACAAACATGGAGCCTGCTGAAATAACAGGACTACAAATGTGGAGCCTGCTGAAATAACAGGACTACAAACTTGGAGCCTGCTGAAATAACAGGACTACAAACATGGAACCTGCTGAAACTCAGAGTTGTTTATAAATACTAATTAAGTCCTGGTCCAGTCCTGTTCTAGTCCCAGTCCATTCCCAGTCCATTCCCGGTCTAGTCCTTGTTTAGTCCTGGTTCAGTCCTTGGTTCAGTCCTGGTCCAGTCCCAGTCTAGTCCTGGTTTAGTCTCATCTGGAGCTCACTGGGGCTTAGTTCTTGGTCCAGTCCTGATCTAGTTGTGGTTCAGTCTCATCTGGAGCTCTGTGGGGCTCAGTTCATAGTCAAGTCCTGATCTAGTCCTGGTTTAGTCTTGTCTGGAGCTCTCTGGGGCTCAGTTCTTGGTCCAGTCCTGGTCTAGTCCTGGTTTAGTCTTGTTGGGAACTCTCTGGGGCTCAGTTCTCAGTCCAATCCCGGTCTAGTCCTGGTTTAGTCTCGTCTGGAGCTCTGTGGGGCTCAGTCCTCTGTCAAGGGGGCATCGTTCCACCAGACTATTGACTGGAGTGGCCGGGACCATGAGGCTGTTGAAGTAACAGGACTACAAACATGGAGTGCTGTAAAAGTCTGCTCTGGCCTCTGAAAGTTGTAAAATGTGCTTTTTATGATTGGTAAAATTAATTCTGTATTTTATTTTGAATTGTGCAGAGAACAGCTGGACAAAGCGCAGAGGCCTGTGTCAAACTTGTGCTCTATGGGCCACAGCCAGAGAATCACACAACTGTTGGACCAAATCAACACTCTCCAGGTGAGGGACGCTTGTTTAATGAAGAAGTGGACAGAGCCATAACTGCATTTATCATTCTCCACAATGTTATATTAAAATCTGCTTCAATTGTCCAAATACTAGAGCCCGACCGATATATCGGCTGGCCGATATTATCGGCCAATATGGGCACCTGGAGACATATCGGCTATCGGCCGATATGCTTGCTGATATGGGCCGATATTTCACGTGGGCATGTTATACCTCGTTATAAAGCTTAGACTCTCTACATTATGTTCATTTAATCCAATTTACAGACAGATAAATGTCCTCATATGTGGCTCCGCACCAGTATTTATCTACGGTGTAATTTGTCTGTGTGTGTGTCTGTACTGTCCCTGAACACACCACCAGAGTGACGTCACTTCACTCGCGTGTGTTTGTTTACACCGGCAGCGGTGCGCAACACTGAGATTATATTCTTTTTCGGACAATCGGTTTGAGTCTGGATTAAAAGGACATTTATTAGTGCAGACTTGTGATGTGAGGAGGAGCCTGTGTGAGCGGTGAGTGTTGGAAATACATCGACTTTGAAGCTAGTTTAGGTTTTGTTAGCGATTAGCTGCTGTAGCTCCCACACATAAACAGGCTGTTTTCTATTGGTCTATTGTAAAGTGACTACATTGGCCGTATATTTGTTACTGGACCTGCATTGATATGTAAATGAGCTGTGAATAGACGTGTGAATGATCCACATTTATGCATATAATTAATTACTGCGGTGCGCACGTTTTTACGGCTAAAGGCTAATAGCGATAGTTTACTAGCTAGGAGTTATGGGTCGGTCGCGATCGAAGCGGCTCTTAGTGCCGACTCTTTGAAGCGAACAACAGGAGCCTGCTTCTTATTGGGAGCCGTGTTTTCTCTTTTTCTCACTTTTTCTCTTCATGCCGCATGTAGACCCATAGTTTGACAGCAGCAGCGGCTGAAAACGAAACTTTCAGAAATCTGCGTGTGCATAGGATAAAAAAAAGTGCATATTTGGCTGCAGTTCAGCATAAAATGAATAAACCAGGACTAAACTTGGGCTTAAGTGAAGGAGAGAGATAGAAACCGAGTCCCGACACTCAGTCCTGGTTCAGTTCTGGTTTAGTCCTGCTTGCAACAAAACCATCTCAAGAGTCGCTTGGGAGCCGAAAGAGCCAGTTGCTTTAGTGAGCCGAGCCGGTTCTCCAAAAAAAAAAAAAAAAAAAACTGGAATACCCATCACTAGCAGTGACAGTAACAGTAGCTAGAATGTGATGCAAAAATGCCATTAGGCCAATCTACTGTCTGTAAATATGATGTAAAGAGTCAAAATAACAATAAATGTTGCCTAAATAAACCCAATTTAGAATGCACTAGAGCCAAACCTAAGTTTTTTAATCAATTCAAGATTTACAGTGAATTTTTACATCACTAAATATATCGGCGATTATATCGGCTATCGGCAGCGGCAACTCCCATTATATCGGTTTCATATCGGTCACAACAAAATCCATATCGGTCGGGCTCTACCAAATACGCTTTCATTTGTTTAGCATGTTTCTTTTTTTTATTTAAAATTCTCAAGATATTCCATCCCGTTCAAGGTTCAAGGTTGTTTATTTGTCAGTCAAACATGTGAGAGAAACACGTGACACAACAAAATTTGTTCTTTGAGGCCCAGCGATTACAAGAGAAGAATAAAAATAAATAAGCAATATCAAAAAGTACATTAGGAGCATTTAGCAGTTCCAACAGACAACTACAAGTAAAATGTGTGGCGAGATGGAGTGGCAGCCTAAGCACTGTTCAAAAGTCTGAAATCCTCAGGAAAAAAGCTGGACTTCAACCGAGATGTTGAGGCTTTGATGCTCCTCAGTCTCCTTCCAGAGAGCAAAGGGACAAACAGGTGCGAGGGGACCCCATGATCCTGGAGGCCCGTCTCCTGCAGCGCTCCTCAGAAATGCAAATACGACCATATCAAATCTCATACAAACTTGGTGCACTTCAAAAAACAATATGAAAATCAAATCTTACAGAAATACCTAGAAGACTAGATCCATTGTCTTCACAAGTAAACCATGACTATTAACTAAACATTAACTAAACTAAACTAAACTTTTATTTTGATACGATCATAAATGATAAATTTTGTGTCTTCTTTGTCATTATTATTAGTTTGTACAACCATAAATAGAAAAGAAAAAAAAAATCCTTTAATTTTTTAAATTCTCATTGTGGTTTATTTTGTACGATCATGAACGATAAGCTTCTGTGCCTTCTTTAAAATTATTATTAGTTTGTACGACCATAATACAAAACGGTACAATACAAGAAAAAGAAAGAGACTGGATTAAAGTTATATTTAGTATTCATAGTATGGAATTTATTTTGCTATATGTAAATATTTGGACAGCAACCACATAATTTTAGAATTTTTGAAACTATGTAATGAACAGGAGTGGGGTAATATATGTTTTTTTTCTTCTTCCTAATCCTTTTCCTTTTGGAGACCTACTCCAGTGGCCTTTCTCTAGCCTTTCAAACTCAACTTAAAATTCGATATGATTTCATGCCTGAGATCTCGCCATTGCTTTTGACTTTTGCCAATCATTTGCCAATGTAGAAGAATAAAATGTGTTCATATTTGTCATTTGGACAGAGGAGTGAAGAGAGGCAGAAGGAGGAGATCTTGAGTCTGAAGCAGGAGAAACAGACTTTAGAGGTTGACTTACTGGCTGCTGAGGGACCAGATCAGAGACCTGACCAGAGACCAGACCAAAGACCAGGATCAAGGCCGGACCAGAGACCAACAGCAGGATCAAAATCAGATGCGAGAACATGTTCAAGACCATGAAATTGTGCTGCGTGTGATGAAGCAGAAGCACCAGGAGGAGGTAACAGAACTGAAGAAAAGGTTAAACTGGTTCACTGAAAACCAGGAACTTTTGGATCGAGACGCTGCACGACTCCGAGCAGCCACAGAGGAAATACTGCAACTCAAAGAACAGGTGAGGAAATAAACGAAAAACCTCCAATTGTAGTTTTTTTTGCCTCCAACCTCCTAGGGCTAAACTAGGACTAAACCAGGACTAAACAAGTGTGAAACCAGGGCTAAACAAGGACTAAATCACTAACCCAGGACTAAACCAGGACTAAACCAGGGCTAAACCAGGACTAAACCGGACTAAACCAGTGTGAAACCAGGGCTAAACTAACGTGAAACCAGGATTAAACGAGTGTGAAACCAGGACTAAACCAAGACTAAACCAAGACTAAACCAAGACTAAACCAAGACTAAACCAGGACTAAACCAGGACTAAACCAGGACTAAACCAGGACTAAATGAGTCCGAAACCAGGACTCAACCAGGGCTAAACTAGTGTGAAACTAGTGTGAAACCAGTTTGAAACCAGGACTAAACCAGTGTGAAACCAGGACTAAACCAGTGTGAAACCAGGACTAAACCAGCGTGAAACCAGTTTGAAACCAGGACTAAACCAGGACTAAACTTGATCTAAACCAGATCTAAACCAGTACTAAATATCTCCCAGATATTGCCCACGGCGGACTGGGGACACCCAAAACATTGAACACTTTCTGGGTGATTTTTGCGTAGGCATAAACAGGACATAATGCAGTTTTCTTTAGTTGACACAGTTGCCTTTATGTGTTTTTCAGGTTGAGAAGTTGACGATGGAGGCGACCAAACGGAGCCGTGAGCAGCAGAGAAAAACCAGGGAGCGATCTGCAGATGCCAAGAGGACCCAGGCTCTGGAGAAACAGGTAACATGTAATGACCCGAGAGAAGCTTTACTTGTGCACCTTGAGAACTGCAGGAAAAGAGCACATAGACTAGTATAAGCCCATGGACTATTATGGAACCTGCCTGGACCACTGAGGCATTACAGATATAACAAGCACAGTTAGAGATAGCAACCTGGTCCCCCATGAGGCATCGGTGGGGTCAGTTCATCAGCACAGAAGCAGTTTATGAGGAGCCCAGCCCATATTACATGATCATTATATCCACAATGCAATGTGTGTATGTGTACAGGCCCATGAACATTTGTGTGATATTGGTCACACATGAGAATGTCTGTGTTTATTAGTGTGTAACCAGAATGTCATTTTTTATGAGTTGTGTGACTGTAGATCAGTGTGTTGTGTATCACCAGAAAAACAAGAAATGGAAATTATTTTCATTCCAATTAGAATTTTAACGTCATACACTGAAAGAGAAAGGAACTGTTATAATTAGTGATTATCTGGAAAACGATGAATATTTTAGTATACAAATGCGAGAATTATAAATAGATAATAATTTTTCTGAGATTTTGAGACCACTCCCTTTGCTCGAGTCCAATCTTTTGCGGAGTAATGGCCAAAAACGCATATTTGGTTACCTTAACCTTCAAGTGACCTTGACCGGTTTCAACCTGTAACATCCGGTGTACCCTGGTTATGTGTGTGCCAACTTGTGTGATGATTGAGTGAATATTTTAGGCCGAACCAGATGGTTCAGAAATTGCCGATCCTTTATAAAGGATTTCAATTGACCCATGTGACCTCAAATGACCTTTTTTTTTTTTACTTTTTGCGGGATCAGGCACGGGGGCTTGATCCACTTACCAAATTTGGTGACAATCTGTCCATAAACAGACACACACACACACAGACCCACAGGATGAATTCAAAACCTGGTCAACCCTTCGGGGACCAGGTATAGTAAAATAGACTGAACTATTTCTGACGACGTTGCCGTGTTTGCTTTGGTTCCTCAGGTGAAGGAACTGGAGCAGATCTTACGCAGCCGAAACCCAAACTCTCTACCAGCGCTGATATTCGCCGCGGCCAGTGCGCAACACCCCACCCACTCCTCCTCTGACCCTGCACACCCCTCATTCGACCCTGCCTCCTCCTCTCTTCCCTCTCGTGTCACCGTGCTGCTGGAGAGAAGAGTTCAGAGGCTGGAGGCTGAGCTGGAAGCCCACGACGAGGAGGCCAAACGCAGCCTGAGAGCCATGGAGCAGCAGTTTCAGGCCATCAGGGTACAGTTAATATCAACCACAATTTAGAATTTTTTTTTTTACGTGCTAGAATGGCCCGACTTCACTGTGTTATAATTACAGATGCGTTACGAGCAGCAGATCGCGGAGCTGGAGCAGCAGCTGGAGCAGCAGCTGGAGCAGAAACATCAGAAGGAGCAGGGTTCAGATCCTGAGCTGGTCCAGGGTCTTAGAGAGGAGCTGAAGAGAGAGAGAGATGCCCACAGACAGAAGGAGACAACACTGCAAAGCCAGCTGAACGATCTACAGCAGCAGCTAAAACTCAAGGTCAGGCAGGTGTTACTGTGGCAGAGTGGTTGTCCCCTGTTCTCCTCTCAGTAAGGAGTTTGTGAGTTAGACTCCTGATCCTGTGCGTTTTCTCTTCAGTCACACTCTAGTCCGAGTCGGCACCAGCGTCAGGCGGATGCAGCGTTCGGACTCCGGATCGAGCGTCTGAACCACGAGCTGAGCACAAAGTCTCGGACCATCCAGGACCTGACCAGGACCGTGGAGCGACTGCAGAGGGAGCGGCGGAGCATGCTGTCTGTCCCCGTCCCGAGAGCAGAGGGCTGGGCTGCGAACGAGAGGAGGCAGGCTGCGGCAAACAAACCCGCCCCAGATCCGGACGTGACCAAAGAAATGTTCCCTGCTCTGAGTGTGTGCGAGAAGACCTACCAGCCCACAGTCTTCACAGGTAAGGTACTCAGATATAAGGGTCCATGTTCTGCATTACTACTGTATTTTTTGGACTATAAGGCGCACTTTATAATCCGATGCATCTTATGTATTAATTCTGGTTGTGCTTACTGACCTCAAATCAATTTTATGTGGTACACGGCACTCAAAAATCTGTCAAAATGTTTTAGTACGACTTTGGTAAGCTACGAGGCTGCACCGCTCGATAGTTTGTCGGAGCATTACAGCTACTGTAGTCAGGAGCCTAGTGGAGTCGGACAGAAGCGAGCGTTTTTTCAGCACCTATAGTTTATGCAAATGAGCCAGGTGGTTTTAAGTTTTGTTTCTGTAAAATGTAAACACATGTGCACAAAGCTGCATTAAACACATTATTACTCCATGTATATTTGAGTCGTCCTCGTAGGAAATAAAAGTCTAAACTTAAACTATCCACCCGCATTCACATTCATAAAACATATTCACCAAGACAGGGAGGCAACGCCGGGCAAATTACGTCACGGTCTGCCAGTGGATCGTGGACGCCTGGGCTAAAGATCAGTCTCAAGTGTCGTCCGTTTGTTTTGCTTAATGCGCTTTATAATCCAGTGCAACTTATGTATGAAAATAGACGAGAGAATTCAACATTATTGATATTGCGCCTTATAATCCGAAAAATTCAATTCTACTACTGCAGCATTTGTTACCCAGGTCACATTTTAATAATTGCACTTAAATACAAAGCAGAACACAGACTCAAGGTCTTTTTTTTTTTTTTTTTTTTGGTCACACACTATAGTTGTATGACTTGTTCTATTGTCCATAGTCTTATTTCAAGTCAAGTCCAAGTATGTATTTCTTTTAACAGAGTGTAATATTCTAGTGTGTTCATATTTTTTTAGACAGTCATGTGTCGGAGGTGCAGCAGGAGAACGCGGCTCTGAAGCTGAAGTTGCAGCAGATTCAGTCGGACTCGGAGCGAGAGAGAGAGGAGCTGAAGACGGCTCTGAGCCAAACGCAGGAGCAGATCAACAGGTCTGGACTCACATCTCATCCTCCTGTTTGTCTGTGCTGTTGTTGTTTTCATTCTTTAATTCAGTGTAGGCTTGTGTTACTAGTTTTGTTCAGTATCAATACCTGCTCAGCTGGGTATCTAGTTTCATATTTATTTTTGGATCATCTTTAGTGGTAGATTTGAGCACAATAAACATGATTAAATGTGATGATAACATGTACAAACTCCGTACAAACTGTGTGTTTCAGGCTGCAGGAGGAGCATGCTCAGCAGCTGTCCTCGCTCCAGGCCCAGAGCATCAAGGAACAGGCTCAGCTCCGCTCCACCTTTGCCCTGGAACACTCCGCCTCTGCAGTCGCACAACTGACCAACCAGCTCCACGCACAACAGGTAAAACACACACAACAACCAGCTCCACACACACAACCGGTCACATCATATTAAAATGTAACTGAAATAATCTGATTTGTCCTCAGGCTGTACCACATTGTCTTTTTTTTTCTTGTAACTGTTGTGGATTTGTTTTGTTCAGATTGTGGTGCAGCAGCTTCAGGAGCAGCTCAGCGAGGCTCAGAGCTGGAAACAGGCTCTGAACGTGAGCCGGGCCAGAGAGGAGGCTTTGCAGACACAGGTGAGGAACACTGCAGAACATTTTTACTGTTTTACACTTACTGTATTTCTCGAACTATAAGTCGCTCTGGAGTATAAATCACACCAGCCAAAAAATGCGGAATGAAGAAGAAAAAACATGTATAAGTCACACCGGACTATAAGTCACACTTTTTGGGGGAAAATAAATCAATTTATAAAATCAGAGACCAGAAACTGACATTTCCTGTGTAAAGTGAAGTTCTAGTAATAACAATAGAAGAGAGAACAACAGACTGGTAACATCACATATGAACAGTTCTTCAGATAACTGTAGCATAAACAACAGAACAAGTTTACCAAACTCTCCATCTCACTCCAAATCACTAAATCCATTCAATTCCTCATCCTCGGTGTCACTTCTGAGCAACTCGTCCTCGACCTCCGGAGGTAAACGGAGCGCCGCTTCCTCTTCTGTGTAGCTGTCGTCAGACTCAGCATCAGTTCCAGTTAGAATTATTCTGGCTTTTCTGAATCCCGACAGGATGGTTTTGGTGTCACTGAAGTCCAGGCTTTGTCCATCCATCCAGTGACTTCAGGAAACTTGTATGGTGTACCCTCCCATTTGTCGTGAGGCTGTGTTCTCCATGAGTCCCTCACAAGTTTCTCGCTCACTCCAAACTTTCTTTCTGTTGCTTGATTACAGTTTCCACTGAATATTTCACTACTTGCAGCAGGACAGAGGCTCTTTCTGCAGGACGGTGACAGTGGTACAGGAGGAACAGGAGCAGCAGATATTGGCACACAAGCCTAGAGCCTCTTGTGGCTTCAATGTGAAAATTTTAATATATAAGTCAAACCGGAGTATAAGTTGCAGGAAACACCCAAACCATGAAAAAGAGTGCAATTTATAGTCCGAAAAATACAGTACTCTACTCTACTAATAACTATGCTTTTGATTTATAAAGCCTTTGTCGACACTGAAAGACACAGTGCAGTATTTAGTCACTCTGTACTCTTTGGTATACTATACTATTGTAGTCATAGCTGCCCTGGGGCAAACAGTCACACTAGATAATTTGTGTGAAGTGTCCTGCCTAGTGACTCTACAGCAGTTTTGACTAGAGTCATTGTCACATGCTAATAATCCATTGGGCATTGATAAAATACTGTAGCTACTTTTTATGTTTGAAATAATAAAAGAAGCAAAAAGAACAATTAACTTTTCAAATGTCCTGTTTTTGATGTGATTCTCTTGTACGTCTTGTCGTCCCTGCAGCTGTCGCGTTGTCTGGAGGACCTGAAGGAAGCCCGGGACAATCAGAGTCCTGAGGTCAAACTGCTCTGGAGTTTAGAGAAAAAAGTGCAGAACATGAAGACGAGACAACAGCACCGCGACAGAGAGCTGCAGCAGGTTTGAAGCTTTTATGCCAAAGGACACATGCAGACAGTACACAGTATTAGCTTCACCTTTAAAGGGATTTCTATAAACAGATTATTTGTTTAAAAACACAGCAGACCCTGATTTAAGATAAGCTAAGTTATGATGCTAAATGGAACATTATTGAGTGGGATACGTCTTAATGACCCGTGTGCGTTAAATGCAGGTGAGTGTGTAAATGACGAGCAGAAATGTCTCGAACTTCAGTAGCTGGACGTCCACTCATATTTGATCCATACACCTATCCCCACCCCCGAGAGAGCCTGAAATCTGCTGAAATCCTCCAAGACACTAACATGATACAGACAGAACAGAGGCTTTTTTCTGCAGGATCTGTCTGATAAACTGATAATACCTCAAATGGCTCATTTCTTTTTTAAAATATTGAATTAAAATGCAGCCACGTGCACCAGTTATATCTGCCTCGTTATTTAAAAGCGTAAAAGGCAATGACGCGCTCCAGTCTGTTTCCTAGGGCTGCAAGATTAATCACAATTGGATTAGTGTTTTTTGAAGGACCATAGCTCCCTCCACAAAGGACAGAATACTCCGTCTTATTCTGCATAAAAAACTTTAGATCTGTACAGATATGTTCTGAAATGTTATTGTGGTTGTTCCACAGTTTTTTAGCGCAGAAGTAAGCGGACTTGTGATTGTGATTTGTGAGTTAAATATTTTAAATGGAGCTCATCAGTGACCGCCCATCACGAGGTTCTGGGAGTACTTTTTATTTATTTTTTTAATGGTATTAAACATTAGAAAGTTTACTGGGGGCTAATTGGATAAGTGGTAACTAATGACCATGACACCAAATTTAATGTTTGTATTTTTTGAAACTTTAGCAAAATTTTTAGTTTAAATGTGTTAATTGGACTAGAAATAAAATCTAAAATCCCCTGACCCCGCCCCTTCCTGTGCCGGCTGCAGGTGATCAGCGCAGCTCTCCCGGGGAACGTGCACCTGCAGTCGGAGGTGGAGCGGTGGAAACGTTTGGCTCAGAACAAAACCCGGGAGCTGGACTCTTTCAGACTGGAGCTGGACTCGATCCTGGACATCGTCAGACACTTACAGAGGCAGGGCGTGGTTCTGCCGGTTCCTGCTCCGCTTATCGCCGCTCCGCCGACCAGAAGATGACAGTGTGGAGGTGTTTTTCATCCACACGTTTGAGTAGTTTAAAGTGGCACTAAACACCTAAACTCACTAACAGATTTCAGATAGAGCTGATAAACTGGGCCGAACCTTACGGACTAAAAGGGAGAGTGAGGCGGGAGGAGGGACGGGTCTGTGGAGTGTAAGGTGCGCCGCGGACTGTTCAGGTGTGACGCACACTATATGTGCACACCGCGGACTGTACGGGTGCAAACAACAATCTTTAAAATAAATTTGAAAATTTGAAAATTTTAAAGAAATTGCTCTATCAAGTCATAAAAATTTATAATTTAATTATTTGTTAATTAGTAACTTAATTGGTTAATAGTTGTTATATTAGTCGATTAATCAAAAAAAATTGTCATTAGATTAATCAATAAGAAAATAATTGTTATTTTCAGCCCTAATAAGGAACAGTGTAATTGGTCTAACTCTAACAGTTATCTATACTTCAGCCTCTGCCCCTGCAGTAATGTAATAGTCTGGTCAGGGCAGTCTTTTGTGATGTCACCAACTACTTGACATTTCAGAGGCCACACAAAGGCAGGACAAACTTAGATTTAGGCCTTTTTGACCAGAAAGCTACAAATATTCCAAGTTTGCACCAAGATTGTCACAAAATAGTAAACTAATGCTATTAAAACACCATATACACAGATTAGAAGCAAAAAAGTGGATTTAGTTTTTAGTTCCACTTCAACATAATATATTTTGGCAGCTATTTTTCGTAGCCTAATTTAAACAGCTTCTCTCTTTGGTGCACACACAGCTGGAGTTCTTGCGCCCTTTGCTGACAGTTTTTTTCCTTCAATATTTAATACGGTTTTTGAATTCAGAATAATTATTTTTTATGGTTAAGACTGATGTAGTTACAGAACTCTAACACGTTTCAATATTTAAAATTATTACAAGCTAAAGACTGAATGTGCACTGTTTTATTTCAACAGATGTTTAGTTTTACCCAATAAATACCCATTCTTTCTTGAAAATGAATAAATAAAAATAGAAATTCTCTTGTGAAAAGTGTGAAGCTGTAGGATTATGTTGAAAGTGTTAATTTAATCCACTAGGTGCCAGTATAGAACAATTGTTGATGTTGCACTGCTAGAACTTTATCTGAATTTCTCAGGATCTGAAAAAAACTTGTGAATGTAAACACTTTTGTACCTGTTTTGTTATAATTTTTATTTAAATTATTACAAAATGTTTCAATAAATGTATCTTATTTATTTCATTTGGACAATTTTTTTAATCACATGTGTTTTCATCTTCTTATTCCTGCATGTTTACGGTTACTAAACGTTTTCCCTTTGTAAATATTTTTCAGTAATTATGACAAAAAAATTATAACTAAATATATTTCTCAGGTTGCTGTAGTTTGGGTGAACCGCCCTCTTTAGCCTGAAGGTCCAAGATTACACAAAATGGACTCTTGTGAGCTTTTAGTCATGTTAAAATGTTGTTACTTAATCAAAAACAGACCTGGAGTTGTGTTTTGCTTCATTCACACATGTCTGTCTACATCTCCAAAGCTCAAAATGCTCTGTTCTGCCTTGTGATGTCATGGAGTGGCAGTTTTTAAATTAACAGCTCCTTTTACCTTTATTTCAGTAGAGATTGGCAATTCCAGGGCTGAAATTATCCAGATGATTCTAGTGAAGGTGTGTCGAGTTTGAAAACACAGTGGAGCACTTCCTGTATTACCCCATGACATCACAAGGTGTAACAGAGTGTTTTCAGTTTGAGAGAAGTGCTAAATATGCAGGATTTGATTGTTAAACGTGTGTGTCTGTGTGTGTGTGAAAAACAAAACCACAACTGCACCTTTATTTCCACTAGATAAGCAAGAAATATATCCAGGTACATAAGCATTTGACCAACACTGATCTCTGATTTCATAACTGTTTGTCTCCATGGTGATACTGTGGATGGTTCCAGAACGGATCCTCCACCAGAAAAGTTCCAAGGTGCAGCTTTAAGTATAGAAGTCAAATCTGTTTTTTTGTTGTGCGTGTGTCCTCAGCGGCAGGAAGTGAGCGGAGCCAGAGCCCGTGGAGGAGAAGATGCAAAACGACGAGACTGTCCTAAAGCTGAGAGAGTATATGAGAAGAAAGAGAGGAAAAGAAAAGGGAGAGACAGAAGAGGGGAAAAGAAGACAGAGAAGAGAGAGGGAAGGGGCCAGAGCCTGTGGAGAAGACGATTCAAAACAACAAGACTGTCCTAAAGCTGAGAGAGAGAAGAGAGACCTGAAGAGGGGGTAAAGAAGAGAGGGAGGGAGCCAGAAGAGGGGGAAAGAAGAGAGGGAGGGAGCCAGAGTTTGTGTGGAGGAGAGGATTCAAAAGAACAAGACTGTCCTAAAGATGAGAACATTTATGAGAGAAAGAGAGAGAAGAGGGGAAAAGAAGAAAAGAGAAGATGGAGAGAGACAGAAGAAGGGGAAAGAAGAGAAAGGGGGAAAGAAGTACGAGAGGGAGAGACAAGAGGGGGAAAGAAGAGAAAGAGAGAGAAGCAAGGGAAAGAAGTGAGAGAGGGAGAGGCAGAAGAGGCGCAAAGAACTGGAAGAGACAGAAGAGGGGAAAAGAATGGAGAGAGAAGAGGGGGAAGAAGAGAAAGACAGAAGAAGGGGAAAGAATGGAGAAAGAAGCGGAGGAAAGAGGAGAAAGACAGAAGAAGGGTAAAGAATGGAGAGAAGAGGGGAAGAAGAGAAAGACACAAGAGGGGGAAAGAACGGAGAGAGAAGAGGGGAAAGGAGACAAGAGTATAGGGCATACAGAGGGGAGAGGAAAAAAGTAGATAAGAGTAGAAGAAGCTGCGTGTGAGTGTCAGAGAAGAAAGGGTGAGAGGATACAAGAAGAGTACAGGAGAGAAGAGGTGTTTATGAATGAGAGAGGAGGAGGAGACAGAGGGGGAGGGAGAGAAAAATAGAGCGCAGGAGAGAGGAAGACGGTGTACGAAAGAGAGAGACGAGAGGAGTGAGGGGAGAGGAGGCCCCGATATGGACAGCTGTGTGGCTCTGCTGGGTCTGCTCCTGTTTGCAGGTGAGTCACATTTAATCCATAAATAAAAGAAACAAAACAAAACAAACTCCAGGAAACAAGTGAATTTAAACAGAGTCAAATGACACAGAGACATTTCACTTTTTCATTTTGTGCCAAATTACAGTGAAATGATCTGAAATACAGGTTCATTTGAAGTCATTTTAACCAGTGCCAGATAATGCATGTTGTATATTTACATTTATATTGTTTATTAAGGCTGTAACAATAACCAAAATATCGTGATATCAAATCGTAAAAGTTCTCACAGTCAGTGTTGGGGAGTAACAGATTACATGTACCAGCATTACATAATCAGAGTACAAATTATGAGTAACTGTATTCAGTTATAGTTACTGTTTCAGTGAGTGGTAATTGGATTACAGTTACTTTGTTGAATACGGCGGTATGTTCCTGTTTTTACATTTTGGGCTAAACCAGGACTAAAACCAGGACTAAACCAGGACTAAAACCAGAACTAAAACCAGGACTGAACCAGGAGTAAACCAGGACTAAACTAGGACTAAAACTAGGACTAAACCAGGTCTAAACCAGGACTAAACCAGGTCTAAACTAGGTCTAAACCAGGACTAAACCAGGACTAAAACCAGGACTAAACCAGGACTAAACCAGGACTAAACAATATGACACTAACAGTAGGTGGACATAATTTAAAGCAGCAGTGATATCATATAAAAATCATCTCTCTGTCAACAATATTTTTAATCTGGTTAAGGAAAGTCTGGGCTTTTTATTGTCTTTTAGCAGACAAAACATTTTATGTTAAGATTCTAGTCTAGTCTTCTCTACGGTAAACAAAAGTCTGTTCATGGAGACTTGGGCTCAACAGACAATTTGAGAAGAACAAACAAGAATTTTCAGGATGTGGTTGGTACATTCATGTAGTTTTAAAAAGCATGACAATATCAAGTAATCCAAAGTATTCAGATTACGTTAGTCACTTTAAGTAATTTAATGGATTACATTACAAATTAAATTTTGGGATATGTAATCTGTAATCTGTAGGGGAAAACATTTTAAAAGTCACCTTCCCACCACTGCTCACAATAATATCATGGACGTCACAATATATCGAATTACAAGTGTCTTTGCTTACGTTAAATGTTATGGTGCAGCAATAGATAAAAAAAACAAAACAGAGGGAACTACATAGACCATGATCTTTTGCTCCATTTCAGTGCAGACTACAAGAAGAAATAACAGTTCTAACCACTTTTACGTCTTAGTTCTTTGGATTCAGTCTTGTCAAGGCATTTTAAGAGGAAAAAGTCACATATTAACAGTTTTGTTTCTAAGCCTCCACAAAATATCACAATAAATATCGTACCGTGAGCTGTACATCGTGAAAATATCGTATCGAGAGATTTGGATATTGTTACATCCCTAATCGTGAGCCTTCCCACCATATGAGCTTTCCCATGATATCGCAATAAATATCGTATCATGAGACTTGGATATCGTTACACTCCTATTGTTTATATATTCTACTTTACATGCATTTTTATACATATATTTGAATTCATGTTTGCTTTTAAAGATCCTACAGTACATCAAATGGACTCTTGTGGGCTTTATGTGATGTTATAATTTTGTTACCTTCTCAAAAACACCTGGAGTTGTATTTTGTTTCATTCACACGTTTGAATAATCCTTATTATTACAGAATGAGTGAATGAATGTGACAGTGAATGACAGTAATGCATAAAACATGCATAGAAACATAAATACATAGATATAATACAAATTCAAGTTAAGTCATTTTATTTATATAGCACATTTAAAAACAACCATAACAAGTTTCACTAAAGTGCTTTACATCATGAAACACAAAAAAGAGTGACTTAATACACAGAGACAATAGTCTAAAATAGAGCAAAAAATAAATACTTCTTTTATATAACACTAAACAAAAGTAAGGCAAGGCAAGGCAAGTTTATTTGTATAGCACAATTTGTACACAAAGTAATTCGAAGTGCTTTACAGAATAAGAAATACATTAAAATCACAATAAAAACAAATCAAAACATAAATCATCATCATAAAATTAAAGATAAAAATTTTAAAAAGAGAGAGAGAGACTTTAATTACATAAATTAGAGAGAAGAGTGCGGAATGAAAACCTTTCAGTCACATGCACAGTTAAACAGAACCGTTTTGAGCCTGGATTTAAACAGCGTCAAAGAAGTAGTATGTAGTAGTAGTAGTAATAGTAGTAGTATGTATGTATGTAGTAGTAGTAAATGTTGCACAGAAATTAACAAAGAACATACGAACTAATTTACTGCACATTATCACCTATAATATAGCACAGAACACACATTTCATTACAAAACAAAACAAAAATATATATACTGTACATATACTCACCAATAATTTCTTTCAGCACAATATTTTGAAATAATCACTTTTTAAATTAATGATCTGTGTGTGTAGAGCAGATAAAGCACAGTATATCCGCTTGACCTTGTGTTTTAGGTGACGTATTATTGAGTTTCGTCTTTATTTGAAGGGACCATGTATAGAGCCATTAAGATCATAAAAACAAGAGATGTTCCGCACCGGATTAGAGATAAATCGCTCGGTTCCATCTGCAGTTCAGTGGTTGGGTCAAAGTTCTTTCCCTCTGGATTGACTAGAGCTGCGTGTCTAAACTGTACTGTTGCCGGTGTGTCCAGGTGGTGGCGCTGCAGAGCGGTTCGAGGTTCTCATACCCGGGGACATCATGATCGGAGGCATTTTCCCTCTGCATGAAGACGTCCAGAAAATCACGTCCTTCTCCCCCACTGTCCCACAGTGTGTCAGGTATACAGCCCTGGAGTAATGTAGTAGTAGTAGTAGTAGTTGTAGTAGTAGTTGTAGTAGTAGTAGTAGTGGTAGTAGTGGTAGTAGTGGTAGTAGTGGTAGTAGTGCTGGTCATAGTGGTAGTAGTAGAAGTAGTAGTGGTGGTCATAGTGGTAGTAGTGGTAGTAGTAGTAGTAGTGGTAATAGTAGTGGTAATAGTAGTAGTAGTAGTAATAGTGGTTGTTATAATTCTAGTAATAGTCGTAGTAGTAGTAGTAGTGGTGGTAATAGTAATGGTAGTAGTAGTAGTAGTAGTTGTAAATTTAGGAACAATAGTAGTAGAAGTAGTAATAGTAGTAATAGTGGTAATAGTAATAGAAGTTGTAGTAGTCGTAGTTGTTGTAGTAGTGGGCTAGTGGTAGTAGAGTCAGTAGTAGTGGTGGTGGTAATAGTAGTGGTAGTAGTAGCAGTAATAGTTGTAGTCGTAGTAATAGTGGTAGTAGTAGTAGTAGTAGTATTAGTAGTTGTAGTCGTAGTTGTAACTGTAGTAATAATGGTAGTAGAAGAAGCAGGCTAGCAGAAGTGGTGGTAGTAGTAGTAATAGTGGTAATAGCAATAGTAGTTGTAGTAGTGGTAGTAATAGTGGTAGTAGAAGTAGTAGTAGTTATAGTGGTATTAGTGGTAATAGTAATCGTAGTTATAGTTGTAGTAGTAGTGGGCTAGCGGTAGCAGACGTAGTAGTAGTGGTGGTGGTAATAGTAACAGTAGTAGTAGTAGTTGTAGTAGTTGTAGTCATAGTTGTAGTAATAGTAGTCGTAGTAGTAGCAATAGTAATAGCTGTAGTAGTTGTAGTAATAGTGGTAGTAGAAGTAGAAGTGGGGGTGGTGGTTATATTAATAGTAGTAGTATCAGTAGTATCAGTACTGGTAGTAAATGACACCATCACATTCTAAAATCTGAAAATCACCAGTTGATACTTTTAAGTTTTAAGAGCTAAAAAAACCAAAACACAATGGACTTAAAGAGCATATTTTCAGGAGCATGTGATCAGTCCAAGCATTTATGGTCCTGTTTACGAGTTTGAGTTTCAACAAAAAGCTGAGTGAAAAACCGTTGTCTAAATCAGTTGAGTTAAAATAAATATCATATAAAGTCTAACTTGAGAGACAAAGCTTCAGACAGAGCAGTGCCCTCAGTTAGCACCACACCCCCATGCAGGAATGTCAATAACACTGGACGCAAAGTATAAATATTTAGTTTTTAACAGAACGTATGAAACGAGATGTACGCTTGTATTTAGAGTTAAACACTAAACGCCGAACACAAAACACTAAAATCTGACTTATTTTGTTCCCTTTGACGGTTCCATAAACGGCACATGGTGTTTGTTGTAGGTGTGGAGTTGTGGGTCACAGCTCGAAGGCAGGAACTTCAACACAAACCGTCTAAAAATACCTGAGACGTCACAGGATCCTGGACAAAAAACACAAAATATTTCTAAATGTCCTCAGGAGATACGGGCAGTTTCTGTTGTCTAAGAAACAATACTGCACTGTCAAAATATACTGCAGGTAAATAGTTGTACACCGAGTTGTACAATTGTAGGGAGTATTATCTGTTACATACAGGTGAGTTGTTGTACAGTTGTAGGGAGTATTATCTGTAATATAAGGAGGGGTTGTAGTACAGTTGTAGGGAGTATTATCTGGTACATACGAGTGAGTTCTTGTACAGTTGTAGGGAGTATTATCTGTTACATAAGGGTGATTTGTTGTACAGTTGTAGGGAGTATTATGTGTTACATAAGAGTTTGTTGTTGTACAGTTATAGGGAGTATTATCTGTTACATAAAGGTGAGTTGTACAGTTGTAGGGAGTATTATCTCTTACATAATGGTCAGTTGTACAATTGTAGGGAGTATTATCTGTTACATAAAGGTGAGTTGTACAGTTGTGGGGAGTATTATCTGTTACATAATGGTCAGTTGTACAATTGTAGGGAGTATTATCTGTTACATAAAGGTGAGTTGTACAGTTGTAGGGAGTATTATCTGTTACATAAAGGTGAGTTGTACAGTTGTAGGGAGTATTATCTGTTACATAAAGGTGAGTTGTACAGTTGTAGGGAGTATTATCTGTTACATAAAGGTGAGTTGTACAGTTGTAGGGAGTATTATCTGTTACATAAAGGTGAGTTGTACAGTTGTAGGGAGTATTATCTGTTACATAAAGGTGAGTTATACAGTTGTGGGGACTATTATCTGTTACATAAAGGTCAGTTGTACAGTTGTTGGAGTATAGTATGAATGTAGTCCTGTACGGAGACGTATTGATATTTTGCAGTGGGGGTTTTCTATATGTATATCTATTGCGTAATGTCTATCAGTTACCAAGGAGACATAATGCACCAGTAGTGTGCAGTGACTTTTATGGGTTGGTAAGCAGACTTGGGGTGGACATCAATATTTAGTCGATAACAACTCAATAGTGTCACTTTTTATGCAAACTACATTGCAGATTAGTGTATTTATTTTACTCACATTATTGCCTGTAAACTGAACCATTCTGGAGTGAAATCAGAGAAGCCTACACCATAGAGGTTATTAATATTTGTATATTAGACTGTATTTGACACCCTCTTTTTACAAACAGGGTTATTTATGGTCTATTTCTTTCTACTCCTACATTTTATGTATGCAGCTGAGCCTTCAGGACTATTGTTGTCTATGTAATTATTAGTATACATCAAGAAACCACATAAATGACTTATGACAGTTCTACACACGTGTAATGCACTGCACAAAATGTACATTCATGAAGAGATACTAACAACAACAGTGCACTGGTCAGACACGTGACTACAGCCTGATGTGTCACAAACGTCACCTTAAACACAGCCCTGCGTTAGAAATAGAAATTGAAATTCTTTATTGTCTTTATACACAGGGGCACATCACTGGTTTTGGATGAATCTGCTGGGACAGGGTAGTCAGACTGGCACCACCTGGTGCCTCCGCTCAGTTTCATTTCTCTTCAGCAACTAGGCCAGGAATCAGAATACATTGGACCAGACATGTCAAGCTCAGGCCCAGGGGCCAAATTTGGCCCATGATATAATTATATTTAACCCACATGATCATATCAAATATGTATTAGAGCTGCCCGTCGGCTAGACTATAGAGACATTATTATTTAAAATTGTATTGTTATTTTTTATTATGCTCGTTCTGGATTCAAAGTTTAAGGAAACTATTATTAAACATTTATTTGAATAAGAAAAGATTTAACAGAGAAGAGAAAACATGCAGATGTTGATGAAATTTTTCAATAAATATTTACTTTGGCCCACGACTTAATTGCAGTTTTTAATTTTGGCCTCTGTGTGAATTTGAGTTTGACACCCCTGCACTAGACTGTTCGCAAAAACCCTGGAAGTGCGAGTTCGTGCAACAGCCAATCAGCGAAGAGCCGAACATTCTGTGTTGTCAACGACTCCCAAGATCGAGGATTTAAAGCCGGAACAAAGCGAATGTTTGGTGAATTTTATCAAGGAGAAAGACGTTATTGTCCTTCTTCCTACGGGATTTGGGAAAAGCTTAATATACCAGTTAGACCCGTTAGTGGCGCATTACATACGTCACAACCAAATAGCAGCGAATGGTTAAATTAAAAAAGTACCTGCCTACTGTAGAGTGAACGAATCCTAATGCTGCAAGGTCAGACGGTTTCTACGAAGTGAAACCAAATGATGAATCAGGGACAGGGGACACAGGGCTGAAAACTGAGACTGTTTTTCCAGGTCAATAAATAGGTACTGTACTCTTGTGACCTCTGAGCCATGTTAGAATATTTTTAACTGTTTTGTTTCCTTCACACATGGTTGAGTGGTAATTTTAACAGCTCCTTTTACCCTTTGTTCAGTAAAGATGAGCAATTCCAGGACTGAAATGATCCAAATGATTCTTGTGAAGGTCTATGGAGTTTGAAAACACAGTGGAAAATAGCACAATATGTGACTTAAAACGGTGTCCTCTTTTGAATCATCTGTTGCTTGTTTTCTGTTTCAGATTTCTGGACCGTGGCGTGGTCCGTGCGTTGGCGATGGTGGACGCGGTGCAGAGGGCGAACGCGGCTCCTCTTTTGGCCAACGCGAACCTGACCCTGGGTGTGTGGATCAGGGACTCGTGCTCCGACGTGGGCACAGCGCTCAGGGCCACCGAGGAGTTCACCCGAGACGAGACGCACTGTGCTAACACTACTGATAATACTACTACCACAAATACTACTGCTGTGAATACTTCTGCTGTGAATACTTCTACTGTGAATACTACTACTGCAAAAACTACTACTGCTAATCCTACTACTGTGAATACTTCTACTGCGAATACTACTGACACAGGTATGGATTTCATACTACTACAGCACACCAAGATACATATATGTTTAATTTAATACTACTACTTCTACTACTACTATTACTGCTAATACTACTATTTATCAATACACTTAATCTCATATACTCATAATACTACTGTAATTACTACTACTTTACATAATTTTTACTATTACTACTATTCTGAATCAAAAGATAGAGCTTTAAATTTGTTCTGACCCTCACCTATCTTCATCACCTTTGGGTAATGACCAAGAGGAGTCCTGGTTTAGTCCAGGTTAGTCCTGGTTGAGTCCTGGTTGAGTCCTGGTTTAGTCCTGGTTGAGTCCTGGTTGAGTCCTGGTTGAGTCCTGGTTGAGTCCTGGTTTAGTCCTGGTTTAGTCCTGGTTTAGTCCTGGTTTAGGTCTACACACCTACTCACACCTATGATCATGAACTTTTGGGTGACTGAAAGGACAAAATCGCAGATACAAGTGGCTGGATGTTCTTAGAAAAAAGGTGAAGAGCTCAGTCACAAAAGAGGAGCTCGGAGTAGAGCTGCTGCAGCTGAGGTGGCTCACAGGGGAGTTGTTCCAAGTGTGTCCCACCAGTTGTTCTAGGTCTTCCCAGGACACACTGGAGGGACAATGTCTCTTGGAATGCCTCAGGATTCCCCCTGAAGAGCTGGAGAAAGTGTGTGTGGAGGGAAATCTGGGTCTTTCTGCTCAGACTGATGCCTCTGTGATCCAGCTGATAAAGCAGATATAAATTCTCCATCCACCATTTATCACTTCCTCACTACATTCATACATAGTTAAGGTGGCTGAAATCTCTTGCTCAATTACACAACAACAGTATGAAGGGATTATAGCTGTAATCAAACTTTGGATGAATGCTCAGTCCATTTGACCCCTGCTGTTAGTACTTTTATTGCAAATACTACAGGGTATAATACCCTGTGTTCACTGTGATGAAGCAGTCCATCGTTGCACAGTAGTTGTGGTTGTAGAAGTACTAGTATTAGTTGTAGTATTTGCAGTAAGAATACTCTTGTGTCCATGTTCCCACAGTGAGGAGGCCCATCATGGCCCTAATTGGAGCCACTCAGTCAGAAACGTCCATCGCCATCGCCAGACAGCTCACGCTCAGAATGATCCCACAGGTACTTCACATGAACACACATCTGCAGTGTGAACAGAAGGACAAACACACATGGAACCTTGTATATGATCATGGAATTACTAAATACAGCTCTGTACATTGACAAACTACAGACTCACAATCGGATCACAGTTTGCATGTTCTCCCTGTGTCTGTAGAGGTATCCTCTGGGTGAGTTGGTGAAGGTTGTCAGAAAATTCAACATCCAGATACATATTTTTGTAGCACTTTGGTCAACCTGTTGTTTTGAAAATACGTTATAGAGTAGCAATTGCAGTTAGAAGATATGTTAATAGATAATAATGTTGTGTAGTGTCACAATAGTAGAATTCCAAACTTGATTTCAATACTAAGCAATAAACTCAATACTGATTCTGACACCACAATGTTAAATTCAACATTAAACTATGTATGTTCTTTTTCTGTTCCCATGTGGTCTTATACCTGTGTAATCCCTCAGTGGTCCATGGGCGTATAAGAGTCTATGAGATCTTATACAGCTCAAGATCATTCTAAAGGTTTTCAGGAAATTTCTGTCCTGTGAATGGGACTTTTCTAGCATTGACACCTGCTCAAATGACAACCTAGTTTCATTTTAGTTTTAGTATCTGATTATTGATACTTTTGACAAGAGAGAGAAAGATACTTTATTGATCCCAAAGGAAATTCAAGTTTTTTTTCTGCAGCAAACTGTTGCAGTTTTCTCAGTAGCCTTTGTGTCTCAGTCAAAGTCTCAGTGCAGTTGAACAGGGGGACTGGTCAGGGAGGGTTAGCAGATTTGTGTCAGGGCAGTTTGAGGAGAGGAAGAGCCAAAAGTGTCCCTCCTCTGTGTCCTGCAGCATCACAACAGCCTCTAGGGGGAGCCTGGTGCACCAGTTGGTGATGAAAGTGTTCATTCCTTCAAAGTGTTTCCTCTGGAAGGTCTTCTGCCACATATGGTGTAAAAAGCTTGTAGCATCTCAAATGTCCATAGTGAGCTCCTTAGCTTCTCTTGCATAGTCTCCATGGATACAGAAAAAAACAGCTCATTTCACACAATCCAACAGTCCCTTACTTGTGTCCTTTGAACTGCACATGCTGCACTTCTTAATTTGTTAAAATTCCATATGATGTTAAAACTGAGCTCAAAAACTGCTCAGGGTGTGAACCAGGTAGCACAAAAACAGCCAAACTCTCCATTGCATGGGAGCAACAACTCTAATAACTACAGGGTCTTGATACATAAATAAATAATCCATAAATATTACGTACATTTAGCAGTGTCTCCATTTTAAAACCTTTTCTCTTCCTTAGATCAGCTACTCCTCCACCGCTTCCATTCTGAGCGACAAGACCCGTTTTCCCGCCTTTCTGCGGACCATCCCAAACGACGAGCACCAGACGGGGGCGATGGTGAGCCTCCTCTCGTCCTTTCGCTGGAGCTGGGTGGGAGTGGTCACCATGGACGGAGACTACGGACGCTCGGCTCTCGACAACTTCCTCTGGCAAAGCGCCGACGAGCAAATCTGTGTCGCCTTTAAATCCATCATCCCGGGATCGACCAGCAACCAAAACATCTACGCGGCCATTCGACAAACTGCTTTAACCATCTACAATAATCCGAAAGTAAAAGTGATCGTTTCTTTCGCCAAACCGACCATAATGCAGTTTCTTTTCGAGGAGTTGAAGAGGCAGACTTTAGCGGCGGGCGACAGCGTGGAAACAATGAGACGAGTTTGGATCGCGAGTGACAGCTGGTCTTCGATGGACCTTAAAAACGTGGAAGAGGTCGGACACGTGGTGGGATTTCACTTCAAAAGGGGAAACATGGAGCACTTCCTCAACTTCCTGTCCAGAGAGGAAGTGTCTGGGCAGGGGGAAGGCGCAGAGAGCAATCCAGATCTGAAGAGGTTTTACAGCATGATAAATGCGGAAAAAGGTAAAGAAAAAAAAAGTTGTTATATAAAATACAGTGGCTGAATAACGACAAGAAATACATTTAAGTCATATTGTGGAACATTCCTAGCCAGGCCTGCGCCACCTAGTGCCTCCGCTCAATTTAATTTCTCTCCAGCGACTAGGTCAGGAATCAGAATACACTAGATGGTTTGCATGAACCCCGGAAGTGAGAGTTCGGGCACCAGCCAATCAGCGAAGAGCCATACATTCTGTGTTGGTAACGATTCCTGAGAATGAGAATTTAAAGCTGGAACAAAGAGAAAGTGTGGTGAATTTTATCAAGGGGAATAATGATGTTATCGCCCTTCTTCCTACAGGATTTGGGAAAAGCTTAATATACCTGTTAGCCCCATTAGCGGCGCATTACATACATCACGACCAAATAGCAGCGATTGGTTAAATTTAAAAAAGTACCCGCCTACATTAGAGTGAACGAATTCTAATGCTGCGAGGTCAGACTGTTTCTACAAAGTGAAACCAGCTGGTGAATCAGGCTAGAACATTCCAGGCACAGCTAAAACTCCAGTAGAGACATGTAAGTGGTTGACCCCCAACTACATAGTGCATCCTGTTTTGACCTGCATTTGAGGCTCAGAAAATTTCAGTTCTCTCCTTCCCGCTATCCCAGCACTTTTTCCTGTATTTACTTGCAATTATGAAAAACAATTGAGACTCCATGTCACAGAGCCTGGAAGCCATTTTTCTAACAATAAAAACTAGGGTGTGCATTGCCATGAATCTGGCGATACGATATGTATCACTCTGTACATGTCATGATACAATAGATCTCAATATATCCCAATATATCCCAATACTAAAAGGAAAATATAATGCGATTTATCAGTTATTTATTAATTACTTCTAATAATATAGTCATGTACACCTTCACAAGCACAAAATTGTATTGCATTAATTAATTAATTTTTAAATCATGAGAACAGTAAATGTTACTCCGGAATTTCTGTGAAAAATATGATTTTTTAAAATTGATTTGGACAAATTTTGAATCGATTCAAGAATTGTGCAATGTAGCATCGCGATATATCACTGAACTGATTTTTTCTTACACCCCTAATAAAAACACAAAAACTAACATGCTTTTTGCTTTGGTGACATGCAGCTATGAAAAGGCTGAACGTCTGAGTTTTGAACAGGAAGGATCTGTTTCTATTATTACACCATTTTAGAGCATTGCATTTCCTTTTACAGTGAATAAAATTAAGCACACGTTATAGTTTAATTTTACATTCTTCAAAAAAAAAACAAAAAAAAAAAAACAAAAAAAAACATAATATTTTCTTTAATAAACTGTAAACTCCTGGTTCACAGAGAAATATGCTGATATGCTGCACAAATGTCCTGTTGTTGTTGTGTGCAGGTGAGGGGAGGAGCCTGAGGCCAGAGATTCACGCAGACGCCGTGTTCACTGTGCAGATGGCCGTGCTCGCCATCGTTCATGCTGCCATGAAAATGTGTCACCACAACGACTGCAAAACCCCAGGAGCTGTACAACCCTGGCAGGTACGAACACCACGATAAAGAACAATAAGAAAGAAGACACTTGGTTTGCAGCTGAGTGTGATACAACTGGGATGAATCAAATCAAATCCTCCAAATCTGAGACTATGATTTTCAATTCAATTCAGTTCAATTCAATTTTCGAACAGAAAAAGGTAGGTGTCCTTTCCAAGTGGTGGAGAGTCCCTGCCTCAAGTGGAGGAGTTCAAGTATCTCAGAGTCTTGTTCACAAGTGAGAGTTTTGGTTTGGTCCTGGGTTAGACCTGGATTAGACCTGGGTTAGACCTGGGTTAGACCTGGGTTAGACCTGGATTAGACCTGGGTTAGTCCTCGTTTAGTCCTCATTCACTGAGGGGAGGATGGAGTGTGAGATTGACAGGTGAATTGGTGCAGCGTCTGCAGTGATGGTGAAGAAGGAGCTGAGTCCAAAAGCAAAGCTCTCCATTTACAGCTCAGTAAATGGGCTTACCTATGATCATTAACTTTGTGTAATGACCGAATGGACAGGTTTGTGGATACAAGAGGTCGGAATCTGATCCGGATGCCTCCTGGACACCTCCGGGGAAGACCCTGGAACCGCTAGAGATACTATGTCTGTTGGCTGGTCTGGGAACACCTTGGGATCTTCCTAGAAGAGCTTTTGAAAGTGCATGTGGAGAGCAAAGTCTTTGCTTTTCTGCTCAGATGATAAAGTGGAAGAGAATAGGTGGATGGGATAAAGAAGAAAATGATAAAGAAGATGGCACACTTTCTGAGTGGAAGGTCTCAGGTTCGACTCCAGGTTGCCCGGGCCTTTCTGTGCAGAGTTTGTGTGCCTTTCCCTGGCAGTCCAGTTTCTATCCCCCCAAAACATGCACCATAGGTACAATCATCCAGCTGTGGTAGTAATGACCAGGACTAACTCATTAGTGCTGCATTGTGGTGCTCACTGCTCCTCAGAAGAGGCCACAGCGGCATTAAAGGATCCTTTTTTTCTACCTATTGACAGAATATTTGGGATGAAAATATAATATTTATATGATATTAATAATTATATTTATATGATATTATAAGAATATAAAGTGATTCAGACATGTTCTGTGTAGCTGCTTGAAGCCTTGTGGATGGAGGAGTTTGAGCTGGAGGGGACTCGGTACAGATTTGACCAGAGAGGAGACATCAATCTGGGTTACGATGTGAGCGTGTGGAGGTTCCAGGCTGAAGTTACCATCCATGAGACAGTGGCCGAGTATCAACCCCAAAATCACAGCTTCATCTACACCAGAGGGGGCGCCGTCAACCCCCTCACAGCTCTGAAGGTAAGGGGTCATTCCTGTTGGTCAATGATCAGCTTGGGTCTTTTAAATACAGAGGTCCATAACCAATCCTCTGTCAGTAAAAACATGTGGTTAATTAAAATGCATTATTCGGGTTGTTTGATGAATTGAATGCATATTAGTTGGTGTGGTGTTAGTTTTCCTTGCTATGTATTTAATTTATTCCACCCGGCCTATACAAAACTTTAGAGAGCCCATTAACCTGCTCTCTCCTGGTGTTTTTTACTATTTTGTCCATAAATCATCATGATATGAACTTTAATCAGGCGCCTTTTTGTCCCAAGGTCGCTCCTACTAGCTGTAGCAATAGGTTTGATTGACAACGTTACTAAGCGCCTACTCTCTTCTAAACCAGCGGTGCAGGCGGAAAGGAGCATTACCTTCAACAGCCTTGGATTGGCTCTTTGGTTGTTATAATACATGTTTTTCCAAATATAAAACTTAAACTCTAACGGCAAGCCTCGATGAGCTTCATTCGACTGGAAACAAATGCTTTGGGGTATGTCACACTCCCTTAGTCCTTCTTTAGTACTTCTTTATACAGTCTAATGGGCAGCAGACCCTCTAAGAGTTACACAATCCACCTTTAATGTTTCTCCTCAGAATGTTGAAGATTTTGTGATGGAAGTGAAAGAGAACTGGACGATACAACGTTTTCATTTCCGCGTTCAGATGGTCTTAATCTCATGTGTTTGGTGTTTCCTCTCAGGACATAGTGTCCAGATGTTCCAACAGCTGCACTCCAGGTCAATTTAAGAAGTCGGCTGAAGGACAACACACCTGCTGCTACGAGTGCATCAACTGTACGGAGAACTACTACTCCAACAGCACCGGTGAGATGCACATTAAAGCAGCACTCTGTCACTTTTCTCTTAACAGCCTGTACCTGAACTCAGAGCTTCTGCTCCTGACTGATGTGCGATGAGTTTGTACAAAGTTCTACTTGCTGCTGTTTTATGAGTTCATGGTGATAACTTGAGATGAGGACGGCCCGCGGTTTTAACGGGGAACATAGAAACCTTTCGCAATTTGAGGAACATCAGGCTGACCCTGTCCGGGTCTGTATGGGGTGGCATGTGGACAATTTTTATATATTTTTTTAGGCTTTTTAGGGGGTGTGATGGGTTAATCGAGGGAGCACCCCCCATATTTTGCACACTGGCTGCCATAAGGTGAATTTATGACCTGACCACAGAGAAGCCATGTTACTGTAATGCTAGCTATCATTGTCAGGACCGTCAGTATGGCGGCCAAAACAAAAACGGTCACGTGACTGCAGGTTCTCTGTAGATCCAATAAAGCTAACCTCCCTGGTTTGACAACGTATTTCTTTAGATTAGAGATGCAGGTTTGATGCTGTTTGCACACAGTGATCAGACTTTATACATTTAGTTATGTCAAATTTCAAATCATTTATATAACTATGCGTAGATAGTTCATTTGGACAGTCATATTCTGTTCAAATAGGGCTCCGTCTAAAGGTAGCACATATCGACAGGCCAATTTAGCCATCGAATAATGCTCCCACTGTAGAATCACCAACATTCACACATTTATGAGTTGGGGTAGAGGAAGAAAATCTTGACTATATCTTCTATCAAATAATGCATCCACTAGAGGTAACATGCCTCACCTCTGTGATACTGGGGACATTGAAGATGTGACCATTCCATGCGATAAAATTTTATTTATGAAGTGCCAAAAACAATGGATTTGTCTCAGCTCCACAACAAAAAAAACATTATAACACACATTTATTTCAAAAATATATACACACTATACAGGGGAGGGAAATTTATGTCATCTGTGCCTCGGGAGCTCAAATCGACGGCATTTAAACGCTTGGGGGCCATGTGCAGTAACGCTCAAATCGACAGATAGGCCATTTTGACAGAATACCCGCTGTCAGATGGTGACCTAAAATCATATTGTCTATAGTTGCTTAATTTGGGTGTGGTAGGCATTGGCGTGTGATGGGTTAAGATGATTAATACAGGAATAATGTTCGTGCCACATTCTCGTCATAACTGTGCCTCTCCCGTTTCAGATATGGACCAGTGTTTGAGCTGCAACACTGACCGCGAGTGGGCACCAGAGGGCAGCGCGGCCTGCATCGCCAAAGAAATGCTCTTCTTCAGCTGGAACAACGGCTTCGCCATCGTCCTGGTCTCGTTCTGCGCTCTGGGAATCGTTCTCGCGCTCCTCATGTCCGCGCTGTTCTTCCACCGACGCGAAACTCCGGTGGTGCGTGCCTCCGGGGGACCCCTGAGCCAAGTCATCCTCTACTCCCTCATCATCAGCTTCGTCAGCGCCTTGTTATTCGTCGGCCAGCCCTCCAGCCTGCAGTGCAAAGCCAGACAAGTCATTTACGGGATAAGCTTCACAATTTGCGTCGCTTGTATCCTCGTAAAAACCCTTCAGATCCTGCTCGCGTTCCAGTTCAACCCGGCGCTGCAAGACGTGCTTCGCAAACTCTACCAGCCGTACGTCATCGTCAGTGTTTGCGCCGCGCTGCAGGTCGCCACGTGCATCTGCTGGCTCGTTTTAAAAAGCCCGTTCAGTTACGTCATCAACCAAAACACCACGCTGATCCTAGACTGTCACGAAGGGTCGTACATCGCCTTTGGAGTCATGCTCGGCTACATCGCGCTGCTGGCTTTCATTTGCTTCGTGTGCGCGTTCAAATGTCGCAAACTCCCTCAGCAGTACAACGAAGCCAGGTTCATCACGTTCAGCATGCTGCTCTATCTCATTTCCTGGCTGCTTTTCATTCCCATTTACGTCACAACTTCCGGAGTATACCTGCCCGCCGTGGAGATGGTCGTGATCCTGATCTCCAACTATGGAATACTTAGCTGCCACTTTTTCCCCAAATGTTACGTGATTCTGTTCAAAAAGGATAAAAACACACACAGCGCCTTCAGGAAGTCGATTTACGAGTACACGAGTAAAAGCGTCATGTCGTTTTCGACTTCGGAGAGTCCAGGAAGCGGAGTCGGGTCGGATGTGTCGATTGAAGAAATGAAAGATGTTAAAGTTTCAGTTTTGAGTCAGGACTTGAAACAGAGGAGGTGTCTAAGACGAAGCTCGAGTATATAATTTAAAAGTTTTGCTGAAGACATTTTGTGCTTGTGTCTGCTCTGTTATGATCATCTATGGCACCCGTAGATCTGCGAGTGCATTTACGTGTGCACGAGTGTCCCGGTTATGATCGTGTTTTTTGAGTATCCTGGTTTTGTGAGTGTCCATGTAGACGCAGTATCCTGATTTCAGAATCCTGGATGAGATAGTATCCTGGAGATGAGAAAGCAGGTGACTCTCACTGGGTTTTTCAGAGAGTATCCAGGATACTATTCATCTGATTCATGCGCCAGTTTCAGTTTGTGGAAACCGTCTGACCTCGCAGCATTAGGATTTGTTTGCTCGATGGTAGGCGGGTACTTTTTTATGTAGCCAATCGCTGCTATTTGGTCGTGACGTACGAACTTTTCCCGAATTCTGTAGGAAGAAGGACAATAACATTTTTCCCTGTGATAAAACTCAACTCTTTCTGGCTTTAAATCCTCGATCTCAGGAATCGTTGCCAACACTGAATGTCTGACTCTTCGCTGATTGGCTGGTGCCCAAACTCGCACTTCTGGGGTTTTTGCAAACCGTCTATTGTATTCTGATTCCTGGAAAGAATTGAAATTGAGCGGAGGCACTAGGTGGCACCAGCCTGACTATCTAAGTACAACTTCAAGAGAGTAAATGAGAAGGAGAAACAACTATAACATGTTTAAAAGCTCTGAAAAGTGGATTTTGCAGAATAGGTCTGCTTTATAAATCACACTCCATAGCACTTTGAGAGTTCTGGTTATAGTTCAGCCTGGAGTGTGTGAATATTAGGGACGGGACAACATAAGACTGCCACAAGATCGTGCACACAAGAGAATAAAGTAACGTAAATTACGTGTTACATCTCTTTAACAGTTCCAAAAAGCAGTGCTAGAATGGAAACAAAAATATGAAACCAAATAAATAAAAAAATGGCGATGCCAAAACTGGAAACCGAGCTGTGAAATGTATATATTAGGAATTATGTTAAAATCTCGTCTTGTCTCGTTCTCGTCTCGTATCTCGTCTTGTCTCGTGGAAACTGTGTCTATCCTGTCCCTAGTGAATATGAACGTCTTATATACTGTATTTGGGCGATTAACGATAATAATAATCAGAATTTTTGCAGAATTTTGCAGTCCAAAATGTGCTTAAACGTGCCTAAATGTCTCAGTCGCGGTTCAGCTTCGAGTAAAAGCACTGTAAAATGTGAAGAAATGTCATTTTAATTGGAAGAATAGACTCGTTTTCACAAGTTTTTGTGATTATTTTTTGACTATTTTTGTATTTTTATTATTTTTGATGAAGTTAAAGGCGCTGTACTTCATTTTTTTTACTGTCTTATTCTTTACTTACCTTACCATCAACTACTAATCTCTAAATTTCTGATAACCAAACATTAAAAGGCTTTGTAATTACATGCAGACAGTACACAGCAGACTTATTTTAACCTCAGGAGCTGTTTTTACTCTACATCTGTACTGGCGCAAAGCAAGTTTTTCTCTAATATATGAGAAAAATCAGGTACGAGGCCTTTAACGTTCTGTTTTTGCTTCTGATGAAAACGACAGTGTTATAAAATGATCCTGTAGACGTTTAAAATAAAGCACTAATATTTGTATGAAGGAGCTGTTTGCGAGGTCGTACTGTGATGGATTGGGACTGGTGCAATATTTTTACAATTTAAAAAATAAATCTTGATTGATTTTGACTTGTTTGTGTTGGTGCTTTTGTTTGGTTTTGTTTTTCACTTGGTTTAGTACTTCTTTAGACCTGGTTTACTTCTTCTATAGACCTTCTATAGACCTGGTTTATTCCCTTTTTAGTCCTGGTTTAGGCCTTCTTTAGACCTGTTTTAGACTTGGTTTAGTCCTTCTTTAGACCCAGTTCAGTCTTTCTTTAGACCTGATTTAGTCCTTCTATAAACCTGTTTTAGTTCTTCTTTAGACCTGTTTTAGACCTGGTTTAGTTTTTTTTTAAGACCTGATTTAGAACTGGTTTAGTTCTTTTTTAGACCTGTTTTAGTCCTTCTTTAGATGTGGTTTAGTCCTTGTTTAGACCCTGTTTTAGTCCTGGTTCAATCCTTGTTTAGACCTGGTTTTGTCCTTCTTTAGACCCAGTTCAGTCTTTCTTTAGACCTGATTTAGTCCTTCTATAAACCTGTTTTAGTTCTTCTTTAGACCCGTTTTAGTTCTTTTTTAGACCTGATTTAGAACTGGTTTAGTCCTTCTTTAGATGTGGTTTAGTCCTTGTTTAGACCTGATTTATTCCTGTTTTAGTCCTGGTTCAATCCTTGTTTAGACCTGTTGTAGTCCTTGTTTAGACCTGTTTTAGTAATTTTTTAGACCGGTTTTAGTCCTTCTATAGACCTGTTTTAGTCCTTGTTTAGACCTGTTTTAGTCCTGGTTTAGTCTGTGTTGTTTCCTGCATTCTTCCATCTCTCGTGACTAACCCGTGGAGGTGAAATTGAGAAGTCTAATAGTTTAGTGGCCGAGTTGAGCAGGTGAAATGTTTTTTGTTGATGATGACGGATGAATGTAAAGAACGAGGAAACACAAACACAACACTCTTCACTTTTGTTTGAGTTTGACTGGAGTTTGATTGAACCTGAAACGTTCTGACACAAACAGATTCCTCTTGTCACTGCACATCTGTCTGCGTCTCTGAAGAACACACCGCTTCACCTTTCATAATAAATTCCACGAACCTGACCTGTTTATGTATAAATGTATAACCTTATATAACCCTAGATACGAGGTAAACATGGTCACATCAAATCGAGCGTTTACTGATTCTATTTACTGATTTATTCTGAATCACTGGACAGGTTGGCCACGTTTATGTTATACAGTAGTCCCTTGTTTATCACGGAGGTTATGTTCTAAAAATAACCCGCGAGAGGTGAAAAACACAAAGTAGTCAACTTATATTTTACAATTATTATCTCTGTTTTAAGTCTGTAAAACCCCTCACCGCACACTTTATACACTTTTCTCAGACAGAACAGTTACAATCCTTTTTACATCCTTCCTCTAACCTCTACCTTCCTACAGTGTGTCCAGAAGTGCAACTTTTTGTGCGATGGTTTGCATCTTCCTCTGCATTTTGGGTGCGACCGCAGGAGCCTTTGTCGGTGCACAACGTTTCGTCGACATTGTGAGTTTTGTCGGGGAGAAAACTTGCAAACATACAGTACTTCAGAATCACACTGAATCCAACATTTATGTAAATTTGTCAAACCGAACACATTCTGTACTGTACAGGAGACACAATTGACAAAGGTCTACAGTCCCCAGCCAATCAGGACGCAGGGGGAGGAACACAATATACGTTTATACTAGGGGTGTGCAAAAATATCGGAATATTGATATATCGTATCGTTTAATGTGATGATACAGTATCGATATCGTGGGCTGCCGTATCGATATATCACCAAGAATATTTTTAGGTGTGTTTTGCTAAATTATTATGTTACAGTGCTACATTTTTGTTGCTTGTGGAGTGAAAGGAAACTAATTTATGCGACACATTTGACATTTTTACTGTTTTGAGGATTAAAATGTTTGTGTTTCATATGAACTTTTCACAAGAAGTGATTTAACAAAGCCTTTTAGTATCAGAGCCACGATTTAGCCTTTATTTTTTATTGAACCATATCAAATCGATTTGAAATATATCATATCGAATCGAAGGTGCACTGTATCGAGATATGTATTGTATCGTGGCCTGTGTATCGAGGTTTGTATCGTATCGGCAACTCCTTAATGATACTCAGCCATAGTTCATACACTGTTAAAAAAAAATAATAATGAAAAATTGCACTAAGAAAAATATGCAAAACAGCGAGACCGAGCGAGACATGAGCATCGCGAGCCTCATTTGAGCGACTCTGAACGCTGTGCATCACACCCACTTTGTCCACTTCTTTTATACAGTTTATGATTTAAACATTCATTGAACAGAATAAAGACGTCATATATTTTTATTTGTCAGATCATAACTGGACTGTAAATCAGTCGACCTTTGTCCCTTCTTATCGCTGCAGTCGTTCCATCTCGCTTAAGTGGCCTGTTCCTGCTTCCTCTGGTCTCCGATACCCAACGCAGGTGAGAGCGTCCGGGGTCGGAAAACCCCTGCGCTCCTCTCAGCTCCGCACTGAAACCAGGTCCGGTTCTGGAGAAAGTGAAAGGAGCTGCGGGGCATCAGATGTAACCCGAACCCTGTACTCAAGTCTCTGTTTATACACCGTGAGTGCTGAGTAATAACACACTAATGAGTTTAAACAGGGACTAAACCAGGACTAAACCAGGATTAAACAAGGACTGATATGAGATTAAACAAGTGTTGAACTGAAATTAAACAAGTGTTGAACTGAGACTAAACCAGGACTAAACCAGGATTAAACCAGGATTAAACCAGAAAGAAAGAAAGTCTCAGATCTCAGGAGTGTTGTAACCTGAGTCGGTCTTTTGTCTGCCGCAGAGTGACAGCTCTTTGTTCCAGCCTGAAATCTCTGGAATGTTTCTGCAATTATGAACAAGACTTTTACTATGAGCTCATGTTTTTGTGGGTCAAGTGTCACTCGCTCGGTGACAAAGAAGGCGAAGTGTCTTGCTCAAGGACACAATGGCAGTATGAGCTGGCGGTGACGGGAATCAAACTTTCAACCTGGGAAGTGGGCCAGACTGTCACTACTGCTGCTACTACTGAAACCTAAACTGTGCAGTAATGTTCGGCATTACAGGGAAAAATTTGTAATATTTTACTCGTTACAAATGTGAGTAACGTGTGTCACAATGTTTTTTTTTAAACTGGATTGAAATGGTGGATTTTTAGTTTTTCTTCAAATTCGCTAAAATCACGGCGATATCAGCAGCGGTGAAACGCCATCGTTACTGTTCCAAGTGCAAAAGGACTGGGACTTGAACTCCAATGCCGGACTACTGGGCCGCATACAGACTGAACCAGGACTGAATCAGGACTAAACTGTTTTCAGTCCTGGTTTCAATCACTGTCTGGTCTTAGTCTGGTCCCGGCCTCAATCCCAGTCCCAGTCTCAGTCCTGGCCCCAGTCTCAGTCCCAGTCTGGTCCCGGTCTGGTCCCAACCTCAGTCCCAGTCTCAGTCCTGGTCTCAGTCCCGGTCTGGTCCCGACCTCAGTCCTGGTCTCAGTCCTGGTCTCAGTCCCAATCTCAGTCCCGGTCTTGTTCCCGGTCTAAGTCCCAGTCTCAGTCCTGGTCCCAGTCTGGCCCCGATCTAAATCCTGGTCTAAGTCCCGAACTGGTTCCGGTCTGGTCCTGGACCTGGTTCAGTCGTGGTTTAGTCCATTTTTCATTTAAACACAAAATTGAAAAATGAAAAAAACAAATCATTATCTGTTTTTTTTCATTTTGGTTTTGGAGACAAATAATGAAGAAAATAGTTATTTTTTCATTTTCTCATTTTTGGTTTTATATTGAAAAACTAATGAACGAATGACACGGATTTTTGTGCTTTCTTGTAAAATTCCGATAATAAAATTCAAAGTGAAACCAAACTTCATTCTGCACAACATTCTCCATGGACACAGACACTTCTAATGCCACACTGTGGAATATTACAGCCAGAGGCACGACATTTCCATGGCAACAAGCAGGAAGAGACCCTTACATGATCCCTGGAAGAGGAAAAAATCATCCTGTGAAACATTCTGGACAAAGCGACAACATCTCCACGGAGAAAAGCGTTTGATGGACCCGCTACCAGAAAAGTTACACAGTGCAGCTTTAAAAAAAATGTGCGAGCCATAACAAACACGCGGCAGTAAAAGTTGTGTAACATTGGCAGCCTTTGTTCCTTTGTGTAAAACTTGAGCTAAAACAATAGAGTCTCTGTGAAGTCTGTATATTCCCCGAACCAGACCAGTCACACCGCATGTTCAGACCGACAGCTGTGAAACACCAACGACGAGGAAAAGGCTCGTTTTACTCTCCCACGTGTGAAACTGTCAACGCATCGATACAAAAATGTATCAGGTTAAAGGCGGCGTTTGTTTCACCGTCTCAAAAACGTCGGGTGACCAGATGAGACTGACTGAAACTCAGGACGGTGTTTTTTTTTTTTTTTTTCTACCACAAGAAAACATAAAATCATGAACTCAAAAATGTCATTGTGGTAAAATAACAACACACATAGGGACAAATGCACCTGTCGATTTGAGCTCCTTAGCGCTGTTCCAGTTTAAACGCCGTCGATTTGAGACAGACGTGGAGTAATAAGTCACATTTTAAAAGTGTATTGTTCATTTTTATGTTTTGACCAGTTAAACATCTAATTTTTTTGTTAGATTTGTGGCAGAACTCTTACGTTAGATGATTGAATAATTTGGATTTAATATTTTGTTTTATCGTTATCATTTTCATTACATTGTATTTTATTTGGTAAAAAACGTAACTTTTTAAAAAAAGAAGACGTATAAATAAAATGTGATGGGAGCCTTATTTGATAGAAGATATCGGCCTGTGGAAATGAGGGTTACACCTACATTTGACCCATCCTTCAGTGTGTCTGTAAACCTGCATCTGACCTGTCCGTGAATGTCTCTGGGTTGAACCTGCATTTGACCCATCCTTCAGTGTCTCTGGGTTACACCAGCATTCAACACATTGTTCAGTGTCTCTGGCTTAAACCTGCATTTGACCCGTCCTTCAGTGTCTCTGGGTTACACCAGCATTCAACATTCTTCAGTGTCTCTGTAAACCTGCATTTAACCCATCCTTCAGTGTCTCTGTGTTAAACCTGCATTTGACCCATGCTTCAGTATCTTTGTGGTAAGCCTGCATTTGACCCATCCTTCAGTATCTCTGGGTTGCACCTGCATTCAACACATTCTTCAGTATCTCTGAGTTATATCTGCATTTGGCCGTCCTTCCGTGTGTCTGGGTTAAACCTGCATTTGACCCATCCTTCCATGTCTCTGGGTTAAACCTGCATTTGACTCGTCCTTCAGTGTTTCAGGGTTACACCAGCATTCAACATTCTTCAGTGTCTCTGTAAACCTGCATTTAACCCATCCTTCAGTGTCTCTGTAAACCTGCATTTGACCTGTCCGTGAGTGTCTCTGGGTTAAACCTGCATTTGACCCATGCTTCAGTGTCTCTGGGTTACACCGGCATTCAACACATTCTTCAGTGTCTCTGGGTTAAACCTGCATTTGACCCATCCTTCAGTGTCAGTGTTAAACCTTCATTTTACCCATGCTTCAGTGTCTCTGTAAACCTGCATTTGACCCATCCTTCAGTACCTCTGGGTTAAACCTGTCAGGAGCAGTGGGACCATCTCCAGATCTTGAACTGGTCTTGATCAGAACTATCCACGGGGTTCAGAGTGTTTAAAAATTTGGACTGTTGTCACGGTAATTAACAATTTAAAACCAAATGTTACCATCTGTTTTGAATGGCCAGAAATCTTCAGAATGTTGCAGATCACAGTCCCATGAACAAAGATTTAAAGGTCCTGTGTAACGCAGAATTGACTGATGTCTTCAAAAACAGACCAAAAATACTACGTTCCACCTTGTGATGTCACGAAGGGGGAGTTTCAGTTTCAGTGAACAGCTCCTTTTACCTTTAGTTCAGTAGAGATCGGCAATTCCAGGTCTGAAATCATCCAGATTCTAGTGAAGGTGTGTGGAGTTTAAAAACACAGTGAAGCACTTCCTGTATTACCACATGACATCACAAAGTGGAACAGCGTGTTTTTTTGTTGGAAAGTAGAACTAAATATGCAGGATTTATCAGTTAAAAATATGTGAATGAAACAAAACTCCAGGTCTGTTAACGATGAGGAAACTAAATCAGAAAATAGTGTAATATGTAAATTCAGTATTTATGGTTTCTTATAAAATTACGATAATGAAAACAAGACTACAAAACAAAAAAAACATTTATATAAGTATACAATATCATTTATTCTTTACAAGAAACATCTGAAAATAATTTATAGATTAACTTTTCTAAAAATTAAAACGAAAGAAAAACTATCACACACCTTTGCCCTGATACGAAAAAATAAACAAAACACAAAGCAAAAACTGAAAAAAAAACAACAACAACCAAAGCAAAAGATTTGACAAAAACAAGTCACACCAATTCAAAATTTCTACTGAAAATTTCAAATCTATTTTTACCGCCGCCCTTTTATTTTCTTAGGTTGCCTTTCCACGGATCAGACCCGTCACTGGGTCTCGTGGTGTCGCCCGCTCGTCTCCATGGACACAGAAGTTTATTCCCATACCGTGGAACATTTCAGGCAACAGCATCGCCGCAGAGACGAGCAGGCAGCAGACCGTACGTGAGAAAAGTTACGTAGTGCACTTTAATTTTGACTCGAGAACAGTGTAATGTTCGACTGCGTTTACTCTTATTTAAAAAACAAATTTCAAATCGATTTTTAAGATATTTTTATTAATATCAATCAATAAACAGCTGATCATTTCTGTCCAAGTTATTGTGATTCTGGTAAACGACACAATAAACGCTGCACATTTTTACAAAAGCTTTTTTCGTTAGTTTAATTGTCATTCTTATTAGAGATAGACCGATATACCCCGTTGGTAGATATTTACGTTTTTTTTCTCCATGTCTCGATTATCGGCCTAAGAACGGATTTTGTTTTGGCCGATCTGCTACAAACAAAGCTTTATTTATTTAACACTTTAGTGCAAAAAGATAACTGCACAGAACATGAAAACACAGCGCTCTTAAACGTTTACAGTAAAGAAAGGTTTGTAATAAACGTAAACGACAAAAAAAAAAAAAAAAAAAAAATCGAAACCCAAAAATATCGGCAGATCTTATCGTCCGCCGGTTTCTCTGGATTATAAACAATCAGTATCGGCATCAGTCACAAAAAACAAACAAAAAAAAAGCTTACCTGACCAGCCCGAACCACTCGCTTTGACAAAACTTCGCAAAAACGAGCAGGTCTTGAACCAAAACCCGTCTCCCTGATTTGATTGGCAGGCGGATGAACCAATCAGAGAGGCGCATGGTCCGTTCGCGTTACATGTGAAAGGAAAACAACAACAAAAAACGAAAAGCTGCGCAGGTTTCGGCAAAAATCAACAATCGAAGCTCAAACGGTAAAAAAAAAAGTTGCAACGGACGTGTTTAACGCTCTACGGTTTGATTCCAGAAACGGAAACTGGCTGGTCAGGCAAGAAAAAAACCATATCGGTCGATCTCTAATTTTTATTTTTATATATAATAGTGATTTTAGTTTTGATTTAGTTTTGAAATTGTTTATTCTTTATCCACAAAAGTATTTAATTTTGTTAAGTCATTATTTAAATACCAAAAGATCACACTTCGTCATGCATTTGGTAAAACATTAGACTGGACTAAGATTGAAAATGTGGTTTTCCTTGAGCTATAGATTGTCCTAAAGATTATCTGGACACATTCATTCGTTCCCTGCAGCAGTGTGGCGCCCCCGTGTGGACATTAGAGAAACTTGCATTTGCTTTGTGCAGTTAGGAGCCTGGGTTTGGAGTCATCTCGTCTCGGGTTTAAAACGTCCAGACGAAGCCGAAGGTGCAAAAAGAAAAAGAAACTAGAGCAATAAATACAGCCCCCTCCAAAGTCGGGTTTAGTTCTGGTTTAGTCCTGGTTTAGACCTCGTTCAAACCGGGTTCCGTCCTGGTTTGGAAAAAGCTGAGATCTTTTTTTGACCTGGTTTAGTCCTTGATTGAGAACGGATTCAGTCCTGGGTTGGAACTGGTTTCATCCTTGCTCAGACCTTTTGGAAATGGGTTAGTCCTAGTTTAGTTCATCCCAGGTTCCATCCTGGTTTAGAACTGGTCTGGTCCTTAATGAGATCTGGTTTAGACCTGAATTAGTCCTGGGTTCAGACCAGGTTCTGTACTGGTTAGGTGCTGATTTAGTCCATGCTGCGATCCTTTAATCCTAGTTTAGATCTGCTTTGGAACTGGATTAGTCCTGATTTAGGCCTACTTCAGAGTGGGTTCTGTCCTCGTTTAGGCCTGGTTTAGTCCTGGTTCAGACCCGGTTCATTCCTTGTGGAGATCTTCAGTTCTAGTTTGATTAAATCCTGCTAAGTTAAATCTTTGTCTACACCATTTTTTTTTCAGAGAACTCATGTTTCTCTCAAATTATAGTTCTGAATAAAAAAGGTTTTAACTTCTTACAGCAGCCATTTTCTGTGCCATTTGTGTTATCCTTACATTTAGATAGAGCTTTTAACCCTACACTTGCAAACCTTGTGGGCTTTGCTTCAGATGTGGGCACTGAAAAGGCGTTTTATCATCGCGAGATACGACCAGTGCCTTGGCAGGGGTCACGGGGTCACTATTTGCCTCTTGGACGATTCGAAGAGGTAGATTCACATTCAAGAAATGGTGCGACGTTTACACTGAAAAACATATCGCGTAGCAAGTCAAAAAATCTACACCTTCTGAAGATTTCTTTTTGTTTTTTTGTTTTTCTTTTTTTACAACAAATACATGTTGGTGTTTTAATTTTCTGGCTCATCTCTTGCTCCTAAAAGTCCTTCACTTTGAAATTGTCTGCGTTGTGGCATTGTACAAGTGAATTTGGAGAGACGCTGCCAAAGAAGAGCGCTGCAACCCGGACTGTATGGACTTGGTGTCAGTTGGAGCCTTGGGTTAAAGTTGAAATCCCTCTCTAGGGCCCTCTTGTTGCTGGAAAAGGAACTGCGCCTGGTTTTGGTCGACCTGTGGGACCAGACTGGAGTCCTCTTCCTCGACGCCAAAGTATCGCTCGATCAGGTCAAAGGCTTTCTGATAAATCTCCTGGTTTTCATGGCCCTGAAGAAACTCGATCTTGTCCAATCCTACAGAGGAAAAAAAACTAAAATAAGACTAGGACTTCTGAGTAGGAGACAATTAAAAAGCAATACAAAATAAGTCCTGTTTTAGTCCTGGTTTGGAAAAGATTTTGCCCTTGAGTTCTTTTAGACTTAAATTCTGATTTATTCTAATGATTACGATTATCACAATACAAGTACGATTATTTAGTTTCATGAAATAATCACGATAAGTCCATTAATCGTTGCAGCCCTGTTGGTCTTCTAATCAATTTTAATCAATCTTTAGGCTTGACTAAACCAGAACCAGTAAACCAAGTCTTGGTTTAGACTTTGATTAGTTCCCATGCAAGTGACAGGTTAGAAGGGACAGTAGGGAAGACACAAGACGAGATACGAGATCGGGTCCACGAGAATGAGACAAGATGAGATTTTAGTATCATTTCTAAAATATAAATTTCACAATTCAGTTTTCAGTTTTGATCTCAGTTTTTTATTTAATTTCACATTTTTGTTTCCATTCTAGTTCTGCTTTTTGAAACTTAAAAAAATGTAACTCACCAACATGTGACCCTTTTTTGTCCAATCCAAATATGAACACTTGTAAAAATCTCACAAGATAATTTTTCTCTTGTGTGCATGATCTTGTACCATCCAAACAGACTACTATACTACTACACTGTGGACCTGTAATGGTACCGTCACCCAGATGAAAATAGTATACCGTGTTGCCAAATGAATATGGATCTCAACTTTGTGTCTACAGTATAGACCAATCCAGGTTCTGACATGGTCCTGGTTTGAACTGGGTTCTGGTTGAGGGCCTGTTCACACGAGAACGCTTGCGAGTAAAGACGACAAAATATTTTATCGGAAGTGCCTTTCGTTTAGACGGTGAGGGCATTTTTGGGGCTTCAAAACACAAAAATCTGAAACCACCCTCCGAAGTGGAAAAGTTGAATACGCTCTGCCGTAGTGTAGATGCAAAGCTCTGGTCAGATCTGCTCAGGTCATGTACGTGTTTAAGTCACATACATCACCACCGAGTGTCACCACTGAGCCGCCTGGCATGCATACCCAATCGAATTCCATACACTTTTGCGTCACCGTATGTACACAGACTTACTCCCAAAAACGCTCGTCTAAACGCGGAATAAAAAATGTTCAGTCCGTCATCATGTAAACGTAGCCTGAGACTGGGTCCACAGTCCTGGTCTCGACCTACCGTAGGCCTCCTCGATGAGAGCGCAGTACGGGTTGATGCCGGAGCCGTTCTTCTTGGCTTCCTTCTCTCCGAGTCTCAGGATGTTTTCTAACCCGTTCAGAGAAACCTGCACAATCTTTGAGTCCATCACCGTCAGCAGGTCACACAGGGGCTTGATCACGTTCAGAGAGACCAGATATCTGTGAGAAGAAGATGGATGGAAATTAGTGGCTGTGGTTGGACCATCACATGTTAGGATGGTGTTTTTCACCCTCTATGGTTCAAATACAGACCCTTCTGAATTTGAACAGAATACAGAAGGAACTGTCTGCTCAGGCAATGGATGATTGTCAAACATAATTCCTCTTAAGAACTTGTGAGATAACAGAATTCCATTTTCTTTTGCTTTTTGTTTATCTTATGTTTATCTTTTGGTGTCATTTGCATTCCAGACTAAGCTGAAAGACAAATATTTTCTAAGATGATAAAAATATCGGACCAGAAATTGCTCCCAAATTCGGCACTAATTTGGTCTTTACTTTTACACACAGACCCCAGGTACTGCGCACAGACCTGATTTGCGCTGCGGTTCCTCCGGACGTGGCGTTGGTGATGGCCCAGGCTGCCTCTTTCCTCGTCCTGAACTCTGCCTTCTGAAGGATCTCGATCAAAACCGGGAAGATGTTTGCGTCGATCACATTCTGGAGAGAAACAAAACACTTGGTTTAAACATGGCCTAAACTGAGGGAAGCTTCACTCAGACGGGGATATTTACATAGTTATTAACAGTCATTTATTTACGGCTAATACAATGTCAATTATACGGGCCTTTTACGTGAACCTGTCCAGTATTTGGGCCTTATATTTTTGAGCCTTATATATTTGTACCTGTATTTGAGCCTTGTTTCCGGCTGTGATATTTGACACGGTCCAACACGCCTCTTTCTTTATGGACTCTTTGGGGCTGCTGAGGAGGTGGAGGAGACAGGGCAGTGCTGAGCAGTTCAGAATCACCTTCAGGCACACAACATACACAGCGTCAGGAGTTTTATTCAATTTAAGACAACCCCACAACAGTTTCGGCTCATTTTCCTTTGCGAAACGTCTCTTGGGATTTCAAATCAAAGCACTAGTCTAGTTGGTTCTTGTGTAGTCACGTAAATACATTTGCTTTATTTATAAAGTCAAAGTTCCTCCATTTCAACACTCAAACAAGACAAAAATAAAAAGGTAAAGCCTCTTTGTTAAGCTTACTGTGGTCCCATTAGAGCTGAAGTTTTCCTAGAAATGTACTGTACATAGATCCCAAATACAGACAGCAGAGGGAGATGTACAACAATGTCTCACCCTACAAAAACAAACAGCTTTTACACCCACTTCCAGTAGTTTATTTAGGAAAAAGCCTGAGTTTTGGTTTCAGTAAAAATAAAAGAATGGGTCACCTGTGTTTGAATGTCGTCTCCCGTCACTATGTTCCCGACAGCACGAAGAGCAGGAGACACCACTTTATAATCACTGTGCCTTTAAAAACAAACATTATTCTCTTTTACTTTATTTTCACATGAAATTATTGGAGTGTGTAATTTGTAGATAAAATTTAAAACTATTGTGCAGTCAACATTTCACCACGTATCCAGTAAAAACAGATCTAAGAAATCTAGATTATGTTTTAAAGATCCTATAGTATGCAACATTTACTCACATTATAATGTTGTTACCTCCTCAAAAACAGACCTGGAGTTGTGTTTTGTATCATTCACACATATTTGATTAATCCCGGTTTATTAGTCTTTCTTCATCTCCCAAACTCTAAATGCTCTGTTCCACCTTGTGATGTCATGAAGCGGTAGTTTTCAATTTATGTTATTGGGTTCTTTTTTCAGACCAAGATTCGTTTTTCATATCTGACAGTTTCGACTGCCCACGTGATGTTGCCGTGATGTGTCACCAGTGAACCAGTGAGTGCACAGAAAACTCAAGCAATTGCTCATCCACCCAAAAGATAAAATAAAACTGGAGCATAAATGTAATGCCATATACAAAACACTCTGCATGTCCTGTAATAAAAACCCACATCAGGGAAACAGTGAGGGCGTTCAGTACACGAAAAAAAGGAACATATGCGTAATACGTTGCTGTTTTTTTTTTCCTTCCTCCATTTAACATTGCACTGCAGCTCCGTTGAGTAAACAAAAAAATAGGCAAATCAAACTTAAGACCTTTGTGAAAAAAATAAGACTTGGACAACGTAATTTAAGACTTTTTAAGGCCTTAATTTAGGAACATAAAATTTAAGACCTTTTTTAAGACTTTTAAACCCTCGCAGCTACCCTGTGTAAGTTACCTTTTCCCTTTCAGTTCAGTAAAGACTGGATGATTTCAGTGCTACAGTGACTGAATGATTCTAATGAAGAGCTGTGGAGTTTAAGAACACAGTGGAGCACTTCCTGTATTACCACATGACATCACTAGGTGGAACAGGCAGTTTTCTGTTTGAGAAAAGAACTCCGCCTAAATCTGCAAAGTTTGTGTGTTAAACATGTGTGAATGAAACAAAACACAACTCCAGGTCTGTTTGTGATGAGAAAACAAATCAGAAAACAGCATAATGGGCCCTTTAACCAAAAATTGCTAAGACGCTGCATATTATAATCTGTAAAATGTTGTTATACATTTCTTTAAACCACAATCTGATATCACTTGCATGTATCCAAGTGTGAATTAAAACCCATGCTGAGTTTTCTATTTTGTGATTTTCTGTGGTCCAATTTTGACATCACATTATTAAAACTGTTTACTTTTGTCTTCAGTTATATATTTGTTTACAGTTTTTAGGCGTGTATAATTCCTTGTGTCTTACATGAGTAGCTCCACTAGGCGGCGACAGACCCCAGAGTCGATAACGGTTTGAATTTTCTCATTGGGTCCATCTGAGAGATAGGACAAAGCCCAACACGCGTCTGCTAAAACATCAGGATCACTACTGAAGAGGAGACGGGACAGGATACTCAGGCACGGAGACACCTACAACACAGAAAACAAAACCTTAACATCCTGTGCTCCGTCTGACTTTTTTCTCTTCATCCTCGTTTGTTTATGTTTTACCTTGTGGAAATCTGGAGGTGGGTTCTTCCCTCTGCAGAGATTAGACAGAGCCCAGACTGCGTTTCGGGTCGTAGTCAATCGGGTCGACTTGTCCAATAGTCTAACGGGAGAAAAACGTTACAAAAATAAAGATCTCACAGTCTCATATGAATATTTCAGCATTTTATATTGTTATAAATGTTCTCAAATGTTACTCACTGCTGCAGAGAGGGCAGGATACCACAGTCCAGCACATAGTCTCTGCACTCTGCATTGTCTCCTGCGATGTTCCCCAAAGCCCACACCGCCTAAAACAAAAAAAACAACAACATTATTTAATAAAAATGAACAATATAAACAGGGATCCATTTCCTACAGTTAGAAAAGCCATCACATTCAGTATTTCTCCTACCATTACATCAGCAGAGTGGGACTATCAATCAAATTACTGTATTTTCTGCACTATTAGGCGCTCTGGATTATAAGACGCACTGTCATTAAATGGTCTATTTTCGAACTTTTTTCACAAATAAACCGCACCGGACTTTAAACGAGACACAACAGTTGGATGGGTCAGTGAGACTTTGTTTGGCGCATTCACGGTGACTCTGGGCTTTGTTCAGTTGTGGCGTGTAGGGAGGGTGCTGTCTGGGACCGCTGGATTGTCGGCGTGTTCGCAGTGACTCAGTTGTTCAGTTGTGTCTAGAAGTGGCACATTGCACTCGCTTTTTCGGTTCGTTCCTCCGTTCCGTTCAGTTCCCCATCGGCGTGAAGTGATGAGTGTGGCTGCAGGTGTTTTTTACTCCACGGTCGCTGTCTGCTCCGTGTGTGTTTGCGTGTTCTGCGGGTGGTGCGGCTTTGTAGTTTACTGAAGTCGTGCTGGGACACTCGAGTGGCTTCATGTATAGGGCGCTCTGGATTGTGGGGCGCGCAGTCGTTTTTTTTGATGGGTGCGCCCTATGGTGTGGAAAATACGGTACGCAGTGCTAACCACCTCTCGTCAAAATGTGCGTCTTTAAAGAATCCGTTCCACAGCTGCATAAGAAACTACTGTATTCGTAGAAATCCAGTCTTGATTATCCCTCATACTTTACTAATACAATCTATTCTACAAAAATGATCCGCTCTGGCTGTTGAGCTATGCTGTAGTCTGCCAGTGCCCAAGTCCTGCACTGTAACCTCAAAAAAGACAGACACAGAAACTGTCCCAACTCAAGAGTTACACTAGAGTTTGTCGATGATAATAAAATACATATTAATGCTTCGTGGCACTTTGAAAAACAGAATGCAAGCCAAAATTACTAGTGTAAATAAGTCTGTGAGCATCATTTGTTTGATACATTGCGTGCACTGTGCATGGGTTATGAAACAGTCAGAGGATAAAGAGCGTAGTTTGTTCTCTGGTGCTGATTTGGGCTTTTATTCAAATGCACACTATAAATAACTGTATTAGGTAAGAGCCTAAGAATTAATGTGTGCAAATGATAAGGCCTTTATATGAGATTTAACAATAAGCTCATTTAATAAAAATGTCCAACTTTATGACGGTGTTTACAAAAAGTGTTTTACAGCCATTTCACTGTTTAAACAATATTAAATTAATAGGAATTTAAATATAGCAGTGAAATAAATGCCAATTATGAATCTATTTATTAATACAACCTTGCTCAACCTTGTGATCACGCGCGTCCATGTACACAAGCCCCTTCTGCCTAACAGGTAAACTTAAGAGTAAACACAACCTTTGATGGACCAGTTTTGCTAGATACTGACCACTGCAGACCAAAACAATCCCACAATAACCAGAACTTAACTAGGACTTAAACCAGGACTAAAGAACCTCTGATGTGTACTCGATTCCCATCCCTTCCATTTTCATGTGGATCAAGTTTGCCTAAATTTGAAAATGAATGAAAAACATACAACATATGTATTAAAAAAAAAAAACCTTTGTTGTACACTTTTCATCATTGACACCTGTTCAAATGGACATCTAATTTCAATATTAATCTGGGAATGGGTTTGTTAAAAGTATCAAAAATCAAGTACTAATCAATACTAAAACTAATACTAATACTTGAAACCAGATACTCACTTCAGCTGGTTTCAATGCTAAAAAAGTCACATTCATAGGACAGAAAATAACTTTAGAATGAACCACCATAGACCACTGAGAGATTACACAGAGGTCACATGATAATATAAAAGAAAGTACTGTCATTCAGTGTTGAAAATCACATTCTACTGACTTAAGTAGTAAGCAAGTAAGTATCAGTGCGTCCAACCTGCTCCTGGACGTCTTCATACTCAGAGTTGAGCAGTTTGATGAAGATGGGCACAGCTCCAGTCTCAATTACAACTTTAGTGTGAAGGAAAGTCCCGGACGCAATGTTTGTCAGGGCCCAAGCTGCCTCGAACTACAGACAAAAACATCAAATGGGTCAGTTCAGTTTGATTTTGATCATTGTTTCGCTGAGGGTAGATAGAAGTCTTGACAAAAATTACTCAAACATGCAAGAATCACAATAAATACAACTTTGAAAGGGTAAATGAGAGGATAAATGAGAGATGGTTTTAAAAAAAAAGGTCCACTTGAAAATAGATCCTTTAACAACAGTGTAACCAACCTGCAGAGTACAGTTCTCAGTTCTTTGGAGGAACTCAACAAAGCGGCTCACGACTCCTGGTGTGGAGATGACCTCATCTATGGGTGGGTTTGGCTCTGGAACAAAAGATTTTCCAATCTAATCCAACTTTATTTGTATAGCACATGTTACAAACAAAACAGTTTCCAAAGTTCTTCACATAGCAATGCAACATTTTACTTTAAAAATAAAAAAATAAAATAAAAAACATCAGCAGAATTATGTTTAATAAAGACAAGTGGGTCTTAAGATGAGACTTAAAACACTCCACTGTGGGGCTGAGTGTTCCAGAGTTTGGGGCCGGCCACAGAGAAGGCCCTGCCCCTGGTTTTAAGTCTTGTTTTGGGGACCACGAGCTGGAACTGGCCCTCAGACCTCAGAGTGCGCGCGGGGGTGTAAATTTGGATGAGGTCCGAGATGTTTTGTGGGGCCAGTCCATTCAAAGCTTTAAAAACAAATAAAATAATAATAAAATCTTAAAATCAATTTTGCAACGGTGCAAGAATTGGGGTTATGTGATCACGCTTTTTGCTCCCTGTTAAAAGATGCGCAGCAAAATTCTGGACTGGTGCGTTTTAATCAGTGTCAGCCACATTAAGTAACTGATTACAAGTAAATATAAAACTAGTGTCTCTCACCTTTGGACAGCAGCTTCCTGAACTTCTGCGTGGCGAGCAGCTGCTGGTCTGGGTCATCAGAGAGGATCATCTGAATCATGTCTGGAGAGATCACGGCGTCCTGACACAAACACACAGACACATTAAAATAGAACATGTAAAAGCGGTTCATGTTTGAGAGCAGAGGCAGAGGCTCACCCCGGCCATGGGAACGGTGGTGCTGATGTCTGGATCCTGGATCGGACACTCGGACATCGACTCATCGTTCGGGAGTGCCACGTTCCTCCTTTTGAACAACTGCGGACATAAAACAGGAAAATAAACAATGACTTCCCATAGACCTACAGTTTAAAAAAGGAGTGTTCAAATAAAGATTCAAATATTCTAGAGGGACACATTTTTCAGAGAGCTTCACCAACATGGCTCTGCAAAGCTGCTAATCCAGTACTGAATCACTTTTTCCTCCTAAATTACCTGTTCCTCTCTCTTCTGTTTGCGCAGCTGCACGCCCTCCTCCTCTCTTCTCCGTCTCATCTCCTGTGGGTTCAGAGCGTTGTTCTTGTAGCTCTTCAGACGGAAGCACTCTTTACCTGGGCTCGCCATTTTCTCTGAGAGGCACAACACACTTATTAAACTAAGCTGCTGAATCACGCTTCAAAATCAAAACACAACAAAATGAGAAAGGTCGCAAACAATGTGCAAATCACAGACTGTATAAAACATGTATGTGCATAATGTAGAGCTATGGTTCTGATTATATCCATAAACTCACAGAGAAGTGTATCACAGCAGGGCTCATATCTGCCTCACTATTTAATAGATATTTCTGCCGCTGGACTTATTTTCTCCACTAAAGAGTTAAAGGTTGTATGGAGGATTTTTAAAAATATTTTTTCAAATTGTCAATGAAAGTTCAAAATAGAATTATAAAGAAGAAGCAGCCTTGTAATTATGATGACCAAAAAAAAAGAAAAATCCATCAACTGTGAATGTAGTGAGGGCAGATAAACATCAGCCAATAGATAACAAGGCTACCTCTTTATCTATTGGCTGTTAGGTTGTCAATCAAATTCCCTACGTTTCTAGCGTCGCTGACTTGCCGACGCGCTGGGATTGTGTGGTTTATGTTCGCGGTTCATGTTTAGCGGTTCTTGGCGTCTTTTTTGAACTGTAGCTCTCAGTTTGCACAAATTTTGTTTTAATGGCAGAGAAGAATTCACGACCGGAAAGTCAGTTTTTGACGTTGCTGAAAGAAGAAGAGAAGGGGAAAAGGTGCGAAGCGCAACATTTAAAAAAGGACAAAGAGTCGCTGCATTTCTCTTTCCTTGGAAAATCTTCTATACAACCTTTAACTCTGCTGGACAACATGTAAACAAAAATCGCCGTGGAATAATGTCATTGGCTGTGGCTCGGTTCAGTTGTGCAGGTGTAAGTGTAGAACATAGAACGACATGATTCTAAAGTCCTAGTGTGACTGCGCCCTAAAGCTTAACAAAGTTTATTTTGGGATATAGGTATATATATATATATATATATATATATATATATATATATATATATAATAAGTGCATTTATTTAAGTTTTTTATATATAGACATTGTAGAACATCTGGACATATTGTTTATTTTGGAAACATTTCTGTTTTTCTATGCCTTATTTCATCTTCAAAGTATATTTTATTCATTTTCTGTTTTATACATCGCAAAACTGCTCTAATTTTCATATTTGTAGCCTATATTTATTTTCAATTTGAAAGTTTTGCACAAATTATTAATAACAAAGTGTTGTTTGTTTTTTTTTAAACGAGAGAATTGCTGAATAAATACATTGTGTAACTCAAAAATAATCATTTGAATAAACGCAATTTAAATATTGACCAAAAATAATCGTGATAATGACTTTCCCCATAACCTGTATATGAAACACGCCCGTTTTAAATAATCAAAACAGTGAATATGTCAAAATGTTTCGTATAAACTAATTTTCTTCCTCTGAACAAGCAACAAAACTGTAACTGTAAATAATTTAGTCAAATATACCAAAAAAAAAAAACCCTCTCACGATATATCGAAACAGCAGCCCATGATATCAATACCGTATCAAATTAAGCAATGCGATATATTGATATTTCCATATTTTTGCACTCCCCTAATTATTATTATTATTATTCATCATGATTCACTTTACTACACAAATGAATGGACACTATTTTTATGTCCGTGGGTTGTTTTTATAATCCATTGTAGACTTCGTTTTGGAAAGATTCTCTTAGGTTTCTGATTTCTGTCTCATTTTAAACAACGGCCACGTAATTAATTGTTCGAAATGTCATCTTAGATATCATTTGGAAGCTTTTACTGACAGCAATTCTGCACGACTCCCTTCCCATTGTCTGTGGAATGCGAGAAGATAAAACAGAAACTAGTTCGCTGTACTTGCTACACTTAGCACGTGCGCTGACAGCCAAAAACAAGATTAAAATTGGGTCAAATTTAAGACTAAAATGTGCGATATTCCCTGGTGATCGTACATCGCTTATCTGGACGTTAAGTTATATTTAATTGGCAAAACCCCCACAGTTTTTAACCTAGAGGTCGGTTAGCATTGACATTAGCCCAGAAGCTAACACTGCGTTATGCCAAATATCTATCAAAATATACAAGTACAAAAGGTAATGTTGGCGTTTTTCATCCTCAGATAAACTAAAAGTGGCTGTAACAAAATAATTCGTAAAATACCTGACGTGTGATGAGCTGATTTTGAGAGAATAACCTCTTCGCTTCTCTTCGTTTCTGCGAGCAAAATGGCGACAGGCTAAAAAGTTCCAGGCGTCAACAGAAGCGAGCACTTCCGGCCAGCTGCAGCCCCCGAGGGAGCTCAGAGGGCGGCCACTACCGGACCGGAGGGGCGCGGGAACACAACCACGCTTTTTTTTTTTTTTTTTTAAATTGTTTATTTATTTTTTTGGATCATGATACGTATACCCTACAGGTCAAAAGTTTTAGAACACCACACTTTTTCCATTTTTATTTTATTTTATACTGTTTACTGTTTATTGTTGACCAAAACGTATTCTAAACTTTTGATTCATCCAGTCCAACTTCATTTGCATAGCACATTTTGTAAACAAAACAGTGTCCGAAGTGCTTCACATAGCAGTGTAAAACATTTTACTTTAAAAGAAAAAAAAATAGAATTATAGTAGAATTATGTTCCAACTACGAGGAAAGGAAACTAATAGAATCAATAAATAAAATAATAATAATAAAATCAATACATAAAAAACAGCACTAAAAAATTAAATTTATAAAAACAATAAATAAATAAATAAATATATATATATATATATATATATATATATATATATATATATATATATATATATATATATATATATATATATATATATATATATATATATATATATATATATATATAAAATAAAATAAAGACATAGAGGACCACACAACTCACGCGGTATTAAAAGCCAGAGAATAAAAGCAGGTCTTAACCCTGCATATTTAGGCTGAGTCCTTCTCTCAAACAGAAAATACTCTGTTCCTCTTTATGATGTCACTTTAGTAATACAGGAAGTGCTCCACTATGTTTTTAAACCCCAGACACATTCACTAAAATCATTTGGATGATTTCAGAATGGCTGAACAAAAGGTAAAAGGTCATGACATCACAAGGTGGAACAAAGCGCTTTGAGCTTAGAAGATATATAGACAGACTAATAATAAAGGACTGAAACTGAACAAGACTCCAGATATGTTTTGGTTGAATTAACAACATTCTAATATGGCTTAAATCTCACAAGGATAATTTTTGCTTAATAAACACACACCTCCATGACAACATCTCCCCTGCAACAGTCAAACTGACAGCCAAAGTAAAGTACTGATTACTGATTGCATTTTTTTTTACTAGCTACCTAATTATTATGTGTATTATTATGTGTTTTTTCCCCCCCTCATATATGCTTTTTACCTGCCTTGCACAAGAATTCCAATGTGTATTTACTTCTATGTGCGCACAAACGGCAAATAAGTTTTTTGGATCTTGAATACGTTGAATATATTATAAAGTTTGAGGAGGAGCCACTATGATGAGCATTTTAGGAGTTTAACATCCTGACCAGTGGGGGCAGTAATGCACTGACCGTGTCTACTCTGCTGCACACAAAGCAGGAAGCAGACCGCCGAGCCTCGTGTGCGGTTAGCTCAGAGCTAAAGCTAAAAACAGTTTGTTAAAATGTCCAAAAGCCAAACACTGAGAGCTTTGGTGAATGAGCGGCTGACTGCGGCTGCTGAAGAGATCTTTGCGCTGTTTGAAAGAACGATAGCGGAGTATGAGGAGGAAGTGTGTCGCTCCAAAGAGGAGAACCAGAGGAAACAGGAGCTCCTGGACTCGATACTGAGCCCCTCAAAAAGTCCTGGCCCCGGTCTGAACCAGGACCCTCCACACACTCCACGGATTAAAGAGGAGCCACAGGAGCCACAGGAACTGAACGTCAAACAGGAGGAACACACGCTCCTAGTACAGGTGGGATTTATTTATGTCTAGGATGAAGTTGGGTAAAACAGACCAACTAAGGTTGGAGGAGCGCAGCTTCTGTGTCAGTATTTCATGTCATATATTTATTAATCAGGACCATGTACAGTTACAGTAAGCACCAAACCTTGTACCACCAAACTGTAATAGCTCATTTACTTCTCTAATCCTTGGCGGGTGTCGTGGAAATTACCTGTAAAATAATACGAGGCTTTCCTGTGGGCTGCTGTCTGTTTTTTTAATGTAAAAAAACCCAAAGTGGTACAGAACAGTGACTTTAGGGTGGACATCGAGACATAATGTAACTACAGAGATAACCTTTGAGTGTACAAAAGCAAAAAAAAAAAAAAAAGGTTGGGAGCTGGCCAGGGGACAAGTTAAACAATACAAATAATTATTTGAATAATAATCATTATTACAGATAATACAGATGTGAGGAGAGTTTATATCCTTGACCAGCATAACAACATCTGCCTATAGAATATGGATAATTTAACTAATCATTTTTCTGTATTGTGATTGAGAACATTTGAAAAAATAAAGTTTGGAATAAATAGATGGGCTGATTCTGGAGCATTAGCTAGGGACAGCTGCGTGCGGAGGATGGCCCATATATCGACCAACCGATTGTTTATCTCTAATCTGGAGCTTGTGCATTTCTTATCATCCTGAGACTGATACATGTATAACAATATTTCTAACAAACCTCAACCAAGTAAATGACAGAAACATTTAGCACATTTCTGATTGAAATCAAGAAACATTCTGATTGTTGTTTTCAGGAGAGTCCAAATATTAATTTTGTGTCAATCTCCTCCACCCCAGGTCTCAGTGGGCTTCCCAGAGTCCAGTGATGTCTGTGTCAAGACAGAAGAGTCCTCACAGCTTCAACAAAGACAAACTGAGCTCAGAGAAGAAACACAGGGAGAGGACATCAGCGCAGAGACACATTTATACTCCTCTGACACTGACAGTGATAAAGACTGGAGAGCTTGGTTCAGCCGTTCAGCTGCACAGATGGAGACAGATGCTGATGGAGACCACTACAACCAAGTCCAGATCAGAGCCAGAAGCTCCACTGCCCAAAACTCAGGTCTATCCCTGAAATACAAGTCTGCACCAGAGACCAGTGCCATTGTGAACAATGCAGACATGTCAGGAACAGCAGAAGGAGCTGCGGGCAAGAAACACCAGTGCTCTGTGTGTAAGAAGAGATTTGGGACTATGTGGTTTTTACAAAGACATATAAGAGTTCACACAGGAGAGAAACCATTCAGGTGTTCAACCTGTGAGAAAACATTTAACCAAAAAGGTAATCTAGATGTACATATAAGAAAACACACAAGGGAAGCACCTTACAGGTGTTCAGCCTGTAAGAAATCATTTTCTCAAAAAAGTTCTCTAGATGCACATGTGAGAATACACACTGGTGAAAGACCTTACAGCTGTTCCATCTGTAATAAACTGTTTATAGAAAGTTGTAAATTGAAAAGACACATGAGAATTCACAGAACAGAGTGTGACTGAAGTTTTTTGGTTGTGTTCATGAGATGTTTTAAAGAGCCCAGAGTTGTGTATTGGAGTCTGCTGCTGACGACTCAAATGCAGATGTTTGGAGCTGTCGTCTGTGGTTAAAACTCCTGTACCTGATGTTGAACCATAACAGAGAAACAACTCTGAGAGAGTCACAGGCAGCTGCTTCTGCACTTTTACAACACACTGCATGGTGTAAAGGTAGGGTGACCATATTAACGTTTGTCAAAACCAGGACACCGTACAGGGGGTGGGAGGTGGGGCCTCGTCACCGACATTGAGCGACTCTCACTTGGCAAAGCTTTTTAATGTTTTTCGGTGTCCTGGTGCTTTGAGATCCCTGGCACCCCCCACTGGACACCGAAGCATATGTGCCTGTTTTGTACACTGTGCACATGGTGTCACACTTGTCCCGACCAGGACAGACAGTGGGGAATTTCTTGTACAAGTCATCGTTAAATATGCATTTGCGCTTTGGCATGTTGCAGACTGACCGACTGTTTGTGTCTGTTCACTCCTTCTGAGTGCAGAGAGCTACGAGAGATGCTCAATTTAATGGCCCACTGAATGGTAATGAAAACCCGGACATTTGCATCACTTTATAAAAAAATAGCAGGGATGGCCAGGACAGGACGTGGAAAATGGACATGTCCAGGGAAAAACGGACGTTTGGTCACCCTAGTAAAAAATAAATGAGGATAAGTCCCTTTCCTCTGCAGGTGAACTTGTAATTTATTATAAAGCAAAATAAATGTGATATATAATATTATTGCATAGTATTTTCTTTATAATCCTGCACTGAATAAAGAAAACGTGTCTTCTAGATGGGTGAAAAACCTTTAAGCTTTGAGCAGATTTTCATTTTTTAATGTTTTGTTTTTATCTAATCAGCTATCTTCTATCTAATTTATTTCTTTTAAACAAAAAAAAGAAAAATCATCCAAATGTATTTTGTAACTGTTTGTACTATTTAACGTAATAACAGAACAACTCTGAAAAAATATTAATAGGCAGGCCAACATTGTCCAATATATTGTTTTATTACACAGATTTCTACACCAAAATGGGATATCAATTGAACCGATTTTCAATCCATCAAAATGCTCAGTGTTGCAACCTTTTTTCCGATATCGATACCAGTATCATATTGCTGCATCCCTACTCTTAATATTTTAACTTTTAGAAGTCTACGGCAAACAATGTATAGAAGCATTGGTTGGTTCTTTGAGGCTGTGGTCATCTCTTTGTTGCACATACGACCTTGGTTCACAGGAAACTTGAGTGAGTCTGAAGATCGTGCACTCTGCATCTAAAACAAAGGCAAACAGATGAGTTTGTAGTGTAAAGTTTCCATTTCTTGTATATAAGCATAAAGAATAAGCATGAAGTGATCGCAGACTTTTGACAAATGCAGCTGTACTAGTATATTATAAAGTTTGAGGAGGAGCCACTATGATGAACATTTTAGGAGTTTAACATCCTGACCAGTGGGGGCAGTAATGCACTGACCCTGTCTACTCTGCTGCACACAAAGCAGGAAGCAGACCGCCGAGCCTCGTGTGCGGTTAGCTCGGAGCTAAAGCTAAAAACAGTTTGTTAAAATGTCCAAAAGCCAAACACTGAGAGCTTTGGTGAATGAGCGGCTGACTGCGGCTGCTGAAGAGATCTTTGCGCTGTTTGAAAGAACGATAGCGGAGTATGAGGAGGAAGTGTGTCGCTCCAAAGAGGAGAACCAGAGGAAACAGGAGCTCCTGGACTCGATACTGAGCCCCTCAAAGAGTCCTGGCCCCGGTCTGAACCAGGACCCTCCACACACTCCACGGATTAAAGAGGAGCCACAGGAGCCAGAGGAGCCGAGCGTCAAACAGTACAGGATAGTACAGGTGGGATTTATTTATGTCTAGGATGAAGTTGGATAAAACAGACCAACAAAGGTTGGAGGGGCGCAGCTTCTGTATTAATATTTCATGTCATGTATTTATTTATCAGGACCATGTACAGTTACATTAATCATGAAACCAGAATGAAACAAATGTCTGTCTCTGGTCCGTGAGGGACTTTACAATAGACCTCAATATTCAGTATTTGATCGAATATGGCGTAACTACGGATGCCCTGGAGTTTTGGTTTCAGGAGACTTGACGACTTGATTTTGAGAACAAGCTTTAATGCCAGTCTCTTTTAGTCTGAATGTTACATGCGGTACAACACGTCCCGCTCACCGTACGTACATCTGTAATGATACTACGGCTGCCTGTGTGTAATAACATTAATACATCACATTCTCCTTTTAAAAAAGTTTTATTTTCACTGTTATTGTTGTTACATTACCACATTTCCCCTAATGTACCCTTTTAAATAGAGTCACCAGATTTTCTAAATTGCAAACTGGGACACCCACAGTTTGAGGTGGTTGGCAATAATAAAATTGTGAATCGAGTGTGTAATTAAGGAATATTGTTCTGCACTCAGGCCATTCATGAGTAACTTGTGTCAGTATTGACACATTTTCTTTGTGTGAACCATGTAATTGTGTTTTAACAACATCACAGATGCACACACCCGAAAACACATCACGTTTCCAGTGTCTCAAAGTCAAAGTATTATTCATAATAATAAATCTACATCCAGTCACAGTCTGCAGTGTCCGTGTAAAGTGTAAACAGAAAATATTAACCAAACTCCACCAAAAATCCTCCTCGTTTGTGCGCATAAAGATGAAGCCAAACGAGTCCACGTGAAGTTCTCCTCGTGGATGAAGTGATTGTGATTGATTAGTCATGGAGATCCCTTTATCTGGAGCTTGTGCATTTGTTATCATCCTGAGATACATGTGTAACAATTTTTCTAACAAACTTCAACCAAGAAAATGCAGATTTCTGATTGAAATGATGAAATAGTCTGATGATTTTTTTCAGACAAAACAGGGAGAGGACATCAGCGCAGAGACACATTTACACTCCTCTCACACTGATGATGAAGACTGGAGAGCTCCACCCAGGTGTTCAGCTACACAGATGGAGACAGACGTTGATGGAGACCACGACAACCAACTCCAGAAAGGACATAGGCTGACAGCTTTAGTGAAGGAGATCTTTGCGCTGTTTGAAAGAACGATAGTGGAGTATGAGGAGGAAGTGTGTCGTTCCAAAGAGGAGAACCAGAGGAAACAAGAGCTCCTGGACTCAATACTGAGCCCCTCAAAGAGTCCTGACCCCGGTCTGAACCAGCACCCTCCACACACTGCACAGATTAAAGAGGAGCCAGAGGAGCCGAAGGAGCCGAAGGAGCCAGAGGAGCCGAGCGTCAAACAGAAGGACAGGATAGTACAGGTGGGATTTATTTATGTCTATTCAGACCAACTAAGGTTGGAGGGGCGCAGTTTCTGTATCTGTATTTCATGTCATATATTTATTTAATATATTTATTTATCAGAACCATGTACAGTTACAATAAGCATGAAAGCAGATGTTTGTACCACCAGACTGTAATAGCTTATTTCCATCTCTAGTCCTTGGGGGGTGTCATAGAAAATATCTGTAAAATAAAACCAAAACATAAGAAGACTGTCTATGTCGGTATATAATGTTTCCCCTGGTAACAAACTTTCCCACTACTGACAGACAGTTTCCTCTGCAGTGAGTGACTGAAATTAAAGAAATATTTTGATTATTGTTTTCAAGTGGAACAAAATATGAATATTATGTTGTGCCAATCTCCCCCACCCCAGGTCTCAATGGGTGTCCCAGAGTTTAGTGCTGTTTGTGTGAAGACAGAAGAGTCCTCACTGCTTGACACTGATGATGATGAGAACTGGAGAGCTCGGTTCAGCTGTTCAGATGCACAGATCGAGACAGACGCTGATGGGGACCACGACAACCAAGTCCAGAAAGGACAAACACTGAGAGCTTCAGTGAATGACCGGCTGAGTGTGACTGCTGAAGAGACACGTCTGAACCAGGACTCTCCACAGACTTCACAGATTAAGGAGGAGCCAGAGGAGCCGAGCGTCACACAGGAGGTGCAGGTGGGTGATGTGTCCAAACAGACCAAAATGGTAAATTTACATGACAACAACAATTTATTAGAGCTGTAGTCAGGTGTGCGTCAAAATCAAATTGAAAGAGTTTATATGGACAAAAAGCACATTTCATATGTAAAAAATATTGGGATTATAAAATCGTCCTGCAGCAGTCTGCACAGATGATCCTACCTCATACCCCTCCACTCCTCGATTTCACCATAAAAACACCAATTAAGTTCTGAATGAGATTGACCTAAACATGAGCCAATTATAAGGTTAAATTATGAACCAAAATTACAAACTAATTATTTAAGGGTTGCACTCTGCAATTTATTTATTGAGACTACATTTTGGAAATAATTTTGCTTAAAAGTTTGGCTCCGTATTATCGTTTATTGTCTAGATTTACTTCAGCAATATATCACACTTAAAAATTGGTTATGAAGACTCCAGGGGAGACGCTGCAGCAGAGGATGGGTGTGTGTGTGTGGGTGTGTGCTCATTTTTTCTCTAAACGAGGGCGTTAGTAAAACACACTATGAGGACCCTTGTAAAAATGGGGACATACTCCCCCATACTACAGTGTTAGAGTGGATTCCAACACCTATATATCATATACAGCGAATAATTAATATATTGACATTTATAATGGTTATTTTCTTGTTTTAAAGATACTGATATAAAAAAATCATAATGTAAGGATAAGTTAATAGGATAGGAAATACAGTAGTACAGCGGTTTTCAATAGGTGAGGTGCGCCTCCCCTGCCAAAGAGCCTCTGGGGAGGCGCGACACACCAGGACTAAACCAGGACTAAACCAGGACTAAACCAGGACTAAACCAGGACTAAACCAGGACTAAACCAGGACTAAACCAGGACTAAACCAGGACTAAACCAGGACTGAGTGTTGGGACGGGCCTGGAGGTGCACCCACGTAAACCGTCAGGTGACTGCAGGAGAAAGGAGGAGAGCTCCGCGCTTCATGGAGCTAAGTGCAATCTCGGCTGTCTTTACCTACTGTAAGGGGAGGCTCATATTCACAGAATTTGAAAACCCCTGCACTAGTATAAGGAATACTTATTCCTTTTTTGGTTAAAAAAGTGTTTATATGTTTTATATTATGGAAATTTCCGTACAGTTTTATTGGCTCTATTACGACCTTATTGCTAGGGGACGAGGGAAGTAAAAATATAAACCCAGGTGCATGAGGTTTAACTAAAAATTGTGGTTTAGTAATTAACAGAGTAAGAAAGAAAAAAAAAAATTTGTCGTGCTGTAAAAAAAAAAAACAGACTAATGAATGCTAAATAAGTACAACAAAAGATAACCTGACTAAAGTTGTACACATTATGAATAACAAAGTGTCTCACCCAAAATCAAAGAACAAAGACACCAGTCAGAATAATCAACTCAAATGAGACACAAAAGAATCGAACAAAACAGAACAGAAACAGCGAGCTGTCACGAGGATGTTCCAGCCACCCCGAGCCCGCAGCAGACGGTCCCGTTTAATAGGCTGCACACACTCAGGTGGAAAGGTGCTGGGCCAGTCCAGCTCCACGATCGTCACAGCCTCATTCTTGAGCTCACAGCTCTTGCGAATCCAGGTCTGGGGCTCGCAGACAGGATTTACATAGAACACAGAATGAATATGAACAAAATGGGCAAAGGCTTGTAACAGTATGGAAGCTTGTCTTCTGCATTTGACCCATCCTTCAATGCCACGGAGCATCACCTCAGGAACACATTTCAGTAACACATTTCATTAATATATATTAATATTAATATTATTTTGTGTCAATCTCCCCCACCCCAGGTGTCAGTGGGCGTCCCAGAGTCCAGTGCTGTTTGTGTAAAGACAGAAGAGTCCTCACTGCTTCAACAAAGACAAACTGAGCTCAGAGAGGAAACACAGGGAGAGGACATCAGCGCAGAGACACATTTACACGGAGAAACTGAGGGAGACACAGAGCACTCCTCTGACACTGATGATGAAGACTGGAGAGCTCCATTCAGCTGTTCAGCTGCACAGATGGAGACAGATGCTGATGGAGACCACGACAACCAAGTCCAGAACTCTGGTCTATACCTCAAATACAAGTCTGCACCAGAGACCAGTGCCACTGTGAACAATGCAGCAGAAGGAGCTGAGAAACCATTCAACTGTTCAACCTGTGAGAAGAGATTTATCTCTAAAGGTCATCTAGATGCACATCTGAGAACGCACACAGGTGAACGGCCTTACAGCTGTTCATTATGTGAGAAGTCGTTTACTCAAAAGAGTAATTTAAATAAACATCTGAGAACGCACACTGGTGAGCGGCCTTACAGTTGTCCATCATGTCAGAAGTCATTTGCCCAAAAGAGTACTTTAAATGAACATCTGAAAACTCACACAGGTGAAAGACCTTACAGGTGTTCATCATGTGAGAAATCATTTGCTCTAAAAAGTACTTTAAATACACATTTGAAAACTCACACTGGTGAAAGACCTTACAGTTGTTCATTATGTGAAAAGTCATTTACTCTAAAGAGTATTTTAAATGCACATCTGAAAACTCACTCAAGTGAAAGACCTTACAGCTGTCCATTCTGCGAGAAGTCATTTGCTCAAAAGGGTAATTTAAATGATCATCTGAGAACGCACACAGGTGAAAGACCTTACAGCTGTTCAATATGTGAGAAATCATTTCCTCAAAAGAGTATTTTAACTGAACATCTGAAAACTCACACAGGTGAGCGGCCTTACAGCTGTCCATCATGTGAGAAGTCATTTGCATTAAAGGGTACTTTAAATACACATCTGAAGACTCACACAGGTGAAAGACCTTACAGCTGTACATTATGTGAGAAGTCATTTGCTCTAAAGAGTACTTTAAATACACATCTGAAAACTCACACAGGTGAAAGACCTTACAGCTGTTCAATATGTGAAAAGTCATTTACTCAAAGGGGTTCTTTAAATGAACATCTGAAAACGCACACAGGTGAAAGACCTTACAGCTGTTCAATCTGTAAAAAAAACTTTACAGATAATTGGAACTTGAAAAGACACATGAGAATTCACAGCACAGAGTGTGACTGAAGTTTTTTGGTTCATGAGATGTTATAAAGAGCCCAGAGTTATGTGTTGGAGTCTGCTGCTGATGACTCAAATACAGAGGTTGGAGGTTAAAGCTCTTGTACTTGATGATAATTAATTAAAAAATAAATGAGAATAGGTATTTTCTCTGTACAGGTTAAAATCTGACTCTACATTTATGACGGTGTTTTCAATGTAATTTCACTTGAAATGAAACTAATGAAACAAGTAAATGTGATATATTGGGATAATATCTTTGTATAGTACTTTCTTTATAATCCTGCATTTGTCTTCTAGATGTACATAGGCTTTTCACCTGTGTGTTATTCTTCCAGTTGCTGAAAAGATTTTTATTTTTATTATAGTTTTTATTTTTGTCTATTTGGCCTTTTTTTTTTTTTTTTTTTTTTACTTTGATATGATAATATGAATTTTACAGATCCATGAAGTGAAAAATCCAAAAATAGTTAAAGCTATTAAAGACAGACTTTGCTCAATATGTCTCTTTTATATTGTTCTTTTCTCATACAAATTGTTGGTGAATTCTTCCATTGTCTTTTTGCACATTTAAGGTTTTGATTGGGACTGTACATACATACAAGCAGAGCGGGCGGTCACTGTTGAGCTCCACACAACTCATGTAACGTCGGTGAAATAGTCTAAATTGTCTACTCTAAATAAATGAGAAGGTTTAACTGCACTATGATGGAAGGAGCACAGATACATGTGTGATGACATTCTGTCTGCACTGACTGCTCTGGAGATGTTACAGACACGGTGTGTTTCTTCAATAGAAGATTCTGATTGGTTCTTTTAGTCTGTGATCATCTCTGTTGCAAATACGACCTTGGTTCACAGGGAACTTGAGTGAGTCTGAAGATCATGCACTCTGCATCTAAGACAAAGGCAAAAAGACTAGTTCATGTGTGGAGTATGTTTACATTTCTTGTACATGTTACAGGCATCTATAGAATGTCTAAGACCTTTAAACAAAGTAGAGAATATTGATTCATTTCCTACCTGGTCATTTTGGGCAGAATGTCTACAAGTCATTTCTATTCAGTCTACACTCCATAAAAGTACTATTTATGTCACCACAAATGTACCCTTAATATGCTTATATTTCTTGTACATGCACATAAAGAATAAGCATAAAGTGATCTCAGACTTTTGAGAAATGCAGCGGTACTAGTATATTATAAAGTCTGAGGAGGAGCCACCGTGATGAGCATTTTAGGAGTTTTAACATCCTGACCAGTGGGGGCAGTAATGCACTGACCGTGTCTACTCTGCTGCACACAAAGCAGGAAGCAGACCGCCGAGCTTCGTGTGCGGTTAGCTCGGAGCTAAAGCTAAAAACAGTTTGTTAAAATGTCCAAAAGCCAAACACTGAGAGCTTTGGTGAATGAGCGGCTGACTGCGGCTGCTGAAGAGATCTTTGCGCTGTTTGAAAGAACGATAGCGGAGTATGAGGAGGAAGTGTGTCGCTCCAAAGAGGAGAACCAGAGGAAACAGGAGCTCCTGGACTCGATACTGAGCCCCTCAAAGAGTCCTGGCCCCGGTCTGAACCAGGACCCTCCACACACTCCACGGATTAAAGAGGAGCCACAGGAGCCAGAGGAGCTGAGCGTCAAACAGTACAGGATAGTACAGGTGAGATTTATTTATGTCTAGGATGAAGTTGGATAAAACAGACCAACTAAGGTTGGAGGGGCGCAGCTTGTGTGTCAGTATTTCATGTCATATGTTTATTTATCAGGACCATGTACAGTTACATTAATCATGAAACCAGAATGAAACAAATGTCTGTCTCTGGTCCGTGAGGGACTTTACAATAGACCTCAATATTCAGTCTTTGATCCAAGATGGCGTCACTACGGATGCCCTGGAGTTTTGGTTTACGATATTGTTCTGTTCAGGAGACTTTGATTTTGAGAACAAGCTTTAATGCCAGTCTCTTTTAGTCTGAATGTTACATGCGGTACAACACGTCCCGCTCACCGTACGTACATCTGTAATGATACTACGGCTGCCTGTGTGTAATAACATTAATACATCACATCCTCCTTTTAAAAAAGTTTTATTTTCACTGTTATTGTTGTTACATTACCACATTTCCCCCAATGTACCCTTTTAAATAGAGTCACCAAATTTTCTAAATCACACACCAGTTTGTGGTGGTTGGCAATAATAACATTGTGAATCGAGTGTGTAATTAAGGAATATTGTTCTGCACTCAGGCCATTCATGAGTAACTTGTGTCAGTATTGACACATTTTCTTTGTGTGAACCATGTAATTGTGTTTTGACAACATCACAGATGCACTTACCATAAAACAGAAGAGTTGAATAAACAGTGTGAAACTTCTATCCACCCAAAAACACATCATGTTTCCAGTGTCTCAAAGTCATTATTCATATTCATAATAATAAATCTACATCCAGTCACAATCTGCAGTGTCCGTGTAAAGTGTAAACAGAAAATATTAACCAAACTCCACCAAAAATCCTCCTCGTTTGTGCATAAAGATGAAGCCAAACGAGTCCACGTGAAGTTCTCCTCGTGGATGAAGTGATTGTGATTGATTGGTCATGGAGATCCCTTTATCTGGAGCTTGTGCATTTGTTATCATCCTGAGATACATGTGTAACAATATTTCTAACAAACTACAACTGAGAAAATGCAGATTTCTGATTAAAATGATGAAATAGTCTGATGTTTTTTTTTTTTAGGGGACTCCAAATATTAATATCAATACTATGGTTTTGTCTTTATTCTCCACTCCAGGTCTCAGTGGGCGTCCCAGAGTCCAGTGCTGTCTGTGTGAAGACAGAAGAGTCCTCACTGCTTCAACAAGGACGAACTGAGCTCAGCGAGGAAACACAGGGAGAGGACATCAGCGCAGAGACACATTTACAGTCCTCTCACACTGATGATGAAGACTGGAGAGCTCCACCCAGGTGTTCAGCTGCACAGATGGAGACAGACGCTGATGGAGACCACGGTAACCAAATCCAGAAAGGACAAAGGCTGAGAGTTTTAGTGAAGGAGATCTTTGCGCTGTTTGAAAGAACGATAGCGGAGTATGAGGAGGAAGTGTGTCACTCCAAAGAGGAGAACCAGAGGAAACAGGAGCTCCTGGACTCGATACTGAGTCCCTCAAAGAGTCCTGGCCCCGGTCTGAACCAGCACCCTCCACAGATTCCACGGATTAAAGAGGAGCCACAGGAGCTGAGCGTCAAACAGGAGGAACACACGCTCCTAGTACAGGTGAGATTTATTTATGTCTAGGATGAAGTTGGGGAAAACAGACCAACTAAGGTTGGAGGGGCGCAGCTTCTGTGTCAATATTTCATGTCATATATTTATTTATTAGGGCCATGTACAGTTAGAATAAGTTTTTGCGTACAGGTCAGGATGATCAAACAAAGACATGTAAATGGAAACACAAAGGCACCTGTAGCCATCCTGTGAGACTAAAGGATTAGAGCAGACATGTCAGACTCAGGCCCTCGGACCAAATTTTGCCCACAATATAATTATATTTCAACTGCGAAATCATATCAAACATGAATTAGAGCTGTCCACCGGCTACAGATAGATGATAGAGACATTATTTATTTAAAATATAGTTTTTTTATTTTATATTCTGTTTGTTCTGCATTCAATGTTTAAGCAAAACTATTATTAAACATTTACTTTAATAAGAAAAGGTTTAACATTACATATATTGAAAGAAGAGAAAACATGCAGATGCTGTTGAAATGTTTCAATAAATATTTAGTTGGGCCCACAACTTAGTCCCAGTTTTTAATTTTGGTCTCTGTGAATTTGAGTTTGACACCCCTGGAGACAGCCCCTAGACAAACAACAGTGTGGCTTTTTCACTTCTTACAGTGTATCCTGGATGACGGAAAACTTTACAACAGACTCAGTGTTCACACTCACACATTTAGAATAAAAGGTTTTATTCAAGTCCTTCACACATCGCCTGTAGGCCTAGATATTGTAGTCATTATTATAATTTAAATCCATTTAATTTGTCTGTATTGTCATTGTCATTAAAAAATTTGTATTAATTATTATTTATTAAAACCTATGTTTATGGCTAAAATAGGTTCTGCAGTATCACACATTTCCTGCATTTTAGTGTGAGCCAAAATAACCGTGGTGAAGTTGGATACTGCACATATGACAGATATTCTGATTTCCAGTTTCATTAGGGGTTTTTCTTCTACAGTTTTTAGGGCAATTGACCCAGTTACCCCATTTGACCCCAAACCATGTCAGAATATCACTACTGCCTCAGGGCTCTGGGGCTCAGCAGGCCAACCCAATACCCTTCAATTTATAACAGAAAATGTACAAATGAGAGCTGTGTCTTTTTATATTTGAAGGAGAGGGAACATTCTCTTATGCAGAGAATATATGTGTTAGGGCCATTTGCTGATTTGATGTCTTCTGGTCACGGTGCTCCCTTCATCTGGTGGCTGTGCATTTGTTATCAAACTGAGATTGATAAATGTATAATAATATTTCTAACAAACCTCAACCAAGAAAATTACACAAACATTTAGCACATTTCTGATTGAAATCAAGAAATATTCTGTAATATTAATATTATTTTGTGTCAATCTCCCCCACTCCAGGTCTCAGTGGGCGTCCCAGAGTCCAGTGCTGTTTGTGTGAAGACAGAAGAGTCCTCACTGCTACAACAAAGACAAACTGAGCACAGAGAAGAAACACAGGGAGAGGACATCAGCGCAGAGACACATTTACACGCAGAGACTGAGGGAGACACAGAACACTCCTCTGACACTGATGAAGACTGGGGAGCTCTATTCAGCTGTTCAGCTGCACGGATGGAGACAGACGCTGATGGAGACCATGACAACCAAGCCCAGATCAGAGCCAGAAGCTCTGCTGCACAAAACTCAGGTCTATCCCCCAAATACAAGTCTGCACCAGAGACCAGTGCTGCTGAGAACAATGGAGACATGTCAGGAACAGCTGAAAGGGTTGAGAAACCATTCAGCTGTTCAACCTGTGAGAAGAGATTTATCTCTAAAGGTCATCGAAATGATCATCTGAGAACTCACACAGGTGAACGTCCTTACAGCTGTTCATTATGTGAGAAGTCATTTACGCGAAAGAGTATTTTAAATAAACATCTGAGAACACACACAGGTGAAAGACCTTACAGCTGTCCATCATGTGAGAAGTCATTTGCCCAAAAGAGTACTTTAAATGAACATCTGAAAACTCACACAGGTGAACGACCTTACAGCTGTTCATTTTGTGAGAAGTCATTTGCTCTAAAGAGTACTTTAAATACACATTTGAAAACGCACACAGGTGACAGGCCTTACAGCTGTACATTCTGCGAGAAGTCATTTATACTAAAGAGTATTTTAAATGATCATCTGAGATCGCACACAGGTGAAAGACCTTACACCTGTTCAATATGTCAGAAGTCATTTGCTCTAAAGACTACTTTAAATGCACATGTGAAAACTCACTCAAGTGAGAGACCTTACAGCTGTCCATTCTGCAAGAGGTCATTTACTCAAATGGGTTCTTTAAATCATCATCTGAAAACGCACAAGTGAAAGTGTGATCTCTTACAAATTGTTGGTTAATTCTTCCAGTGTCTTTTTGCACTTTTAAGGTTTTGAGTGGGACTGTACATAAATTTCATTTTAGTGTTGCTCCAATCTTTTTTTTTTTTTTTTTTTTTATTGTTTTATTGAACATATCACATGGATATTGGTTAGCACGTAGCTGTTTTACCTCTATGATGTCTTTGAACTATTGATATTAGAATTTTCTTAATGGGAAAAAATCAACGGAAATGTTATGAAATAGTGGGACATTGTCTAAATAAGTGTAGTGATGGACAGGGACTAAATAAGAAGGTTTAACTGCACTTTGATGGAAGAAGCACAGATACATGTGTGATGACATTCTGTCTGCACTGACGGCTCTGAAGATGTTACAGACATGGTGTGTTTCTCCAATACAAGATTCTGATTGGTTCTTTTAGGCTGTGATCATCTCTTTGTTGCACATACGACCTTGGTTCACAGGGAACTTGAGTGAGTCTGAAGATCGTGCACTCTGCATGTAAGACTAAGGCAAACAGACTAGTTCATGTGTGGAGTACATTTACATTTCTTGTACATGTTACAGGCATCTATAGAATGTCTAAGACCTTTAAACAAAGTAGAGAATATTGATTCATTTCCTACCTGGTCATTTTAGGCAGAATGTCTACGAGTCATTTCTATTCAGTCTACACTCCATAAAAGTATTGATTGTTTATGTCACCTCAGATGTACTTTATCCTTCAGAAAGTTTGAAAAAACCTGATCACATACTGAAAATTGTGGGTTTCACTGTTTGGTTCTGGGGTCAATAATCATGAATAATTGTTAAATCGTGGTGTTTTTTTCCTCACAATAACCACAATACTAAAACATGACCTGGTGACATTCATACTTGCTGCTAGTGTGACGCCCACAATGTGTGGTCGCATAATTTTTATTTAATGTAATGAAATTTTGTAAATGATAAATAGTGGTGTTTTATTTTTAAAGACGAACAATTGCAATTACAATTTTGTCCACCAGATGGCAGCACACACAGTGAGACGGTTTGAAAGGCTCTGGATTCTGCTTCCGGTTAATCGGCAGTAACAGAAACTAACGTCTCCGTCTCATTTTGTTTATTTGAGGTTGGTGCAGTCCCACGAAGAATAATTCTGACTCCTACGAAGTCATAAAAGAATAACTTTTGTTATAACATTCGGTAGTTAAAGTTAGACATCTGCTGTCTGAATCGTTCCCTTAAAATGTGTTATTATCGCGCTGTGCTAACTCCCGCGCTGGCGTTAGCCTAGCACTTGTTTGTCCCGCTCCAGTCAAACTTTATATTTGTTATTGTCATTTTTTTATTATATTGTTATTTTGTGAATATGTGAATGTTCTACTACAGTTAAAACAAAAGGTGCATTTCTAAAAAGTGATGTCAGAACAAGTATGCTATCCTGCTAGATTAAAATCATTTTCTAACATCTTTTTGAATTTGGAATTAACAGTAAAATTTAGATTATTAGGCAATAAACATTTTTTATTAATAGTCATGGTTTTATTTAAGGAGAACAATGGAAACTTAAACTCTTATTACAGAATGGAAAGAAGAGAGAAGAATATTGTATATAAATGTAATTTCTTTGTAAATTGTCATTTTTTTGTATTGTGCTCATGTACGATTAAAGTTAATCAGCATAAGCAGAAGCCAAGGCAACACAAAATAACATTTCCGTCTCATTTTGTTTATTTCAGTGCCTACCTCTCCTCACACAAATATTACAACCAGAGATGTCAAACATACGGCCCAGGGGCCGGATCCGGCCGTTCAAAACTTTTAATCTGTCTGATTTTTCTACTAAAATATTTGAATGATATTTTCTATTAAAGTATTGGTCATTTTCTGTGGTGTTTATCACAGCAGCGTCTCCAGCGTCTCTGTACGTGGCCCCTCCCACCAGAGCAGCACAAATGAAGACTTGTCTCTTTCCAAACGCTCTTAAAGGACGATCGTTTTGACTGTTGACCGTGACACCCTCATCAGAAAAATGTCCAACATGAGAAAAGTGGACGCCAATGCAGGATTTTCTAAGAAAAATTTACTTTAAAATGACTACCTATTTGCATATAAGTTAATGTTAATACATTGTGTTGAATTTGCATTTTTAAGTTTCAGATTGTTCATAACTTATTGCTATTTTTGGGGTATATATGTGCAGTGTTGGGAGTAATGTATTATAAAAGTAATGTATTACAGTAATGCGTTGATTTTTGCTGTAACGCAGTAATGTAAGGCATTACAGGGGGAAAAATTGTAATATTTTACTCGGTACAAATGTGAGTAACGCGCGTTACAATGCTTTTTTAACCTGGATTGAAGTGGTGGGTTTTTCTTCATAGAAATTCGCTAAAATCACCGTGAAATCAGCAGCGGTGAAACGCCGGAGACGCGGCCGGATAGACCTTCAGTTAACCGCGGGTGAAAGGACCAACCCAGAACTCTACGCTGTTTAGACCTGGTTTAGACCTGGGTCAGTTCTGGTTTAGACCTGGCTTACACTCGTCCCTCGCTCTAACGCGATTCACTTTTCGCGGTCTCGCTGTTTCGCTGATTTTTAGAATTTTTTTTTGTGTGCAATTTTGCAGCCTTTTGTTTTTAGTGTATGAACACGTATTGCGTTCCTCCCGCTGTGTCCTGATTGGCTGAGGGACTCCTGTCTCCTGTACAGTACAGAATATGTTCAGCTGCCAAATTTAAATAAATGTTCAATCTCTAGCAGTGTGATTCTGAAGTGCTGTATGTCTGCAAGTTTTCTCTCCGACAAAATCCACAACGTCGACGAAATGTTCTGCACCGACAAAGTCTCCTGCGCTCACACCCAAAAGACAGAGGACGATGCAAACCATCGCACAAAAAGTTGGACTTCTGGACACGTTGAAGGAAGGTAGAAGTTACGCGCTGTAGCAGAGTTTTGCACCGGGTCTTGTACCCGCAAATAGTTGCTGAAATCAGAACCGTGAGCCCGAGCAGCAGGGTCCATAAAGAGCGATCGGGCGACAGCCGCTCTTACCTCCATGAGGTGCGGAGCAGAGCCGCTCCTTTCTCCTGCGGTCACCTTCGAGCCCATCCTGACAGTGAGTCCTGTTTTAGTCCTAGTTCAGTTCTGGTTTAGTCCTCCTCTTCAGTCCTGGAATCAGTCTGAGGTTAGTCCTGTTATAGTCCTGGTTTAGTCCTGGTTCAGCTCTGGTTTAGTCCTGGTTTAGACCTTGTTTAGTCCTGGTTCAGTCCATATACGGCTCAAAAGTTCAGCTTTTTCGCAGTTATTTTGGTGAGAGTAACTTAAAGTAATGCAATAGTAATGTAATGCCTTAGATTTTAAATGCAGTAATATTGTAATGTAACGAATTACTTTGAAATTACAGTAATAAGTAATAAATAACGCATTACAGTTTTAAAGTAACTTGCCCAACAGTGCATATGTGAAGCCAGGGTTACAGAGCACACTGTACTTCAAATTTTGGGGTTCTATATTTCTCCTTCTCTTCACTAGTTCAGAAACAGAACCAACCGGCGTTATTACAGCGTTATCACTAAAATAACTGTACACAAAGCATCCACACAGAATGACAGTGGCACCTCTGAAAGAGGATAAAAAATAAACACATTTCAATATTATTTCACAGAACACAAACAATAAACAGTATCTCATTGTATAGCCATTTTCTTACCGATATGGTCGAGTATGAACTTTTGTGGCCTAAACAAATCTTTCTCCAGCAAAACATAGAACCCTTCTGATGATTTCTCAACTGCAAGTGAGCGAGACTGTCGTCACCTTTCAACGTTTGCGTAAAGCCATACAGCACCCAACAACAAAAAATGTACAGGATTTACATTACAATATAAAATTTTTCACAGGTACCCCATTTTTCAACTGGTTACATATGCCATGAGTTTTCTGATCCTGCCCCTTTGGGATCAAAGTAGGTTGGATAAGGCCCCTGGACCAAAATGAGTTTGTCACCCCTCCCCTGATTTAAACTGTTAGCAGTGATTGTTCCTCTTCAGTACCTGCTACACTAGTCACAGTCCAACTGTACATTCAAGCTTTGTGACGAGGTCTATAATTCCCTCTTGGATTACAAAAATAGCGTTTCTCATTTAATTTGCAATAACATCCATCAATAAAACCTGTCACAGTTTCCCTAAAGATTCTATAGAAAACCTGAATGATCAGATTTGCCTGTAACATATATGCGCATAAAGAATAAGCATAAAGTAATCACAGACTTTTGAGAAATGCAGTGGTACTAGTATATTATAAAGTTTGAGGAGGAGCCACTGTAATGAGCATTTTAGGAGTTTAACATCCTGACCAGTGGGGGCAGTAATGCACTGACCCTGTCTACTCTGCTGCACACAAAGCAGGAAGCAGACCGCCGAGCTTCGTGTGCGGTTAGTTCGGAGCTAAAGCTAAAAACATTTTGTTAAAATGTCCAAAAGCCAAACACTGAGAGCTTTGGTGAATGAGCGGCTGACTGCGGCTGCTGAAGAGATCTTTGCGCTGTTTGAAAGAACGATAGCGGAGTATGAAGAGGAAGTGTGTCGCTCCAAAGAGGAGAACCAGAGGAAACAAGAGCAACTGGACTCGATACTGAGCCCGAGAGTCGTGCTGCTCAGGACGGGTGTTCAGATCCCCTCAAAGAGTCCTGGCCCCGGTCTGAACCAGGACTCTCCACAGACTCCACGGATTAAAGAGGAGCCAGACCCAAGGATCAAACAGGAGGAGCACACGCTCCTAGTTCAGGTGGGATTTATTTATGTCTAGTATGAAGTTGGGTAAAACAAACCAACAAAGGTTGGAGGGGCGCAACTTCTATATTAATATTTCATGTCATATATTTATTAATCAGAACCATGTACAGTTACAGTAAACTTGAAAACAAATATTTGTACCACCAAACTGTAATAGCTCGTTTACATCTCTTGTCCTTGAGAGGTCGAAATGATCTGTAAACACTTTTCTGAGCTTCCATGTGGATGCTGTAGAGCCCCCAAATGTCGTCACAGACCAAATATGACCTTTTTGGCCCCTTCTTTGGACCCTTAGTTCCCCATGTGGGCACAGTTAGACTTGATGTCTTCTGGTCACAGCGCTCCCTTCATCTGGAGGCTGTGCATTTGTTATCACACTGAGATTGATAAATGTATAACAACATATCTAAAAAACCTCAGCCAAGAAACACATTACACAAACATTTAGCACATTTCTGATTGAAATCAAGAAATATTCTGAATATGGTTTTCAAGTGGGTCAAAATATGAATATTATTTTGTATCAATCTCCCCCACCCCAGGTCTCAGTGTGCGTCCCAGATGTTGTTGATGATGATGATGATGATAATGAGTCAGTTCTGTGTGTCGTTGGAGATGGTTCGTGTTTTCAGAGATCAGACATGTGCAGGTTTAGCGCAGCTCCTTATTGAACACTCATTTCACTCACTTTATTTATGTTGGTCACTTTATTTATTTTGGCTACTGTTGTGATGAAAAAACTGAAAATGTCTTTTGGAAGCATGTGTACTTAACTGTTGTAGTAACCGGGATACTGCGTTTACATGCACTATGACGAAACCGGGATACTCAAAAAACTTTTTCGATCAATACTTTTCAAGTTACAGCTCATTTAGTGAGGGAGGTATGTGTCAGTTTACGGGCCCAAAATCACATAATTTTTGTCTTGGCTGTTTTCACTGGTCGATATCTCCGTAAGTATCACACATAGAGGGCTGAAATTTTGTAGGCTTGTACTCCTCTACTCTGTGTTCAAATAACATCTATCGAAAGTTTGGTATCTCAACTCATTGTCATTTTATATGAACTTAAAATGAAAAAAAAAAAAAAAAAAAAAAAAATTCATTTCCATAGCTTACCATTTTTAGCCCCTTTTTTAAACTCTACTTGTAGGTGTAGTAGACCCTTAATTTTTTTTTAGAATCAAGATATGTATTAGGACTTAAAAAAAAAAAAAATCACCAAATATTGAAAATTTGAAGTAGATTATGTGTGAGGGTCCTGTTAAAAACAAGAAAATGTAAGATGGTCCGATTTTCACATGTAATTTATGGCATGTGGGTAGTGATATTTATTTATTTTTTGAATAATTTTAGTATGAAAGACCAAAAAAAGACTTTTAATATGGTACCAAAGATATGTATTTTATGAAGCTCCTTCAATTTTTAAATAAAGGTATTTTTTTGAGAACCATTTCATTGATCCATATTTTAAAATAACTGTAAATAACATCACTATTCACCAAAGCAAGTTGTGGTTTATAAACATTTATTGACCAAGTTAATCAGGCAGCATTCAAATAGGAAATATGCAAATTAGTGTGGTCTTCTCTAAACAAAACATTTACAAATCAATATGCAAACAACATTCACAATATTCACAGCATGAACAATTTACATCATTCCTCTTTCTGTTGAGAAAGTCGTCTGTTTTATCAAACAGAAATGTCTTCTGTTTGTATCTTGGTCATTGCTTCTTTCTTTGCTGAAAGAAACTCTGTGGTTCTTTGAGAGAAGTCAAATCCAAAATTTTGACTGTGTCCAACTTGTATCCATAATCTTATATCCATTACCATGACAATGGTACTTCACCATTGTGATAATAATATTTCTAACAAACCTCAGCCAAGAAAATGAAAGAAACATTTAGCACATTTCTGACTTGAAATCAAGAAATATTCTGTAATATTAATATTATTTTGTGTCTATCTTCCCCACTCCAGGTCTCAATGGGCGTCCCAGAGTCCAGTGCTGTCTGTGTGAAGACAGAAGAGTCCTCACTGCTTCATCAAAGACAAACTGAGCTCAGAGAGGAAACACAGGGAGAGGACATCAGCACAGAGACACATTTACATTCAGAGACTGAGGAAGACACAGAGTGCTTCTCTGACACTGACAGTGATATAGACTGGAGAGCTCCATTCAGTTGTTCAACTGCACAGATGGAGACAGACGCTGATGGAGACCACGACAACCAAGTCCAGACCAGTGCCAATGTGAACAATGGAGACATGTCAGTAACAGCCAAAAGAGCTGAGAAACCATTCAGCTGTTCAACCTGTGAGAAGAGATTTATCTGTAAAAGTTATTTAGATGCACATCTGAGAACGCACACAGGTGAACGGCCTTACAGCTGTCCATCATGTGAGAAGTCATTTGCCCGAAAGGGTAATTTAAAAGCACATCTGAAAACTCACACTGGTGAAAGACCTTACAGCTGTTCAATATGTGGGAAGGCATTTACGCAAAAGTATACTTTAAGTGTACATCTGAGAACTCACACAGGTGAAAAACCTTACAGCTGTTCAGTGTGTGAGAAGTCATTTGCTCAAAAGTGTTCTTTAAATGAACATCTGAAAAAGCACACAGGATATAGATCTTACAGCTGTTCCATCTGTAAAAAAAACTTTATTGATGATTGGAACTTGAAAAGACACATGAGAATTCACAGCACAGAGTGTGACTGAAGTTTTTTGGTTGTGTTCATGAGACGTTTTAAAGAGCCCAGAGTTGTGTATTGGAGTCTGCTACTGATGACTCAAATGCAGATGTTTGGAGCTGTTGTCTGTGGTTAAAGCTCCTGTACCTGATGTTGAACCATAACAGAGAAACAACTCTGAGAGAGTCACAGGCAGCTGCTTCTGCACTTTTACAACACACTGCATGGTGTAAAGGCCCTTCTCCTGAACTCCTCAAAATTCAAAACACAAAATCACTCAACACTAATTAAAAATAAATGAGAATGAGTCCCTTTTTTCTGCAGGTTAAAATTTTACTGTTTTGATGATGGTGTTTTCATTGTAATTTCAGTTATGAAACAAGTAAATGTGATATATTGGGATAATATCTTTGTATAGCACTTTCTTTATAATCCTAGATTTGTCTTTTAGATGCACATAGACCTTTCACCTGTGTGTTATTCTTTCAGCTGCTGAACAGATTTTTATTTATATGGTCTTTATTTTCGTCTGTTTGGCCTTTAAAAAACAAATAAAAAAAACAACAAAAAACAAAGAAACAACTTTGACCCAAAATATCAATGAATTTTACAGACCCATGAAGTGAAAAATCCTAAAATAATTAAAGCTATTAAAGAAAAGACTTTACTCAATATGTCTCTTTTATATTGTTCTTTTCACATACAAATTGTTGGTTAATTCTTCCAGTGTCTTTTTGCACATTTAAGGTTTTGAGTGGGATTGGTGACATGTAGCTGTTTTACGTCTGTGATGTCTTTGAACTATTAATATTAGATTTTTGTTAATGGGAAAAAAAATGAATGGAAATGTTACTTTCAGAAGCAGAGCGGGCGGTCACTGTTGAGCTCCACACAACTCATGTAACATCAGTGAAATAGTCTAAATTGTCTACTCTAAATAAATGAGAAGGTTTAACTGCACTTTGATGGAAGGAGCACAGATACATGTGTGATGACATTCTGTCGGCACTGACTGCTCTGGAGATGTTACAGACACAGCGTGTTTCTCCAATACAAGATTGTGATTGGTTCTTTTAGGCTGTGATCATCTCTTTGTTGCACATATGACCTTGGTTCACAGGGAACTTGAGTGAGTCTGAAGATCGTGCACTCTGCATCTAAGACAAAGGCAAACAGACTAGTTCATGTGTGGAGTACGTTTACATTTCTTGTACATGGCATAAAAAATAAGCATGAAGTGATCACAGACTTTTGACAAATGCAGTGGTACTAGTATACTATAAAGTTTGAGGAGGAGCCACTGTGATGAGCAATTTAGGAGTTTAACATCCTGACCAGTGGGGGCAGTAATGCACTGACCGTGTCTACTCTGCTGCACACAAAGCAGGAAGCAGACCGCCGAGCTTCGTGTGCGGTTAGCTCGGAGCTAAAGCTAAAAACAGTTTGTTAACATGTCCAAAAGCCAAACACTGAGAGCTTTGGTGAATGAGCGGCTGACTGCGGCTGCTGAAGAGATCTTTGCGCTGTTTGAAAGAACGATAGCGGAGTATGAGGAGGAAGTGTGTCGCTCCAAAGAGGAGAACCAGAGGAAACAGGAGCTCCTGGACTCGATACTGAGCCCCTCAAAGAGTCCTGGCCCCGGTCTGAACCAGGACCCTTCACACACTCCACGGATTAAAGAGGAGCCACAGGAGCCACAGGAGCTGAGCGTCAAACAGTACAGGATAGTACAGGTGAGATTTATTTATGTCTAGGATGAAGTTGGATAAAACAGACCAACAATGGTTGGAGGGGCGCAGCTTCTGTATTAATATTTCATGTCATGTATTTATTTATCAGGACCATGTACAGTTACATTAATCATGAAACCAGAATGAAACAAATGTCTGTCTCTGGTCCGTGAGGGACTTTACAATAGACCTCAATATTCAGTCTTTGATCCAAGATGGCGTCACTACGGATGCCCTGGAGTTTTGGTTTACATTTTTGTTCTGTTCAGGAGACTTTGATTTTGAGAACAAGCTTTAATGCCAGTCTCTTTTAGTCTGAATGTTACATGCGGTACAACATGTCCCGCTCACCGTACGTACATCTGTAATGATACTACGGCTGCCTGTGTGTAATAACATCACATACTCTTTTAAAAAAAGTTTTATTTTCACTGTTATTGTTGTTACATTACCGCATTTCCCCCAATGTACCCTTTTAAATAGAGTCACCAGATTTTCAAAATCAAAGACTGGGACACCCACAGTTTGTGTTGATTGGTAATAATAAAATTGTGAATCGAGTGTGTAATTAAGGAAAATTGTTCTGCACTCAGGCCATTCATGAGTAACTTGTGTCTGTATTGACACATTTTCTTTGTGTTTTGGTCATTTTAAAACTTTTCTGTATTTTACCAAACCAAATGAGAATGTATGCCTCTGTTTACTGTTGGCATCAAACTGTTTAAAAAGATGGACACTGAGGATATTTCTTAAATAAAATTGGGACAAATCAATGGTTTTGTATAAATCCACTGGGACAGGGGACACGGGGCTCAAATCTGGGACTATCTCAGGAAACAGGGACGTCTGGTCACTCTTCTTTTAAATAAAGTGCAAACTTTTTTTTTCAAACCTTCCAACAAATAAAGTGTGTTGCAAATTTAGCTTTTATCTCAAAACCTTATTCACAGAAACTGTCTCAGACTTCTCTTGACTGTAAGCACAGTAATAGTCACATTCCTCTTTGTATGTAGCAGGTAGTTTTACTGCTCTACCACATCTGCTTTTGTGTGGGAGTGCATCAGGGTTCACATGAACAGTCTGTGAATCATGTGCATCAACGGGTTGATCAGGTGAATCAGTTTGAAAAATCTCTGAATTGCTTCTTTGTATTTGAGAGTCCATTTCCAGATTAAACCTAGTTTCCGTAGAGCCGATGTGGGGCGGTACGGTACAGACCCTGAGTGTTTCCACTACATAAAGCAATACGTGCTGCCCACTTTTATGAGTCCAAAGCGGACCGCTGAAGGTACGACCTTCCAAAAGGTTCTGACCCTATTGGGACTCAGGGGAGAAACACACACAGTCACAATCACTGGAGAACCAGCTGCACGCCCAAAGTGACGCACGGTGGCTGAGTGGCTAGCACTCATGCCTCACAGCAAGAAGGTTCCGGGTTCGATCCCTGGGTCACCCGGGGCTTTCTGTGGATGGGTTTCCTCCGGGCACTCCGGTTTCCCCCATCAACCCAAAACATGCTACAGGTCTCCATGAACAGTTGAGTGTCAAGGTCAGTTAAATACAATCAATCAATGAATCTGTCCAGGGACTACAGGTGGAAATTAGCACTGATGCTACAACCTGATGTACAATGCATCTCTCCTGTTAAGGTAAAATGCAAAAATTGTGTGCTGTCCCTGTCTCAAATAAAAACAAAACAAAAACACGTGAATAATGTGAACTAATTGTTTTTTAACAACAGCACAGATGCACTGTGCACATCTCCAGTGTCTCAAAGTCAAAGTGTTATTCATAATAATAAATCCACATCCAGTCACAGTCTGCATTGTCCGTGTAAAGTGTAAACAGAAAATATGAGCCAAACTCCACCAAAAATCCTCCTCGTTTGTGCATAAAGATGAAGCCAAATGAGTCCACGTGAAGTTCTCCTCGTGGATGAAGTGATTGTGATTGATTGGTCATGGAGATCCCTTTATCTGGAGCTTGTGCATTTGTTATCATCCTGAGATACATGTGTAACAATATTTCTAAAAAACTACAACTGAGAAAATGCAGATTTCTGATTGAAATGATGAAATATTCTGATGATTGTTTTCAGGAGAGTCCTAATATTAATATCAATACTATGTTTTTGTCTTTATTCTCCACCCCAGGTCTCAGTGGGCGTCCCAGAGTCCAGTGCTGTCTGTGTGAGGACAGAAGAGTCCTCGCTGCTTCAACAAAGACAAACTGAGCTCAGAGTTGAAACACAGGGAGAGGACATCAGCGCAGAGACACATTTATACTCAGAGACTGAGGGAGACACAGAGTACTCCTGTGACATGGGCAGTGATGAAGACTGGAGAGTTCCACCCAGGTGTTCAGCTGCACAGATGGAGACAGACGCTGATGGAGACCACAACAACCAAGTCCAGAAAGGACAAAGGCTGAGGGCTTTAGTGAATGAGATCTTTGCGCTGTTTGAAAGCACGATAGCGGAGTATGAGGAGGAAGTGTGTCACTCCAAAGAGGAGAACCAGAGGAAACAGGAGCTCCTGGAATCGACGCTGAGCCCCTCAAAGAGTCCTGGCCCCGGTCTGAACCAGGACCCTCCACAGACTCCACAGATTAAAGAAGAGCCAGAGGAGCTGAGCATCAAACAAGAGGAAGACGCACTCCTAGTACAGGTGGGATTTATTTACACTATTGTCTCGGGTGAAATTTACTAAAATGGACCACAGAAGGTCTCATTTTCATCTCCAGTCCTTGGGAGGGACTGAACATCAGACTCACTATTCACATTCTCACAAATTTAGCATCATCATCATGTTTGTAATACATCTCATGGAGGAATCGCTCAAAGGTCTGCAACCTTTAACAACAAAAGAGCCACACTGGCCTGATTCAAACTAAATTTAAGTCCTAAAGCACTGCAACTATTTGATCCACAAAATTAAGTGACAAACTTAATTTATTTTCATTAAAAAAGACACAGGCCAACGGTTTGTTGTTAATAGTATGAATTAAAAACAAATATTTTACACTCAGTCCTGTCCTTTAGTCTGACAGCAGGTGATGGCATCAGCGGCACAAGGAGTGTGCTGATTTTTAGGTTTATAGTAGTTAGGGGTGGCACGGTTCACAAAATTTGGTTCATATTGCGATTTAAGGTCGCGGTTTTCGGTTTGGTACGGTTCTTGTTGTCATTTTTTCTTTTTAATATTTAATGACCAGAAATATACTTCATCATATGCTATGTTAGCTCAATTATCCACAATTTAGGACACAGCATTAAAAAAGTTATAAAATTATAGTTAGCAAAGTAATCATGCACAAACTGAATTTGACTTGACTTTAAAACCCTCTCGAGGCAGATGTTGCAGATTTGCAACAGCTAAATTCCAATTACCTAATTTCTCCACATCCATATTTTATGAGCCTTTTTTACTCAGGAGTACCACTGCAGGACTTAGTTGTGCATTAGCAACAAACAGTTTCCCAATTGCTCACCAGATGGCAGCGCTGTCTCTCTTCCAACATGTCTGCCTGCTTGGTTTCACTGAAACGGATTTTCTAGGCATCAAGTTCATGTGAGTATCACTACCAGCCTCCATTAATTTGAAACCAAAACTGCATAAGATAAATCATGAATATATATAGATGTTGCAGATTTGACCAATGGATGCCACGTGCTTTATCTACTAGTTTGCCCATATTTTGAGGAACAGTTTATTCTAGGGTTATTTTCCTATCACTATTGTTTACTTATTACTTTGAGGTGTCATTGAGGGTATATCCTATGGAAAATGAAATAATTTGGAGTGAAGTTACAAACTATCAGAAGCAGATTTGAAAAAAGTAATGGCATATATGATGTCCATTTGACTGCAGTGAGGAAAACTGATGTAGCCTAAATTCCATGGCACATATAATAGTATAGATCTTTGTTTGACTGAGCTTTTTTTTGGCAAACTATCTTACAGAATACTTTCTTTGCAGGATTTGCAGTGCGTTATGGCAGGCCAACGAAGAATTTCAGTCAGGGAAGCCATTGAGATGGTTTGCCTTCCACATGGGGCTTTATCTGACACAGAATCCATTTCAGACGATGAAATTGGCGATCCAGTATACGAGTCTGACCTTGATGATGATGAGCCACTGGCAGCAATAGCAAGAGCTATTTCCAACCACCTTGATGTTGAAATTCATAATGTACATGCAGACAGTGACACTGAGCTCCTAGATGACGATGAACCTCAGCCAGGCCCAGCTCCAGTAAACAAAGAGTTTTCTTGGAGTCAGAGGAAACCCCCAGCAGCTGACATAGACTCTTCATTCCAAGGACCTGCGTTCTCACCTCCACCAGATGAAATACCAAGTCCAAAGTGGTATTTTGATCAGTTCATGGACAAATCCGTGTTCGAATATATTTCTCACCAATCTAACCTGTATGCATTTATGAATGGGACAGAACTGAAAACAACCCCATCTGAAATGGAGCAATTCATTGGTTTACACATCTTGATGACCGTAGTGCGTATGCCATCGTACCGCCTGTACTGGCAGACGGCAACACGCTACGACCCAATTGCAACAGTCATGGGACGTAAGCGATTTGATCATCTGCGAACGTACATCCACATGAATGACAATACCAATGTGAAGCAAAAGGGTGAGCCTGGATACGATCCATTGTTCAAGGTGCGACCAGTACTTGAGAAAGTCCGTGCCAACTGTTTGAAAGTTGAACCGGAAGAAAACCACTCCATTCGTGAGCAGATGATCCCCTTCAAAGGAAAGATTGGAATAAAACGGTATATCAAGAACAAGCCGAAAAAATGTGGAATCAAGGTCTTTACTCGTGCAGGTGTCACTGGACTAGTCTATGACTTTGAAATATACACTGGAAAAGGGACTGTGACCAATGAGCGTGGACTTGGTGTTGCCGGTGAAGTTGTGCTTCGTCTCGTATCAGAAGTTCCAAAAGGACTAAACTACAAGTGCTACTTTGACAACTGGTTTACTTCCCCTGAACTCATTGTGGAACTGAAGAAAATGGGAATTCTAACAGTTGCTAGTATCAATCATAACCGTCTCTGTGGATGTACCCTCAAAAGTGACAAGGAACTGTCAAAGGCTGGGCGTGGTGCGTATGAAGTGAAATACGAAATGACAAGTGGGATGGTCATTGTGAAGTGGTATGATAACAAGGCAGTGTTACTGGTGTCATCCTTCATTGGCCCTGATCCTGTTGATAGATGCAGAAGGTGGTCGAAAGAGAAGAAGGAATATGTGGTAGTGGACCGACCACACATTGTCAAGGTGTACAACAACAACATGGGAGGAGCAGACTTGGCAGACATGTTTGCAGCTCTCTATCGCATTGACATCCGTCCACGTCGTTGGTATCTGCGCATTTTGTTCTACTTGATTGACCTATCACTGGTCAATGGCTGGCTCCTCTACCGCCGTCATCTCACCCAGAAGCAGGAGAAGAAGTATATGCCGTTTCTTGACTTCCGTGCTCAAGTTGCAGATGCCCTCATCAAGGTTGGAAAACAGGCTGACTTGAACTGCAGGAAAAGAGGACGATCGTCATTCGAAGATGCTCCAGAACTCTATCAAGATGCCCCACCTCCACCTCCCCTTCAGAGAATCATTGCGCCATGGGATGTCGTCAGACTAGACAGATTCGATCATTTTCCCATCCATGCTGATAAACGTGGGCGATGCAGACTGTGCAAGAACGGCTACACGCAAACGGCCTGCCTGAAGTGCAAAGTACTTTTATGCTTTACAAAGGAAAAAAATTGTTTCTTGGAGTACCACACGAAAAAGTGATCTATACCAAGTTGTTTTTTATTGTTGTTCCTCCACTGTAAAGCACTTTGAAACATTGTTTTGAAAAGTGGTGTACAAATAAAGTTAGTGTGCATGTCATATTCAGTCTTGTTACGTGTGTTCTATCAAAAATTACTACAATCAATCAATTTAAATCACAAAAAATGTATTTCCTTTCCAATACAATTCTAATACAGAGCTCTGGGTCAAATCGCTGCCCCTAACGGCCTACATCTACACAGGATTTAAATCATCTGATCTGAACGCCTGTGTTTCTCTCAACCCAGAGATATGAAGCAACAGTATGAATATGCAAATAATATGTTGAGCAGGTTCTCGCCTTGGATCCTCCTTCAAACGTCTCTGCATTTCTTCTCTGAAAGGAGATGACCCCTACTAGACCATCGTAAATCACCACTGTTTAGATAACGCCAGCCTCGGATGTCTCCACAAAGGATGGTCTCTGGTCTCTGCAAAGGAATTTCCTTAAAAGCACATATGTTTCACACAGTAGTACCTTTAAACATATATAAGATTTCAGTGTTTAAGCATGAACTCGATGTGTAACTTCATTAAACAATATTCAAACAAATATTTAAATTCAGTGTTTGATATGCACATGTGATCCACTCAAGAAACTTCACCACTTGATTCCGCCTTCAGTCTTCAGCATTAATTTACCACACTGGGCCAATGTTGCAGATCTGCAACATCCCACAACGCATTGTATGTGAAGGTCTCTCTCAAAAAAAAAAATGTCAGGATTGTACATCACTACCCCATATGATAATTTTCCCCAAATATCAGATTTTTTCCTGTTACTAAAACTTAATTTGAGCTGCACATTATTATTGGACATAGGCAGCTGTTGTGCTTCGGTGAAAAAATTTTACCACCTTCCTAAGGACTTCCTTCACCCCGGACACTTCCTCCAACTCCTCCAGGGGGACCCAAAGGCGTTCCCAGGCCAGCCCAGAGACATAGTCCCTCCAGAGTGTCCTGGGTCTTCTGGGTCTTCCTCGGACCCTCCTTCCAGTGGGATATACCCGGAACAGCTCCCGAGGGAGGTGCCCAGGAGGCATCAGAACAGATTCCCTCCCATCAGCTGCTCCTCTTCATGTGGATGTGTTGTAGTCTGAAGGCTGTATCTAATAATACTGTTTTTTTCCACCACATTTATCACTCTGTGCTCGTGCATGGAGACAATCTGCTGCACATCTCCCCATGTTAATGTTCATTTCTGGCCTCCTGCAAACATTAAAATGCATTTACACAAAGACATAAGAATCTTTTCTTCACCACACAAATACACATTTCCATCACACAGGTTACAGATCTGTAGTTCAAAAGGTTATACAGTAGTCAGACAGATGGTACAGTACAGATTCTGATACCACAGTGATAATAATACTTTCTTTTATATTTCCATGCAACTTTATATCTGTAATCGATCAGTGGTCCAGGCAGGTTCCATATTGGTCCATGGGCTCATACTAGACTAGTCTAGACACAGGCAGCGGAGAAACGCTTCTCCTTCTTCCTCACTCTAAACTAAATTATGGATGAAGGCCCAAATATCCCTTTGTGAACGTGTGGAAAACACTGCATGTTCCATTCTGCCCGTGGGGGAGTTAGAGGCGTGTTTATTTGATTATATTATTTTGTGACTAAACTTCAGCACAGATCTGGAGGCTCTGCATTTGTTTTCAAACTGAGATTGATAAATGTATAACAATATTTCTAACAAACATCAACCAAGAAAATGACAAACATTTCTATCTGAAATCAAGAAACATTTTGATTCAGGAGAGTCCAAATATTAATATTATTTTGTCAATTTCCCCCACCCCAGGTCTCAATGGGCGTCCCAGAGTCCAGTGCTGTTTGTGTGAAGACAGAAGAGTCCTCACTGCTTCAACAAAGACAAACTGAGCTCAGAGAGGAAACACAGGGAGAGGACATCAGTGCAGAGACACATTTACACTCAGAGACTGAGGGAGACACAGAGCACTCCTCTGACACTGATGATGAAGACTGGAGAGCTCCAATCAGCTGTTCAGCTGCACAGATGGAGACAGACGCTGATGGAGACCACGACAAGGTTAGAGCCAGACGCTCCACTGCACAAAACTCAGGTCTATCCCCCAAATACAAGTCTGTACCAGAGACCGATGCCACTGTGAACAATGCAGACATGTCAGGAGCAGCCGAAGGAGCCGAGGGCAAGAAACTCCAGTGCTCTGTGTGTCAAAAGAATTTTGGGACTAGGCGGAATTTACAAAGACATATTAGAATTCACACAGGAAAGAAATCATTCAGCTGTTCAACCTGTGCGAAAACATTTAACCGAAAGGCTAATCTAGATACACATGAAAAGATACACACAAAGAAACCATTCAGCTGTTCAACATGCAAGAGATCATTTACAACAAAAGATAATCTAGCTCAACATATAAAGATACACCTGGGTGAAAGACCCTACAGCTGTTTAATGTGTGAGAAGACATTTTCTCAAAAATGTGATCTAAATAAACATGTGAGAGTACACACAGGAGAACGACCTTACAGCTGTTCAACATGTGAGAGGACATTTTCCAGCAAAAGTATTCTTGATGTACATGAGAGAACACACACAGGTGAAAGACCGTTCAGGTGTTCAATGTGTGACAAGACATTTTCCAGCAAAGGTATTCTGGATGTACATGAAAGAACACACACAGGGGAAAGACCCTACAGGTGTTCGACATGTGAAAAGTCATTTTCTCATAGGAGTAATCTTGTTAAACACGAGAGAACGCATACAGGTGAAAGACCTTACAGCTGTTCATTGTGTGACAAGACTTTTTCTGATAATAGCAGTTTAATTAAACATGTGAGGACGCACACAGGTGAGAGACCTTACAGCTGTTCAATATGTGAGAAGACGTTTTCTGATAACAGTTATTTTATTAAACATGTGAGAACGCACACAGGTGAAAGACCTTACAGCTGTTCATCATGTGACAAGACATTTTATGATCATAGTAGTCTCGTTAAACATATGAGGACACACACAGGTGAGAGACCTTACAGCTGCTCCATCTGTAATAAAGGATTTACACGTAAATATCATTTGAATATGCACATGAGAATTCACAGCACAGAGTGTGACTGAGGCTTTTTGTTTGTGCTCATGAGATGTTGTGTTGGAGTCTGCTGCTGACAACTCAAATACAGATGTTTGGAGCTGTCGTCTGTGGTTAAAGCTCCTGTACCTGTTCCTGATGTTGAACCATAACAGAGAAACAACTCTGAGAGAGAGTCATAGGCAGCTGCTTCTGCACTTTTACAACACACTGCATGGTGTAAAGGCCCTTCTCCTGAACTCCTCAAAATTCAAAACACAAAATCACAAAAACATTAATTAAAAACAAATGAGAATAAGTCCCTTTTCTCTGCAGGTTAACATTTGACTCTACATTTATGATGGTGTTTTCACTGTAATTTCAGTTATGAAACAAGTGAATGTGATATATTATGATAATATCTTTGTATAGCACTTTCTAACTGTCTTCTAGATGTACGTAGGCTTTTCACCTGTGTGTTATTCTTCCAGCTGCTTTTTTATTTATTTATTTTTTAACTCTTTGACCCAAAATATCAATGAATTTTACAGCCCTATGAAGGGAAAAACCTAAAATACTTAAAGCTATTAAAGATAGATTTTATACAAATTGTTGGTTAATTCTTCCAGTGTCTTTTTGCACTTTTAAAGTTTTGAGTTTCAGGTTGTTCAAAATATTATATTTTGTAAAAGAAAGAGTTCATCAATTTAAAAAACATATTTCTGTAATAGATTTATGTTTATCTGCACAAATATTTGAACTTATTGTTATTTTTGGGGTTTATTGCCATGAGTTTTCTGATCCGGCCCTTTTGGGACCTAAGTAGGTTGGATACGGCCCCCGGACCAAAATGAGTTTGACACCCCTGCTTTAAACTAAAGTCATTATACTCCGGAGCGCCCTCTAGCGGACACAGGTCAGAATTACAGGCTTTGGGAAGATTTGTGCAGTTCACTCTTTTGTCCACACGATGGCGTTTGTCCAATCTCCGCTAAATAAAACTTCAAGACAAATTATATAAAAAAAATAAAAAATACATAAAAATTAAATATTAATATATACATCAACTAGTATATATTCAATACTTTTTTAAATTATTATTTTATTAATTTATTTTTTTCACTTATGAGTAAAAAGTGTGTTTTCTTAAAACAAAAATATTTTACTTTTATACTCTAATTATTCAGCTATTTCTGTTACTATTGTTCTGGAATGTTAATATATTTATAATTTTAAATTGAGCATCAAGAGTGTGTTTTTATTTTAAACAGAGTGGAATATTTTGATAAAAGTCCAGTTTTGGGGGATATGTGTAGTTCCCATTTTTGTCCACATGTGGACGCACAGGGGCTGAGCGTTGCTTCAGGAAATTTAAATAAAAAAATAAATGAATGTATTTGATTTAACAGATACATTAAAACTGAACTAACTGACACTCATGCAGGTAAAAAAAATAAATAAATAAATAAATAAATAAGAAATGAGGACATAAAGGAGTTTAACATCCTGACCAGTGGGGGCAGTAATGCACTGACCGTGTCTACTCTGCTGCACACAAAGCAGGAAGCAGACCGCCGAGTCTTGTGTGCGGTTAGCTCGGAGCTAAAGCTAAAAACAGTTTGTTAAAATGTCCAAAAGCCAAACACTGAGAGCTTTGGTGAATGAGCGGCTGACTGCGGCTGCTGAAGAGATCTTTGCGCTGTTTGAAAGAACGATAGCGGAGTATGAGGAGGAAGTGTGTCGCTCCAAAGAGGAGAACCAGAGGAAACAGGAGCTCCTGGACTCGATACTGAGCCCCTCAAAGAGTCCTGGCCCCGGTCTGAACCAGGACCCTCCACACACTCCACGGATTAAAGAGGAGCCACAGGAGCCAGAGGAGCTAGAAGAGCCGAGTCTCAAACAGGACAAGATAGTACAGGTAGGATTTATTTATGTGTTGGATGAAGTTGGATAAAGACAGTGTTGGGGAGTAACAGATTACATGTACCGGAGTTATTTAATCAGAGTACAAATTATGAGTAACTGTATTCAGATACAGTTACTGTTTCAGTGACTGGTAATCGGATTACAGTTACTTTGTTGAAATAAATGGATTACACGGCGGCATTTTTCTGTTTTTACATTTCGGGCTATACCCCCCCACCCCCTTTTTTTTTCCTTTTTCCCCGGCAGTTCCATTCATTGCCGGACACTAAACAGGTCTTAAACCAGGACTAAACCAGGACTAAACCAAGGTCTAAACCAAGACTAAACAGGTCTAAAACCAGTTCTAAACCAGGACTAAACCAGGAGTAAACCACGTCTAAACCAGGACAAACCAGGATTTAACAGGAATAAATCATGCTGTGTGGACATGTGTCCTCTTCTTCTATCAGTAATATTTTTAATTTGGTTAAGTAAAGTTTGGGCTTCTTTTTTTTTTTATCAGACAAAATATCTTATGTGAAGATTTCCTAGTCTTTGCTTCTCTACAGCAAATCAAGTAATCCAAAGTATTCAGATTACGTTACTCACTTTAAATAATTTAATGGATTCCGTTACAAACTACATTTTGGGGTATGTAATCTGTAATCTGTAGAGGAATACATTTTAAAAGTAAACTTCCCAACACTGGATAAAACAGACCAACTAAGGTTGGAGGGGCGCAGCTTCTGTGTCAGTATTTCATGTCATATATTTATTTATCAGGACCATGTGCAGTTACAAAAAGCATGAAAACAAATGTTTGTACCACCAAACTGTAAAAGCTCATTTCCATCTTTAGTCCTTGGGGTTGTCATGGAAATTATCTCTAAAATAAAACCAAAACATACAAGAAGAATGTCTATGTCTGTGTTTGCAATTTGCATTTAGGTCAGTCCAGTCATTTGGCCTTTTTAGTTCAGACAGGTAACACCTAAACATTAACATCTGAGTACAGGTCAGGATGATCCAACAAAAACATGTAAATGGAAACACAAAGGCACCTGTGGCCTTCTTCTGAGACTAAAGGATTAAACAAACAACAGAGTGCCTTTTCCTCTTCTTACAGTGTATCCTGGACAACAGAAAAATTTACAATAGACTCAGTTTTCACACATTTAGAATAAAAGGCTTTATTCAAATCCTTCACACATCGCCTGTAGGCCTAGATATTATAGTTATTATTATAATTTAAATCCATTTATTGTCATAAAAATGTATATTTATTATTACTTAAAAACTTATGTTTTTGGCTAAAATAGGTTCTGCAGTATCACACATTTCCTGCATTTTAGTGTGAGCCAAAATAACCGTGGTGAAGTTGGATACTGGACTTTCGGCAGATATTCAGATTTTCAGTTTCATTAGGGGGTTTTCTTTTACAGTTTTTAGTGCATTTGACCCAGTTACCCCAAACCATGTCAGAATATCACTACTGCCTCAGGGCTCTGGGGCTCAGCAGGCCAACCCAATACCTTACAATTTATAACAGAAAATGTACAAATGAGAGCTGTGTCTTTTTACATATGAAGGAGAGGGAACATTCTCTAATGCAGAAAATATGTGTTCAGGGCCATTTGCTGATTTGATGTCTTCTGGTCACAGCACATCTGGAGGCTGTGCATTTGTTATCAAACTGAGATTGATAAATGTATAACAATATTTCAAACCTCAACCAAGAAATTTAGCACATTTCTGATTGAAATCAAGAAATATTCTGATTATTGTTTTCAAGCGGGTCAAAATATGAATATTATTTTGTGTCAATTTCCCCCACCCCAGGTCTCAGTGGGCGTCCCAGAGTCCAGTGCTGCCTGTGCGACAACAGAAGAGTCCTCACTGCTTCAACAAAGACAAACTGAGCTCAGAGAGGAAACACAGGGAGAGGACATCAGCGCAGAGACACATTTACACTCCTCTCACACCGATGATGAAGACTGGAGTGCTCCACCCAGCTGTTCAGCTGCACAGATGGAGACAGACGCTGATGGGGACCATGACAACCAAGTCCAGAAAGACCAAACGCTGAGAGCTTCAGTGAATGAGCGGCTGAGTGTGACTGCTGAAGAGAAGGGTCTGAACCAGGACACTCCACAGACTTCACAGATTAAGGAGGAGCCAGAGGAGCCGAGCATCAAACAGGAGGTGGAGCAGGTGGGTGATGTGTCCAAATAGACCAAAATGATAAATTTACATGACAACAACAATTTATTAGAGCTGTGGTCGGGTGTGCGTCAAAATCTAATTGAAAGAGTTTATCTGGAAAATGGAGCATGTTACATATTGTTTTTCAGTGGACTAGTTTGATATTTATTTTTTTTACAATTTTGTCAATTTCCTGAACGTGCCACACCACACCCTCAGTCCTCTCCACTCTACCTGATATTCAGACACAGAACACCTCTTGTTTAGAGCTCCACGCCCCACACTTGCACTAGAGCTAAGATCAGGGGCAAGATCGTGGAAACAAGAAAAAAAACATATAAAATACGATTTGATAGTAAACGTCTGTGAGCAAATGAGGATTATATTGATATTACTTATTGAAAAAATGTGTGCCACTTCAGAAAGATCAGTAAAATTACATAAACAAGGCCCAGCTTTTGGTCTCGCTGCATTCACATTTAATTTTATTATGATATAGAATGCTGATTTGTTAACTCGAGAGCTTGAGCTGGGACTTTCAAGCCAGGGGGAAGCTCGAGCCGGTATTCATGCAGAAGCATTGACACAGGGCAGACACACATGAACACTCATTTGTCACAGATGCTCTGATATCCAACAAATGAAAGAACTGACCAAGAAGGTGATGCAGTCTCACTAAAGAAAATCACTGCCTATTGTACAATAAAGTAAACACGCAATACATGAAGAGGTGAATGGGTGTGAAAATTATCGTAAAATAATAGTAAAATAATATACCATAGTTCTTTAAGTAAATCTGTAGTGAGCTCCACTTGGGACTGATTAAAATGAGCCCACACAGAGCAGGCCTGTCTTCTGTTTCTCTGTGGTTCTGTGATGATGAACTGAGACACTGCGACAGATATGAGCCTTGCGCAGGTGCCTTGAAGAATATACAAAAAGTGATATATTTTATTTACCTCATCACTTCTGTTAGTGGCTTTAGTTTGTTCTGTAACCACAAAGGTGAAGTAGAACATAAATTCATAAAAACTGTTAATGTGCTTATAGGCTCACAGTCAATGTTGAAATTAAACACTGAATGAAGAAACATTTAGCACATTTCTGATTGAAAAAATAAAATAAAATCTGTAACATTAATGTTCATTTGTGTCAGTCTCCCCCACTCCAGGTCTCAGTGGGCGTCCCAGAGTCCAGTGTTGTTTGTGTGAAGACAGAAGAGTCCTCATTGCTTCAACAAAAACAAACTGAGCTCAGAGAAGAAACACAGGGAGAGAAGATCAGCGCAGAGACACATTTACACTCAGAGACTGAGGGAGACACAGACCACTCCTCTGACACTGATGATGAAGATTGGAGAGCTCCACTCAGCTGTTCAGCTGCACAGATGGAGACAGACACTGATGAAGACCACGACAAGGTCAGAGCCAGACGCTCCACTGCACAAAACTCAGGTCTATACCCCAAATACAAGTCTGCACCAGAGACTAGTGCCACTGTGAACAATGGAGACACATCAGGAACAGCCGAAAGAGCTAAGGACAAGAAACACCAGTGCACTGTGTGTCAAAAGAGATTTGGGGTTAAGCAGAATTTACAAAGACATATTAAAATCCACACAGGAGAGAAACCATTTAGTTGTTCAACCTGTGAAAAAACATTCAACCGAAAGGCCAGTCTAGATATACATGAAAATATACATGCAAAGAAACCATTCAGCTGTTCAACATGCAAGAGATCATTTACAACAAAAGGTGGTCTAGCTCTACATGTAAAGAGACACCTGGGTGAAAGACCCTACAGCTGTGTAAATTGTGAGAAGACATTTTCTCAAAAGTGTGATCTAAGTAAACATGAAAGAATACACACAGGTGAAAGACCTTACAGCTGTTCAACGTGTGAGAAGACATTTGCCCGCAAAGATATTTTGTATGCACATGAGAGAACGCACACAGGTGAAAGACCTTACAGGTGTTCAATGTGTGAAAAGTCATTTTCTGATAACAGTATTTTTTTTAAACATATGAGGTCACACACACGTGAACGACCTTACAACTGTTCAATGTGTGAGAAGACATTTTCCCGCAAAGATATTCTGGATGTACATGAGAGAACGCACACAGGTGAACGACCTTATAAGTGTTCAGTGTGTGAGAAGACATTTTCTGACAACAGTTATTTTTTTAAACATATGAAAACACACACGGGTGAGAGACCTTACAGCTGTTCCATTTGTAATAAAGGGTTTGTACAGAGACGGCATTTGAATATGCACCTGAGAACTCACAGGACAGAGCGTGACTGAAGGATTATTGATTGTGTTCATGGGATGTTTTGAAGAGCATAAATTCTGTTTTGGAGTTTGCTACTGACCACTCAAAATAAACAGATGTTTGGCCCAGATCAGCTCTTGTATCTGTTTTTGAACCATAACAGAGAAACAACCCTCTGAGAGTCACAGACAGCTGCTTCTACATTTTTACAACACGCTGCACACGACCGAGAAAAATTCAAGATTTGCTGCGGTAACTGCAGATGCTTTTGGAAGCCCCTTGTCACTAAAATGATCCGTTAGGCTCGGCCACTGAGTTTTTATCAGGAAGCATCATGGTGACTGCTGTGAATAAATAAGAAATGCAGGGGTATTTTATAAAGTTTGTAACGGAGCCCGCCTGATGACGTGCGTGAAAAAGATACTAAGGCGTGGCCTCAAATTACTATTTTGTTCCCACAGTATGTAACTAATTTGTTGACACACTTTAGCCAATTTGTACACATCACTCTGGGGTCAGCCCATTGGCCCGACAGCCCAATAGTCCGACCATACACAGTAGAGATGCACGGAGGAGTTGTAAGGCGCTGGGGATAAACTGTGTGCAGAGAAACACAAATCTATTACAGAAATCTTTTTTAATTGATGAACTCGTTCTTTTACAAAATATTATAATATTATGAACAACCAGAAACTTTAAGAAAAATACAATTTCAACACAAAGTTTTAACATGAACTTGTATGTAAACAGGAGTAAGTCCATATTTCTTGGAAAATCCTGCACTCGGCTCCACTTTTCTCATGTTGGACATTTTTCTGATGAGGGTGTCACGGTCAACAGTCAAAACGATCGTCCTTTAAGAGCGTTTGGAAAGAGACAGGTCTTCATTTGTGCTGCTCTGGTGGGAGGGGCCACGTACAGAGACGCTGGAGACGCTGCAACGCTAAGCACCAGCGAAAATTACCAATATTTTAATAGAAAATATAATTTTAATATTTTAGTAGAAAATCAACCGAGGGCCAGATTAAAGGTCTTGGAGGGCCGGATCCGGCCCCCGGGGTTTATGTTTGACACCCGTGGCCTAGACCTTGTTATTTCGCCCCATGTCCGTCTCACTTTGTCACTTTATTTTCATTTCATTGTTATTGTCATTACACGGTATTGTTATTTTGTGAACATGTAAAAGTTTTGATACAGTTAAAAACAAAATGTAAAATTATAAATGTGATGTCACGACAAGTAATGCTAACCTGCGAGATTTAAGTCATTTTATAATATATTTTTGAATTAGGAATTAACAGAACGTTTTAGATTATTTGACAATTAACATTATTTATTAATAGTCATGTTTTATTAACCAAGGACAATGGAAACTTAAAACTGTTATTACAGAGTGGTAAAGAATAGGAAAGAATATTGTACTTAAATGTAATTTGTATGTAAATTGTATTTTTTGCATTGTGCTAATTTTTAATTAAAGTCAATCTGCAACACGAAACTAACGTCTCCGTGTCATTTTGTTTATTTCGGTGCCGATCTCTCCCAACACAAATATTTGAAAGTGTTAGCGGTGATTGTTCCTGTTCAAAGACCTGCGCGTCCTAATCAATAAGATAAAAAGAAATGTGCTATAATTTCTTGTATTTTATTTCCTGTGTCTTTTGTTATGTAAAAATATTTTGTTTCATTTATACCAAAACAAAAAACAAACAGGATGTACTTAATCTGGAGACATGCGCCATTGAGCTCGGTCTATTGACTGGAATGTGCAGCCATGTTTAGATCCCGTTAGCTCGGAGCTAAAGCTAAAAACAGTTTGTTAAAATGTCCAAAAGCCAAACACTGAGAGCTTTGGTGAATGAGCGGCTGACTGCGGCTGCTGAAGAGATCTTTGCGCTGTTTGAAAGAACGATAGCGGAGTATGAGGAGGAAGTGTGTCGCCCCAAAGAGGAGAACCAGAGGAAACAAGAGCTCCTGGACTCGATACTGAGCCCCTCAAAGAGTCCTGGCCCCGGTCTGAACCAGGACCCTCCACACACTCCACGGATTAAACTGGAGCCAGAGGAGCCACAGCAGCCACAGCAGCCACAGGAGCCACAGGAGCCAGAGGAGCCGAGCGTCAAACAGGAGGAACACACGCTCCTAATACAGGTGAGATTTATTTATGTCTAGGATGAAGTTGGGGAAAACAGACCAGCTAAGGTTGAAGGGGCGCATCTTATGTATCAATATTTCATGGCATATTTATGTTTCAGGATCATGTACAGTTACAATAAACATGAAAACAAATGTTTGTACCACCAAACTGTAATAGCTCGTTTCCATCTCTAATCCCAGTTTGTCTCGAACAGAAAATATTCATTTGGGAGCTGTGTGTTTTTATTTCTGGGTTTCAGACGAGATCACAACTTTCTACAGGCCAGTATTATTTAATACATATGCTACTATTTAATACTGTAGTAATGCAGATTTTTCTTGTAACTGAGTCAGTTCTTTGATCCAGTCACTAATAGAATTGATCACTTTCAATATTTGTGAATTTGCCTTTTGGATTCTTAATGGTAAGGGGCAATGTAATCAATAGAGAAAACTGTCATTACATTCTATAGTCTCAAAACCAACAATATCTTGAGGGAGATGGAGCATTATATAATACAGAGAATAAACATTACAGGGATTTGGTGACAGTTGGTACATTGTTTATCATCTTGAGATTGATACATGTAAAACAATATTTCCAACAATAGAGACATTTAGCACATTTATGATTTGAAATCAAGAAATATTCTGATTACTTTCAGAAGAGTCAAAATATTAATATTATTTTATGTCATTCTTCCCCACTCCAGGTGTCAGTGGGCGTCCCAGAGTCCAGTGCTGTTTGTGTGAAGAGAGAAGAGTCCTCACTGCTTCATCAAAGACAAACTGAGCTCAGAGAAGAAACACAGGGAGAGGACATCAGCACAGAGACACATTTACACTCCTCTGACACTGATTATAAAGACTGGAGAGCTCAGTTCAGCTGTTCAGCTGCAAAGATGGAAACAGACACTGATGGAGACCACAACAACCAAGTCCAGAAAGGACAAAGGCTGATAGTTTTGGTGAATGAGATCTTTGCGCTGTTTGAAAGAACGATAGCAGAGTATGAGGAAGAAGTGTGTCACTCCAGAGAGAACCAGAGGAAACAGGAGCTCCTGGACTCAGCACTGAGCTCCTCAAAGAGTCCTACCCCCGGTCTGAACCAGGACCCTCCACACACTCCACGGATTAAAGAGGAGCCACAGGAGCCACAGGAGCCACAAGAGCCACAGGAGCCGAACATCAAACAGGAGGAACACACGCTCCTCGTACAGGTGGGATTTATTTATGTCTAGGATGAAGTTGGGGAAAAAAACCAACAAAGGTTGGAGGGGCGCAGCTTCTGTGTCAGTATTTCATGTCATATATTTATTTATCAGGACCATGTACAGTTACATTAATCATGTAACCAGAATGAAACAAATGTCTGTCTCTGGTCCGTGAGGGACTTTACAATAGACCTCAATATTCAGTATTTGATCCAAGATGGCGTCATTACAGATGCCCTGGAATTTTGGTTTACGTTATTGTTCTGTTCAGGAGACTTGATGACTGATTATTTTGAGAACAAGCTTTAATGTCTCTTTTAGTCTGAATGTTACATGCGGTACAACATCTATCAGGACCATGTACAATTACTGAAAGCAAGAAACAAATGCTTGTACCACCAAACTGTAATAGCTTGTTTCCATCTCTAATCCCAGTTTGTCTCGAACAGAAAAGATGCACTTACCGTCAAAGAGAAGAGTTGAAGAAACAGCGTGAAGCTTCTATCCACCCAAAAACGTGTCACGTCTCCAGTGCAGGGCATTGACAGTGTCTCGAAGTCAAAGTGTTATTTGTAATAATAAATCCATATCCGGTCACAGTCTGCAGTGTCCATGTAAACTCCGCCAAAATTAATCCTCGTTTGTGTGCATAAAGATGAAGCCAAACAAGTCCATGTGAAGTTCTGTGATGAAGTGATTGTGATTTATTGGTCATGACGATCCCTTTATCTGGAGCTTGTGCATTTGTTATCATCCTGAGATACATGTGTAACAATATTTCTAACTAACTTCAACCAAGAAAATGTAGATTTCTGATTGAAATGATGAAATATTCTGATGATTATTTTCAGGGGAGTCCAAATATTAATATTAATACTATGTTTTTGTCTTTATTCTCCACTCCAGGTGTCAGTGGGCGTCCCAGAGTCCAGTGCTGTCTGTGTGAAGACAGAAGAGTCCTCACTGCTTCAACAAAGACAAACTGAGCTCAGAGAGGAAACACAGGGAGAGGACATCAGCACAGAGACACATTTACACTCAGAGACTGAGGGAGACACAGAGCACTCCTCTGACACTGACAGTGATATAGACTGGAGAGCTCCATTCAGCTGTTCAGATGCACAGATGGAGACAGACGCTGATGGAGACCACGACAACCATGTCCAGATCAGAGCCAGAAGCTCCACTGCACAAAATTCAGGTCTGTCCCCCAAATACAAGTCTGCACCAGAGACTAGTGCCACTGTGAACACAAGAGACATGTCAGGAACAGCAAAAGGAGGAGGATTACAAATACCTATTATCATTTACACAAAAGAGAAACCGCTCACCTGTTCAGTCTGTGAGAAGAGATTTTTCTATAAACGTGGTCTAGATATACATCTGAGAATACACACAGGTGAAAGATCTTACAGCTGTTCATTATGTGAGAAGTCATTTACTCAAAAGAGTAATTTAAATGTACATCTGAAAACTCACACAGGTGAAAGACCTTACAGCTGTTCATTATGTGAAAAGTCATTTACTCAAAAGAGTAATTTAAATAAACATCTGAAAACTCACACGGGTGAAAGACCTTACAGCTGTTCATTATGTGAGAAGTCATTTACTCAAAAGGGTAATTTAAATAAACATCTGAAAACTCACACGGGTGAAAGACCTTACAGCTGTTCATTATGTGAGAAGTCATTTGCTCAAAGGGTTTCTTTAAATGCACATCTGAAAAATGCACACCTTACAGCTATTCCATGTGTAAAAAATCTTTATAGATAATTGGATAATTGGTGTTGGATTCTGCTGCTGACGACTCAAATACAGATGTTTGGAGCTGTCGTCTGTGGTTAAAGCTCCTGTACCTGATGTTGAACCATAACAGAGAAACAACTCAGAGAGTCACAGGCAGCTGCTTCTGCACTTTTACAACACACTGCATGGTGTAAAGGTTCTTCTCCTGCCCAAGGACGACAGGTGGAAATTAGCACTGATGCTACTGCTTGGTACAAAATATTTCTCCTGTTAAGGTTAATGTAAATTGTGCACTGTTCCTGTCTCATAAATAAATAAACTAAACTAAACCTTCACATCCTGAACTACAGGAAAATGTTACATTTCAAAACACAAAATCACTAAACATTGATTAAAAATAAACAAGAATAAGTCCCTTTTCTCTGCAGGTTAACATGTGACTCTACATTTTGATGGAACAAGTGAATGTGATATATTGGGATAATATCTTTATAAAGCACTTTCTTTATAATCCTGAATTGAATAAAGTTAACTGTCCTCTAGATGTACATAGGCTTTTCACCTGTGTGTTATTCTTCCAGCTGCTGAACAGATTTTCATTTTTATTTATGGTTTTTATTTTTGTCTGTTTGGCCTTTTTTTTTTTTTTTATCCCTTTGACTCAAAATATCAATGCATTTTACAGAGCCATGGTGTACTGCTGACACATTTAATGAAAACTCAAAAAATACTTTGTTTATGTTAAAGTCGATTACCGCCCTCATTTCAAACATTATCGGCTCACAGACGATATACATCCCTGTTTTCAGTCTTGGGGCATGTTTGTCTGTAAATTCAACATGTTTTATGTTGTAATTTAATGTTTTCTTACAGTGTTATATATACGATAAAAATTTAACAATAATTTGACACACTGAAAATGTTCACTATTACTAGTTTCTGTTATTAGCTCCGTACTATTTTAAGCTACATGTAGGAGATATTTGCTTATTTTGTTGATTCTAAAATTAGTTTATTAGTTTTGTTTGTCAAATGAATTCACTAATTTAATTGTGTTAATTTGCATAATTTGTTTTTGCTATGTTCATTTTATGTTTGCTAACTTGTTTAGTCTAATTTGGTATAATTTACCTTCAGCACCTTTTCTGTTTTTGGTTTAATCGGGGTCACGTACACCAGAGTGCACCTGGGTGGTGGGCCTATGTTTTTTTCCCAGCTGACAGGAGAGGCAGCAAGAGTAAGCCTTAAACATGTATCTTTGTTGTTTGCCTAAAAACTGGAAATAAATCTCAGAAATACAGCTCTAGTCATGGATATTGATTTTGTTTTCTCCTTCTCTGGGTAAACCACAAATCTACGGTGCCCAAAAGTGATTATTTGAGTTCCGTTTAGTTCTGAGTTAGCTCACCGCTTTTGTTTGTTACACTATTCATCAGCGTACACTTTCTATAGAACACATGAATGATCAGATTTGCCTGTAACATATATGCGCATAAAGAATAAGCAGAAAGTGATCACAGACTTTTGAGAAATGCAGCGGTACTAGTGTATTATAAAGTTTGAGGAGGAGCCACTATGATGAACATTTTAGGAGTTTAACATCCTGACCAGTGGGGGCAGTAATGCACTGACCGTGTCTACTCTGCTGCACACAAAGCAGGAAGCAGACCGCCGAGCTTCGTGTGCGGTTAGCTCGGAGCTAAAGCTAAAAACAGTTTGTTAAAATGTCCAAAAGCCAAACACTGAGAGCTTTGGTGAATGAGCGGCTGACTGCGGCTGCTGAAGAGATCTTTGCGCTGTTTGAAAGAACGATAGCGGAGTATGAGGAGGAAGTGTGTCGCTCCAAAGAGGAGAACCAGAGGAAACAGGAGCTCCTGGACTCGATACTGAGCCCCTCAAAGAGTCCTGGCCCCGATCTGAACCAGGACCCTCCACACACTCCACGGATTAAAGAGGAGCCACAGGAGCCAGAGGAGCCGAGCGTCAAACAGGAGGAACACACGCTCCTAGTTCAGGTGGGATTTATTTATGTCTAGGATGAAGTTGGGTAAAACAGACCAACTAAGGTTGGAGGGGCGCAGCTTGTGTATCATGTCATATATATATATATATATATATATATATATATATATATATATATATATATATATATATATATATATATATATATACGAGCAATAGAGGCCCAAATCTACCACACCAGACAAGACCCACGGTGTAGACTGTGCAAAGAGGCTCCTGAGACAGTCCAGCACATAACTGCAGGGTGTAAGATGCTGGCAGGGAAAGCATACATGGAGCGACATAACCAAGTTGCTGGCATAGTGTACAGAAACATCTGTGCAGAGTACGGGCTGGAGACCCCAGGATCAAGGTGGGAAACACCTCCAAAGGTTGTGGAGAATGACCGAGCCAAGATCCTGTGGGACTTCCAGATACAGACTGACAGAATGGTGATGGCGAACCAACCAGACATAGTGGTGGTGGATAAGAAACAGAGCAGAGCCGTGGTGGTTGACATCGCAATACCAAGCGATGGTAATATCAGGAAAAAGGAACATGAGAAGCTAGAGAAATACCAGGGGCTCAAGGAAGAGCTGGAGAGAGCCTGGAAAGTAAAGGCATCAGTGGTGCCTGTGGTGATCGGAGCACTCGGGGCTGTAACCCCCAAACTGGAAGAGTGGCTACAACAGATACCGGGAAAAACAATGGACATCTCAGTCCAGAAAAGTGCGGTACTGGGAACAGCAAAGATACTGCGCAGAACTCTCAAGCTCCCAGGCCTCTGGTAGAGGACCCGAGCTGAATGAGGGTGAGAGACCAACCACCGTGGAAGGTGAGAAAACACATTTATATATATATATATATATATATATATATATATATATATATATATATATATATATATATATATATATATATATATATATATATATATATATATATATATATATATATATATATATATATATATATGTGTGTCATATATTTATTTATCAGGACCATGTACAGTTGCAATAAACATGAAAACAAATGTTTCCACCATCAAACTGTAACAGCTCGTTTCCATCTCGAGTTTCAGTTTATCTCAAACAGAAAATATTCATTTGGGAGCTGTGTCTTTTTATTTCTGGGTTTCAGACGAGATCACAGCTTTCTACAGGCCTATGGTATTTAATACAGATGGGGAGCAGCTAACATCAGTATTGCAGTAATACAGATTTTTGTTGTATTTCAGTTAGTTTGGATGTTTTTAATGGTAAAGTGCAATGTAATCAATAGAGAACCAACAATATCTTGAGGGAGACAGGGCATTATCTAAAACAGAGAATAAACATTGTCTGTGGCCACACCGGTTTGTCAAAGCCTGATCCCGTCAGATCTCAGAAGCTAAGCGGGGCTGGGCCTGGGTAGTACTTGGACTTGGAGACCGCTTGGAATTCCAGGTGCCACAAGGGGGGCGCCAGTGGCAAAAACTGTTTGTGTCAAGACACTTCACCCACATTGCCTAGTATGAAAGTGGTGTGTGCGTGAGTGATGGTGGTGGTTGGAGGGGCCGATGATTGGCAGCCTCTCTTCCGTCAGTCTACCCCAGGGCAGTAGTAGTTTACCACCACTGAGTGTTGAGTGAATGAATAATGAACTGTAAAGCGCTTTGGGTATCTTGAAAGGTGCTATATAAGTGCAGCGATTAATTAATTAATTTCAGGGATTTGGTGACAGTTGGTACATTGTTTATCATCTTGAGATTGATACATGTAAAACAATATTTCCAACAATAGAAACATTTAGCACATTTATGATTTAAAATCAAGAAATATTCTGATTACTTTCAGAAGAGTCAAAATATGAATATTATTTTGTCATTCTTCCCCACTCCAGGTGTCAGTGGGCATCCCAGAGTCCAGTGCTGTTTGTGTGAAGACAGAAGAGTCCTCACTGTTTCAACAAAGACAAACTGAGCTCAGAGAGGAAACACAGGGAGAGGACATCAGCGCAGAGACACATTTACACTCCTCTAACACTGATTATAAAGACTGGAGAGCTCAGTTCAGCTGTTCAGCTGCAAAGATGGAAACAGACGCTGATGGAGACCATGACAATGAAGTCCAGAAAGGACAAAGGCTGAGAGCTTTAGTGAATGAGATCTTTGCTCTGTTTGAAAGAACGATAACGGAGTATGAGGAGGAAGTGTGTCGCTCCAAAGAGGAGAACCAGAGGAAACAGGAGCTCCTGGACTCGGCACTGAGCTCCTCAAAGAGGCTTGGTCCCCGGCCTAAACCAGGACCCTCCACACACTCCACGGATTAAAGAGGAGCCACAGGAGCCAGAGGAGCCGAGCGTCAAACAGGAGGAACACACGCTCCTAGAACAGGTGGGATTTTTTAATGTCTAGGATGAAGTTGGGTAAAACAGACCAACTAAGGTTGGAGGAGCGCAGCTTCTGTATTAATATTTCATGTCATATATTCTCTCATACAGTCTCTTTTAGTCTGAATGTTACATGCGGTACAACACGTCCCGCTCACCGTACGTACATCTGTAATGATACTACGGCTGCCTGTGTGTAATAACATTAATACATCACATCCTCCTTTTAAAAAAGTTTTACTTTCACTGTTATTGTTGTTACATTACCGCATTTCCCCCAATGTACCCTTTTAAATAGAGTCACCAGATTTTCAAAATCAAAGACTGGGACACCCACAGTTTGTGTTGATTGGTAATAATAAAATTGTGAATCGAGTGTGTAATTAAGGAAAATTGTTCTGCACTCAGGCCATTCATGAGTAACTTGTGTCTGTATTGACACATTTTCTTTGTGTTTTGGTCATTTTAAAGCTTTTCTGTATTTTACCTAAACAAATGAGAATGTATGCCTCTGTTTACTGTTGGCATCAAACTGTTTAAAAAGACAGACACCAAGGACATTACTTAAATAAAACTGGGACAAATCAATGGTTTTGTATAAATCCACTGGGACAGGGGACACGGGGCTCAAATCTGGGACTATGTCAGGAAACAGGGGCGTCTGGTCACTCTTCTTTTAAATAAAGTGCAAACTTTTTTTTCAAACCTTCCAACAAATAAAGTGTGTTGCAAATTTAGCTTTTATCTCAAAACCTTATTCACAGAAACTGTCTCAGACTTCTCTTGACTGTAAGCACAGTAATAGTCACATTCCTCTTTGTATGTAGCAGGTAGTTTTACTGCTCTACCACATCTGCTTTTGTGTGGGAGTGCATCAGGGTTCACATGAACAATCTGTGAATCATGTGCGTCAAAGGGTTGATCACGTGAATCAGTTTGAAAAGTCTCTGAATTGCTTCTTTGTATTTGAGAGTCCATTTCCAGATTAAACCTTGTTTCCGTAGAGCCGATGTGGGGCGGTACGGTACAGACCCTGAGTGTTTCCACTACATAAAGCAATCCGTGCTGCCCACTTTTATGAGTCCAAAGCGGACCGCTGAAGGTACGACCTTCCAAAAGGTTCTGACCCTATTGGGACTCAGGGGAGAAACACACACAGTCACAGTCACTGGAGAACCAGCTGCACGCCCAAAGTGACGCATGCGTGGCAACATGTGAATAATGTGAACTAATTGTTTTTTAACAACAGCACAGATGCACTGTGCACATCTCCAGTGTCTCAAAGTCAAAGTGTTATTCATAATAATAAATCCACATCCAGTCACAGTCTTCAGTGTCCGTGTAAAGTGTAAACAGAAAATATGAACCAAACTCCACCAAAAATCCTCCTCGTTTGTGCATAAAGATGAAGCCAAATGAGTCCACGTGAAGTTCTCCTCATTGGATGAAGTGATTGTGATTGATTGGTCATGGAGATCCCTTTATCTGGAGCTTGTGCATTTGTTATCATCCTGAGATACATGTGTAACAATATTTCTAACAAACCTCAACCAAGAAAATGCAGATTTCTGATTAAAATGATGAAATATTCTGATGATTGTTTTCAGGAGAGTCCAAATATTAATATGAATAATATGTTTTTGTCTTTATTCTCCACCCCAGGTCTCAGTGGATGTCCCAGAGTCCAGTGCTGTTTGTGTGAAGACAGAAGAGTCCTCACTGCTTCAACAAAGACAAACTGAGCTCAGAGAGGAAACACAGGGAGAGGACATCAGCACAGACACACATTTACACTTCTCTCACACTGATTATAAGGACTGGAGAACTCAATTCAACTGTTCAGCTGCAAAGATGGAAACAGACGTTGATGGAGACCACGACAACCAAGTTCAGATCCGAGCCAGAAGCTCCACTGCCCAAAACTCAGGTCTATCCCCCAAATACAAGTCTGTACCGGAGACCAGTGCCACTGTGAACAATGGAGACATGTCAGAAACAGCAGAAGGAGTTGAGGGTAAGAAACACCAGTGCTCTGTGTTTAAGAAGAGATTTTGGACTGTGCAGGAATTTCAAAGACCCTTCAGCTGTTCAACCTGTGAGAAGAGATTTTTCTATAAATGTGATCTAGATGCACATCTGAGAACGCACACAGGTGAACGACCTTTTAGTTGTTCATTATGTGAGAAGTCGTTTACTCAAAAGAGTCATTTAACTGTACATCTGAAAACACACACAGGTGAAAGACCTTACAGCTGTTCAGTATGTGAGAAGTCATTTTCTCAAAAGGGTAATTTAAATAAACATCTGAAAACTCACAGGGATGAAAGCACTTACAGCTGTTCAGTATGTGGGAAGACGTTTATTCTAAAGAGTAATTTAAATAAACATCTGAAAACGCACACATGTGACAGCCCTTACAGCTGTTCCGTCTGTAATAAAAACTTTCCAGAAAATTGGCAATTGAAAAGACACATGAGAATTCACAGCACAGAGTGTGACTGAATTTTTTTGTTTGTGTTCATGAGACGTTTTAAAGAGCCCAGAGTTGTGTGTTGGATTCTGCTGCTGACAACTCAAATACAGATGTTTGGAGCTGTTGTCTGTGTTTAAAGCTCCTGTACCTGATGTTGAACCATAACAGAGAAACAACTCAGAGAGTCACAGGCAGCTGCTTCTGCACTTTTACAACACACTGCATGGTGTAAAGGTTTTTCTCCTGCCCAAAGACGACAGGTGGAAATTAGCACTGATGCTACAGCCTGGTACAAAGTATTTCTCCTGTTAAGGTTAATGTAAATTGTTTACTGTTCCTGTCTCATAAATAAATAAATTAAACTAAAGCTTCACATCCTGAACTACAGGAAAAAGTAAAATTTCAAAACACAAAATCATTAAACATGAATTAAAAATCATCAAGAATAAGTCCCTTTTCTCTGCAGGTTAACATGTTCTTTCTTTATAATCTTGCCTTGAGCCATGTTGTATTGTTAACACATTTAATGAAAACTCTAAAAAATACTTTATTTATGTTTAAATTGATTACCGCCCTCATTTCAAACATTATCAGCTCACAGACAATATACATCCCAGTTTTCAGCCTTGGGGCATCTTTGTAAAGTCAACATGTTTTATGTTGCAATTTAATGTTTTCTTACAGTGTTATACGTATGATAAAAACTGAACAATAATTTGACACATTTAAAATGTTCACTATTACTAGTTTCTGTTATTAGCTCTGTACTATTTTAAGCTTTGTAATGAGTGCAGACTTTTATTTTGCTGGCACAAATATATTTTTTGGTTGTGTATACAAAACTACATTTAATGAGGTGAAGATAATTATGCAGCAATATCTGTGTAAAAAGGTAGAAGTTTATGCACAGCTGTTTTGTTTCTGTGTTCGTTGTACGTTGCCTGTACAATTTATTAATACACATTTTTATGTGTTCTGTTACAGTTTTACAAAAAGTAATTTACAAAGAGACAAGTGTGGAGAAAAAAACATCAGTAAAGATAATTTATATACATGATGTGAAAAAACCTAAAATGCTTAAAGCTATTAAATAAAAGACTTTGCTCAATATGTCTCTTTTATATTGTTCTTTCCTCATGCAAATTGTTGGTTCATTCTTCCAGTGTCTTTTTGCACATTTAAGGTTTTGAGTGGGATTGATGACATGCAGCTGTTTAACCTCTGTGATGTCTTTGAACTATTGATATTAGATTTTTGTTCATGGGAAAAAATAAAGGGAAATGTCAGTGAAATAGTGGGATATTGTCTGAATAAATGAGAAGGTTTAACTGCACTATGATGGAAGGAGCACAGATACATGTGTGATGACATTCTGTCGGCACTGACTGTTCTGGAGATGTTACAGACACGGCGTGTTTCTCCAATACAAGATTCTGATTGGTTCTTTTAGGCTGTGATCATCTCTTTGTTGCACATATGACCTTTCACAAGGAACTTGAGTGAGTCTGAAGATTGTGCACTCTGCATGTAAGACTAAAGCAAACAGACTAGTTCATGTGTGGAGTACGTTTACATTTCTTGTACATGTTACAGGCATCTATAAAATGTCTAAGACCTTTAAACAAAGTAGAGAATATTGATTCATTTCCTACCTGGTCATTTTGGGCAGAATGTCTACGAGTCATTTCTACTCAGTCTACACTCCATAAAAGTACTGACTGTTTATGTCACCTCAGATGTACTTTATCCTTCAGAAAGTTTGATTTCATAAACCTGGTCACATACTGAAAATTGTGGGTTTCACTGCTTGGTTCTGGGGTCAATAATCATGAATAATTGTTAAATTGTGGTGTTTTTTTCCTCACAATAACCACAATACTAAAACATGACCTGGTGACATCCATACTTGCTGCTATGTCACAGTCCAACCGTACATTCAAGCTTCGTGACGAGGTCTATAATGCTCTCTTGGATTACAAAAATAGTCTTCCTCATTTAATTTGCAATAACATCCAACAATAAAACCTGTCACAGTTTGCCTAAAGATTCTATAGAAATCCTGAATGATCAGATTTGCCTGTAACATATATGAGCATAAAGAATAAGCATAAAGTGATCACAGACTTTTGAGAAATGCAGCAGTACTAGTATATTATAAAGTTTGAGGAGGAGCCACTGTGGTGGGCATTTGTCCCTCCAGCGTGTCCTAGGTTTACCCTGGGGCCTCCTTCTGGTAGGACATGCCTGAACACCTCCTGAGGGAGGCGCCCAGGAGGCATCCGGAACAGATGCCCGAGCCTCAGCTGCTCCTCTCGACGTGGAGGAGCAGTGGCTCTACTCTGAGCTTCTCGTGTTTGACTGAGCTCCTCACTCTATCTCTAAGAGAGCGCCCAGACACCCTGCAGAGGAAACTCATTTTGACCGCTTGTACCTGTAATCTTATCCTTTCGGTCATTATCCAGAGCTCATGACCATAGGCGAGGGGAGGAACAGATTTAGCAAAGCAAGTAAATCGAGAACTTTTGCTTTCGGCTTAGCTCCCTTTTCACCACAACGGTACGATACAGAGACCGCGTCACTGCACCGATCCACCTGTCAATCTCAAACTTCTCCATTATTCATTTAAACCAAAATCGAAAACTGTTATCCATTTTTTTATTTTGGTTTTGGAGACAAATAATAACGAAAATAGTTATTTGTTTTCTTATTTTTGGTTTTATTTTGAAAAACGAATGAACGCATGACACACGGACTGAACTGCTGCACAAAAACACGAAGCAGGAAACAGACCGCCGAGCCTCGTGTGCGGTTAGCTCGGAGCTAAAGCTAAAACAGTTTGTTAAAATGTCCAAAAGCCAAACACTGAGAGCTTTGGTGAATGAGCGGCTGACTGCGGCTGCTGAAGAGATCTTTGCGCTGTTTGAAAGAACGATAGCGGAGTATGAGGAGGAAGTGTGTCGCTCCAAAGAGGAGAACCAGAGGAAACAGGAGCTCCTGGACTCGATACTGAGCCCCTCAAAGAGTCCTGGTCCCGGTCTGAACCAGGACCCTCCACACACTCCACGGATTAAATTGGAGCCACAGGATCTGAGCGTCAAACAGGAGGAACACACGCTCCTAGTTCAGGTGGGATTTATTTATGTCTAGAATAAAGTTGGGTAAAATTTACAGTCTAAGGTTGGAGGGGCGCAGCTTCTGTGTCAATATTTCATGTCATATATTTATTTATCAGGATCATGTACAGTTAGAATAAGCATTTGAAAAAACATGTAAATGGAAACACAAAGGCACCTGTAGCTAAAGGATTAGACGAACAACAGTATGACTTTTCCACTTCTTACACTGTATCCTGGACAACAGAAAACTTTACAGCAGACTCTGTATTCACACTCACACAGTTAGAATAAAATGTTTTATTTAAGTTCTTCACAGATCGCATGAAGGCTTAGCTCTTATAGTCATTATTATAATTAGCCTATATTTAGGGCTGTCACAATAACCTCAGAAATGAATCACTGCGGTCCTGTCTCCTCTCCAAAGTCACTTGCAAATACATGGACATCTGTGCAACAAGCCCACCATCAAAGAGTTTTCAGTGCTGCTGGAAATATTGTAACTCCACGCCCATCATCTCTCAAACCTCAAAAGGTGAATATGCTGTTTTTTCTCACATGCAACAAGGACATTGCCCAGGTATGTGGTGACTGCATACTGCGCTGTTGAGCCACTGTGATGCACTGCAGGAGAAATAGAAAAGAAAAAAGATTCTGTTTCAAGATTCAATTTCATTAGGGGTTTTTCTTCTACAGTTTTTAGGGCATTTGATCCAGTTTCCCCAAACCATGTCAGAATATCACTACTGCCTCAGGGCTCTAGGGCTCAGCAGGCCAACCCAATACCTCACAATTTATAACAGAAAATGTACAAATCAGAGCTGTGTCTTTTTACATATGAAGGAGAGGGAACATTCTCTAATGCAGAGAATATATGTTTAGGGCCATTTGCTGATTTGATGTCTTCTGGTCACAGAGATCCCTTCATCTGGAGGCTGTGCATTTGTTATCAGAAAACTAAAAGAAAAGAAAATTACACAAACATTTAGCGCATTTCTGATTGAAATTAAGAACTATTCTGAATAAGGTTTTCAAGTGGGTCAAAATATGAATATTATTTTGTGTCCCAGGTCTCAGTGGGCGTCCCAGAGTGCGATGCTGTTTGTGTGAAGACAGAAGAGTCCTCACTGCTTCATCAACGACAAGCTGAACTCAGAGAGGAAACACAGAGAGAGGACATCAGCGCAGAGACACATTTACACTCAGAGACTGAGGGAGACACAGAACACTCCTCTGACACTGATGATGAAGACTGGAGAGCTCCACCCAGGTGTTCAGCTGCACAGATGGAGACAGACGCTGATGGAGACCATGACAACCAAGTCCAGATCAGAACCCAAAGCTCCGCTGCACAAAACTCAGGTTTATTCCTGAAATACAAGTCTGCACCAGAGACCAGTGCCACTGTGAACAATGGATACATGTCAGGAACAGCAGAAGGAGCTGAGGGCAAGAAACTCCAGTGCTGTGTGTGTCAAAAAAGGTTTGAGACTAAGGGGAAATTACAAAGACATAGAAGAATTCACACAGAAAAGAAATCATTCAGCTGTTCAACCTGTGAGAAAACATTTAATCGAAAGGCCTTTCTAGAAAAACATGAAATGCTACATGCAAAGAAACCATTCAGATGTTCAACATGCAAGAGATTTTTTACAACAAAAGATAATCTAGCTCAACATATAAAGATACACTTGGGTGAAAGACCCTACAGCTGTTTAGTTTGTGAGAAGACATTTTCTCAAAAGTGTGATCTAAGTAAACATGAGAGAACACACACAGGTGAAAGACCTTACAGCTGTTCAATTTGTAAGAAGAGTTTTACCCGCAAAGATATTCTGGATGCACATCAGAGAACACACACAGGTGAAAGACCTTACAGGTGTTTGACGTGTGAGAAGAGATTTTCCCGCAAAGGTATTCTGGCTGTACATGTGAGAACGCACACAGGGGAAAGACCTTACAGCTGTTCAATGTGTGAGAAGAGATTTTCTGATCAGAGTAGTCTTGTTAAACATGTGAGGACACACACAGGGGAGAAACCTTACAGCTGTTCCATCTGTAATAAAGGGTATACACGTAGTTTTCATTTGAAGATTCACATGAGAAATCACAGAACAGAGTGTGACTGAAGGATTATTGATTGTGTTCATGAGATGTTATAAAGCCTAAATTCTGTTTTGGAGTTTGCTGTTGACGACACAAAATACAGATGTTTGGCCCAGATCAGCTCTTGTATCTGATTTTGAACCATAACAGAGAAACAACCCTCTGAGAGTCACAGGCAGCTGCTTCTACACTTTTACAGCACACTGCATGATGTAAAGGCTTTTCTCCTGAACTACAAGAAAAACTGGTTCTGATTCAGACTGATTCTCTGCTCCTGGCTCCGCTTCTTCATAGCTGCATTACACCGAAGCAAGTGGCAGATTTTCATGTTTTTAAGTGTTTAAGTTTGTTTGTTTTTTGTGTTTAACACTGGAGTAGACATTTTTCAGAAATTTGCTTGAAATTGGTCAAGCACCAAATGCAGGGAAATCATTAGAAGGTCCTTAAAATCTCTTCAAGTACAATATTCTAAGAGCTTTAAGCTACCAGTACATCTCAAATACACAATAATGTTTCTTAATTTAAAAAAAAAAAAAAAAAAAAAAAAAAAAAGTTTTTGACTTGGGCTGTAAAAAAGCAGTCAATTCCAGAAGTTTAATTTTAATAGACAAACATTTAGACCAGGGGTCTCAAACTCAAATTACCTGGGGGCCACATTAGAGAAAGTCTGAGTGAGGCTGGGCCGCATTGAGTATTCGATAAATAGCGGTTGCACGGGAATAAAAGAGAGAGAAAGAACAACATGCAACACACTTTTTTAATCTTTAATAACAGTTCAGAACATGAAAATGCATTCAGATCGTAAGTTTAAACTAATACGTCTACTCTTCTTCTTTTGCCTACTCCTTGCTGGTTGAAACCTGACTACACTTCATCTTGTACAGCTGAGAGATATTTGGCTTGCAGGAGGAAGCATATGAGATCCTCAGGATAGATTGAAGATGCTCATCAGTGAGCCTTGACCTGTATTAGGTGCTTTCACACCGACAGTATTTGGTGCGCACCAAACGATGCATTCGAACCAGAAGTGGTTAGCTCGGTTCGTTTGCGTTGGTGTGAAAGCGTCAATCGGACTCTAACCCGGACCAACTCAAGCGGATCGAGATCTCAAAAAAGAGGTGGTCTCGGTACGCTTGAATCCGCACCTCTGGTGTGAACGCGAACCCGAGTCCAAACCATAGACAGCAGGTCCAAACGAACTATTCGAAATGCATCATGGGAGAAACGCGCCTCCTTTGCCTGAAATGACGCGCTGTACGACTCCAGCGCAGTAACAGATTGTTGTCCAGACGCAGCCGCGATTCATTTTCGAATTATTTTACCAACAATGGCCAATAAAGAGAATGTAACACACAAAGATCAGAGCAAGTCAAAAATGGGGGTGTGTATTTCTGTTCAGGACCTGCACAGAGGTCCCGGTGTTCCCCGTGATCATGTAGGAACCAGCATTTGTTATTTTAGGCTTTAATTAACCAAATAATTTTATGGCAATAGGCAATCGCCCATTCAATTGATTCACCTTTAAAAAATGTCCTGCTTTTAGCCTAGTGTGAGAAATACAGTCGGACTAGATCCAAACCCGAGTCCCGAACCAGCAGTAGCAGCTCCGGTTCTGTCCGGGCTCAGATGACGTAGAGCGGGGAGTGAAAAGCGCTTTCCCCGGGAAGAACCAAATGCGCAGAGGACGGACACCAACTAAACTGGATTCACGCTTCTGTCTGGATGCTTTGCACCACCTCGGAACCAGCCGCGGTTCTTGAGCGCGGAGGACAGGAGCAGCAGCGCATTCTCACTTTCCCCGCACGGAACCAGCGCGCAGACGGCGGAATGTACCCGCTCAGACCCAGTCATTGTGCACTGGTCTTGCTCGCCACCGTCTGGAACCAGCACACGGAGGACAGAGCCTTCGGACCATCTGACCAACGCACTTGTAGGACGACAGAAGACCAAGGACCAGACCCCAGCCCCGTCCTGAGGAGCTGCGCGCTGCTGTGAGCGCTGTTGGCTGCTGCTGTTACCCGAACTCTGGGCTGATGCGGTAAGTTTGTAGAAAGTTCTACATGTTGCTGTTTTATGAGTTCATGGTGATAAGATGAGGACGGCCCGCGGTATTAACAGGGAACGTCAGTATTGGTTACTGGAGATATCGCTGTTCTACCGGGATACAGAGGCTCGTTAATCGGACCAGTTTTGGTTCGCTTGCCGGTGTGAAAGCACCACACTGGAGTGTATCTGCTTCTCGTATGTCAAACATGGATGGAAGACGCTTGTTTTTGCCTCGTAGTTTTTGCTAACATGTCGCCAAGCCTCTGGAATAGATCAGTGCAGTTTTGTGGTGCTTACATATTGGTGGGACAGCTGTGTTTGCCGCTGAGTGCGCGTGGATTTCGGCGACACATATGTGGAGCTTGGTCATCGTGTTGCCAGCAAGTTACGCACCGAGTGTTGAGCAGGTAAACAGACTGTCAATGTCTTTTTATTTCTTATTAGCCCCTCCAATAAAGGTCCCATACTTATGAACAGGGGAATTCCGTCAGCGCCTCCTCTGCGCTCTGATACTGTGGTTGTGGGAGCGTAAAGTGAAGTGCGCACACGTGTACCACCACGTGTGGTTTGTTTTGGTTCTTCGGTGACGCCGTATGTGCACGTGTACTCGTATTAACAGATCCACTTAGACTCGTTGCTTCACAACTGCTGTAAGTTGAGTTTTGGGATGTAAACTGCGCTAATAATCTGTTGTGAATCTGCATGGGCACCGATTGCAGCTTCATCTGTCAGTGCGGCCCGCGGTGGAGGGGTGGGATTGTGCGTGCGGGCCGCACTGACATTATTCTTTGGAATTAAGTGGCGGGCCGCAAAAAATCCTTCCGAGGGCCGCAGTTGGCCCCCGGGCCGCGAGTCTGAGACCCCTGATTTAGACAGTCTTTGCAATTAATGACATTTCTATTGTGTTATTTCTAATTTTTTTTCACCCAGTCTTTATTTATAGAACTTATTACAACACTCAAGTTGACCACGGATCCATCAATCAAATCAAAACTTAAACATTCAACATTCAGCAGTGAAATAATAAACCAAACTGTATTAAAATCATTCAACCTGCAAAGTCTCAGATGTCCAGAAGGGGGAAACCTACTTCAACCTACACCAGGGGTCTCCAACCTTTTTCCTTTGGTGAGCTTCTTTACAAACCAAAAAATGCCAGACAGCTGCTCATTTTAGTGGCTGCAAAAAATTGAGACGATTATAAGTAAGAGGGCAAACCTTTGGGTATAGTTAGATGCCAATGAAACATAAACCACAGTCCGTAAGTTGGACTTCAGAATTATACATTTACAATTGTAATAGGCATGTAATTAACTAAACTTTCGTTATTCAAAAAAAGGGGGAAAGTATTTCCCTATTTTCCCTATATTTATTTATAAAAATGTACTTAATAATAATAATAATAATAATCATGTATAAAAAATAAAATATAAATAAATTGTGTATATATATATATATATATATATATATATATATATATATATATATATATATATATATATATATATATATATATATATATATATATATATATATATATATTATATATTTTTTTATTCAATGAGATTAGATATTACAGTGGAGGACGTAATAGGGGGTAATGGGGTTTGGGGAATAAAAAAAAATTGTCACATTATTACTACCAACTGTTGCTCTCTGTGACCTCTGCTTTAAGTGCACAAAAAAAAAAAATTCAGCACATTGGTATAATTTTTAAATCTTTGGGTGAGCTACAGGTTGGAGACCCCTGACCTACACGAACACGTACAGTTAACAGTATTTTCTCTTGCAGTTTCACTCTGCATTCATAATATGAGCATTAAATGTGAAAATAACAACTGTCTCTTCACTGAATCAGAGTTTATCTCGCTGTCAAAATAGAAATGCAAACGTCTCAGTGAGGACAGTACAGTTATAGCTGTATGGAACAGAGCCTCTAAACGAGAAATGCAGGGTACAAGTATATTATAAAGTTTAAGAAGGAGTCACTGTGATGAGCATTTTAGGAGTTTAACATCATGACCAGTGGGGGCAGTAATGCACTCACCGTGTCTACTCTGCTGCACACAAAGCAGGAAGCAGACCGCCGAGCCTCGTGTGCGGTTAGCTCAGAGCTAAAGCTAAAAACAGTTTGTTAAAATGTCCAAAAGCCAAACACTGAGAGCTTTGGTGAATGAGCGGCTGACTGCGGCTGCTGAAGAGATCTTTGCGCTGTTTGAAAGAACGATAGCGGAGTATGAGGAGGAAGTGTGTCGCTCCAAAGAGGAGAACCAGAGGAAACAAGAGCTCCTGGACTCGATACTGAGCCCCTCAAAGAGTCCTGGCCCCGGTCTGAACCAGGACCCTCCACACACTCCACGGATTAAACTGGAGCCAGAGGAGCCACAGCAGCCACAGGAGCCACAGGAGCCACAGGAGCCAGAGGAGCCGAGCGTCAAACAGGAGGAACACACGCTCCTAGTTCAGGTGGGATTTATTTATTAACTAAATAAATTTAACTAAAATTTAAATCTGCAGTTTTTGTGTGTTTTTACATTTACGTGCTTGAAACTATCAATACTTTATAAATATCTTTTTACCCACGTCACCCACACGCACAGGCGACACCATGTGACTGCAGGAGGTCCAGAGTGTGTAAATGTATTTGCGTGGAGACACTAACAAAGCATCAAGCAAGTCTAAAACTCATTAACCAGGAGCTTGGACGTGCAACAAACATGTTTATTAAAATCATAAACAATTAAGAACTCATCATATGAAGTATAAATACCAGCAATGGAATACTGTACCGTGATTCTGCCGCTCTTTTTTCTCCTCTTTCTGACACTTGCTCAGTCAGACAGTGGGTCTACAAGGTTTTTAAACACTGAACAGCTGATGTTGTGTTTTCTCTCTGTTTGGACCAATGTCTTGGATGCCATTGCCCTACAAAAAGATGTGTGTCCCAGGTTAAAGTCTTTGTGGTCAGCAATTCAATCATTTTGCCTAATCCCTCAGTAACCAGACTCTGCTCAGCTGTTTTCTTAACACTAGTGTCCCTTCAAAATTACCGTCCCATCTCAAAGCTTCCTTTTTTGTCCACGATTTATTTCAGAAGACTGCTCCTGTGGTCTCTTGGTCACTCCAGTCTCTCCTAATAGATCCCACCCCACGGTTTGTTGTGCACATGTGATAATTATTTTGTTCCCTCAAAAATGATCTTATGGCCACAAAATACATAAATACAAATTTGCCTCATCACATAAACATACATGTCAGATAAAAATGCCTGAATCGTTCTAAAAACCTTGTAAAGTCGATACAAAGAGAACAGCCACATATCCCTGAGGTGATTGTGTATTTGTATGTGGATATGAATATA